TAGATGTGGGACGGGATGCTGCTCGAAGGGGCGGCGCCGGAGATGGTGCTGGCGTGGATGGTCATTGTGGTGTTGATGCGGTAGACTGTTGTTGTCGTTGTGATGAAGGTTGGATGCAGAAAAGATTCCAAAACACTGCAACTTATACCCTATCCCCCGCGCTCTTACATGCCCGAGGGGTCTCCGTAGTCGCAGCGGTGCCTCACCGCTTGCCTCACTATAGGGTCGCAAACACAGCAAAATGCGCTCAACACCCCAACAACACCACGCAAACCTGAGCTACGTGCTGGACAGTTACAAGACAAACAGGCTAAACACCCCATTATTCACCGCGGTGAAGCTGGGAGATAGCTAGGTAATGTAGCTGCGGCCATGGCAACCGAAGTGCGCGGAGCATAGTAAGATTTTTCCTCATGAGGTTTTTCACATGCCCCCAGCGTTTGGGTCGCGGGATGACAACGGGCAGTGATCGGGCTAACGCCGACAGCGACACGGTGACGTGAAGCGCGGGCGTCTAAGCGTAAAAAGTATTGCGCTGACATTGCAAAGACCGTTGTGAGAGTCGGACGACTCTCAAGAAGGGGCTATTGTCACGATGTTCCCCACCACAGGATTCTAGCCACAGACTGGTGAGGCCCCCGGGAACCCTTCGGGGCACCGTCGGATCACACCAGCCACAATCACGTGACGTAGGTATATATCATCCCTCTGAGAGGCTTGATAGCTCCTCAAGGATTCGTCTCAATACAAGCCTATACCGATATCTCAGTGCCTGCCCAACTACTCCTCACACTATCCTAGCACTAAGCAGCGACTGCGAGCGCCTCGTTAGCGAGCTTAGCGACCTACTTAAGCTAAAGCGACGAGCTCTAGGTAGTAAGCTACTCGCAGCTCTTTAACTAGTGAGATCCTAGGTGCGAGCTAGCTATAAACTAACTATTTATAGTGAGGCTAAGCTTTCAGACAAGGAACTTTTAGAAATTTCAATACTTAAGTGGGACAGTTAGCTTAGTAATGTAGTAGTGTTTAGTCCCTTAGCAGTCAAGTAAATCAAGTACTTAGAAGCAAACCAAGCAAGTCAAGCAAGCAACAAATTGCTCCCAAGCAAGTCAAGTTACGCCTACTCTCTAACCAAGCAAGTCAAGTTTGAGGCAGTGACTTGCTTGACTTGCTTGTTGGCAACTGTGGCCACTGCTAGTGCGAGCTAATGACGTGGTCACGACGTTAACATAAAAAAGCATCTCTGTTCTATTACAATTACCGAGTGTCGCAGGCCAAGCGCTGTCGGGAACCTTGTTATTGATAATGCCGTGCGATAACCTCTATATAAGCTAAGCTAGGGTGCTACAACTAATACAATATAAACTCTCTCCTAATTATTCTATCCACAATACCTACACGCAACCATGCGACACTAAGCTTAACAGGCTTGTGCACGCGACGGCGCTGTGCACACTTACCCTACCAAAGCAGTAACTAAGCTTCTACTTACTTTAATACGTGATAGCCCTACTAATATAAGCTTAATTAAGGCTGCGTTTACAGCTATAGAATATTTTAAGCCTAGTGTTACGAGATGCTACGAGCACGTGTTAAAGAGCTTACTAGAACCGCTAATTGTAGCTCCGTACAATATTTAGTATAATATAAGACGTTATATAAGGAAATAGAAGTAGAATGCTGAGGCGGTAAGGATATATAGCTAAGGCCTATGCGTACAGCGCTTAGTCTTAGTTAGCTAATTAGTTGTAAGGACATAGCCTCTCCTTAGCTACTACTTACTACGAGGTTTAGAGCTAAGGAGTGAAAGGCTACGTCTTACTACGAAGGCGCAAACTACTAGACCTTCTACGGCCTAGTACGCCTTCGCTTTGCTTCACTCTCTAGGCTATATAAGTACGCGTACGCTCTGCCTCTTCTAGGCTCTGCGTCTGCTATTTTCTCTACTCCGAATACAAGCTTCTACTCAACCAGTTCGCTCTTCTGCGCGTAAAGTCTGCCTTATAGTAGTAGAGTATTCTAGAGGTCCTCTGTAACACGGGATGGCAGAGGCTGAGCGAGAAGGACGATTATGGTCCAAACATGTTTGCTTCTCTCGCTCACGCCTTGGCCTCTGAACCTGCTCATAATGTGCGCTCCGCGTGTTAGGAGATGGACAAGAATTATTCTCAAGACCTCCCCACCTAGTGTAGTAATCCAGAGCTTTCCCCCACTATTCTCTTGTAGTGTGAAGCAAATACTATTGCCTATAACTACCCCGCACTTCCTCTATTAGAACGGGTGCTTAACACAAGTAGATAGAGTATATTGTTGTCTATTGTGTGTAGTGTTCGTTGTCTGAACTAAGTTTAGCTATTCCTGTTCCTTTTCTACTCTCTCTGTTATCTCTAAGTCTAATAGCTTTTTAGATCTGCAGTTCCCCTAGATTCTCTACTACACTAGGAGGTGTATTAGAGTAGCCCTCCTATAAGACCCTCTAAATAGTGCATTATACGTAAGCTTACTAGCACAAGTTAAGCCTACAAGATAAAGCGGAATACTTTAAAAAGTATTCCTCTGAGGAAAGCTCTAAATTTAATAATCTATCTCCTATTCACATCTATGCTCCTTCTCGTAACAATAGATTTTCACTATCGCATACGCGGCCCATGAAACATCTTAAGGGCCTACAATCGTCTCGGACTGTGGCACCGGCCTCAACTACGCCGCCACCAATATATTTAGCGGAATGGGAACCGGAATCTCGAACACCACCGGGAATGGCTTAAGCCGCAACAACCTGGACCTGCTCCATCTCACAACAGCTCCTCCAATCGGGTACCAACTACGAGCAATCGTAGGCCTCGGCTTACAGGTGCTCAAGGTGCGAGGTTTCAACAGCTTCCACTCAAGCTGGCGATGAGAGAACCATCGCCGCAACAGCGGCACCGACACGAGCAGAGAATCGAGCTAACGAACGCAAAGCAACATTTCGTTTGGCGGTAGGGGATGTTTTCAACTTCTGGTTGCTCAAATGCTGCCTGATTGATGCCGATACGCGGAAGAAGCCGAAAAATGGAGAGCCGATATTTAGAGACAATCGTGTGTTGCTATTTTACCCTGACACTGAAGAATGTGAGGCGTATACTTGGCCGAATAGCATATACGTGGAGGCCAGATATGGAGTTGTTGTGACCAGTTTTGATGGCGACCCACCCGCAACAGTGACTTTCCTTCCAGAATCTTCATATGGTGGCGCAGGAGCCTGGCAAGACGCCAAATAGACTCGTCCCAAGTCGGCAGTGTTTTGTGCAGAACACATCGGCATCATGAATCGATCGCAAACCAAAGTACGTAAGACCTACGAGGCCGCAGTCACCAATTACCTTCGACGCGTACCAGAATCAAGCGTTAAAGTGTCGCGCGATTCCAGGTATTCCTACCGAAATCCTCATCCATACGCTCTATGGGATAATGTTGCAACAGCATACCGCGATGATCCGCACCGACCTACACGCAACACTCTAATAAAGCTATTCGGCTTCAAGACTGTCATCGATGATGGCCGTGCAAGCAATGTAATAAAATTGGAGCCTGAGTGTACGAAGTTTGTATAAGACATCTGGATGAAGTTCATGAGCATTTCCACTCTCAACATGAGTGACCGCCAGAACGTCGATGTTGGCAGATACCTCTGGCTCAATTGTCTTGTCCCAGGTTACCAAGGGTCCCTGCATGCTCCAGAGTTCAACATAACCAACACCGCCATGACCCAAGATGACCAGGTGACCTCCACCGAAGATAACTCCCGGCCGTCTGCTGCCAGACTTGAAGGAAGCACTGTCGTCGAGTCTGAAGGAAACAGTTTCACCAATTCGGAAGGAAACAGAAACAAAGAGGTTTCGCCTACATCTGGAACAAAGAAGCGAAGGGGAAGAACCGCAGATAACACGCTACCTCCGGAGCTTGGAGAACAGCATTTGGCAGAAACTACCGCCTCAAATTCGGAAGATGGGAGGTATGAAACCCTTTCTGTAGGCTCGGACGATATATGAGAGCCAGCCTATAAGCGGCAGAAGACTGATACTGGTATTGGTGGCAAAATTGATGCTAAAGCGGAGGCGGACCTTGATGAGGAGAACGGTTCTTCTGATGTCGGGTAAGGCCATCGGTTCCTGGCATATGATCTGTAGATGGACTGCAGGTACCAACTATCTTTCGCGTGCATGAAAGCGAGTGCAAGACTGGCTCGAAGTGGAAACAACATGAGAAACGGATGCTGGATGCAGAAATCTCCGCGCTTTCGGTTTCTGAATTGCCAAGAGATGGTTGTTTGAGGCTTGGCCAGAGCGTGTAGCGTTGGATGATCTATGAGAGTTACTGTTAGACTGCGACGTACCTCTCGCCGGGTTTGAACGCGCAAATGTATTGTTAATAATGCTGGGAAACGATTTGAGTCGATAGTCTGAGAGCACATAGTGCACTTCGCGTGCATGTGGGTGCTTCATAGAGGTCACGGAAGAAAGGGGTGTCGATGACGCAATGGTGCCAGCCGCCCCTAATCTCCACTGTTCTTGCATTTCCAGCGTAACTGGAGTGGAGACGAATCGTCACTAAACGCCCGATATCTTGTCCCAACCTTTTACAATAGTGGTTGCATTTCTTTTTCTTGGTTGTTGATTTTGGAAACATCAGGAAGGTGTAGATGCGATACCTTTGCCGACTAGCGCCAGTGCTGACCGAAGTACGGTATCGTGTCTGCCAAGCCAACGCTACCCAGCCTTCGCTTTCTCGTCGACCACTACCGTCGCCTCGCACTCACTAGGCTCAGTCGCCCCACGGTCTACGACCACTGTTGTCCTCCTGTCAAGCTATACGGATCGTTAGCATAGGCTTTGTCTTACTATCAACAACAATACTCACCCATCTAACCACGAACGCAAATCCTATGAACACAAATACCACCACTAAAACGTAGGCGAACGAAGTCAGTGCATGTCTCACATGAAGTTCGTTCGGGATCACTTGCCGATCATGGTGATGCTTCCTTTCTTCCAATACGGCACATCTGTCGCTGGGTACATGACGATACCCCACCACGTATACAAAATCTGTCCGCCGAGATTCATGGTATACAGTGTCACGCTCCTCACCGCATCGTCACCTGCTCTCTGGCAGATTGTTGTAGCCCAGCCGTACAGAACAGGATTCACGATAAAACTCGTGCCACTGATGTAGTGCGCTGTGAATATTCCTGCATCTGGAAGATCTCGCACGAGCAGAAGGGAGGCAGTGACAAGTTGCATGACCCCAGCGAAAACGACCATGGGCAGGCGATGACCGGTGCGGTCGATGAAGGTTCCGGCAAAGATCTGGGAGACAATCGCAACAGCCTGAATACCGAGAGGGTAGGTGTTGATAGCGGATTGAGAGAAGCGAGCTTTGTTGTGTTTGAGCCAGAGAAGAAACATGCCCTGGAAGGCGAAAGCTTCGGTCATGGCACAGATGACCGAAAAGGCTGTGAGAACATATCTTAGGAAGAGTCAGCATCGACGCACTAGTATGACTGAAAGGCGTAGTGCCTGCTCACATGGTTGGCGACAAGAGAAGACGCTTAGCAAGGCTTTTGATCTCGATGCTGTGGGTGTTTGCCTTCTTAGGTGGCAGGCGCTCAATTGCTAACTGCCTTTCCTGCTGACTGATATAGGTGACCCTTGTCGACTCTGGGAGATCCGGGAATGTGAACTGCGACCATTGTCAGACCTGAAGCTCAGCCATAGTCAATCAAATCAACTTACAAAGCCAAAAAGACCAACTGGTATCCCCATCAGACCGTCTTAGCGGTATCTGTCAGCAATGCTCATGATAACAGTACACTTCACACACGTACCGATGAGAAACACCCACTGCCAGCCTTTCAAGCCGCCTTTACCTTCCATGGTCTTATGCATAGCCGTCATCATGATACCTGCAAACATACTTCCCACCTGCCCAACTGCAGTAAATATAGCAGTTCGCTTAGCGATCTCGGAAGGCTTGCTACAGAGTATCGTGAGTCTCGTTTCCACGAGAATGTATCTTGTTCGACTTACTACCATGAACCCAATACGTATATCGTACCGCTGTACAGACTTGCCTCCATTAATCCCTGGAAGAACCGTACTGCGCACAGTTGTTCGTACGTCTTGCACGCGGCCGAACACATGGTCAGACCTGACCAGAAGAGGAGGGTGAGTGGAAGCCAGATGCTAGGACGGACTTTCTGGATGATAAGACCGTGAGGAATCTGGCCCACGACCATGCTGAGAAGGTGTTAGTAAGAGCAGCATGACGGACTAGTGCATTAAACGGACCCAGCAGTGAATATCGAGAGCAGAATGCTGTACTGATTGCCTTGCAGATTGACATCTTCCCGTAAACCAGCGACGTAGGCATTGGCAAAAGCTTGACGGTCTGCTACCAATTAGCATGAGGCGTTCTCAATGTGATCTTAGAGCAAGAATTACCGAGGTAATTGAAGAAGTAGCATGCGCAACAATACACCTGTTAACATACTCAGATATTATGCATATTTGACTTCCTGAGAGTACTGACCATGATGAAGATATCTAATCATAGGTGGGTCAGCATAGTTACGTTGTTCTGCGCATGACGATATCCATACCAAGCTTCATAACGAGTTTCCTCTCCATAGCCTTCGTCGCATCGCCAGTACCAGCGGCATTGAGCCCTACATGTCCGCATTAGTAACCAAGTATCCGTACAACTTTTCAAATATGGAATCCTCACATCCTAAAGCACCCATTTTCGCTCGGGTATAGTAGCAGATCAGATAAAGTGAAGATTATCAGATTGATTAAGTGGTACCAATCGCGTACTTTTATTACATCTGATACGACACACGAAGGGCCTAGGCCTAGCCTCGGAGCCGGCGCATTGGCATTAGAAGATTCTTCGCGCTTGCTGCTTGGTGATCGCCGGACCGAGCATCGGCCCGTTGTTAGAACGCTATAGAGCCTTGGCCTTACCATTCAGACCGGAGACTTTAGCCAGAAGAACTACTATGGCGCTCCAATCTGCCCACTTTCTAGTCATAAACCATGTTTACCCTCTTTGCTTACTTTTGGTCTTGAGCGGAAGAGGAACTTCCAAGAGGTTTACCGAAGACTTTTCGACCATGTTGTTGGTAATTGTATCTTGATATGGCTACGTGCATGTGGTTGAGAGAGAACGGCCGCGGCATGCGCGACAGAAGCAGGCGTTGCTTACGGTCGCTTACTCTCCAGCCGGAGAATTTGCCCTGCATAATAGCTACTTCAGTGCGCACGACGACGTTTGATCGCCTTCTAGACATAATACTTGCCCCCAACGCCGTGCTAGGTCGCATATAACATGGTTTCGAAGAGCCCATTCAGAAGCCACCAGACTCACCAAATCATTTTTAACATAAGCAGCCTCTCAGGATCCCGCTTATGTCGCACCTCAAGATTATGAGAGTTTCTCGAGGAATATATAGTCGGGAGCAATATGAAAGAGGACTCTACTGGATTACTGTATTCAGTATCCACGAAAAATAGGAAATTAAACCTAAACTGCTTCGGTAAACACGTCTTCAATTGCTCCGCTATCTATGACTAGCCGACACCTATCGGTGACTATGTAAAAGCCGACATCTGCTTCCCATTTTCTTTCTCCTGTTTCTATTGCTAGTCACGCCCCAGCGACGCAACATCATACTCAATCTCAATGCATGAGCCTTGTCCAGTATACCATACCTCATCTCAGCATGGATGATCGCAATCCACCGAGCCAGGACAAAACGGTGGTCGTCAGTAGCTACAGTCCGAACTGTGGTCAGAACCATACGAATCCCCATTAGATGTCGAACGAGCGCAGCCGTACCTATCTTCATAGTCGTCATCGCTCCTGGGGGCGTACCTATCACTATAATCATCATCGCGCCTAGAGCCGTACCTATCCTCATATTTGTCGTCCCGCCTGGAGCCGTACCGACGCGGAGAATAAGGCCTGGACACCATAGAGCCGCTTCGACTATGTGAAGCAGGCCGAGTAGGCGAGCGGGATCGACGATGAGACGGCGAATTCTGTGCAGATGGATAGACAGGTCCAAATTCGCGGTGATCTAATCCCAGATCATTGCATTGTTGTGGTCGTGCATCCACAGTTTGAGTTTGGAGTGGGAGTTGACTGGACTGCCCAGTTGCAGCACCTTGGAGAGACGCCTCTTGGCAGTCATGTTCTTGGAAACCCATCCTACCTCTGACGTCGATGTTCTGCTGTCCGCTTCCGCTGTTTACGTTCTAGTTGTAGATTGGCGCCATCGTTCGCAGATGCGTACGACCATGCGGACCCTTCAGGGTCTGGCTATGACCACCGGGCCTATTGCCACCAGATGTCTTGTTATGAACATCATTGGAGATGGTAAGCTTCTGTAGGCCGCTGCCTTGTTGCTCGTGGTGTCCGGGTTCGGCAGAAACCGCATACTCAGCTGGCGCAGCAGTGGGAGTATATGACGGTGGAGGGTCAAAGTTGCCCATGACTTTGATGTTTTGCTGGCCGGATCCGCTATTTACGTTCTGGTTGTAGATGGGTGCGCTGCTTGTAAGATAATTGGTAGCAGAGGGGGTTCGAGTGACTGCGAATGACCACCCTTGTCGTTCGTAGAATTTAGGATGTCGTTGTTACGAGCTATCACATATGGAGCATCCAAGTCACCTTGATCACTGCGTCTCTGATCTGAACGCGCGGAACATTCTGGTGCTGAGCGATTAGGCTGTCGCTGTTGCCACTTCGATGGATTGGACGCTGGGAATGTGCAAGCGGATCGCTTTTCGCCAGTTCGGAGAAGCAACTCTCTGCCCTCGTCCTCATTATCTCTATCCAGGTAAATGCCGGATCTACGAGGATCATCATCCCTATCGGAACAGTGACGGGTGAAAGGAGTATTGAAGACTTTCCGGGAATGAGTAGCGAGGCCCAGCATGCGTTCACGATAGCTGACGCACTCTGTCCGCGCTTGCTTTTCGATAGCCTGACATAGATTTTCCGCATATGAGATCTCCGTTCGGGTTGGCAGGCGCTGTTCACACCGGAGCTTGTTAACTAAACGCTGCAGCGAACTATTACTAGAAGTCAGTGTCGCGGTCGAAGTGCGGGTTAGAGTCTTCATGACTGGTATATCTATGTTTTTGGTCTGGGTTGAGTGATTTAGTTGGAAACATGAGTTGATGAAGCGTGGTTGGGCGGTTCACAGGAGCCAGAAGGGGTTTTATCCTTCATAGCTAGAGATGTGACTCTCGTAGGAGTAATTTCACTCTCTTCTATCCTCTCAGTTGTTTGTTCATCAAACACCAACTGTCGAATGCAGAAGAGAAAAGGAGGATGGTTGAGAGTTGGCACGATTGCTTCGGAGATGGCCCGGGGATCCGGAGATTGGAATCTGTAGCTCTCAACACCACGGTGCGTCCTAATTCCAGTCACAAGAGTTTGCATGCAGGACTTGCACCGTAAGCTTATGCTTTCACCAAAAAGTCAATCAATGTTGCATCGTACAATAGAAGATGCGTGCTTGGACCTTATCAACAATATTCCGATGTAACCTCAGTCGGCTTACCTGAAACGTGACGCCAGTTGTTTCCGAACATTCGACGTCATCCTCTTTTCCCCCACCTCCGCATCTGCAGATCACCCAGACACGACGTTCCCACCCCCCACAAAAAGCTCGGCAATGTTACCAATGTACCGTTACATCTTGATCATTTGCCAAAGTTTTGTTACTAACAATGCCCCCGCAATTACTCCGTCAATTATACAGCTCACAGTCTGTTCGCCGGGCAAGCATCTCGACGTTTAATCGCTACACCTTCGGATGACCTGTTCCGCTAGTGAGCATTACAGTGTAGCGAAGAGGGTATAGCAACATGGGGTAAATCCATCGGGTGTTCTGAACGCTTTTGCTGTTTTGTTTCTTTCCAAGATTGCGGCTTGCGTGTCAGTTTGAAGAGGTTGAGACTAACATCATGTTCCACACACCGCACTTCAACTGGTACGGGCGCGGCTTCAAGCTTCGAGCAGCCATCACTATCGCATGCCAATTGGCATTCGTACTCTTTGGCTACGATCAGGGTGTCTTCAGCGGTATTGTCGGCAACGAGGATTTTTTGAACACTTTCGATCATCCGTCGCCTGGTCTCGAAGGGATTATTGTATCCATATACAACCTAGGATGCTTCACGGGATGCATTCTCAGCTTCATGTTCTGCGAGAAGACGGGGCGGAGACTGGCCATGTGGATTGCTATGGTTTGGATTATCGTAAGGGGTTTGTATTTGCTGGTATCGGTATCGCGACTAACAATTATAGATTGGCGGCGCTCTCCAAGCCAGCGCATATTCGGTTCCGCATATGATGGTAGCTCGGTTTTTGACTGGCATCGGAACCGGCATCGAAACGTCGACCGTGCCAATGTACCAATCCGAACTCTGTGAAGCGAACAAGCGCGGCCGACTCGTCGCATCGGAACCTCTTTTCGTCGGTGTGGGAATCGAGATAGCATACTGGTTTGACTACGGAATGTCGTTCACGTCTGGATCAATCGCTTGGCGACTCCCCATCGCATGCCAAGTCGTCTTTGCCATAGTCGTGGTCGTCCTTGTTTTTGGCCTTCCCGAATCGCCCAGATACCTATACGCGCATGGCCGGCAGGAAGAAGCGCTTCAAATTTTATGCGATGTCTACGACGGCACACCCGAAGATCCGAAAATCGAGAAGGAAAATCGAGAGGTACTTGAGGCCCTGCAGGTCGAGCGGGAGCATGGAGAGTACAAATGGTCGCAACTCCTTAAGAAAGATCGTGTGCAGACAGGACGCCGTGTACTCCTCGCGTACGGTGCGCAGTTCATGAACCAAATGGGCGGAATCAACTTGGTAAGGAAAGCTTTTGTGAACTTCATGTGATGCATGTACTGACTTTTGCACCAACGTTGCAGGTAGTCTACTACATAACATCGGTACTGGAGACGAACGTCGGCCTCGACAGGAACCTATCGTTGCTTCTCGGAGGTGTCATCAACTTGATGTTCTTCCTCGGATCTCTCCTTCCAACATTCACACTAGATCGTACTGGCCGCCGAAAGCCAATGATGTGGGGTTCCTTAGGGCTTGGTCTATCGATGATGATGATTGCGATTCTTTTAAGTTTTCGATCAGAAAGTGGTAAAGTCTCGAAAGCTACTGCATCCGCTAGTGTCGCATTTTTCTTCACCGTAAGTGGACCTTTGCTTCTCATGTGGTCATCTGGGACTAACACGCGTGAGTACATGCTCGCGTTCGGTATGACGATGAATTGCATCCCTTGGGTTTATGTGCCCGAAATCCTCCCATTACACGTACGAGCAAAGGGAACGGCTGTGGGCATCTCTGCAAATTGGATCTGGAACTTTTTCGTCGTCATGGTCACACCCACTCTTCTCAACAGCTTGGCATGGAAGGGCTACCTCATCTTCATGGCGCTCAATTTTTCGTTCATACCCCTTGTCGTAGGTTTCCAGAGGCACGCTAAGCTCTCTACCCGCTAACGTGTTCTGCAGTACTTTTTCTATCCCGAGACTGCCAATCTAACGCTCGAAGAAGTCGACTGGCTCTTCTACGAAGGCGATGTTGTGAAGCGAAGCCGACGGGTTGCGAAAGAGGGATGGGAACAAGCGATTGGTACCGATCCTACTGTCATTGTGGAAACAGGTAGTATGTCTAGCGGCAACAAAGCTGAGCAGACAACGGAAAAGACAGAGCATACGTCACCCTAGTATCCAATCAGTGTCAAGCAATTGTACGTCAGAGCGGAGTTTTGATCTACAGATCTATCCGCAGTCTTGTACCCAGCTTCCTCTGCAACGCAAGAGTTTAGAACACAATGATCGAATGTGATGCAGTTACAAGACTCTGAGGGAGGTAGTGAGGGGGAGGGTTTGAGCGGGTGCAAAGCGATGCAACCGCGCAGTGCGCCGCCCTGCTGCCGGCATCGCGAGTTTAGCAAAAGACCATCATACCATCGCGAGTAAAGCCCTATTTAGTATAACGAGGAGTTGTACATTGAGAGTTTGTGTGCGCTATGTCGGTAGTTGTTGAAGCAACAGACCTCGGGTCATACTGCCACATCTGGTGATTGAGGCCGAAGAGACTGGCCCCATTGCGATCACCGATTCGTCAATTTCCGCCCCGAATGTCGCACCACCCACTTTTCGCGCGTCCTTCGCATCTCTTAAAGAAACAAGGAGGGTAGTAGTTGAAAGCCGTGACATCTAGGTAAGCTTTGGATAACAGTGCCTAGCTCGTTGCACACAGTCACTTCGAGAACAATACAGCTTGTAGTCCTCTCTCACGACCTGAGAACGTCATGCGCAGCCTGCCCAAGTACTGGCGCGTAAAAAGAGCAGAGGATGGATCCGGTTCAAACGTACCTGCACCCCGACCAGACTACCGTCATTGGGTCAATCCGATGTGGATGATAAGCTCTTTCATCGCAGGCATTGTTCTTGCTGTCGCACACCACGTCTATTATGCAAAGCTCAATAATATGCTCGTTGGTTCTGCTGCAAGGCAGCAATGGCCTTTAAGGAATACTACCAGTTCTCTGCTTTTGTTGCATGCTGATCATCTTAGATTCGGTACCACATTTGCCTTCTTGTTCAAGGCTTGCCTCGCGAATGCGACAGGCATAGCTTATGTCCAATGGGTTTGGCAACAGTGTCGTCAGAAGGCTATTCAAATAGGCGCAATTGATGCCGCTTTGTCTGTGGATCGCAACATCTTCATGTTCCTCAATCTGGAGTTTCTCGTCAAGTTTCCATTTGCTGTAGGACTCATGGTGATCTTTTGGTACTTCCATCAAGTGACCAGACGGTCCGGTTGTAGCTAACATACGAACAAGGTGCATTCCTATATCATCCCTGATTACTCCAGCAACTTTAGGTGTCGCATCGATGCCGGATGCAACGCTGCATACAGTATCCGCATACCAACCCGCCATTAGTAATTTCGAGAGTGATACATGGTATGTTTACTCACCCCGAGCGTCACAACCAACCAAGTTACAGCAGATGTTCACTGTCATAGCCGGTAGGAGTCCCCGATTGACGAACTGCATGTGAGATATATGCTGACTTCGTACACCACCATGCAGGTACAGGTGAACTGCTTAGACTTAGTCCTCCAGGGAATCTACAAAACATCACTTACACTATAGATTTGATCGTTCCCCTAGTACGCTGTCAAACCAACAATATAACTGTACAACCAACAACTGCCGAGTCCGCCTTTGATCAAGCTGTTCTCGGGCTCGAGGGGAGCATAGTCGCCGAGAGCTCGATCTTCCATCCAGAAAATTTGACTTTCACGGCGGATGCCACTGATTATCGTGGTGAGCGGAACAAAAGAAATTTCCGAGGACAGATTGGTTACTACGCAATGGAGCCTGACGTCCAAACCACATCCAACTACCTTGGCGAACTATGGATCGCTGTTGCAGAAGTATCAGAAGGCAAATATACCTGGCCTAGCACATTCCCAACTTCATATAGCGCCAGCTTCTACACTTGCTTCTTACGAAATACTCCGGTGGCTACCGACGTGTCATTCATGGACAATATACAGACACTGCACGCCATCGCTATAAAAGAGATGGATATGGTCACGTACGATGACGACCGCGTAGCGGGCAACGAAACCTCTGCTAACTGGGCTCTCGATAATTACCAAGCTTTTGGAGACCTACTTTTCGACTTGCTCTCTGGTTTCACGATGGTCAGTGAGGTTGAAGATAGCGATATTGGTTGGAACTGGATGACGACTATGGACCAAACTGTTTTCGGCACGGCTCAAGATTTTGCTGTCATGACGGCTGCATGGAAAGATGGAGGACTTGAGGATTCTGACACTACCCGGGTAAAAAACCTGAGCGCAATCATTGAAGAGTTTTCGTTGAACGCGTCTTGGAGTTTGGTGGCAATGCCGAGATACAAGTGGGTCTCTTCATATTCCAACCGAAAGTAAAGATGTTGTTGCTAAACCCAATTAGCAATCAAGTGCAAGGTCAAGTCACCCAGACTCTTTGGCTCAACAAATACACATACCACCCGAAAAATTTGCTTATCGCATATGGGTACGTGACCACATTCCTGTCCACTGATTCACATGTACCCTTCTGTCCCCACAGAAAGCTGACATCTAGTCCTAAAAGAAGTTTTATTCTATCATGCTTCTTTACCATACTGGCTGGTGGCTACGCGTTCTACACCAGTGGAGACAGCAGCAATAGTCGTTCTCGTCGATCAGTAGAGCCATGCAAGGCTCAGATATCGCAGCACTGTCTGATTCTGAAACAACTAACCCAATAGTGCTCGAGAAGAGAGTTGCCGAAACGAGGATTCGACTACTGAAGGACGGAAATACCCAACGGTTCCGTGTGAACGCAGAGAGCGTAGGCTTGAGGTCAATGTAAATGTAGGAAATAGGACGAACAGGTTTAAGCATGGTTGACAGTGGGTTTGTTAATGCAGCACGTATAGGTTGGTTAATGGGTTGGGGTTGGGTTGGGGTAGGGTTAGGGTTGGGTCATAAAACTATAGGTATACCTAGGTATTTAGCTACTACTGCGATAAAAAGCTATAATATTAGTAGATTCAAGTCTATATATGTTAGCGAATAAATAAGTCGTAACCCAACCCCTACCCAACCCTTGCCCAAGCCTTGACCACCCCTACTCATCTTTAGTTAACCTCAACCCTACCTCTACCCACGCCAAGGATAACCCAACCCCAACCCTACCCAACGCTCCTGTCACCCCTACCCAACCACTAACCCAAGAATGGGTGTACCCAACCCATTTACCAGCCTAAGCGTGTACAGAGCGCTACAGTTTAAGTATGTCAACAAAGCAGGATGCGGGCTGTTGATACGGCTCACTGAAAGAAGCTGCCGATCAAGAGAAGACTAACAGTGAAAGACAACATGGCTGCGAATGCAAGACTGGGGAAGAGAGAATGAGTGAATGCTTGCAGATTAGTCTTTGGCACGCACTCATCTTCTTATATGTATACGAAGCATGCCTCACTAGAGGTATGTGTTTGATGAATTCGCGCCGCCGAGGTTGAGTCGCACATCAGCACGATCAAAGCCGCATGTACGACACAAGGAGTGCTACAACGCTTTTGTCACAGACAGTAGTTCCTGAGCTCGCGAAAACTCATGCGGGCTGCGAGAGACAGTCGCCTGAGGATAGAACCTTGTGAGTGCTCCACGGCCCCGCTGATGGATGGTCCCGGGCCGGATCCGGTCAAACTGTCTGTGTATGGCACGTGCTATCGATCGATGCTGTGGAGTTACAACACACGCTAACGCAGGGCTCCCGTGCCGTTACGAGATTTGGGTAGGGATCCTTCGCGGTCGACACCGGCGTCGATATGACCCGGCTCAGCATAGTCTGCTAATGTTTGTGGTAGGTTGGTAAATGGGTTGGGGTTGGATTACCTAGATAGGTAATAACTAAACTTGAAAGATAAAGGCTAGTTCTAACTTAGCCTAGTTATTACCTATCTAGATAACCCAACCCCGACTCATTTACCAGCCTAGTTTGTGATAACGTTGTGTCGCACGTGCGAGTTTATTTCGCTTTGCCTTGGCATACTGGCAAGAAATTTGCACTAGACTGGCTCTATGCATAATAAAATGAGATCGGATTGGAGGTGTAATCTCAGTACTGCAAGAGTGAGGCACAGTTAGGCCGACTCTTGTATACCTCTGCAAGAGCTTCGGCGACGCCGCGACGGAAAGTGGTATTCTGCCGGTAGGGTTAGTCGAGACTACTTACCCTTGTGAAGGATCAAGCTTCAGACATAATGTAGTCAGTGTATTGGAGTATTTTGGAGTTGTCCCATCGAAACGGGTGCTCGATGCAAGTAATGGTATTAAACTATATGTAGCGATCGATATATGATTTTAGTGGTGGTTCCCCGCGTTTTCTTACTCCACAACCCTTGACGTCTGATCACCTTTCGGCCTGCAATCTCCTCTATGCTCTACCACAATACGTATGAAGCGGTTTCAAATCACAGACAACAAACTCTATAAAGTATTTATCCAAACGTTCTAGGCGCATAATCAATGGATAGTAACTAATGTCGCATGTGCCTCAGAGCCACCATTTCCTAACAAAGGCCCTGTTCTTGATAGCGCTATTGCTTGTGGCAGCTGCCTCAATACTGGCGCTAGTCACACTGGCCGTGATAATTGGTGCAGCGTTCTCTAATGCCTCGAAAACGTTGATGACGCCTTTGCCTCCACAGAACTCCGCTTTGTTACCAGTACAGGGAGTGTTGCAGTCGGCCTGGTTCTTCGCCCACTCACCGCCTACGTAGCTGCTGCACCAACACTGATTCCCTTCTTGCACTCCCGCAAAAGGATAGGCGCGGCGGTAGCAGCTGTTCTTGCAATTTGGGACGCTTAGAGACGCATCTCCGTTGGGATTCATGTTCTGCTCGAGAATTGGGCGGTTTGGGTTCTGAGCGTAGCATCCCAAAGCGTTCCAGGCGGTAGAAGATGGGGCGAGAGATGGGGATTTGCTCGTGCTGGTAGTGGTCACTTCGAAGGAAGTCGTCGTTGTTTCGGTGCTGTCTAATTTTCTTTGCGTGATGACGCAGTAGGATTGCCAATACCAGCCCTTGCAATTAAGGCCGACTGAAGGGTTCCATTCGTTAAACTCTGCTGGAGTGACTGAATAGTAAGGTACAAGATCAGTATGGGTAAGTTGTTAGCTGTACAAAGGGAGCTTACTGCCGTAGAGCTCGCGCACGTATTCGCAAGTTTTGCCTTCGCCGTTGTTGTACCAGTCGATACAGTCCTTGACCGTATCAGGGTCCCATTGGAGGAGCGGATTGCGTGTGGAAGCTGCTCGCTGGATGAACGCCGCAAAGGATAGTGCGAAAGCGGTCCTCATCATGCAAGCTTGCTGACAGATAAAGTTCAAGGAAGAAGTCTTTGAGGGTGAGAAAGATATCAGAGGGAAGTGTACGGCACCCTTTGTGAAGTCAGAAATAAGGGAGAACCCCTGACTCTCGCCCATAAAACAATCTGTTTACTCGTCCCGACTCCCTTGGGCTACTGATGCTCAGTTCTAAAACGCAGGACAGCCGAGCCCTGGAAGGTGACATCGAGCATCCTTCGGCTAGGCCATCTACCTATGTACAGTAACGTTCACAGCTGCAGGGATTCCTGACAGACGCACGTTCTTCGTTCGGATCTGTCGACTAATTTGGAAGGTGTCGCTGTCTCGAGGTGGCTTTTCTGCTTTGCTCATCTCGGTAGAAGGATGCACGCGCCACTATGGAGACGCCTTGTGCACGTGCAAACGTCGCCTCATGCTGTAGCCGCCCCGGCCCCGGCCTCTGCACACCCGCACTTGGTACCTGCATCAGTCTTGGCGCGGAAGCAGGTCGCCCAACATTGAGCCTGACCCTTCGAAAATGCAGTCAGATGAACTTTCGCCACACCGTATTTGATCTGAATTTTTCCATGGTGTAAGGCTGACCACGGAGCGCTTAGCATTAAACACATCCCTCGCTGCGACAGCCTTCTTCACCTGCTTCTTACAGTATATTAGCCCCTTTGCTGCTCACTCCTCCGACTACTAGCGGTAGCGCTAGCTTACTCGGTCGCCATCCTATACCATGACCACTTTTCAATCATTTCCGCGACTTCCTCTGGAGCTCCGAGAGCAAATCTGGAAGGACACCGTCGAACCGCGCACCGTCGACGTCCGGCGTGTTCGAGAGGGAACTCAACGCTATGGCCAGCTGGTCTCGTCTACGCCAATACCAGCCATACTACAGTCCTGCCGGGAAGCCCGAAACCTTGGACTTTACGAGCGAGTCTTCTTTGAGGTTGCCGCAGTAAAGAAATTCAAAGGCAACAACGCGCCCGAGATCGCCATTGAGAGATTCTTCATGCCCGATGAGCAGGGAGAAGAAGGGCCCAAGAAAATAGGCTTCCCCGACACCGAGCAGCGCTATGTCTGGTTGAATCTCGACATTGATATGGTGGACATCGGGGCTTCTCAGTTCTGCAATTACAAATTGATCGCATCAGCAGTCAAGCGTCTCAAGTTTGAGCGAGAGAACGGGGATGAATACTTCTACCATACTGAATCAAATGAACTCATGGAGTTTGTTAACGTGCAAGAGATTCACATAGTCTGCGCAGATGGTTTCTGGATGTGGGCTGGGACTATATGTAACCATGCCTGGCCCTGCGCCGAAGAAAAGCTGGTGTTCATTGACGCATTGGATGGTCGAGTTGCGCGTGGCATTGAATTCGAAACCGTATGTAGACAGATGCTAAAGGACGCTCGGCTAGAAGCTACTGGTGAAGCATATTCTAGTGACGATGAGTCTTGAATCTAAATCAATTGTCTTATCTTTCTTTTAGGTTATCGCTAGAGACATAATCTTGTTGGAAGTGGGAAACATAGAGAGGCATAATTCTACCAATGAGATAATTGTTGGTTACTCCAAAACTATCTGACAATACTGTGACTTAGAACTAAGTCCTAAAGGTGGCGGCCCATCAATACAAGAATGTGTGCTAATAGTCCGCATAAGGAAAAGGGGCTTACCGCATACAGAAAGGATGATTACTGCATACAAGAAAATTAACGGACTTTGTGCCAATTGCATGAGTGAAAGCTAGGCTTCCCGTCCGCTTAGCTATATACAAGTAGTGTACCAGCGGATTAGTAGTTAGGTAGGTGACCACTAGCGGGTCCCCGCTGTTGTATGTGTTTGCTCATTGTGCCCATTGCGACGATGCCAATTTAATAGAAATTGTGGCATCAGCCAGAGATGGTGCAATACTAGCGAAACTGTGTCAACAGCCACTTGCAAACCAGACGATGCAACCACAACGCAACGGGCGCTGGGTTTCACTCTGAAACTGGATTGAAAAGGTTTTTCATGTGTTTCACGTTCATCTCGCTTTTTGTGTACAGCTAGGTAGATTAGGAGATAAAGATTGATCTTCGATCTGGCCTTGACGATGGGGAACGTACTCTCATGCTACCCATTGCCTCCGAACTAGAGGATAGGCAGTTATGTGTTGCATCAATAGTATCGTTCAGACCTCATAAGTTCGACATGTGGCGATGAAGAGAATGTTTGTACTTATGATTATCTGGAACTATTCTAAGGAGGTTATTCTGGCATGAAATCTTCGTCGCAATAATCGAATTTGGGGACTGACGCAGTTGAACGATATTTCCACGACCACTCAAAGTCGCACTTCTTGCAAGCGTCCTGAATGTCGCGTTGGACGTTTCTGTAACCAGCTCTGTAACACTGGTTGTCTGCAAGACGTCCAGTTCCACACTTGTGTCTGAGCAACACTTTGCGGAACCATGCCAAATATTCATGGACTCTGTTCATACCGGACATCGTCAAAGTAGACTTGATCGCGACGTACAAATCCCACTGAGGATCTGACGCGATCCAGAGTAGGATCTTACGTTCATAATCTTTTGTTTCCGACTGATATCGCTCAATGCGGAAGGAGTTTTTGGTATCTGGCCATGTGCTGTCCCAAAGGACAATTACCATCTGCACGAGATGCCGGATTACCCACACATTATTGACCTCTTTAGATGCTGCATTCGTGATATAGGCGCATATTCCAGAGGGCATCGCTTTTGTGTTTATGAAAACACAAGCTTCGGTAGGGTTTAAGATACAATATGGCTCCACGGTAAGCGAATGAACGACCTTGGTATATCGAAAACACGATGCGTAAACTTTGTAAAGCCTCGCTCGTGGATTCTCACAAGTGTTCCTGATAAAAGAATCCAGTTTTCTGACATATGGCGTAATATCGCGGTCGTTGTGGAAGCTAAGGACGACACGATCTGACAGTTTGTCAAAGTCAGACGCAGTGACGCAAAGTACGCTAGTTTGGCCGCTGGCGTAACGCTGGAAGTAATTCTTGTGGCTCGAAGTCCAGGCTTCGCGCAACTTGAGTCCAAGTTCTTCAGCTGAAGCAACCAGCTCATTGCGCTCTAATATATCTTTTATATTCCTAACGTACTGTAATTTGCTGGCGACTGATTCAGTGATAGCAAGATACGTCAATTCTCGTATAAGCACGCCATCATCATCTTTGCGGTACTGCACATAGAGCGAAATCAAGATTCTCTGCTGCGAAAGATCTTGCACGTCCTTGATCTCTTGGCTGTAAGGGTGCGATGGGTTGACCATAAGTGCAAGGTATAACAGTAATGAATTCGATAGAGAAGCTACACTACGCTTGCGCTGAGTCTATGTATCACGTAGTGCTAGGTTCGAGAAACTTCTAAGGGTCCGTGGAGCGCCGATGAAGCCCCGACAACGCTCCGAGGGTTGCAGCCTATCCCAACCAGCTATAACGAAGGCCACAGGCCAAGTACTACTAACCAAGGCTTCAGCCTCTTACAGTACCCCCTTCTTAGGCTTAGATCCCTCCTGTGTGCGTGTTTCCAATCTTTGAGAGCATCAGTCTCTTTCAGATTTGGCTGGTTCCCAAGTTGGATCGGGATAGCCTTCCCATTTTACCAGGTACTGCTTTCGTGCCCCTGGCCTCTCTCCTCCAGGATCTCCTCTACCAGATACATCTCTTCTCCATCCACCTCAATAGGCTCTGGCTCTGTTATCATCTTGTGGCTGACTAGGTAACGGGTCCGATGAAGCGAGCCTCAGCATGTTGACGTTGAATACTGGATGAACTCGTCCAGGAGTGTTTAGCTTGACTGCGCTTGGTCCTACAATCTCAAGTACCGTATACTTCAAGTTCTTCCAGTCAAGTTTTCTGCTTGGCCTCTTAGTCTTAAAGTGGTCGCCTAGCTTTAACCATACTTTGTCACCAACTCGCAATTGAGGAGCTTGTTTCCTCTCTTGTTAGCCTGCAGTTCTTGGTCTTGTTGGGCCTCTCCCATAATCAGCTTGAGCTAGCTGAATGCTCTGCCTCAATCTTTCTACGATGTTCTCAGCCTTTTCATGCTCGTCTTGCACTCTCTTTCCCTTGGGCTTGTTTTCCGGGCCGTACTTAATAGCAATCTGAACAGGGTCCACTTCGTATCCGTGCTGCATAAAGAATGGTGACATCCTTGTAGACCGCGCTTCCCTTGCTGTAATTGCGATTTTAGCCATTCCTAGGTTGGATTTCCAATTGCTCTGATTCCAGTCGCAGAAAGCGCGGAGGTAGGCTTGTACTGTCGCGTTCATTCTCTCCGTAGATCCATCGGTCTCTGGGTGGTATCCTGACGATAGTCTTCGCTCAATACTCATTAGTTCACAAAGCCTAGCCCACATGTGGCTTACAAACTGTGAGCCTCGGTCTGAAGTAATGTGTCCGGTAGCCAGTGGTATGCAACGACGTGATTCATGTACGCCTTAGCTACACTCTCTGTCGTAATGTCTGCTAAGCCCATAAGTACTACGTCCTTACTAAGGCGGTCTGTTACCACCATTAGGTTGGTACAGCCCTCACTTTCAGGCAAGCCAGTTATAAAGTCCATAGAGACTTCCTTCCAGATGCGTTCAGGAATTGGTAAAGGCCGTAGTAGCCCTTGGAGGCCATCTCTCCAAGGCTTCACTCGTCCGCAAACAGAACAGTTCCGTACATACTGGCGAACTGAGTTGCTTAATAAAGGCCAGAAATACTCCCGTGCAACAGCTTGGTATGTGAGGTTTCTTCCTGGGTGTCCTAAGGCCCTTGACGAGTGCATTTTGTGTATGATGCCAGTCCTTAGAGGTTCACTGTCTGGTACCCATTTTCGATCTCGATATAATAGGTTACCAGAGTCGTCCAAGCGACACTCTGAGATCGATAGCTTGAGGTCTAAAGCTGTTGGAAACTTGCGTTCACCGTCCCTAACCGCTTTCCAGGCCGCTTGGTACACCTGATCTTTTTCCCTAGCTTCCTCCCATAGTTGCTCTAACCTGTGTTGAGCTGGTGGGGTTGGGGGTGCAGACACTGGGTAGGAGAAACTGTCGGTCTCTCAACACTACACCGAAAGATCTTCAGTGCTTCGTCGTCAGCTGGGTCTTCGTCTATCGTAGCAGTAGCGGGTTTAAAGACCTGCAGGAAACGTCGAGAGATCCGTGCATCTGAACCATTAGCTGGCATATCCTGATGTCTTCTTGAAAGAGCATCGGCTCTGACATTGTCAGCTCCAGGCCGGTAGGCGATCTCCATGTTTGGGAACTTTCCGAGAAACTGGGCCCATCTCATTTGGCGTTCGCTGAGCTGCCGAGGCTTCCCAAAGTACTCTAGGTTCTTGTGGTCGGTAATTACCGTGAACTTCTTTAAAGACCTCAGCATTCCGTCCCATTCAGCTATGCAGCAGATTACTGCAAGCAATTCTTTATCGTGGATTTCGTAATTGCTCTGAGCGCTAGTCATCTTTTTTGAGTAGTAGGCGACTGGTCGTAGCAGCCCTTGGTCATCGTACTGAGATAGTACTCCAGCAACTACGTAACCAGACGAGTCAGTCTCTAAGATAGTCTCTCGATCCGGGTCCCATTGAGCGAGTACTGGTTCGGTAATAAAGATCTCTTTTAGCTTGTCGAACGCCTGTTGCTCTACTTCTCCCCATCGGAAGGTAACATCTCCAGTTAACCTTGTAAGTGGAGCTGCTATCTCTGAGTAGTTCTTGATAAAACGTCGGTAGAAGTTCGCAAATCCTAGAAAGCTGCGCACTCCCTTTACGTTCACTGGGGGTTCCCATTCCTTAATAGCCTTAACCTTGTCAGGATCCATTTTCAGTCCTTTGCCAGCTTCAATCACAAACCCAAGGTACTTTGTACATTTAACGTCGAACTCGCATTTCTTGATATCCAAAGGTAAACCAGCTTTGCCCATGGCCTCAAGGACCTTGTTTGTGTTTTGCTGGTGCTCCTTCAGGGTACCGTTGGTGTAGATCAAGACATCATCCAGGTAGGCTGAGCAGAAGTCGTCCATGTACTCACGAAGCGTCCAGTTGATATACCGCTGAAAGGTGCTAGGTGCGTTTGCCATACCAAAAGGGGTGACTAGCCACTCGTATAATCCAAATCGGGTGCGGAAGGCTGTCTTCCATTCGTCTCCCGCGTTGATCCTTATCCTGTGAAAAGCAGCTGATACATCAATCTTTGTAAACCATTTTGCTTTAGCGATGTTGTTAAAGGTCTCCTGGATTAGGGGTAACGGGTATCGGTCCTTCTTGGTGATTGCGTTAAGAGCTCTATAGTCTACGCAGAAGCGTAGCCCTCCTCCTGGCTTCTTTGCGAATAACACTGGAGGCAGCTGGGGAGCTGCTTGCTCTGATCCATCCCTTGTCGAGGAGAGATATCAATTCCTTGCGTAAGACTAGGAGCTCTCCTCTGCTCATGTTGTACAAGGGCCCCAGGGTGGCTCCTTTCCTTGCCATTCTCATCCTTCTCTAGTTCAATCCGATGATCAATCTCCGGTCCGCGCAGAGGAGGCATCTTTGCAGCTGTTTTGGGGTCAAAGATCCAGGCCATGTGCTGGTGTGCTTTAGGAAGATAAGACATAACATCAACCTTCTTCTTTGGGGCTAACGCTTTCTCAATGTCTTGAAGAGAGGCTGCGAATATCTGTACTGTCTTGTCGTTCTTCGAGCGCCGGATGTACGTGTAATAAGCTGTTGCACCAATGCGCTTCAGCCGTAGGTCCTTCGGGATAGGGCGGTCCTCTGTGCTAATAAGGCGGATCCTCTGGTGTGATGAATGGATATAGATAGACTTCTTCGATGGAGCAATAGTAACTTGTCTCTTGTTCATCCACGGGCGTCCAAGTATAAGATCATACCCTGGGTGTGAAGGCGCAACGTATCCCCATATAGTGTCCTTGTAGCCTTGAATGTCGATAGTAAGCCTAGCGACTCTTCTAATAGTCCCAGGCTCTTCGGTAACTCCTTCCAACACGCGGGGGGAGATAGGTAGGCACTGTAAACCAGCACGTTTAACAAGGCGGGGCTTATAAGAGAGTATGAGAGATTTCCAGTGTCAATTAAGGTTGAAGCAAAGGTATGCTGGTCAACTAGTGTCTCGACAGTAATCCCATTGCTGCCCATGTCCTTCTTAAAGGATGCCCACTCTTTGCCAAATTGTGCTGACTTACATGCAGCTCTTGCCGGTGACTTTGGGCAGAGCTAGTCTTTTCCCGAGTCGCTGTCTTCTTCTAGGGTATCCACACTACTTAATTCCTCGTCACTACTTGGTTCCTCCTTCTGGGCTTTCCTGCTCTTCCTTTGCTCTGTAGTCTTAGAGCTAGAGGCCTTTAGCACAGCTGTCTTTTTGTTCTTTCCCTTCTTCTCAGGTAAACCTTTATCCTCTGCACAAGTAGCAGACACATGTCCTCTACGTTTACAGTTAAAGCAGCGTCCTTCACGGCGTAATCGGTCATACTCAGAGCTGCTGAGTCGGCGGGGCCTCCCGGATCTCCCTGTGTATTCTACACCTTCCATTCTATCCTCTAGTACTGGGGAAGGAGAACGGTGCTTGTTCCGTGTTCTTTGTTTAGGGATCTGTCTTCCCGACGGCGGTTCTTGGTTCCCTTGGTATGCAAGTCCATCCGATACAGCTGGTCGGCGATCTCGATTGCCCTGCTCTGTAGCTCCTCTAGATCCTTGCTCTTTAGGCCTACAAGCTTGTCCTGGAGCTTGTAAGCGAGGCCTTTTCTGAAGATCATCATCTTCGTATTCTCGTCCAGGCTGCTGTTGGAAAGCAGTAACTGTTCCCGGAAGTCCATCACGTAGCTACGGATGTTCTTGTTCCCTTGCGACATAGACCAAAGCTTGTCACGAGCTCTCTCCTCCTTGTGTGGATCTCCAAACATCTGATCAAAGAACTCAAGAAGTTGGTTAAAATCCCATTTGCCAGATATTCTCATCTGGCTTATGTATCAGGGTCAGAGTAGCAGCTGTTCCCTTGAGTCTCGTGAAGGCATAATCACATGCCATCTTATCGTTCTCGAAATCATTCTTGTCATTTTCCACTTTAGCTGTCAGCTGCTGGTGGAAGACCTGGTATTGCTTCCTTGTACCATCGAACATGTCCGGTCAGGCTGTCGGCGGCGCTTTGCGGCGGTATTAACGGTGTTTGCGGGTTGTATCGCAGCTAGAAGGGTGGCTAGCCATGCCGGCGGCTGTTCGTTTGGGTTTATGGTTGTAGTTGTAGCTGTAGTGGCTGGAAGATGTAGGTCTCCTGTCTCCATGGGCGCTGAATCCTCATTGCTCTGGGGAGTAGAGACATTGCTTGAACCAGCCCTCTGCAGCGCAGTTCTCATCGTACTCAGATATGGAAAGCTTCCTGTACTCTTTCCTGGACTGCAGGCTCATCCATCCCCTGGGCCCTACATAGGTTCTGGAGAGATCCTCGTATCTCCTCATTGCTTACACCGTCGTGGTACAGTTGCGTTATCTGTACTGCCAGCCCTACTGCAGAGGCATCCGCGCTGCCATTGTGCCAGTGTAGGTAGGTCGATTTCTTGGGCCACGCCTTGAGTAGTGGACTTATCTAACGGTCTTCGGTAGACCTTTCTCGGTTTCTGGTGCTGCCTAATGTCCGCGACGATGGCAGGCTTATCCAACGATCCTCGGTGGACCGTTCTATATTTCCGGGTGCTTGTACGTGTACCAAGCTGTGTAGCACTGCAGCCAGTTGCAAGTGCTCTTCGTTAACCCTCGGTGGGTTCGAAACGGCTTAACTGAGATCGGTTCTTTGATCACTCAGTATCTTCAATATATCGCTCTAAAGGCGTCCGTCTAGATGTAGCTCTAGGGGCTTCGGTCGTCACTGCTATGGAGGTTACTCCAAAGAGGCTAGTTCGACGTAGCGGATGCTACAGAAGGATCGAATTCAATTGTAAGGGTGCGATGGGTTGACCATAAGTGCAAGGTATAACAGTAATGAATTCGATAGAGAAGCTACACTACGCTTGCGCTGAGTCTATGTATCACGTAGTGCTAGGTTCGAGAAACTTCTAAGGGTCCGTGGAGCGCCGATGAAGCCCCGACAACGCTCCGAGGGTTGCAGCCTATCCCAACCAGCTATAACGAAGGCCACAGGCCAAGTACTACTAACCAAGGCTTCAGCCTCTTACATTGGCTCCCTGTCCAAGCCTGTTCAATGGTCTTGATGTCTTGGGGGTGTGACAAGAGGAACCAACAGCGACTCATATGAACCGTGTTGAATCTGATGTAGCCTTTAGTCGTAAGATGTGTCTCGGCAACAGCGTCGTTTCCGGTGACATACAGCCCTCGTACTCGTGACTCATACTTGGCGCCTTCCCAGACTCTGATATCAACATGTTTTCCTGTGCTCTCGAAGAGGGGCTCAAGAGAAGACTCAATGGTGGAGTCCATTGCATCGAAGGCTGATTCGGCAGGCACCCCAGTTATTTCAGCTCCGCTAATGGTAGCGACAGGTCTACCACCATACCAAGAGTTTGCATAATCACGTATCGAGAGAATGTCGGGTTCTTCGATGATCGTGTAAGCCGACTGCGAACCTTGGTCTACTACAGACATCAGTTGTCTCATGATACTGGGTCGGTAGATATCACGCGCCCAGTCAACAATATAGTCCACAATCAGGACTAGTTGAAGTGCTTCGTCGTCGCCAGTGATACTCCCTTGCCATAGGCGAACGATGTTCTGCCGCCATGTCAGCAAACGCGTCGAAGAGTCTGTGTCAACTTACATAATAGGGCAGAGCGTTCGGACTAGATTTTGTGACGTAACATCCATATACCCTCCACGTCTCACCAAAATACGCAAGAAACCAGGCTAATGGGCCTCCTGGTATCTGCATCTTGTTTAATTCGTCATCGTGGAGCTTGAGCTGTAGGTACAGATGATTTCGTATGGGTACTGCCGTTTGCGTCTCAATCTTCTGGAAGTTGCTTCCGCCTTTGAGGCTCTTAGCCTCCATCACCAAGAAAGGGTATATCGAGGCTCCTCCACCACTGTCTGGATTGCAGCTAATAGTCAATCTGTTTAGTAAAACATCATCGATCTCAGGGTCTTCTCTTAAGTGAGAAACATGCGGTTGCTCCAGAATCCTCTCCATGGCATCCGTGGTTCTCAGGCCATAGATTCGATCAGGCTGCATCTCAATTCGATGGTGATTTTCGGGGTCATCCTGGATCACACTTCGCTCGCCAATACGAGTAGAGAATATGTCGCTCAGTCCTGTGCTTAAACTAGGCACATGATTAGCTGTAATTCGTTTGCATAGTGAATCTATCAACTCACATGCTATACTGTCTTGACAATGGCTCACACTTGCATACTGAACGATGTTTTTGACGCTCTGCGAGGTTCGTTGTTCGACTATTGCTTTCTGCCGGGTTAACCTGGATGTGGGATTCCCACAGACGTTTGCGGCACTGCTGGCTACCTTCCATCAGCATACGAAACGTGGAACAGATTGAGCTCGGAATTTATCATACCATGCAACTTCTATTTCAAAACGTTCAAAGACGTCATTCTCAAGTGCCATTCGCCAGCTATCCTCGTTCAGGTAGTCACTTCTCGCCTTGGCAGCCTTCTGAGTAAGACGCTTAGCTCGCATCTTGTTATCAAGCTCCCATGGCTTATTGGCGATGTCAGGTCGAGGTTGTAATGCATACGAGTGGTATTTCATCTGGCCTAGTTGCTGAATGTGCTTGAACTTTGTCTGATGCTCCTTGGGAACATTTCCAGGTTCCTGTGGACAAAATGGCTGTGGATGAAACTTGATGCGGAAATCTTTGATGATCCCCTCGTCAACAACAGCTTTTTGGCAGTCTGTTGGTTTGTCTGGAACAGCAACTACTGACTGCTTTCCTTTCCTTTTCTTTGGTACTGATTTCGACTGTGCATCTGACGTTCCATTTCTTTTTCTTTTACTTCCATTACTAGTAACAGTTTGCAAGCCTTGTGCATTGCCGCGGGATCTTAATTTCGGGGCCATGAGTGCTGGAGCGGAATGGTAGTGGGGTCTGGTGGCTTCGACCTGAGTTCTTCGGGATGTAAATGTTGTAGGTAAACTTTGACAGCTTTACTACTCGATAAGGAGTCGCGACAAGATATAGCACGGCTGGCGCCACGAGGGTGTGGCCAAAATAGCCAGACAGGGATCCATCAATACCCTGCTCATTGGGGCCAAAAGACCCAGCAGAGATCCTTCAGGCAGGAGCATGTTTTGAAGTAGGAGCTTGAGACACCCTACTAACTACATCCCACCCCAGGATCTCCCAAATCCTACCACAATTACGCTTCTCTCACTCTAGCGCGGACGCCACAGGTGTTGGTGGCCTGAACGTGCATGCATTCGTTTCATGAATGACAACAAGCACCGTGATTTGTCGCGCGGAAATCGCGAACCGTCTCAATGGGACAATCTACTCGAAGCGAAATGAACCGAGATTCTCAACAATGTCAGTGTTGAGACATGATCATATTGATATAACTCGTATTCTGCCATCACAAAACGCATGGCACTCAGCAATTTCAATATGCCAAAGTTTTGGTGTTCGTGAGTTCGGAGTGTTTTCATCATAGATGTAAATGCTTGTCTACAAGGTCACGTGGTTGCTCGAATTAACCGAGTGAGCGTGCCCAATGTCAGTGGTCATGCTTACCTACAATTTATCCAATGGATATGTCGTACTCGAAATCTATATAGCTCGCGAATGAGTGTTGTGAAAGAGGCGAAGACCACATGAACATGGCAATCAAGGAAAGGTGATATACTCTATATGTTGTTCGTACCTACATATCGTACAGGGTGGTGACACATTCTGTACACCGCTATGTTACATGCTCTGGGTTCGATTGAGCAGATATATATTCTACAATGACTTTTCGGCAACCTTTGCGGCCTCGAGTCGTGAGCTAATGTGGGGGGTAGCATGTGTTGTAGGAGCCTGTGGCTTCATGATCTGGCGAAGGATAGCGCGACGTGGCATGGTTATCCTGCTGCACAGAACGACCGCACCAGTCAACAAAGCAAGAGCGCCGGCTTGATGTGCGGAAGCCAGCCACGTAGGGACCATGTAGATCAGCGTGCTGATACCAAGGGTGACCTGAAGAGTAACGAGATGAACCAATCCTTGGACGCCCTTGTGCTGGTCTTTGGAGAGTTTGGTTCGAACACCCTTTCCAAAGCGAGTGTATGCAAATAGACTCATGATGGCAGTGAAAGTAGTTGTTGCGAGGACACGGTGATCAAGCTGGACGAAAGAAGGGTTCTCAAGCATGTTGCGCCACCAAAGATCCGACTGATCTGGGACATGGCTGTAGAAGGGGTCGAAGAGTTCCTTCTTGGGTGGAGCGAGACCAAGACCCATCCATGGGAACTCGTTGTAAATGAGACCAGCATCGAGACCAGCAACCAGAGCGCCTGACATGGCAGTAGTGAAGACAAGAAGAGTAAGACCGAAGACGGAGCGCCTGAAGATGCGGAGAGCAGGATGTTGCAGAGCCTTGATAGTCTCAGCAGCCTTGGCTGGGTCTGCCAGCATGCGATGCTCTTTGAGAATCGAAAGACCAGTGTAGACCATTGAGCAGTAGACGGTAAAAGCAGCACCAAGATGGGCAGTCAAGCGATACTGGCTGACTCGAGGATGGCTACCAGGTTCGAAGAGGTCGTCCTTGAGTCCACTCTTGACCATCCACCAGCCAATAACACCCTGAAAGCCGATCATGCCGCAGATGCCGACGAGCTTCCAGGCCATTGAGGGCGCTACCCTGCGACGTGCGATGAAGTAAGCGGTTGGTAGGAGGAAAGTGACGCCGATGACACGACCCCAGAGACGATGAGCCCATTCCATAAAGTAGATTTGCTTGAAGTCGGCCATATCCATGGACGAATTGAGCTGCTGAAACTCAGGTGACGCCTTGTATTTGGTGAACTCGCTGTCCCATTCGGCCTGGCTCATGGGCCAGAGGGAGCCGGTAACAGGACGCCATTCGGTGATGCTCAGCCTGTGCAACTTAGCAGGTGCGATACTTGGGGTGACGTTGGTGCCTACCCAGACTCTGTGAGACGAGTCAGACCACCGAAGACGACTATACCGAAAACGCTCGCAGCACTCCCCAGCAGCCAGTATGCGACGCTCTTGGAGGTTGTCTTGGGGAAGCTGCTCGACTGGCTCTCAGTCTTGGCCGCAGCTTCGGCCAGTATCGTCCTTCCCGCATTCGTTCCCTCAATAGTCGCGGTATTGCGGAGAGGCTGGGTGGATTTCCACCTCACCGATTGCAGGACAGAGGGCCGGGATGAAGATCGTGAAGCGGAGACGGCGGATCGAATCGGCGAATTGAGGCATGGCCTGGATACGAAGAGTCGTCGTGAGAGGCGTGGAGCAGCAGTCCGCAGCTGCGGGAATGCCTGGTATATCGAAGCCATTACAGCGACAATTGTCGAGGAAGAAGGAGGTTAGTCAGTCATCATGTCATCGACTTTGGCTTTTCGGTGGTTCGATGGCCCGGAGGCGCGCCAAGCAAGAGCCCTGCATATCCACCGCCGTTGACAGGCGGAAGCGACGACCCACTCCGCAGGTTCGCAACTGCATCACCGGACCCCTCAGAGTGAAGATCGCCATTTGGCGTTTGCCGTGCTGGCAGCGTGATGCGCCCAGCCTCCACCGCATTTTGCTAACGTTATCTTTCCATTCTCCCATGACTTCCGCCTTCTGCCTTCTCTCCACTGCGTGCGTGACCACCCCGTGTTATTAGACCCGGCGTGCACTGCGTTACCCCACCTGCTCTGGTCGCATACTCAGTCGTCGTCAAATATCACGACCCATGTACTTCAAAAGCAGCTTGTAGCATAGCATGGACCCCGACGATCAGCCACCCACAGGCCACGGATGCAGTAACCTCGATCATGACGCTAAACCGCAAACCGGTGGGTTAAGTCGCGGCGAGACATGGCCTTTGGGTGAGGGAGATGGGACAGAGGGCGGCGCAGGCTCGAGTAGCACCCCATACGTCAGCCTCTTCTCACCCAATGTACCCGCCATACCACCCTCGGCACCTTCCGACCTCACGGGTAGCCCTAGGGCCCACGTGAACCACTCTAGGTCGCTCAGCTACTCGCGCTCCATGCCATCACTGGCCAACTATTCCAGCATGACATCGCGCGCCTCCAGAAATCACATCTCGGATGACCGACCGCCCATAGTCCAGCTGCAGACGCAAATTGACCGAGCCCAGAAGAGCGCTGATGATCCAAATACCCCACTCGAAGAGCCAGGTAGAAGGCGCACTACCCTGGACCTGATGCAAACTGAGCATTCTGTTCGCACCGACATCAGCAGGCTGTTTAGCGAGAGCGCGGCCATGCCAGGAACCAGGGCACCTTCCTACAACAATGCAACGGGACCATTGTATCTGCGAGGTGACGACTTTCATGACATCTGGTTGGGTAGACGCTAACATTGTCAGCTTCAGGCGAAGCCATACCACTTCCTGATCACCTCTATACCCGCGGACTGCTCGAAGGACGCCACTCGGATATTACAATCATCGCCTTTGGCCAGCGATATCCCCTGCACCGTCTCATTCTCGACCGCGCGCCCTTCTTTACAACCGCTCTCTCAGAGCCATGGCTCGAAAGCCAATCCAAGGAAGTCAAACTACATCCAGAGGAGATCGATCCCAGTATAACGCAGGCATCGTTTGAGTTGGCTATACGCAAGCTCTACGGCGTGGATGTATCCAAAGAGTCGGACGCCGAGGCCATCGGTCTGTTCGCAACTGGCTGCTGGCTGGAGATGCAGGATCTCATCGACTCTGCAATCGAATCCATACTGCGGCAGATGGCACCAGAGACGCTTGCATATCTAATCCGTTTAGTCACCTCCAACTACTACGGTCGATCTGGAGACCGCATACTCGAGTCAGCCAAAGCAATGCTGAGCAGGAACGGCTGGGAAATGCCACTTAAATACTGGGACGACATGCCAGGCGACATCATCCGCGAGCTCGTAGGATCTGATGGGTTCTTTGTGGACAGCGAGTGGGACCGATGGGTTTTATCCAAGCGTCTTCTCGACCGCCGCCTACGACAAGCTGCCGTCGAGGCTGGCCTTATACAGCGAGGGCAGAGGCCTATTCCACAGGCACCCAATTCCCTTCGCCTCATGGCTGTTCGCTTCGATGGTGTCTATCGACAGAACGCCCTGACGACGGCGCACTCCTCATCCGACGCGCAGGCAGACTGGCTCGCTCTTTACACTCTGCCTGACATTGAGCGCATCCTCGTGCTGCTAGACGAAGGCATCCACTACATTCACATGGAGTACGAGCAGCTTGAGTTCATCAGGAACGCTCGTGACGTCTTTGGCCTACCGGTGATGCCTGAAAGGGTCATCTCGAACGCGCTATGGCAGCAGCTGGCTCTCCGCCAGAGGGTACTCAATACTGATGAATCTGCTCAGGAACTGGGACTATGCCAATCGACGCCAGACCCCGAAGTAGCAAACGCGGCAACCAAGACCGAAGGGGAGTTGACCAATAAAGGAAAGCAGAAAGCGTCTACGAATCCGGTCGATGAAGGTGATATCGAATCAGATAGTTGGGACGGCAACGGCAAGCCACGAAAGTTCTGGATTCCAAGCTCAGACTGCAATATTGTCCTTGGTAACGGGGCCGATCCTGTTGTTACGACTTCGAATTCTTTCCAGCGCCATGCTTCACGCCTGTCAGCCACGATTCAACCAGAGGATGCACAATGGGCTACCGACTTTGCATCCACTCCGTCAACTCTGACGAATCCAAATACCCGCATGGACTTTGCGCAACGTCCCATATCTGCTGGTGGTGGTAATGCCGGGCAGCCGAAGCCGATCGCCTATACCGAGTTCCCTCCATTCCGGTTTTCGGCTGAGTTTCCCAATCCGCGCTTCCTTAAAGAGAAGAAGCGCGTATATTCGAGAACAGTATCCTACGCAGGCTCGTTATGGAACATTTATATTCAGAAAGTTCGCTCTGCGAAGAACATCCAGTTGGGTGTGTATCTCCACAGAGCCAAAGAGCGGGAAGTGGACGAAGCTGGACATGTTAGTAGCCTTAGCCAGCAGAACAACGGCTCTGTCGACGAGCGTATTGGTCAACTAGAGCGCGAAATGCTCATGCGTAGTGATCGGCGCGATCGCCGACGTGGCACTCGTGTTCCGTTCATGGATCCTGCTGCAGAAGAAGACACTTCCGGAAGTGGCGGGGATCCTGACCCTTCTCTCGGCTCTCTAGGACTGCGTAATCCACTGTTCTCCAGCAGCAGTCTTGGTCGCCATCGCAGTCGGCTACCTACCCGCGGCATCCCACAATGGGGCTTCCACAATCTGGCTTCGTCGCCACCCCAAGACGGTGATGGTACAGACTCTCCCTCCTTTGCCAACGCTCAGTACTCGCCATCTGAACACGAATCCGACACTTCGGATGACAATGACGAATCAGACGCCGCCGCTTACATCAATCCCTCACTCGCCTCCAAAACACAGCGCAAAACAAGAGCCGCCATACCTGCGCTACCACCCTACGTCGACGGCCGACCTACAATCAAAACCTACTTCAAGATTTACAGTCCTTCCAAGGGTGGAAGGATGTTAAGCATCTACGAAAGCGCGCCTGACCGCTTCAACTTCAGTCAGAGCTGGGGATGGAAGAGCAGCACCTTGATGCTGGACGAAATTACGATCAGTGGCGGAGGAGATGATACCCTGGCTGGTGCCAACCCAGCCGCAAGCAAAAAGACGGACGGCAAATTGAGATTCATGGTTGTTATCGGGAATTTGTAAAGGGGCGCAAATGGGTAAACAGGTTTTGGAGAATGCATCAGCGACGGGTGTTGCGGTAAGGCGTTTCTGGTGGTCTTTTGTTTTATCGGTGTGGTCGTTTAGACATGCTGCCAAGCTACAAGCAGGTACAGTTTCTGATCGCATATATATATTCGTTGTGTTGACAATCGCAATGACATTACACGTTGCCCTACCATTTCTTAAGACCCTTGTATACATCTGCCTGCACATCCCCGACCTGAAGCTGAGCGAATGCTTACAGCTTTCCAACCCACGAGTCATGCACTACTCCTGCTCATCGCCTTCGTTATCGCTAGTCTCACTATCATCATGGAACATGCCATGCAGTCCTTCCCTTTCAGCCCCAATCAAAGGAGCCCTCTCGCCCTCTTTGCGCGCGAAATGGCCTCCAATGCTAACAGCGAGAGTACTGAAGCCGTGAACCATTGTACTTCCGAGCACAATGAAGCAAACGATAGGCCAGATCATGGTGACTGTTCGCTGTTGATCTATTGGCAGGTTTTTGGGTGGATGTGGTAGAGGCAGCGATGTACCGGTCTCGAGCTGCGCGCGGGCTTCGATGGCAAGGAAGAGAGCACCGACGCCCATTGGCCCGAAGTGTCCGACAAAGAGGGCTTCGGCCGTAGTCTTTACTGAAGGTAGCCAGTTCAGCTTGAATAGCATGAATACGATTGGAATCCTGCGGAAAAGTATGATGAGTGCGAGTAAAAGCAACAGTCGAAGAGGCGTAATTTCATCCATGGCGTTGAAATTGTGCCAAGGTATCATGGCACCAAAGAAGATGAAGGAAGCCGAGTTGATCAACAAGTCGATAATCACGGGCAGAGAGGTCTCCTCCGTCGGAGCCTTTTGGTTATGCGCGAAGCCACGTCCTGCGAAGAAGGCCACCAGGAAGTCGTCGACGCCAAGGACTGACGCGAGTCCGATAGAGAAGATAGCCAAGAGGAGGTAGAAGGCAAGATATGAAGCTTTGCCGATCCACTCGCGGCTGTACGAGAATCTGTAAAGCGCGTTGAAGAGGTGTCCGAGGGCGATACCCAACAGAATGCCTCCGACACACTGGTACAGTACTGTAATGAGAAACCACTTCTTCAACACGCCACCAACAGTATTCTTCAGAAGAAGGCTGAGACCCAAATACAAGAACGGAAAAGACATGCCGTCGTTGCAACCACTCTCGGCGCTTAGGTAATCCCTAATACGCTTGGGTACTCGTGTGCTGAACTGGCTGTTTGACAAGACGGAAGCTGCAAGAACGGGATCTGTCGGGGTCAAACATGCCGCTATCGTTAACCCAGTCTGGAAGTCGGTTCCAAAGATGAGTGTGACAAGCATGGCACATATCAGCCAGCCGAATATCATGACGGGTCCCAGGAGAACAAGCAGGGCGCGCCATTTTCTTTGCAGGTAACCATTTGGAAGCTCCAGACCAACAGCGAAACATTGGATTCCGACAATGAGACGCGTTGTTTCTTGGATCATGTCATCCTGCGGCGGTTAGTATTGTCCGTTTACATGGTTACTGTAGACTCACGGAGAAGCCCCATTCATATGGTCTGATGAGGTTGAGAGCCTGTGGTCCAACGATCTGTTACGTGTGAGCAAAGATTTCATACATGAAGATGTTTGCTACTCACAATACCAAAAAGCGTGGCTAGAGGCGGTTCTGAGAGATGGAGGCGGTTCCGGATCATAAGCGAGAACAGCGCGTACAAGATGAGGAAGAAGGTTAAGGTCACGTATGTAACGTGCGGCCCTGTGGGCTCAAGCTGAGACCAGACCATGATGCTTCGCCTGTTTGTTTGAAGACTGCTTGTATTGTTTGTGGTTGAGTTGAGAAAGGCGAAGTCTCTGTGAAGCTTGGGCTTGAGAGTTGGTAACCTACAATCACCGTGACGTCGAGTGGAAAAGGCAAACGCGTGTACGGAACTGGCGCGCTGTATAGAACAACGAATGTTGGTGGACAAAGACACTCAGGCAGCGAGTATCATGGCGACAGGGAAATGCGTCAATAGAATTAATGGCGCGTTGAATCACGTTTGGATGTAAAGGATCACACTGCATGGAGATCCGCTATCGATGACGAAGGTTGGCTAGATTTGGCAGTCACGCTCGGACCGCCCTGCCGAAAGAGGTGGCACCTTGCATATCAGAACCACACGATTGGGTATCTGATCTGACGGACGCTGAGGAAGATTAAAAGAGACGAGTTTTTGAGAGTGCATGTTCATGGAGTATTATGGCCCTATCATATGCACCAGGCCCGAGTGCGATATATGCAGCTAGAGCAGCCACAATCTCCACGTGAGCACGCGAGGTAATCAATTCCGCTACTTTTGTATCAATCAAGCGCCTCCCTCGAATATGGATATGCCCAAAACGCCGCTCCCGCGCGGTGATGCTACTCAATCTGACCACGACCCTTCGCGGCTGGTATTAAAAATACATGCAAATTACAGTGAAACCAAGGGTTGTTATTACGGTGAAGTCTCGGCTATGCGTCGTCCGGTGGGTTGTTAAAGAAAGCGAATCGTATCCTGTGAAGCTGGAGAAGAGTCAGCAAAGCATAGTCTCGAGGGTGATGGAATGCATACCGAAGGCAACTTTGGAATGACGACTGCTAGAGTCGCAAAACAGTTGATAAGGAAATACGTCAAATCGTATTGCGTATAATGCGTGCTGACGAGAAACAGCACAATGGGTACGCTGAGAAGGAACTTCTTGGCTGGTGTGTATTGGTCTCCATTGTCGATTTGTTCCCACATGTTCAAATTGTCGTAGGCACCCGAGTTGAAGTCAAAGGGCACACCGCGCACGTAGTGGAACATGAGGTAGGATCCGGCTACGTACGAGAGATTTACTAGGGTCCACGATGCTTCCTGCGACATGCCGGGGATGATATCGAACAAGATCTTGCCGAAGAAGATGAGGACAAAGTGGATAGCCCAGGCGCCTGAACGTGTTAGCCTAGGACATGGATGGAAGACGAGATATCCTCGAGATATGCGCCTCAGTGCCGTGTGAGCTCACCCTTTGCATTGACCCACTCTGCGTTGAGGTTGGGCAGGGCGGACTGGTCGCTCAGCTGCTCGAGTGACTCGGGGGGCTCCTTGTAGACAAGACTACTGCTACGTCGCCTCCTCGCGTCCTTTGCCGCATCCAGAGACATTTTGGAGTAGGTAGAGGGCGGATCTGACTGGCGGGACCGCGGGTCGCCAGCAAAGCTCAGGCGGGAGGTGCGATTGAGGAGTATGGGTGACAGTTTGGCGGTATTGATGGGGTCGTCGGGCGGCCGGGCGGTGTGAAGAGGGCAGAGATGGTAGCGGGTCGCGTGGGAGTGCTACTGGAGAGCTGGCGCGGGCAATGGCATGTCAGTCAGGTCCAAAAGGAGCAAGGCGGCGAGGTGGGCCTTCAGGGTCTTACTGTGTAGGCAATATGTACCTTCCGGGCCGTCCGAGCGTTGTAGCGTTGAGCGATTGGTGAGGAAGAATGTGAAGGCAGACGGTTGCAGTTGGTGTTAGGTGATGTGTAGGTGGTGGTAAAGGAGGAAGGGGAATGGTTTCCTCACTGGGCAGGCGTGAAGACGGAGGCGTGGCAGGTCCACATGATGCTCCAAAGACCGTGTTCCTAGCAATCACCGAGGCCGTGCCCAGAGCGCAACCATACAACTCTAGAACCTCATACCACGACCACCTCCGAGACACGACCTCTTCACACCACCAGAACACCATGGCATCTGAAGCGCCGCCCCCAATGGACGCCCACGCCCTCGCACACGATGCACCCCAAGCCGATGCAGGCGATGCGACACAGAAGCCCGTCAAGCGGTCGTGGAGGTAATATGACGCGCCGACACCCTCACTGCAACCCGCAGCTAATTATGCAAAAAGACGAAAGTACCGCAAGATGCGCATCAAGTTCGACGAGGCCATGACAGACAGCGACAGCCTCATCAAGCAGGAATGGAAGGCCATGGGCACGGCGCGCCGTCTGCAGGAGAACAACGACCAGATCCTCGACATCCTCCTCGAGCTCAACGAACAGACACGCGTCAACCCGCGCCTGCGCTACGACCTGCGCCAGCTCTCCCAAGCCGATACCGCCGTGGATTCTCTTGAAGTCGGCCCTGGCCCGGAATTCGTCAAACAGCAGCTGCAGGCGCTGAGAGATGACGTTGCCGCCAACACCATCACCCCAGAGGAATACGCGACCAAGGCCGACCAGCTGCACACTTCGCAGGCCATACAGCAGACGCTCAAGTCGCTCGCCAGCCTCGAAAGCAAAGTCCCCCACACCACGCGCGCCGACCTGCCAGACCACCCCATCGAGGGCATCGACCTCAGCGAACATGCGCCGGGTTACATGTCGCCTGCCCACGAAGACGAATACCTCCTCGCTACCGACCAACTCCTCGAGCAACCTGGCTTCGACCAGTCCCTCCAACAAGGCCGTCCCGTCCGTCTCGCATCCGCCCAACCCCCGCTCGGCGAAAAGGACCTCACCGTGCGCAATCCTGACAGCGTCTACAACTGGCTGCGCAAGCACCAGCCACAGGTCTTCCTTCAAGACAAGGACGCCGCCCATCACGAGAACCTCTCCGAAAAGTCTGCCGTGCCCAAGACGAGCAAGGCCAACGCAAACAAGGTCAAACGCGAATCCAACATTGGAGGCGGCACACCAGGTCCCCGCGATCACGACGACGAAGACTCTGCAGCCCCCGAAACCGCCAAGGGTCGACGGAAGACCGGCGGCGGCGGCGGCGGCGGTGACGACGACACAGCCTACCGACCCAAGGGCGGCAGCTCTCGACCCGCAAAGCGCAAGCGGGAAGAGGGTGACACGCCCGTGGGTAAGGGAAGCAGAAAGAAGAATCGCGCCAGCACCGGACAAGCTGCCTGACCTGTCTGCTAACAGAACGCGCAGTAGAGTAGACGACCCTTCTTATGTTGGCAAAGTCTACCCAGGACGCATCCTAGAAAACATGAAACTTTTTACCTTGAGAGGGCACCAAAACTCGAGTTGAAATTGGCGTTTTTGTAGGCATTTCGGCGCAAAAGACGGGTTTAAATATACCCTTGGGACAACTATTTCCAGGAAATTGAATCAAAGGAGTATTTGGGCAACTGGATATCGGTATTCTCCCCCCGTCTGTAAACCAGCGGACTTTGTACAACCAACATTTCATATATCATACAGAACTGTTCGATAAATCCTTCTTCATGTTCAATCAACGCAGCTACCTTGGTGACTTGCCCCTCGCTCCCCCCACCATAACCGGCTCAGGCGCCTGCTGAGCCTCACTCATCAACGGCAAACTCGTCTCAAGTACCTTCTTTCCATCCACAAGCTGTCCGTTACCCGCGCGCTGATCCTCAAGGTACGCAGTCTTCTGTCTCTTGTCCTCGAGATATTGTTTCCGCTCCTTGGTCAGCACCCATTCCTTGGGGAACTCAAACTTCTTCTTGGGCGTGTGGTGGCGGAAGTCGAATGGTACGTCTTCAAATGTGTCTTTCCCGTCCTTGGCTTCTTTGACCAGGGCGGAGATGGTGTCGCCGAGGAAGCGCTTGTTTTGAGACTGCGTGTCGAATTTCTCGCACGAGAGCTTGATGATGGAGGTTGAAGGGTTGTAGCGTGGTCCGGCGAGCTTGATCAGCTTGGAGACTTGGGCGGCTGTCAGAGAGTGTGTGGAAGAAAGGTCGTTTGGCGAGAATTCTACGACGACTTTGTTGGACGCCGGGTGCGATTCGCCGAGGTAGGATGTGTACCGGAAACGGAAGGGCGTGGCTGCTGTTGGGGGTTCGAATGGGCGGGCGAGGTCTGCTATGTGTTAGTATGCGCATTCCACCAGATACACATTCAAAGGATGAGTAAACGTACGACTCAAAAGCGGCAACTCCCACGCAATCAACCTAGCATACTCCCTCAACTCCCTATGCTGCTGCAACTCCCCGTGACCATGACTTGTCAAGTCATCACCATAGTAATCCTCATCCGGTCCCATACTCTCTTCTCCCTCGGCCCAGAAACCCGTTGACGTCTTCCTCTTGTCGTCTTCCTCAATGTCGAAATCTTCATCTGCTTCTAGGCCAAAGTCTCGGGTCTGGGGTAGTCCGCGTTTTCCCTTGCGGAGGGCGTCGGCGACGACATCTGGGTCGATTTCTGCAAGGGATGCGCGTAGATTTTCCAGCATGGCGGATTCACGTTCTTGCGTATTCATCTCCCGGAATGCTTTCGTTTTTGTAGTGTTGGAGAAAGATGACTGAGGTAATTCCGGGCTCAGTTCGTCCAGCGTCTCGGTGGGTGGCTTCGCATCCGCAGCGGTTGCAGAGCCCTCTTTCGTAGGTTCATTTGCGTATCGTGCGGGCGTTGTCGAAAGCGGCCGTTGCCATTGTGCTGAGGTATGTTTTGATGGTGCTCGAGATCGTATCCGTGAGGGGCATGCCCGTGACTGCAATAGCAGTCGTCGTGGTATTGACGCCATTGAGTGTGGTTGTCGATTGGCTGCTGTCGTCGACTTTTCGCGATGCAGCAACGCTTGGCGATGGGGGAGGAAAGTGAGACCGTGCGCCAGACCAATTGGAACTAAGAGACCTCCGCTTTCACCATGAATGCGACCATCATGCCTACAAACTTGTCTAATGACTTGATCCCACATTCTGGACCTGTGCTTCGAAGACAGCTCTATAGACAGGTCAAATTACATTTATTGATGACTACGACCTCCCAATATTCCCAATCTACAACATAACGCTCACAATGGCCGATACATGGAAATGGACGCCTGATTCGAAACTCTGCTTTGTTACCACTGGAGCCACCGCGCCATTCACTGAACTTATCGAATCGGTTTTGAGTCCCTCGTGTCTGGGTACACTACGAGAAAGTAGATTTACACATCTTTTAGTGCAGTACGGTTCCGCCAAGGATGTCTACGAGCAGTTCTCAACCTTAGCTCGAGCATACATCCAGGAGACCCAATCAAAAGGAGAGTTCATAATAGAGGGCATCGATTTCAACCCAGACGGGTTGCAAGCCCAGTTCCAATTAGTTCAGCGGTCAAAAGGCTTGGTCATCTCACATGCTGGTATCATTGCCCATACACCACGTACTTGGTTATCGACTAACGGAGCCCAGGCTCGGGCTCGATCCTCGAAGCACTCCGCTACCAGATCCCACTTATCGTCGTGCCCAACACTGGACTACTCGACAATCACCAAGAGGAGCTCGCAGCCGCAATGGAACGTAACAACTATCTCGTCCGCGGCGACGTCACGTACGTCTGTTCTCTTGTATCGACAGTGTCATCAGCTAACGGATTCCTAGAAATCTTGCACCTGCGATAAAGAAGTCTGACGAATTCCGATTGAAGATGTCGCAGTTTCCACCTGTTACTAGCGGGAAGCATCGTGAGACTAAGAGCTTCGCGGCTATTATGGATGAGACGACGGGACATATGGATTGAAGCCAGTCTCTATGCGCTTTTGAATCTCCGGTTTCCGGGTCGGTCGACTCAGAGCTGGCTAGGAAAGTCAATCTGCTGTCTCAACGCGCTCGAATCACCGAGCCAAACCGGATGGATGCAGCTGGAAAGCGCGCCTACAGTACTTGCCCTTGATCATGATACGATGTTGGGGCAATCGCTTCCCGTTTGTTGTCCTTCTGAGCGACGTTGCACCTTCCAAATGCTTCACCATTTACGTATCCACCACGTTTGTATCCAAGCTTACGGGGTTACACCCGGATAAGCTTTCTGAATTTCCCTTCCAACTTCACTCCAACAATTGTTTGTCTTTGCAGCACCACTTGGCCATTTTGCTTTCTACCTTTGGGCCTATTGTACCTCGATACTTCGGCCGGCACACGACTAAGGGAAACTTCTATAGCCATATACACTCAAGCATGCGTACGCAACTTTTCATTACAACATTGCTGGCTGCTGTTACTTCCCTTGTAGCATCCGCGCCGAGGTACGTGCGATGCCACCCTGTCCTCGCTCTTGTAGGCTGATCGTACTTGCAGCAATCTCCACGACCGGAGCGTCGCTTTCGATTGGAGTACGGACAAAGTCCGAGGAGTAAACATCGGTGGCTGGCTAGTCCTTGAGCCGTTCATCACACCGTCGATATTCGAGCATCACAGCTCAGCCGATTGGCCTGTCCACGACGAATGGACGCTTTGCGAGAAGTTGGGCCAGAGTGAATGTTTCAATGTGTTGAAGTCGCATTGGAAGAACTTCGTCTCCTGGAACGACTTTCGGAAAATCAAGGATGCTGGCTTCAATGTCGTACGCATTCCCGTTGGTTACTGGAGGTAAGACTTCATGGAACCTTGGCATGCAAGCTTATACTTACTATCGGTCTTAGTTATGTGGAGCCTTGGGGCCCTTACACTACAGGCGCAGCCCCATATCTCGACGTCGCCATCGATTGGGCGCGACAAACTGGTCTGAAGATCATCATCGATCTTCATGGCGCACCCAAATCCCAGAACGGCTTCGATCACAGCGGCCATACTGCATCTTGGCCGGCCTGGGGCGATTCCGACAGTCTGAGCCACACTCATGCTGCACTCAAACAGATCGAGCAGAAATACGCTACACTAGAGATGCAAGATGTCGTGGTCGCCATCCAGTTCCTTAACGAGCCTTTCCTACTTAAGCTCGATCAGAAGATGGTTAAACAATTTTACCACGATGCATACTACAGCCTACGGGGTATCAGCGACACACCTGCTATGCTGCACGATGGGTTCGAGAACCCGTCTTGGCTAAACGGCTTCCTGACCACCCAGGACAACGATGTGCGCAATGTCGTGGTCGATCACCATGAGTACCAGATCTTTGACTCCGGGTTGAACGCCATGTCTATCGACCAACACGTGGCTCTTACGTGCAACTCTGTACGTTACAGTCCTGCCGCTACCGTTCCACCAGGCATTGATTGCTAACCCATCCTTCCAGGTCAGCAACTACGACAGCTCAGACAAATGGACGAGTAAGTGATTGCACGATGCTCATGTAATCGATATAAACTAATCCCTCACGCCAGTCGTGGGCGAATGGTCCGGCGCCTTTACCGACTGCGCCCTCCATCTCAACGGCTTCAACTACGGTTCCCGCATGGAAGGTAGCTTTCCAGGCTCCTACTGGATTGATTCGTGCGCCGGTAAATTCGGTTTCGTGTCCTCGTGGTCTCAGGACTGGAAGGATAGCGTGCGTCGCTACATTGAAGTTCAACTCGATGCGTATGAAGCCAAGACGCGTGGTTGGATCTTTTGGAACTTCAAGACTGAAGGGAGTGCTGGGGAGTGGGATCTGTTTCAGCTTTTGGATAATGGTGTGTTTCCGCAGCCGTTGTGGGATAGAAGGTTTGGAAAGGCTTGTGAGAACTTCTGAGGTGGTAAACGTAATGGATTTGGTGGTGTGAGATGAGGGGCAGGTGTAATGTTGCAGTAGATGGGCAGAGTGGTATGTGGTGGTACTTGTGTATGGGTATGTTGCATCTTAGCGGATATGTATTGATATCGTATGTCAATGGCAAAGATCGTTCGGTTATGGTTCCTCATTTTTCCAGGCTATGTTATTGAGGTTCCGTGTTGTTCATACTCCGTTTCTACCACCTAGTCTAGAGAGTCATCGCACCTAGGTCGGGCGCCTCGTGATGGCTGCGGCTAAGGATCGTTACGACCACCCAACGAACTGCGAGAATCTTCCCCATCATGACAGCGGCTGAACCAAACTTATTGATGATACTCGATCTCGTTCTCACATGTATACTCCGGTTTCGGGTTATCCATTTTCGGAAGACAATTGCATTCTGTCTGAACCTTATTTTGAAGCTTTCCCGATTTACATCTATGTCTTATTTGCATGTTCCGGTTTCTATTTACACCTCCTCCGCCGATCCTAAACCCGCACGAATATTAAGCAAGCACACCGTGGATAACTTCCAAAATGACGCCCGCCGGCTAGAAATCGCGGAGACGGTTATATGCGGACCCCAGGATGTACTCAAGATCGGTGTGATCAGTCCGACTGAAAACACACTGACACTTCTGGGGATCATGTTTCTTGCTATGAGACGTGGGCAGGACCTACCAGGATCCCAAAGACATCAAGGGGCTTGATGTGTGATCGGCAACAGCGGTTGGTGGGATGCATCTCACCACAGTTTCACAGCAATGCAGCGACGGTTGTTTCCATGAAGCTTAGAATTTACTGCGCTTGTGGCAAGTATCAATGATGACCCGGAGGCCCTCTGAGCACTCAAACAAAGTATTCGTCGTGTGGCCCATCCTGGCGCGTTACAAGTGGACGAAGAGGCGCGCGTGTGCCATCTTCACGAGTTGAGCGATCGTGTCCTACTAATTGGAGGATACTCAACCGTGCACTGGGTTCGCGCAGTGCGTGCGAGGAGAACATGGGTACCTGGACGCCTGGATATTGCGGAGGCACATCCTGGGCTAGGGCGTTGCGAAGATCGGGTGTCAAGTTCGCAAGGAAGAAAAATCGTTCTGCAAGGAGAAATTTTGATTAGAGAGCCCGCGCGGTCAAAAAGTCCAGAACCGCGTATCGTCATTTGCTGTTCTCCGCATATCCGTCATCGGCTGTAATTACGCGTGCGCGACGGAAGACGTGGGCTTGCCCGCTCGCTACGACTACCATCTCTTGTCTATGTTGCGCGCTCAGGGGGCGAGTTTTATCAAAGTGAAGCTCACAGAATATCGTTGATGTCTATGGGAAGTTCCTATAGGGGGTCAACAGTTTAAAGTGTATGTTTTCACAAATACTCGTCGAATGAGAACCGCTCCCACTGCAGCCATTCTGTCGCGGAGTGCCGAACCAATTGCCACGGTTTCCAGACCTAAGGAAAGTGATTTTTTAGCGTAGATTGCCGGTGCCGCGCTCGCTAGCTTGTTAGCGTTGGGAACTGCAGCAACGGTATTGCGCCAACTACCGGGTACCAATTTTGGGCTGTCACTGAGCATCGTATGGCTCTCATTGCTCTTTTTCGCCCAAGAAAATAACAGACCTGCATGTCCCTGCTCATCAACCAGCACAGGCTCAGATCATGACTTCATGTTTGTAATGACAAGGCAGTGGTCAGAGAGCGTCGTGATGTGTTCGCCCAGAAACGCATCCAAGCCTTTGGGCACGAACACACAAATGAAACCTAGCTACTTTGGGATGACGTACTTGGGCACTGGTTGGCTAGTGCAGTTGACATGTACCGAACTTCGGTTGAAAATTTCGAATTACGTTCATCGAAGGTCATCAGCTTTTCGCGCTCAGATCCAACAAACATCTTGATAATGAATCTCGATCATCATGTTGCTTCTCCAGCCCGACCGACCTACTCGGAGTTGCCCAGTGAACTATGAAAAAGACAAAAAAACGACTATGTGCAAGATGTTCGGACATGATGAGAACTTCTTTCACATGACGTCTGGTATGCTTCCGCGACCCGCGTCGTTCATGCACTGTCAAGACACTTCGTGGGGAGCTGCGTAATGCAGACGAAACGTGGAAGCACAGACGAAATGTGATGGGGATACTCAAGAATGCGATGCACGGCCAGATGTCAAGAAGTATTTTGATGGATTTTAGAGTTCCGGACCGGTTAACGACGCCCTGTTTAGGTAAGCTTCAATAGCCTCATAGCGCCTCATTACCAACGGCTTTCACGCGAGTACTTTGGGAAATTGAGCACATGTGATCGATTGCGGTGGGTATGTGGTCTGGACCTCGTCGCTAATTACCTACTCCACCTTATTCTCCGAGGCATCCTGGCGATCGTGTTGCGCATCACATGGGACGCCTCGAGTGCAATGTCGAGTTCTGTCGTGAAGTGACAAGTATCGCGAGCTGTCTCTATGAAAACGTTGGTGCATGAACAAAGTCACTGACATGCGCATTATGCATCCCAGCGGCTTCTGAATGGTGGACGTAAATTCCGTCCATGTGTGTGCATGTAGCTAAGGTAGGCGAAAAATGCACCCCGGTCCTCAACTTTCTCTGAGGTCATCGGGAGAACGTCCGAACGACAGCGTCGCCCCGCCTCAGCGAGCCCGACCCGCCATTGAACCAATCAGCTCTTTCACCGCGGTCGCTGGACTATTGACCGAACGGCTGGTTCTGCATGGATCAACCGTTTTTCTGGCGTAATTCGAAGATCGCCCCGCCTTGCTTTGCGACTGTTAGCGGGGCCGGCGGACGCACAGCTGTGTTTCCCAGTTTCAGTTGTATTTGTACCCGTGTCCCACCCGTCACAACACAACAACAACAAAAAAGCAACCTAACATGCCCGTATCAACATAAACACCCACGCGATCCGCACCTAATACGTTGAACTATTGCAGGACTCAAATCGAACCATTCCAGGACTCGACCGAACTCAATCAGGATGACGACTACCATTGGCATGTCGTACGACGACCTTCGCCCACATGTTGTGCGGCCGAAGAAGTCTCTCTTCCAGAGGCTGAACGACACCCACGACCAGCTCATCTCTCACATGCGATCGTTGAAGGAGGATCCAGTACTTTCCGTCAAGCAATCAACAGAACGCACTAGGGCATTGTCGACAACATCGCTCAAGCTTTCAGCAGAACGCACGAGGGCAGTATCGACAACATCACTCACATCAACGCCCGAGTCAGATCGCGAAAACTTGCAGGACGCCACTCGAACAACCGAGATCGACCATGATGACCGCATCTCAAGTGGTTTTCTGTCCCCACCAGTCTCGCCAGTCGAAGGCAGCTTCTTCCCTATCCAGCAGTTCCTTCTGCCTAGAGACCGGAAGCCCAGCAAGGAGTTCATTCAAGGCATGCAAGGCTACGTGCACTGGAAACAGGCTACCTACGAGTCTACTCTCAGTCTTCCCCTCTCTCCACCACAAACACCGCAAAGCTCGTTCTCGTGGAGCTCCTCCAGAAGTACAAAGAGCGAGATGTCAGACGAGCAGATGGACGACTGGCTCGACCGGCCTATGGACGCGGAAGTGCATCGCTACCGCAAAGTTTCAGCCTCATGGTTGGAGGGATCGACTGGTTCAGAAGAAGATGAGAAGAAAATCCACGTGATCGAAGAGCATCCTGATGAGGAAGACAGCGTGGCACGAGAAGAACGCCAACATATCGCAGCGATGTGGCGGGAGACCTGGTGCATGCAAGGCTCGCGAGAAGGGAGCTTCATTGAAGAGCAACACAGCGAGGTCGCTCCAGAGGCACCGGAAGACTCTTCGCCAAAAGAGAACGGAGCGAGGGACACTCAGTCCATGTTGCTTTCGCTACCGGACGAACTTTTGCGGTACATCGCTCTCCATGTGCCGAGTGAGCATGCGAAGCCATTTCGATTAAGCTGCGCAAAGTTCAGCGAGCTTGTTCCAGCATCACTGAGCTCTACCTAAAAGAGCTACGAATATTTCATTTGTCATTATACATCGCTTCCGGCATTTGTCGAGATTGCGCAAAACAATACCCATAGAAGAAGAGGAGCAATCCTAGTAACAGTTCAGAACGGCATACAATGGCTTCAGTCATTCGTGTGGTCGGTAATATCGCATCAGATAATATAGGGACTATGAACCGCTAAAGGCAATTCATTTTAGCAGCAGGCTTGGGGAAGAGAGAAGGTGTTCGCGAGGTGTCATCAGATATTGGCAATGTGCCGGTTGTACAGAGCGAGAAGAAGATTATTGGACCGATGGAATGTACAATTCTGCATTGTTGCTATCATCTAATGTCTATTACCAAGACTAAGAAAAGGAAGGGACAAAAGAAATTCAATTCATTACTATTAAACGCTGCATCCACTTCATACCATCTCCTTTGCTTGTGGTGTCCGATAACTCCTCCCGGCCTCGGATGTTTCCTGCGAATGCAACGATTCAGTTATGTTTACCTTCGTCGTGACAGTAATGTTGCCCAACCCGCCGGAACCCTGGATCTTATTGTTCAACCTCGTAATACTTTCAGTGCTACCTCTTTCTACGATGGGAGAGCTCCTCTCGGATGAGCTCCTGCTCAACCCTCCAGCTGTCGTGGTCGCCGCATCGATCGTTGTGAGCATGTATGATTTACCTGTATTGCCATGGCCTGCATATTCGCCGTCTGATGTCTTGTTCGACCCGAGAGAATTGTAGTTTTTGACTGCAGAACGCTGTTTGGTGCCTGCTCCATACGCATCTGGATAATATCGTGGCTGCGAGGTCTTGCGGGAACCATAGCCGTATGTGGATACGAGGAGAGAGCGGAAAAGCGGTTTGAGACAGGGCAGATTACCCGCGACGATACCGACGTTGCATTCGATGACGGTCCAGATGGTCATGTCGCGCGAGTCCCACAGCAGGTCGCCTTCGCGCCCGTAGTTGGGTAGGTAGGAGAGCTTGACGAAGGCAGCGGCTGTAGCGAATGTCCCAAGGCCGAGGATGCAAATAAGGGAGGCTTTGTGGCGGCGATTCATTTGAACACCCCATAACATGGGAATCTATATGGTTTGGTTAGCAGAGTATGTAGCTGGTCGAGGTAAAGTGGAGACTTGCGGGTATGCCAACTGAAAAGGCGATGTCAGTAAGGATGTTCAGTATGATGTTGAGAAAGCCCAAGGCTTGTCTAGTCTTGATGGTCCAACATGTAGCCTTGATGGTTTGGTCCCACATTAAACGGATATCTGTGCACTGTAGTAGGACTGTAAGGACACAACCGATTGTGTACACACTCATAAACACTAGAACTGGTTAACACCTCCATACTAGTGGTCTGAGAGTTGGGCGCTTTTACCCATGATGCCGATGATTAGGCGCCTGTAAAACCGCCCGACCGCGATTCTCAAAAGGAAGAAACCCACCGAAATCTTAACGAAACAGATGGCGAAGAGAAACACCGGCTGAGAAATGAGGTTTAGCCTCAGACCAGCTACAAAATCATCCTTATCGATGTAGTCGACATGCTTCCCTGCTCCGTAGTGGACTTGCGGTATGACGAGGCATTGACCAGCAACACACTACATATTGATTAGCATCGTACGAGATATTCTCGACCTGTTGCTACATACCAAGATCATAGCCAACAGCATCACGTAGTCCTGGTGGCAGAAACATATCAGTGATGGTCAACCCATGGGCACTGTGGAGCACTCACGTCCCAACCAACATTCCGGATCATCTTAACTCGAACATAGAGTCTCGCAACCGTAGTAAGCACGGCCACAATGGTGACGGTTAGCGTGGTTGCGAGGATGGTCGGGCCCTGGTTTTCGTAAGGACGCATCGGCGGCATCGCTGCGCCGCTCTGCTGCATTGTGGAATGTACGTCAATTGGAAGTGAAGGATTCCTGAACACGCGATTTCATCGAGGTACCAGCAAGATGCTTGTGATATAGCACCAGCGAGCGGTAGTTCGCGACAGACGTCAGGGGTTTCACATAGCTTCCGTCTTCTGAGACCAACAGCTCCTGTCTGCGAGACCTTAAACCGCCACGCGGAAAAGCCGAGAGAATACAGTTAACGGCAAAACTTAATCTGGATATACTATCACTCATAGAGTGTAAGAGGAGTGAGCTTATCGAGGCTGTTACCGAGCAGCCATGACATGTGCTGGCAAGAAAATACCCAGACTAGCCTCGCTAACGAGAGGGGTGGCTGTGAATGGCTGACTCGAGACGAAAGCGTACTCCTTGACTCATTGGCGTGACAGACTGACGCAGCGGGAAACGGTATCCTGCGGTTTACGAGTATCCCTGCAGACGGTAGAGTCCCATGTGCAGGGTGTTGGAACAGTGCTTGCAAGGTGACCTACGTGCGATGACAGAGTCCTAGGAGTTCGGCGGCACTAAGCTGTAGTCTATACAACCAATATAGCGATGTATTTCAACAGTGCTGCGTCATTTCCAAGATGGCTGTGCTTTCCCAGCGTATGGTCAGTCAGTGAAGATAACCATGACCTCGAAGAGCCGGCTCATGGCTGAGCCGCCAGCCATGTGAGTATCGACGCCACCAAGGGGTCATAATAGTGTACGGCCTGCAACTACAGCATGAACCGTACTCTCAAGATCGTTAAAGCAAGTGATCGAGAGCTAATATTCTGCATGTCATGCCGTTTACTGCACGTCTTTGAAACCAAAACACTGAAAGGTGCTAGTTTGTGGACCGGGATGTGGGGTTGTGCGTAAGGAGTCGATGATAGATGAGGAAGCGTGCAGCACGGGGTGAATTTGTCAATCCGGACAAGTACCGGCGGGGGTAGAGGAAGATTCACGAGCCATCGTAGAGTACTTAAATGGTGACAGGTTGATTGACAGGAGAGCCATTTCCAAATCGACATGAGAGTGAACACAAGTATAATCCATCGCGAAGCTGTATTTGGAAAAATACCATACTTGAAATCTCAGAAGCACGCACTGAAGCGGCATTGGAATACTTTTACTGCGTACCGAGGAAGTTGTGAAGCCGAACAGGAGATCGGTTAATCTCTACTACGCTTGTCGCTTCCCTGCGCCTTGTCAGGAAGGTCACAACACCCGGTAGATCTCCACAAGCTTGGAGGGTAGTGCCTAAACCAATGACAACTCTAGAATAGGTCTTCCCGTGCGGGTGCACGATATTTTAACGATCGAGATTATCCGGTAGTTTGGACGCCTTGCCCAAGGTGTATTCTGAGGAGTAGAGGAGGCGGGACGGGGAGACGGCGAGACGGATCTGATCCCTTAGCGGGGCCTAGCGCAATGGCAAGACTGCGCCACCAATGTCAAGCCGCAGCGAATGCTTACCTTTCTTCACCCAACACGCACGAACATCCGAGATACCTATCCCAATGCAGAATCCTGAATCATGGAAGGATCAAAATACTTTCAAGGACATTTTCTAGACCACAACTGCCGCCTGCAAGAAAAAATGTTCCTTTCTTCCTGCACGTCGGTGGACCGCGGCTCATTATGCAGGGCTGAGGTGTGATTGCCTGCAGACATGGAACAAACTGGTATCAAGCCCCCCTCAGGTTTGAAACCATATATCCAAGAATGTGGCTGGGGTAGGGGTATAGAAGTATATGTTGTATAGGACCCCAGGTACCACCGAGCTCAACTCATCACTCGCATACCGCATGAATCAGAATGCCTTGCGCTCATCATGTTCCCGAGCACGGAAACGCACTGGGGCTCTTCAACCAAACAACATTGAGCCAGCGGGGTTATCCAAAAGTTCGGCAAAGCTCCACTTGTCATTGTAAGTGCATCAACGCGATTTGAGGTGTCCGGCAGATTCCATCCGAATCTTCCATGCACATGTCACCGAACGATGGTTCCGTATACCTAGGTATCGACGCTCGCTTGCGGCAAAGACGCGCTTGATAGAAAGTCTGCCAATCTAGCCTTAGGGTCCTTGCGTTTATGGCATAACATTCACTCGGAAATGCATAGACACACGCGCCAGGCACCGAAAGATTATGGCTCCACACATGGCATCGCCTTGCCTCGATGCTTGACTAGCAGATTGAGAGATAGCAAGGCTAGCTGCGGTGTACTACACTGTTCTAGCAAAGCTCGAGTGGCATCGGGCGTTTCTCGCCCCCAAACCCGGCAGTGAAGCATGGCAGACCCATGCGGTAGCGGTGTAAGACCATTTTTTGGATATATATGTGTAGGAGCATGCCTCTTCCTTTTTGCACAACGCCACCCAGCTCTCTCTGTCGACCAATCCTCTACAACTACAACTTCTTCAATTCGATTGATCAAGAAACAACATGCGTTTCAATTCTCCTCTGGCGCTGACCCTGCTCGCTGGGACGTTGGCAAACGCGCTACCAGCCCCGCAAGATGCACCTGTAGATCCGTCCTCACTACCCACCTCGGCCTCGAGCGACCCTACGGTTGCTAGCGAGCAACTTGATCAGCTGTTTTTGTTCGCTCAACAACAAGCCAACGATGCCCTAGCAGCAAGTTCATCGAAGAGAGGCACCTGCAACAAGAACACCGTGGCTGTGCGCCGAGAATGGAGCGACCTGTCAAAAACAGACCGCAAAGCCTATACCGATGCAGTACTTTGCCTCCAACAGAAGCAAGCAAAGACACCTGCTTCACTTATCCCAGGAGCGAAGTCGCGATTCGATGACTTTGTGGGTAACCACATCCTCAAGACCATGGAAATCCACTATACTGGTACGTTCCTAGCATGGCACCGATACTTCACTTGGCAGTACGAGCAAGCTCTTCGCAACGAATGCGGCTACAAGGGCTACCAACCCTACTGGAACTGGGCAAAGACTGCTGCCAGTGGTCTAGAAAAGTCACCAATGCTCGACGGATCCGCGTACTCCATGTCAGGCAATGGAGAGTACATAGCAGGTCAGGGCAACGTTGTTATTGCTGGCAGAGGGCCACCCATTGTTATCATCCCGCCCGGTACCGGAGGCGGCTGTGTAAAGGGTGGCCCCTTCAAGAACATGAGTGAGTCTTCCGACAACTATACCAGATTGGCGTGAATCACGCACTAACTCGGATATTCCAGAGGTCAATCTTGGCCCAGTTGCTTTGAGCACAACCAACGGAACCGAAATCGCGAACGGCGACGGCCTCTCATACAACCCCAGATGTTTGACGCGCGACTTGACCGACTACAGCAACAAGAAGTGGGCCGATGCGACCGCCATTGCTGACCTGATCATCAACAAAAAGGACATCTGGACCTTCGAGATGGTGATGCAAGGTGTGCCGGGAACAGACAGTCTAGGTGTACACGGCGGTGGTCACTACTCCATGGGCGGCGACCCCGGTCGCGACTTCTTCGTATCGCCTGGTGACCCGCTTTTCTACCTCCATCACGCTATGATCGACAAAACTTGGTGGACATGGCAGCAGCTTGATACCAAGACCCGCGTGAAGAGCGAGAAGGGCGGTGTCTCTGGCACAGGCACGTTTTTGAACAACCCGCCTTCGGCCAACACGACCTTCGATACTGTTATCGACCTTGGATATGCTGCAAGTGGTTCAGAAAGGATGGAGGACTTGATGAGCACAACAGAGGGGCCCTTCTGCTACATTTACGTATAGACATGAATGTTTCATGATGAAACAAACCTAACGAAAGTTTACATAGACATTAATCAATAATCACACACATATAAACACCCACGAAATCTTGAGCATATAACTCCATGATTTTTTGATAGTCCTTATTTGTGAGCCGATTCTAATCACACTACACAGCATAAAATACCCGCTTCCACCTCCATGACCTCGCACATCCAGCCAATACACCACCGCTAATCATACAAGCACCCGCCAACTTCATCACAATTTGCCCTCCCTTCTCGCTTCCCTCAATTAACGCTGCTGCTCCAACGAGGCCCCCAAAAGCATTCAATCCAGCCAAGGCCATAACCACAGCAATACGCGCTGGCATATCACCCTCCCACCTCCCCTCTACCTTCTTGCTGAGAAATGACGCTGCGACAATCATATGTAGCGATAGCATCGCCCCGAGCGCGACACCATATACCGCCGCAAGAGGAACAACGACGTAAATCTGCGGATACACCATGGGCGCGAGACCAACTGCACCAGCGAGTATGGAAGCAGTAACAAAAGTGTTAACCGCCCCGACTTTCTTCAATCTCCTCAGGTTCGCCGCCACCGAACCTGAAATAGCCGCAACACTCAGCAAAGCCAGTGCCCCATACGCCGCAGTATCCGGAAAGAAAATTCCAGGAGCTCCCGTCAGCAACACGACACTATAAACCGGATAAACCAGTACTCCTACAAAGGTAAGCATATAACCCAGTATAAACCACATGCCACCTCCTCTGACATCCCTCAAGAAACTCCTCGGCATACAAAGATGAAGTTTACACCCCTCCCTCCAGAACTTCACCTCTTCAGATTCTGATCTCGCGAGTAGGAAAAACGCCGCAAGCAACGTCACTCCCATGACCCCACCACTATACACCCACGCCAACTCGCCGCCGTCATCTCCCCGAAAAGAAAACCTAGCAACCACGGTATAAACAACCGCCCCAGCGAACCCCGCAAACCCCGATTGCACAGAAACAAGCGGGACGTCATTCCGGTAATGCGTTGCCAGCACCAACGTACTAAGCGTAAAACACGTTCCCAGTGCTCCTCCCAACCCCACTCCTTGTAACAGTAAAACAGCAATGTAATTTTTCTGAGCTTTGTAACTGAGAGACGACGAGGTAGTCGCCATGACAGCGGCTGTAGCGAACACGACTTTCCAGTTGCAAGTCCAACTCTGCCGAGATTGCATCTGTTTTCGATCTGATAACATGTTGTAGAGATAGCCGATGGGTAGCGGTGAAGCGAAGAGAACGAGGATTTGTAGACCGTGGATTAGAGCGAGGGATGTGAGGGATGAGGTGGGGAAGAGAGTGGTGAAGTTGTGTTGTAGGGTTGTGGCGGATGAAAGGGGGATGCCGAGGACATTGAAGAGGACGAGAGCTTGGGCATACATTCTGGTGCTGGATGTTAGCGGATAGTGTTGTAGTATAGAAAGGAGAAAGGGGTGGGTACGATCGGTTTCGGTGTCTGTGGGCTCGTTCGGACGAGGGCTGCGCGGGTGAAGATAGAACATGAGTACTGCCCACGACGCTGTCTTGGTTCCATTTCTTCTCTGCGGCGGGGATGCCGAAGTTGCCTTGTCGAACGGCGGAGATGCTGGGGGGTGAGGGAGCTGGGCGACGGGACATTGCGAGGGATGTGCACGGAGGGATATCGAAAGTGGGCATGGGTACGCTTGATATTCGATAGCGAGTGATGTGATTAATGGATCAACTTTTGGGGTTTCCAGTAACAAAGGGCGATGAAGGGGGAGAGCATATGTAGACGTGATTGACGTGCAATCGAGATAGAGCGTAAACCGTGGTCGACTGATGTGGAGAATCTGTTGTCGCAGTAGACCCGTCAAACGCATCAACTTCATGTCAATACTCTAAGTACACTGTCACAACAAGAACTAGAACACCTTTCTTGACAAGCGAAGAAACTTCATATTGAATCTCCCTATACCACCATTAGTTTTGACAGCTACCTTAGCCAGGAAATACCCCCCAGCAATTCACACGTCGTGATAAACAAACCCATAAGAAGGACCCAAGATAACGCCAAAGTGAAGTGACTTTCGCCCAGTCCTTCATCCAAACCAACCTTTTACTCTCTGCATACCCACTAGAAGATGGAGTTGACAATGTTTCCACCAATCGTCGCACCAGCACCGAAGATAGCCGCGTTACCCAACTTCTTTCCAAACTTCTTGCCGTTCTGTTCCATCTTGCTGGGCTCAGCGGGCGGCGCTTGCGCACCCGAAGCGACGTCGAGAGGCATGTTGCCGTAGTTGCTGGGGGCGGGCGCTGAGGGAGTGTAGGCGGGCATAACGCTCTTCTCCTCCTTGCGGACGTAGCTAGCAGGGAAGATACCCTCCATGCCGGTGCGCTCGTTGCGTCCCTTCCACCACTCGTTGTTCATGTACTCGGTCACGACAACCTTGTCGTTGGGCATGAGAGCCAGGTCGCCGGCGTCTTGGGCGTTGTACTGGTACATTGCTGAGGCGTAGGCGAGGACAGCGGGCGCGGCGGGGGTAGCGGGGACAGAGGGGTAGGCTGGCGGCGGCGCATTGGCGGTGTTGTCGGCGTAATATCCGATGTTGGTGTTCTTCTTCTCTGGGGGAGGCGTTGGCTCGCTCTTGATGTTCATCTGGGAGAGTTGGGCGGTCGGCACGGCGGGGAGGGCGCGCGTGCTGTTCTCGGCTGAGACGGGGAGTTGCGATGCGATGGTGTCGTGTTGTGCCGAGGTGATGACATTGGATTCGACGAGGAATTCGAGGTTCTGTACCCATTGTCAGCATCAGGCGACGGTCAGGAGTTTGGGGGAAGCTTACGTTCTTTATGTCGCGAAGCGATCGGTTGATCATCGCATTTCTGAAGCTGTCCGCCATGATGATGGTATTTCGGGAATGGAGATTGATTGGGACGCGCAAAAGTCGGTCGTAAGTAGACGGTCGAATGGAGTGTATAGGGAGTAGTCGGTCAGAGAATGCGGCGACGCGAGTTGTCAGTTGGGGGGACTTGATACGAGCGGGAGCAGGCTAGCGGCGCACCACTTCGGAACCTCTGCGCCGCAATGGGGCTGTGCTCATGTTGGCTGCGCAACCCGTGGGTACTTTACTTCTTCACCGAAACCGCTATTGAACCTAGACTGAAACTGATAATTGGCATATATTCTTATTCCATGAATCCTCACTGAACGACAACGGCACACTGTGGTTATGTTTCCTTGCGCGCCCATCCGTCGGGGTCCAAATGTGGCTTGCCTAACTACCCAAGAGCCCCACTCATCCGCCATCTATTCTTACATGTAGACACCAACTACTTACGACAGGAAAATCTGCTTGTACATCTCCTGCCTCTTGTTCTCAAACGCATCGAAAGCCTTTCCCACGAAACCAACTGGAATCTGATCCTTGCCATCAACCAGTCCCTTCCAGGCTTCATCCGTAAACTCAGTCAACGGCATACCAATGTTGCCTCCATCCTTGATATCCGGCTGGTGCTTCGCGTCGTGCAATTCTGTCTGTACAGCTGGCGGGAAGATCTCGATGACCTTGATGTTTCCAGGCCCGTTCCCCAATTGATGGCGGAGAACGAGGATCATGTGATGCAGCGCCGCTTTGGAAGCGCAGTAGTTTGGACAACGCGGTAGTGGCATGAGCGCAAGTCCAGAGGTCGTGTAGATGAGCGAGGTTTCCTTCTCCTGCTTCTGGAGGAATGGAATAAATGCCGTGGTAAGATGCATGTACGACAAGTAGTTCGTCCTAAACTCCATCTCCAGCAGGTCTAGGTCGACCGTCTCGGGCTTGGAGAAGTCGAAACCGCGCTGGATGCCAGAGTTGAGGAAGACGGAGTCGAGGTCGGGGTGTTTGCTCGTTACATCCTTGACGAATTTTGGGATCTCGTCGAGCTTTGTAATGTCGAAGACGACGGTGTCGACTTTATCGCTACCATGCTTCTTCTGGAATTCGTCGAGCTTCTCTTGTCGTCGTCCAACAATGATGGCGTATTTGCCGTCTTGGACAATCTTCTCTGCAAGCGCCCAGCCAATGCCAGACGTCGCGCCTAGCACGAGGACCTTGTTATATTTAAGAGACATCCTGTAGATTTTGCTTTGAATGGTACGTCGCTATGGCAATGTGTAAACTTTTGCTGGGAATGCGAGCGCCTTTGTACCCAAGTTGAGGGAATCATGAAAACATCATTAACGCCGCCGCCAGCCAATCTCCACCCCGGTTCGCAATGTATTCTGAACCCCACTATACGCGGATCTCGGTAGTAACGGACTTTACAGACAAAAAGTAACTGATGCTGTGGTGCGCAAGAGTTCTAGAACGGATACGTCATGGTGAAGATGTGGATCGGGCGCTCGGCAGTTGAGACGTCCCTGAGTTATCGCCCTCGGCCATTATCTTCTCCGACATAACAAGCACGGGAACAAAAGAGTATAGGGTTGAAATCATGTAATGGATAAAGAGTGTATTTTGCTGCTCCTTTTTGGCAACGAGGGGTATCAAATTATACTATTAACTAAAGCCGTCACATCCGCGTAGCGCAATCATCATGCGCACAACAACTTCCGCATGAAAGCATTGCCCTTCTCCTCGTCCGCGTCCTTGCTCAACTGACTGTTGGCACGTGAAACGTTGACAAACTTAGGCCATGTGTTGGTGAGAACAAGGTATTTGATCTCGTTCTCTGCGGCATCAAACACCAACTCGTTGAAGGCGTCCGGAACATCAACATCTGTAACAGACTCGTCAGAGTAAAGCGCGCCCATGCCGGACACAGCCTTCAAGTTCGCACGTCCAAGTCTATCGAGACTGATGACATTTGCAGACATGTGGTGATTGCTTTTGTCGTTGATGGGCAAATCCGATGCATCATCAGGCATGACGTTATCAAAAGGTGTAGCGTTGTCGCTGGTTGACGATGACTCTGAATTTCGGCGACGTCCAAAGAGGAGGTTTGCCATCCTCTCAAAAACAATGTGAAGACGTTTCATCTCTTTTGATGAGATGTTGATAGGGAATTCGGAAAACTCGAGGGATATGAAGTGAGCGTAAATGCGCGTGGCAGCAAGGAATTGCCTGCGGCGGTGTTCGGCGGTTGATGACTTTGGTGAGAACCAGTGCAGGCGCCAGTCTGAGACGTGTGTGAGGAAACTGACATTTTCGCCTATTGATATGTAATTAGTATACATGTTCACGCAAGTGGTGAGTGGAAAACTTACCAGAAAAGTCCTTCAAAGCAGCAAATTGGAGCAGTGGCATAGCGTTGGTCCTGAGCGCGTTCTCTAGGGCAGTCATCGTCAAGATGTCAGACTTCTGCGAGTCGAATGACTGGTTGCCAACGCTGATCTCGCCACTAGACTTGAGGGTTGTCGTAGCGGAGAACTCGCTAGGAGCTTTGAAAGGAGCGTCCATCGACGCTTTATCCGAACCAGCCAATTTCTGGCGAGCTTCCCAGTTTGCGATGGCGTCGAGGGTCTCTTGGCGCAGTTTGTTGCCCTTTAGCACATCGATGATAGGGAAGCCGATAGTGCAGATCTCCATGATACAGAAGCAGACGGCGAACCACACTGGCGGAGGGAAGACAGCATTCATGGGAGCGAATGCAGGAGTGTAGAGGCCTATGAGCCAGAGCGGAGACGCTGGAAGCCTACAAGAGTCAGCGATGAAGATGAACGTACGGGAATCATAACGTACCCAGCAAGACAACAGATGATGGTCTGGAGTCTCCAGCCGTGAACATCGCGAATACCGCGCGACTTGAAGAGAATCCATGGGGCATATACCCAAGACCAGAACAACTGCCACACGATCGATAGCCACCACTCCCAACCTTTGCTACAGTTGACGCGCACTTCCATACCAGTACCTTGTACAGTATAGTTGATGATACCATAGCTGCTATGGAACTTTTCTGAAGCGAGGAAGACAAACAGAGTTAGGGCGATCTATCCCATGGGTTAGACTACGGTCGCATAGTAGCAGTGGGGGGTTGCTTACCTGAACAGCCATGCCAATTCCAATGAAGATCAGAGTTCGCTCGATGTTGTCGGCTCGCTCTACTCCGTTCATGATTCTCTTCCATCGGCTGTTGACGACTTCTTGAGCCTTCTTCTCGTCGATGGGCTCGTGGTCTTTCAGAGAGCTCATACGAGCGAACTGCTTCTGACGACTAGCGAGGTGCAAGAACTGGCTGTTCGAGGCATGGAACAAAGCCATGCCCAACGGGACTGTAATAGACATCTGCTCATGTTAGTAAACACTAATGTGCAGGTCGTCGTATAGCATACCATCCAGAATTCAACTGAGCACGGGAACGCTGCGCCGAACGGGTAGGCTACTGAGCAAAGGGAACCATAGACATGGAGCACGAAAATACCCGCAAACAATAGTGGCAGCCTTCGCATGCGGATTGATGGGTGCTGACGGTGAGTCCATAAGAAGGTGAGACCAGCCAACAGTAGAACATTCCAAACAATGAAGATAGTAATGTAGGTCCATCCGACACCGTCGAGAGCGAGTTGATACCCCATGGTGTCACGTAAAAAGAATGATCAAAGGAGCGTATTGAGTACTGCAGCTTGCTCGGCGAGACTGCTATCGTCGTGATGGAAAACAGCCTCGACCTTATACAGGCAGTCTCAGTCGACAAAAGTATAATGAAAGTTTTGTCGGCGAGACAATGGGTGAGAGAGTTCGCGGCATGATGCAGGGTACGAGGATCGACGTCTTGTTCCGAAGATTCATCTTGAAAGCGGGAGATGTTCAAGGGTGCGCAATGGCGATAGGGTCGACAGTGTGCACCTGTCAACCAACGATGTGCCGCTAGTGTATGCTGGATCGTGATGCTAACGCCAGATGGGGCTTCTTCTTGTGCTGAACCGGTTAGTGCACGATCTGGTAAGTGGCCATCCCGGTGAAATTGTGGATCCTCATCTCATCGCACGATACCCCAGTGTCACATCCCTTCATTGATGATGCGTCCTTGCTTTTGCACGCTGGGCGTGAAACACCTGGTTGGTGTACCTGACGAAGCCTTTCTTTTTCATCGGAAGGCGCACACCCTCGGAGACATAGCACCCTGAACACGTACCCTGAAGAGGTTCGTTTCGCCGATGCGCAGCGAAAGCACAAAGGCAGATTCCGTTGTTACTACTTGGTTCCTGTACTGCGCGGTCTTGTCGATCTCAGAATTCTCAGAACAAGAGTTCGCCGACCTCGTCCCGATTCGACACGTCAATGCTTCCTGCGGCCTATGCCGATAGTGCTTACCGTCGTCATCTGTATGACTCGCCCTGTTATCACCTGGTCTTGTCTCCTCTGTGCGGGTGCGCGGAAGTCCGGGGGGACCATGATCTTCGCCACAAACCTCCTGTTGTTTGATCCAAGCGTCCGATCATACTGGATCCGCGGTCGCGTAGATGTGTTCTACTGTAGTTCCTGACGATCTCGAAGAATCCGATATAACTATACAATAAGTCTATGGAAAGTAGGGCAAGTAAGTCGAGGTTTCCGATAGTCGATATGGGCAGGCGATTTGCCGAAGGCCACAACTGACCTAGATGATCATCATGACATGCCGAACACTCCTCTAAGCACGTAATTAGACCGTTCTCCTGTCACTATGCAAGGCGGCACTTATGTGGATGCGCGTATAGTTGTGTTTGAGCGGGGTTTCTGGAAAGTGCTTTCGGGACGATGTGCTTGAAAGAACCGCCGAGCCGTAGATGCAGCCAGGCAGGTAGGTATGTTGAATGAGGCGAGAAGAGCCATGGATATACAGAAGAGGGATAGACGTCAGGAATTTCATGCATCCGCTGACTTACCCCGGGCGGGTGATGGCAAGGCACACCCGAAAGGACGAAGCGGTACATGGGTTGTGAGCTTCAAGGTGTGCCAAGTGGTCGAGACTCCTCTGCTCACAGGCCAGGCGGGCAGCTTGGGCTCAGCCTCGCGCTCGTGCTCCGGAAGGACTCGATCGCAAACACTCTGCATGTGGGTAGGTGCTTTGGTTGCGCGGATGCTCGTTTACGCTGTTCTACTATTAGATGTCCGATATTCCTCGGATGCTGTGGTGTTCACAGCCACGGTTGCAATGTTGACCTCCTATGATAACAGTTGTGCTCGCACGTCCACAGCCTTAGGAAAGCCTGGAGACTGTAGTTCATGGTCTCACTTCACAAGAGGATTGGAAGAAAGCTTCGGTACCTATGCCATGTACACGTTGAGGGCCACTCTGGCACGTCGACGAGATATATCTAGCAATTCGTGCATGTTATACATGGAAGTTTACTACACGCCGTCATCCAGCACGCTTGCTAGAATGGCGGTGGAGGAGTGCACATTCCCATGGAGAAACAAAGAACAGCGTAATATGGACGTAGCTCGGTGTTTTGATGTTTCATTCAGACGGGGTCTAGGGAAGGTGGAGATTGGGTACGAATGCAGAAGAGGAGGGACGGGTGTTTCGCGTTTCGCATGATGGCCGCTTCGCCCCGCGCACACATGGATCATGACTCGCGCGCGAATCTTTTCTCCCCGCAGCCCACCCATCCATCTGTGCGTCACTCTTCAGCACCACACACAACCAAACATGGCACCCTCACCCTGCGCTCTGTGCAAGGTGAACCGGGCGCTTATCCTGCGACCCAAGGATCATTCTAAGCTTTGCAAGACGTGCTTCATCTCCGTCTTCGAAACCGAAATCCACCACACTATTACCACAAACTCGCTTTTTAAACGCGGCGAAAAGGTCGCCATCGGCGCATCAGGTGGTAAGGACAGCACTGTCCTTGCTTCTGTTCTCAAGACTCTTAATGAGCGCTACGACTATGGGCTTGACCTCATCCTGCTATCCATTGATGAGGGAATCAAAGGTTACCGAGATGATAGTTTGGAAACGGTCAAGAGGAATGCGGAGCAGTATAGCATGGACTTGACGATCCTAGGATACGCGGAATTGTATGGGTGGACGATGGATCAAGTGGTGGAGCAGGTAGGAAAGAAAGGCAACTGCACGTACTGTGGCGTCTTTAGGCGGCAAGCTCTCGATCGTGGAGCGTCACGGCTTGGAGTCAAGCACGTGGTGACAGGACACAATGCTGATGATGTCGCGGAGACTGTCCTAATGAACTGTACGTATTAAGGTTTTGATGTTTGACCAGTAGGAAATGCTAATTTGGAACAGTGCTCAGAGGCGACCTTCCTCGTCTATCGCGCACAACCTCCATCATCACGTCTACTCCTTCAGCGTCGTCCGATCCTGCCTCGAATACGAACATCAAGCGCAGCAAGCCCCTCAAGTACGCATACGAGAAAGAGATAGTTCTCTACGCCCATCACAAGAACCTGGACTACTTCAGCACCGAATGCATATACTCACCCGAAGCCTTCCGCGGCAGCGCGCGCGCCCTAATTAAGAATCTTGAAAGGGTAAGGCCCAGCGCTATCCTTGACGTGGTCAGGAGTGGTGAGGACATGGCAAAGCTAGTACCCGGTAGCGACGAAGGCTGCGGAGGTGTTTGCGCGAGTAGTGTGCCTGTCGCCGAAGAAGAGGAAGGTGGGTGTGGAAGTGCTCAAGGGCGCAGCACAGGTGGTGAAATGGCGAGTGTGGAGGCACGACTCAGGCAGAACGAAGCAGCCGTCGACGGCAACCTCGAGACCGAAATCACCACCAAAAGCGTCAACAGGACCGGACAGCAAGGCAACGGCGCAGTACCTCTAGCGAACGGAAAGAAAGCCAAGAAGGGCTTCACACCCAAGAAGACGAGCAAGCAGGTCATGGGCCAGTGCAACAAGTGTGGATACCTCTCGAGCCAGGAAGTCTGCAAGGCCTGCGTTTTGCTCGAGGGACTCAACAAGGCGCGACCGAAGAACAAGATTGAAGTCGGTTACGAAGTCCAAGACGTCAGCTTGAACAGCGTTCGCGATGAACTTGAGGCCACGACGATAGGGGGAGAATGAGAGAACGACCAACCATGGCCTTCTACGACTGCGTCCAATGTCAAAGACACTGCTACGTTCCAAGTCTAGCACGATAGTCGCTAGCCAGTTTTCAAACAGAGCGACGAACGGAAGAGATATTACACGGAAAGCAGACCTATTTAATACTCTGCGCGACATCAGCGTCACGATGGCGGCAGTCTGTCCATATAACTGGATCGGGGCGTCCCGAATCACATCTTGACGGATTGCTGGCTTGGCATAGTCGGTGTGCGCTACAAGTCTCGTGCCTGATAGGCTCGTGTGACAAGATATGAGCGTGACCTGTCAAACCAAGACAAGTGTCTCAGTCACACAAGAGTCAACACTCCACTACCCCGCACGAATGATCTCATATCCCCAGACGCCCTGTCTCACTTCGAGCTGTGACCATAGCTAATCTGCACTACACCAATCTTGTTGCTCTTGGGTGGGTGAGATCTAACCTTGTACCTTTGTACCCCGCGTGGGGTAGTATCTTGGAAAATCGACGTCCTAGTCGTATATGCTCGGGGTCAAGCATTACGGCACGTTGATAGTGTTAGAAATTACAGAAAGTCAGGACGATAAAAGAAGAACGAAGCAATACTATTGATGATAGAGTAAAAATAGAGGGTCGTCGTCAAAGTGCCTCCCATGGTATCTCAAGAACCTACAACACTGCCCAACACCCGCTTTCCATCAATGTGCGTGAACGCCAGTTCTATGCAATGCTTGTCATGAATCCAACCCAACATGCAAAGACAACAAGGAAAGCAACCTCCGGCTGCATAATCGAGGTGTGGCCAGCCTTACTCAATGCAAGACGTGAACCAGCCGCAAGTCATAATTGAAACCCAAACTCCTTGTCCATCTCCCATGGCCCATCGACCGTGACAGTGCCCTTACCAGCGTCAAAGTTGCCGGTGGCACCAGCCTGTTCTTGGCCCAGCACAACGACCTGGGCGACGGTGACGCTGTCGCCACCGGCACCAGAATAGCCAAATGAACCTGTGGCACTGAACTTGCCGCCATCAAACGAGAAGGAGATTTCGCTGATGCTAGGCTGCTCAAGGCTCTCGCCGTCATCGAGGTACAAACGTCCCGTCGCCTTGCCATCGGCATCCGGTGCAACGATGATGAGGAAGTCCTCCTTGCGCAGAGCCTTGGTAGTGTTGGCGCTGTTGACACGCTGTGGGACGATGGAGCCACCGCGGATGTGAACGGGGATGTCACTGTATGTCAAGTTGCTGACGGTGACATTCTGACCCTGGCCTTCGACCTTGGCGTAGGTCCAGTAGTCGTAGAAGGTGTCCTCTGGCATGTAGTAGGTGACGGTGTCGGAGTTTTCTGTTGTGACGGGCGAAATCAACAGCGCGTCACCGTAGAACCACTGCTGATCAAGACCAAATGTGTTCGTATCTGCTGGGTAGAGGAAGAACAGAGGGTTGATCATGGGTGTGCCCTCCTTGGTTTGGTAGTAAAGGCCAGTGTAGATGTAATCGAGGAGCTTGTACCGAGTGGCAATAGCCTTCTTGGCAGCTTCAGCAACGATGGGCCACTGGTAGAACTCCTGTTGGATGGTGCTCAGCTCTGCGTGGTTGCGGTAGAAAGGCTGGAATGCTCCTAGCATAGCCCAGCGAGCGCACATGTATTGGTCCGCGTTGCCGTTGAAACCACAGACGTCAGAGCCGACCATGGGCATTTGATGCATCGAGACGAAGGACAGCATCTGACGAATGGAAATCCGGTAGTCGTCCCAGGCTGAGAAGTTGTCGCCGAACCAGTGGGCAACCTTGCGACCAGCTCCAGCGAAGGTGGAGCGGCTCAGCACGAAGGGACGGAGCTCGGGACGGCGGGCCAGCATCGATTCGCGTGTTGTTGCCGCCATCATGTAGCCGTAGAGGTTGTGAGTGTCGTATTGCCAGCTACCGTCATAGTTTGTAGTGTTCATGGGGATAGTCTGGCGGGACACATCGCCCAGGTGGCTGTTGAGATGGTATGCGGGTTTGAACCATTCACGGTCGGGGAAGCCCTTCATGTTACCGTTGGTAGACTGACGGGGAGATACAGACTTGGAGGCGCGAACTTCAACGGAAACTGCATCACGCGCGGGAACAACATCTGAATCGCGGGCTTTGAGCGTACTTCCTGGCTGGAAAGAAGCCGGGAAACCAGGGATGGGACGGCCAGTGTTGGGTCGCGGTGCGTTGGTTGGATGCGGGGGGATGTTCTCATCGATCGCTTGCTGTCGGGGGTTGCAGGTGGTGGGATCCTGGCAGAAATTGGAGGCCTCGTTCATGTCGACCCAGAGACCGTCTAGATCGATACCGTTCTCTGGGTTGAAGTTCGCTTGGATCTCTTCCGTCCACCACTTCTCTGTGTTGGGTGCAAACCAATCAGGCCACGCAACCTCACCAGGCCACTGGACACCAAGTAGATCGGAGCCGTCCGCGGCCTTGAGGAAAACATCCATGTCGTGACCCTTCTGGTAAGTGACGTATGGACCGCCTACGGCATGGACACCAGGATCGAGGATCAAAACATAGCGCTGATCACGGGAATGAAGCGTCTGCACAAGCTCGCGCATCTTTGAGAGAGGGAAGCGTTCCCGGTCAGTCGTAAAATCCTCACGAAGATACATGTAATCGATATCGGTCCACATGACCTCAAGAGGGATTCCAGCAGTCGAGTAGTTGCCAACGACCTCAGCGACCATGTTGACGTCCCAGTATCCATACTTGCACTGGTGGAAACCGAAGGTCCAGTACGGGTACATGGCAGAGTAACCGGCGACGTCAGCGTATTGCTTGGAGACATCGGCGGGCTTGCTGCCAGCCATAAAGTACAAATCGATGACGCCGCCGATCGTGTTGTACTCAAGATATTGATAGCCGTCGGCCTTCTTGATTTCAACTTGCATTGGGCTAGAGTTAAGCATGAAAACGCCATGCGTACCCTTGTCACCACGGTGGTCAAAGTAGACGGGATGCGTTCCGTACAGGTTGGCGTTTCTAGGGATGTTGGGTGACTCCGCGTTCAGCAAGACGCGCTCGTAGTTGTCTGTGGCGAAGCGGAACGAGTCGCTGTGCTCGCCAAGGCCGTAGATGTTGGGATTGTCGGGAAGCTTAGTACGCAGGCGAACATACTGTTTCTCGAAGACCAGTGGAACAGTACCGGTATCAAACAGAACCTCGTCGTTATCCCGACGCTTCACAGCGAATGAGAATGGGCTCGTCTTGATACCAAATTGGAGTGCGGTCTTTCCAGCGGACGCATTCTCGTGCTTGGGGCGGGGGAACACATCTTCTGAGACCTGGTAGACTTGTTGGTCGGCATCATAGATCTTGACGTGCAGGCGGTCGTCTATACAATATTAGTAAACAATCTAGTTCAAAGTGAGAGAGTTGAGTCTTACCAGTCTGGTACTCCACAAGCAACTTCAAGTCTTTGATATCGTCACTGTAGGCGTTACAGGCATCGCCGGAAAGAGTAAGGTCGGCGGTCAATCCTGAATCGCTCTCGACAACATTGGAGGCAGTGTAGCCGGGGCAGGCGTCGACTGCGGCGCGGCGAGTGAGGATGCTTGCGACATCGGCAGGGCCCTGCGATATAGGGATGGCGTGGGTGAGGCTCGAGCAGGCGAGAAGCCCGAGCAGAACAATATTGACCATTATGTGGAATTATCAATATTATCCAAGGGTTGAGGACCGTTCGTCGAGAAAAAAAAGGGGGTAAAGACTCGTTTGCCCGAGAATATATACGTTGAGGAAGGTCTGCACTGGAAGGGCCGTGCCAACATTCACGATATCGGTAGCCAGGGTCAAACCTGAGACTTACACTCCACCGCTTGACCCACAATCTTGCTCTTTCCGGCCTGTCTCGTTCGGCCACCTGACATCTACCTGGGGAAAATGCTCATAACTAAAGTGCAATGACGCAGTGAAGGGTAGAAATGTCTCATCCGCGGTGTGAATGTGGGGATAACAGTTGTCATGCAGCAAACCGGTCTGGAAGACGTACCTGCAGGATTGACCCATATATAATGCAACAAATCCATATTCCCGCCCAGGCTTGTACACTGGCGCGTACACGATACAAAAAAGCATGTTGTTGTTTGGATACTAGCATCTCGCTAGGAAATGACGGATCATCAAATCGCATCCAATACCGGAAAGGCGGCATCTCCCCCTAAAGACTCCGGGGTAGTGTGCTGAGATGGGCGAGTACGTATCCTGGAGTGCATCGCCACACTTTCCACTACGTGCACGCACGCATACCAATAGATGCGCGGTTGCTAGCAAGGACCCCGGATGCGATCGTCATAAGTAATGGCGCCTTGGCTTAGTAGAACGTACCCGTGACGGCCAAGGCGACCTTGGGGTCAACAACAGGAAGGACGCAAGAGATTTGCTAATAGAGAAAGTGTCGCGAGGCCCGCAATTCAGACATCTGAGATGTCTTCGTGACGTCGAAAGTCTTGGTCGGATCAGTTGCAAGGTTCGCGTGAACTACGGGGACGCCGCTCCCGCGCTAAGCTTTTTAGCGTGATGTCGATTGCCGTGTCACCTGGACTCGAAGTCCGACTGAATGCATCTTAACCTCCCATCGTGAAAACCAACGTGGCTGTAGTCTCGCACCTTTCTTCTTGCACTTCCATTAATCATTCACACCGCTATTGAAGCTACTACACCATCACAATTTCCATGTGACTGATCATCAGGCACGTCCCCTAGGTCCGGACTCAACCGCTTCTTTTTTCGACATCGTCATCATGAGATCTATCTATCGAAACCTAGCTTGGTTGTTCCACTCGCTTCTCACTAAAAGACAAGCCTACGGAATTGTTCCGAATCTCACGGATATAAATCACATAGAAAGACCTAATGAAAGTTTAAGTGTACAAGGCTTCTTTTGCAGCCCAAACGTAAAGCTGATCGTATTCTCATCCGCGGTCATACGACACAAACAGCACCCTTTAGGCGTTAGAAATTCGACTATATACGCTCCAGGGCTCTTCCTTCCGCGTCTCGCCCATCCAACGCTGATATGCTACCGCCTTCGCGACTGCTCTCGTTCATCATGCAATCCGAAGTTTCGCTCGTAACTTCAGGGCGTTGACCTCCGTCTCGCTGGATAAGTAAATTTTGTTAGCCGCCAGCTGCTGAAAAGACCGTTGCGATCTGACATACCGGCTGGTCTCCATCTGCCGATGCGGTCTTCGGCCCTGCCATCTTATCCGTTCCGATCTTCGAAGTTGCAAGACTACGAGAAGATGTATCGGACCCACAAGTTGCGAAGGTACTACCTAAGGAGTATGCGGCTTTCTGAGAAAATTTAGACGACGCGCGACATACATCGATGCAGCTTTGACTTACTGTCGAATGTAGATTGCTCATTAGTGGAAGCAAAGAGTTAGAGTCTAAGGTATCTGCGCTTGAGTACCGACACCTCGACATCGCGAATGGATCTTAACTTAATAGCATCTTGTCCAGAGGCCTGTTGGATAAGAGGCATGGCCGCAACTTTGTGGAATCAGCGTAGTTGATTCGAGGCCGCAGGAGGATGTCGTCCACACTTAGGAAGAGTTGAGTGCGATTGCAGGCCGCAAAGAAAAGCGGATCCGGAAGTACATACACCCTCAGTCTGATTGCAGGGATCCGGGTTTCTAATGAAGTAACGTGCGCGCGTTCAGTGTCGATTGGAAGCCGCAACAGTGGTGTGGTGAGCAGGAGAGCCGCTTTCGCTCAGCCTTGTCGGTACATCCGTTTCGGCACCCGTTATTGACGGTCAGCACGTCATGTTTGTGAACATCTTATGGCTAGTCTTAGCACAATATGGCTGATGAATCGTCTATTGGAGGCCGCAGGCCCAAGCCTGGTATATCTGGATACAAGACGAACAGAAGTTCAAGATCGCAAGCTTCCATTGGAGGCCGCAAATGTTTGGACCCGGGCTGACTTCGCCCTCTACCCCTCAAAGTACTGGCAGCTGCATTGTGGCTTAGTATACTAACCTAAACTGGCATTGGCTAGCGATTGGATCTAACTGGAGGCCGCCAAACCGGTGCAAGCTACACCCCCAGCCCTAGAACGAGTTGATCTGAAGTAACTCATCACATCGTCGTCACGGTTGTTCTATCTATGATTTTTAGCTAAGCGACTGAACAGCAGTCGAACCCCACGATGCCGAAAACTACGATCACACAAAAGATAGGCCGCAATTAGCAAGACTGTGATGCGAGACAAATAAGAATGTAATCTTCTAATCTAACTTTTTTTTTTATAAACTAAAATTTTCATTGATGTGAAGTTGCACTGTACACGTTATCACCCTGGTCCAGAGAGAGAATCCACAACTTCCTGTTCTTGTTCATTCTCTCTCGGGCCAGGGTGATAACGTGTACAGTGCAACTTCACATCAAGGAAAGTTGGCATGAGCGAACCAAGACTACCTATGTGTATATGGCCAAAACAAGACGGTGAATTTGCGCATATTGCCAGGTGGTCTCTCACACTGGACACCATGCGGGAAAGAACAAGCCCCCCATCGCTTTCAGCATAAATGGGTCAGCTCAACAACTTGCCTGGCGTTGACCGCAGCAGCGAAGAATTTGCAGCAGATGGGATAAGAAAGAAGACGCATCAAAAATGTCTGCAAGAGCAGCACACATAGGGAATAAGAATGGCAAAAACACAAACGAAAACGCGCCTATACCCCTACGCCAGCGGTGTCATCTCACTATTTTCGTCAGGCTGGAAAGCGGCAAGTACTCCGCTCTCCCCTATCAATGCCATCGCTCGGCTCGTGAGGAGACCACGAAATCCATGCAATGCCAGCTAAAAGCTACTCGTGTCTGCATGACAAACAAGCATCGATAGGTCCTGACGAAAACGGCTAACACAACGACTGCGGCCTCTGGTATGTTTGCGTACCCCTACTAAGTAGAGGATTTCGATCTCATGATCATGCTGACATGGTCGTATCCGTCCGATCGGCCGAATATCCTGAATGCTGACGGTGCCCTCTCAAAGGCTACCGTCTAGTAGAGCTGCAAACATTAAGCGAACGACGTGATTGAGTTCTATCGAGGGTGTCTGAGATCAACACCGAGTAAGCGGCATGACCGATTCCCAATCAAACAGTTAAGGGTGCCACGATCCATGTGTTGATCTCAGACACCCTTGATAGAAATCAATCATGTTGTTCGCCTGATTGTTGACATCTCTGCCGTCTACCAAAACGTGAAGACGCTCCAACTTGTAGTCTCCAATGTTGCTTTAATAAGGTATTGATGTTTTTGCTAGGTCCTTGAATCGATGGCGCTGGTTGTTCTCGCGGATGTTGAGCTTCCTGATGTGGCGCTGGAGGTCATCTTTCCGCGTGTAGAGCCGATCACATGTACATGTGAATGGCTTATCTTGTCGTTCCTTGCCTCCGCAAGAGCGAAGTTTATGGCGCAGTAGGCCCTTACTGTCTTTGAACACTTTCGTGCATGCGGTACACGCAAAGTTCTGCGTAGACTGGACATGTCTAAGCGGAAGTATAGGGTTTTTCTCGATTGGTACTTTGCCAGCTTGGATGTCGTCCGATGCGGAGTCGATACTTTGCGGACTTGAAGATAGTCTAGACCACCTTTCTTCGGGCGCTGGGGAAACTTTGCTTGATGAGGACTGCAAGTCCAGAGCAGTCTCGTCGATTATATGGCCAGCATCGAGGCTAGAGGAGGAGACCGAAGGGTTTACACTAGCGATGGGGTAATTAAAGCAGAATGAAGAATTATAGCTGTAAGCCAAGACCTCGCCGGCAGGCTCTCTGACTATTGACGGAAAAAAACATTGGGATTCAGGGTTCGACATGGTTAACGAATCGAAATCGATATAATCTTCGGGGATAGGATCCCGTGGACATGCTGTGTCAAACAACACACCCGGACCCAGGAAGGAATCTGAGCAAGACCCAAACAGAACGTTTGTGTCCAGGGTATCCGAAGGTTGCCCAAAAGCAATACCTTCAGCGCGTTGATTATTTTCGAAGGAGTAGTTCGTCTGCCATGTCGAATCCACTTCTGAACACGCATTGTAGTTCCTGTCAATCGCTTGACAGATTGCAGGCGAGGTGAATTCGTGTGTTGGGTCATCAGAATGAACTTGTCTCGTATATGCTTTTCGAGACGGACATTGACCGGATTGTTCTATGCAATGATCACTAGACACAATTAGCCTCACGAAAGTGAACACGGTCAGTGGTTCATGAACTTACTGGTGATAGCAATTGATGGCGTGGACGGCCTATGATCAGGCCGTTCCCGCGATCTGGAAGTGTTCGGTTTATACAAGGCGAATTATCGATGCATATACCGCGCTTCAGTTGACCTTAACGCAGCCCAGTAGCCAACAGTAGAGAAACGGACAGAAGCCGAAGCGTTGTTAAATTCTCGGCGATCGTGTAGAGACACCGGTGCCAACCAAGAACTGGTGGCAGCGGTAACGCCGCCTCGTGTGCCTTTGGCGAGCAGAGGCGGCAGTTGGGGAATGAAAATATATGCGCGTTGACAGGATGTAGCTTGATGAAAGAAGTAAGGAATGAAGGAGGAAAAGCGGCTGCACCCTCAATATATGGCAGTTGAGATATCGCGCTGGCAAGGCTGATGCAGATGCCCGCGGACGTCATGCAACGTTGATTGGTGGCCGCCATCTGAGGTCTGCCTGAAACCTGGTGAGGCCAACACAAGGTAGCTTGATCGCGACTAGTCCATGGTCCTCCACCTAGGCAACTCGGTCTGTTGTAGGGCAGACCTTAGGGGATCGAATGACCTAGAAGTTTTCCAAGGTTAGTTTAGAAAGAACTGTGGTGTTAGAGGTCAACGCCAACACACCCAGACACGCTTTAGTTGAGTAAGGTGTGCTGCCAGTTGCGCGTAGAGTTAGCTATCCTCGTGTTCGGCCAGCCTCGCGCTTCCTCGAACTGACCGGTCACATTGCCTTCTGCGCTTTACCACGAAAGACCTCATCTTTCCTGAAGCGGCGCTCTCTGGTTACCCCTAGAAGTGTACACTATCCTTTGGTTTGCGAGTATTCGAAAGTAGAACCAACTGAATACCTTTAGGATACATTTTGAGGTACGACTTGGGACGAATGATCTGTGACAGTCATTCCGATGCGACGCGGAGAGGGGCCGTCGGAGAGGGGGACGTGCACGCTAGTTTTAGCCGCTGATCTGGATTAGAGCTGGGTTCATCGCAGCAATTGCAGTGAGAACGCGTACCTACTTTCCACGAACCTGCCGTATGATCAACACGCGACTCAATCTCTTGAACACCCTGATTGAGGACGCGTAATTATCCGCGCCACGGCTCACACGACACTGCATGGACCAGGTGTTGCCTATGACTGTTCATCATGGCTTTCAGCTGCTCGGGTTCTTGTCCACTATCTAAGGGAGAGTTGACTTGATTGCAATATTGACCCGATTCGATCGCATCTTCGTGCAAGGGTCGACCACGAAAGATACCCGGATACTGAGAGCGCATTTTGCACATGTAGAAGGCGATTCGGACGTATACCGCTGCGATCCTAGAAGATATGAATTTGTCTCCGGTGAGTACATTATGACGCGGGACGAGAGAACACGAGACGCGACGCAAACCGCGACGTCTACAACCTGAACGCGGAACCGATGAGCCCCGTTTCGAAAACCTGCGCCGCTACTAGCGATAACCTTGAGGGCAACGAGATGGTTGAAGACAAGACTATGATATACTGCAGGAAGTCGAGGATACGTCAAGAGCACACAAAAATTTGGCGGAAGTCTCAAGTCGAGCTCAACAACGCCTGGTATGCAGTGCAGCGCCTTCCAAAGTCACACGGTGGCAGGGCGCCCCGGTACGTTTCTACTGACTGTCGTCATCAGTAGCTGTCGGGTCACTCGTAACCAGACAATAACTATGAAAAGAGGGCAAAAGAAAGGGAACCTTGTTTTCCAATTGGAAGAAAGCATTCTCTCGCAAAGCCGATCGCTACGTGCGCCTGTTGGAATGGAAGGCAACTGGGTGCTGCCTCAGGCGCACACACGGACTCACCTACGAGCGACCCCAAGCCTTCAATAGGCAAGCTCACGTTAGGATCGAAGCGAACAGGGGATCCCGGGTATATAACGGCCGTTCCCGCTCCCCTCCACTTCTCCCACCCTCACCACATTATATCAATCAACATGCCGCTTCGTGAGAACGACCCAAACTTCGAGAATGAGCTCTTCGAAGAGGTCAAGGCAGCGTTAAACGCAAAGTTCGGAATTTTCCAATACGATCTCTCGCTGCCGCTCCTCCTCGTCGATGAATACGCGGAGAAGCAACTGCCATGCCATGAACCTGCCGAGGAGACCATCGCCATCAGCGCCCACATGTCAGTGCGCATCCGTGCCTTGTATGAGCAGTTAGCCACCGCCTATAACGAGGTCGAGGATCCGCCAGCCCGCATCGGCATCAAGCTCGAAGTCCAGCCGCAAGAGTTTGACCCAGAGGAGCCAGATTGTCATCATCGCAGGTATCACTCGCGCCGTCTGCAGCTGCACGACCCCGATACACTGCCAGATCTGCCCTTTGTGAGTAGCCTGACCATCAGGTCAAGGCCGTACGGTTCCGACGCCGAAAACGCGACAGACATACGCCCTCTGTCTCCCATCGTGCCGCTGCAGTGCCTCGTCCACCTGCCGGCTGTCCAAGAGTGGAATGCCCCCTGGTTGTGGGAGCGGCCCATGCCCACCTCCATGTCGAGTAGGGTGATGCGCGAGCACTACACCTGGCCGTGGGAGGGTCCCCTGCGAGACGCCCGCCACGAGTTCGGCGCCGCCATCCTAGACCAGGAGAAGCACCTCTGCGGGAAAAGGATCCCCGCCAGTCTGACCAGGGCCGCACTGCACTTCTGGCCTTTCTTCTCGCTTCCCAAGCATGACCAGTCCGTGGCCCGGCCGAACCTAATCTATCCCGCAGATAAAGACCCGGTGTCTGTTGGTCTGTGCAAGCTCGGTGCGCAGCTAAGCCTGTTCGACGTGCGTGCTGTAGTCACTTCAGACCTGTTCCCCAGTCCCGAGGCATCAACCGACCAGCAGTGGTCACAGATGCGGCGATTCCGGCTCGAGTTTCATTCCCTCCGTCCGGACGGGCGGTGGTACTTTGTTGGCCCTGGTGGCGAGGATCCGCACGACTCTGAACAAGGAGGGTACAAGATCTCAGACACAGAACACTACTCCCGCGAAATCGGCACGGACGAGGACAACGACCTTGGCGCTGAGTACGACTACCAGATTACTGACGGGTGCGAATACGATCTAAACATGTTCCGCACTGAGCCCTGTAGGGAGCGGATCGAGCCCCTGCTTGCGGCCTTTGCGAAGTCTCTGGCTCGCGACAATATGCCAAGCCTCGAGGACGCCGAAATTTTCACGCACCTGTGGTGGCACCCTTCGGACGACAGAGAAGTGGAGAAATATGGGCTGCCGATGAAAGAGGGCCACAGATGGGGCGTCAAGTTTATTGCTGGGCGCGGTAGTAAGAAGCAGAAGGAAGGCGATGTTCCTCAAGGTCAAGGTTACCCACCTCAAGGTTACCTTCAGGAATGGGATCAGAACAGCCAGCGCTGGTTTTACGTCGAACAGGCCACTGGTCGCGCACAATGGGATCCTCCTACTACTGCGGCACCAACACCACCGGTGGTACAGTGGCAGGTTGGCGACTGGAGACCCAGCGAGGAGGTCATGAGTTTGTTCGAAATCCTAGGGCGGCAGGAATGGCTCGATCTCGAGTGGAACAGGTATAGATATGAACGGGGGACCGACTTGCTGGGAAACAGCCAGTCTTCACCCATATAGTCGGGGAGGCAACCAGAATCCTTTGTTGGGGATTTTGAGCACAAGTGGTCCGATACCTTTTTAGAAATGGCTGGTTGAATGTGCGATCGCAGCAGCAGGGAGGGCGGGAACTTGTGCTCATCATCATCATCATCATCATCATCATCATCATCGAGGAAGCATCCCGAAGAATTCCGCATATGGTCATCTCAGCAGATGCTCAAGATGATGATGACGATGATACAATGATATGGTCTCCAGCACAAGTGGCAAGACTTGCACGTTCGCGTCGGACAGCCCATGCTTTGGGTGCAGGTCATTCGCTCCGGCGTGCATGAATCACAGCTTGATGTCATGTCGGAATGGCTGCAGCGTGTCCAAAAGCCCGGGCAACTGCCGCTCCTCGTCGCCATGCAGACAATTACAGGATATCTTCGTACTTGTCGCCACCGACACCGGCGTGAAATACATCTTTTAATCTTTCTTTGTGCAACACAGTAGACTCGAGCAGGTAGGCATCGCTGAGTATGGCGGCCGCTGGCCAGGGTCTCAAGCTTGCGCTCTTGCAGGTCGTCTGCATGCGCTCCATGATCGAGTCGCCTAAGAGCACGGTCTGGGGTCATCTGCCTTCATTTCCTGTGGAGAAAGATTCGAAAAGCTTTGATATATGATCATTCTGACATGCCGTGAATGACCGTTCTTTGAACTCTGATTATTTCTGTAGCAGTATCTGTTGTGCGTCGGGAGGTGGTCGTGGTCGTGATGGTGAAGAAGCGCGACCAGCAGTAAGTATTCAATTCTTAATTCATGACCATGTTGAATACAAATATAATTGGACCGTTTTCCAAGTTCCACCAATATTCGCCATATCAGCCGTCTCCACCATGACTTCAATCACGGTCCTTTTTACTGGTGCCAACCGTCGTCTGAGCCTGGGCTTGTTACAAAAATCCCTCGCCCAGCCCAGGCTACGCGGTCATCGCTAGCAACCGCAATTCTGCGTATCCTTTCATCGCAGGCGTTGGCCAAATTGCCCAAGGGTGAAGGCAGCAAGCTCATCGTCGTCGACGCCTCGATTGAAGTGGACGCCTTACCCGCCGTCAAGGAGCTGCAAGACAATCACGGCATCGATCACCTTGACATTGTCATCGCCAGTGCAGGCGTCTCATATACCTGGCCATCTGTAGCCGAGCTGAAGCTCGACGGCCTTCGCGGTCACTTAGACCCGAACGTTTACAGCTTCATCACTCTCTACCAGGCCACACAGACGCTGCTGCAAAAGCCATCGAAAGAGCCCATATTTACACCCATTGGATCTACTGCTGGCTGCATTGCATGCGTTTTCCCTCCTCCTCCCCCTCCTCCTCCACTTTCCCTGTGTGCGTTCCATGTGTAAGCTAATTGCGAGTAGCAACCAACTCTCAATACCAAACGCGGCTTATGGCCCCAACAACGCAATGGTCAACTGGTCCACGGTCCGCATCAACAGCGAGGAATCATGGCTAAACGCTTTAGTTCTCGATCCTGACTGGTTACAGACTGATCTTGGTAACGCAGGAGCATTTCGTTTCGGCGCCGAGCAAGCAGAGACAACTATTGACGCATCCTGCAATGGCATGATCAAAGTGATCAATGAGTCGACCAAGGAGAAGGATGGCGGTAAGATGATTGGATGGGAGGGTGGCATCAGAGGATACCGGTAGAGAGTAGATGCAGATGGAGACACAAACAAAGTTGCGCACATTTATGAAGTTATTGAATGAAAGACTTATTTGTATGAACCAAGCCGTAGAAGATACGTCGCAATTTTGCCGAAACGTATTGGGGATCTTCTACAGATGGAATGCATAGTCCTCAGCACCACCGAGACTTCAACGCATTGAAAATCGTCGGGTCGTAGCCTTTCGACAAACGATGTCCATATCCGTTCATCTCCACGCCCTTCCATTCATTCCGGGTAGCGCAATGTCGACCACAATGTTACTCGCGATGCCAGATCACACAAATCCACCATCGAACCCACTCACTTATGCTCCTTGCACTTTTCCAGACTCTGCCTCACAACCCCATCAAGAACCCTCCGCGCCTCAGCAACCAGCTCGTGCAACTCCTTGCGGAACTGCTGGCCCTTATGTGTGTCCTGTTCCTTCTGATTCTTCTGGCGCTGGAAAGCGGCTCGAATGATCTTGAGAATCTCGACGGCTTCTTTACGCAGCTTGTCACAGGTGTTTTCGATGAGCTTCTTCACATCTTCTTCAATCCACTCAGCGATCGCGGAGAGAGGACCGTCGAGACCAGGAATTTTGTCTTCGAGATAGGCGTGGCGGACATGTTTCAGCGTCTGGCCTAGAGATGTAGATTAGTAGAGATACAATGGCCTGGCTGTGTGCGAGATATACCTTTACCAGGCCTTTCCAGGAGAGCCTTGTCGTAGATGTCCGTTATGGCTTCATGCATGTAGCATGTCTCTCCAGACTTGACGGCCTTCTGGTGTATTTCGTTGAGCCCTAGTCGGAGTTCCTTCCGTGAAGCTTCCACCATGACAGTAATTCCCTTCTCATATTCAACTAGGTTCTTGCCAAAGCATGATTTGTATGCATCTCCAGCCAAGGCTTGAGGATCATCTGCGATAAGTGTTAGTAAAAAAAATAAAAAAATAAAAAAAACTAACAACCAGCAAGCATACCTTTTAGCAGCTTGTTCAAGCTGTTGATACCGGTCTTGATCGTCTGCGCCGCCTGGGCCTTGAACGCTGTGGGTGCCGTATCTAGTGCGTTTCGGAACGCGGCATTGATGGTTGACTTTGCAGGTTCCAAAAGTGCAGCATTTAAATCGTGCTTGATGTTGACCTTCTTTTGGTGGTAGTTGCCTGGCTTTCGTTAGCGGATAATTCATCAATCTTGGAAGCAAACAGCACCAACCCTTCTTGTTTACCAACGCTTTGTGCGAGGCCGCGTTCTGCAAAGATTAGCGAGGAAAATCAATAAACGACACGAATCGTACCATTTTGGCCAGCTCTGCGAGCTTCCTCACGGCGTTTCTATCAAACCTTTCTTGCAAATCAAGGCTTGAGGTCGCGGCAGTAAGGTCTTTCAGAAATGTCTTGTAGCACTGTCTCGCAACATTTCCAACTCGCCTTTCGATACCCTACGGATATTAGTCCATTGTCTCTATTAAGAAGAATATGTAATACCTTTATTGCTTTGTCGATGATTTTTGTGACATGTTCGATTCTGGCCTCGGTGCTCTTGCTGCAACTCATCTGGACAATGCTCAACAACATCGGTACTTTGAAGAGAACGAAGTGTTCCAATGCAGCGACTCTTCCTTAGGAGGGTATCCCAGTGATATAGGCGCATGCAGCTGGGATCTGAGTGTCTTCCAGATTCATTGTAGGGGCCTTGTCGGGGTTTGTCGCGTTATATCCTCGTCGATGCCGCATATACATCCGATTCGATACGCAAAAGGATGCAGCACCCGCATCATCGCCGGTGTTGAGACTGTACATCTGGTGCATACCTGCAGCCACAAATCTGTTGCGGCACGCAATGCGAGCGACCGTGCGCCTGATGAAATGAGCGTTATGAAATAATAGTTCGAGGTCTGGACTTACTGTTTTTCAAAAGAATTCTTGAGTGTGATTATGGATTTCCTGCGACTGAAAGAGGCCTTGTTTGCTGAACGAAGTGTTTCAGATTGAATGCGCTCGTCTTCGGTAGCGGTAGCATGCTGAATCCTGAGCTTGATGCGCTTTATCTCGTGCTTTTTGGCCTCGATCTCATTCTCCAGGCTTTGCAATTCGTTGAAGAGGTCATTCAGCTTTTCCTCTATGGGTGTAATCTGCTCTTCCGCGATAGCGTCAAGCTCAAGGGTACTGCCGCTACCATCGTTCAATTCCTGTGAGAGAAGAGTGAGTAATGGAAAATAGACTGCAAATGAGTACACTTACATCCGTTCTTGTCGCTACCAAGATGACGCTACCGTGGTGCCGCCTACTGTGTGCATCGAGATAGTGTTTTCGGAAACCATCATCGGTTGTAGCACGCTTGATATCAACGACTACTATTGTCATTTCACATTGTTGAAGATAAGCCGTCGCAGCAGTAACACGGAACATATTAACATCTTTCGACCCGGGTAAGTCAGCCAAGCAGATACCATCCTGCAATAGAGGACTATCATGGTAGTACCTATAATCAACGGTTGGCGATGTAAGTTATCCAAGGAAGCATGTGTGCTCACCGTACTATCTCTACAAAAGGCCATAGGTTGAACGGAAGTATTTTGCCTTGGTAGCGTGCATTGGTGGCTCGCGTCCGGAAGGCACGGAGTTGTTCGCGCATGTCGTTGTGGGTACTGGACGTGAAGGGAACGGAAAGCTCTCCATCGGGCACGAACTGGCTATGTATGTCGACAGTCCATTGTAGCAGCTTATTCAATGCTTTGTTGTTCTTTGGACTCTTACTTGACGACATGAAGTCCTCAAAAGGCTCCGAGGCGACACGGGAAGCGAAGAGCTCTGCCAAGCAAGCGAGTGAAGCATCTTTACGCGCTCGATCATCGTCATCGACGCTGTCCTCATCCTCGATAAGCCTCTGCTTGATGTTGAACCATGTCTTGTACCAATTCATAACAAGGTCGTCCATACAGTATTCTAGACAGTAGAACTGGACTTCAGCTTGGACTGCGCCGATGTTTGTAGACAAAGTCTTCTTTCGAAACTCTGTCACGACGTTCGTAACTGCTGCACCACCGTCGCCCTGTGTTTTCTTGTTAACAGGGTCTATATGCCTTGCGATTCTGGGGTAGAGTTACCTCAAGTGTCAGGTCTTCGCCGAGAAGACTGTTGGTAAACGCAGATTTTCCTGATCCAGTGTCCCCAGTCACAGCAATACGGATCTCGGGTTGATACGAAATGTTACGACTCTTGATTATCTCGTTCCATAGATAGGTAGCTTCTTCACCAGCGACCCCACGGTTTTCGGCAGCTTTCAGGAAGTCTGTGAACACACGCAAGATCTTTTGGATGTCTTCTTCAGCTTGCTGGAAGCCGGGGTGGTAGATGGGTAACTTCGGACGGCGCTGTTGAGCTGGGTCGTAGGGGGGCACCGCCGAAGGGTCTTTGTCGTCGTCGCTGTCTTCATCATCGCTATCAGACGACACGTCGGAGACTGACAAAGGTTAGTGCGATTCGCACAGCGAGTAGGCCGTACAAACTCTTTCGCTTCGCGGGGACGGAAGATTCGGCACCGCCAGTGTTCCACCTAAGGATAGCAAGATTGGCAGTGGCCTCGATCTCTCGAAGCCTTTGCATGTATGGTGAGATGCTGTGGACGCCCAGAGTGGAAGATTTTGTAGGGTTCGGAGATAAGGGTGCGAGCATTGTAGCGACGGGTACGGACGAAGCTGGGCATTCAGGCTCAAACAGCAGGCTTTGCATGCTCTCGGGGGTAGGCTATTGCAAGCCCTCCGTCTGAACGATGTCTACGGAAATTATGAATCAATCGCCAAAGGCTATGAGGGGAGGTCTCAACACCAAGCCGAAGCAGAAGCTGGGTTTATTCGAGTAGAGTTAGAGTGAGCAGAGTAGATCGAATGCGAGGAAGATTCAGAAAGGTCAAGAGAAGGAAGGTTGGGGGGAGAAAGAGAAAAGACGCTTATGAAAGCCTGTACTGGCACAGTCGAACGACTCCAAGTGAGAGAGCGGTTCCGAAGTTGAAGTCACCTTGCCAGTGGAAAGGCAAGAGAACGGCAGCCTCTTTAGATATCAAACTCACCGTCTCTGGTATGCCCGAGACATGCCAAACTCCAGCAGAAGATCTCAAGTCATAGCCTCCGATGGTGCGTCTTGTCAGGCATATACGCGTGAAGACGTACAATTATTCTCTTCTAAGTGACGCTATTGCGACCTTACTGCACCAGACTGGCCATTGTGTATGCTTTGAAGCCGTTGCTCACTATGAGCTCCGCCTTTACCTCTCCATTTGCTTGGTCGCATTAATCGACGGATCTTGAAAACTCGCGGTAACCACGATACAAGCAAGCCCCAACGACGTCGCCATATGGCAGACCTGGACAGATAGTGACCGGATACCGCCATGGTAGATTGAAGCGATCTGTCGTTTGTCGTGACCAGGTTATGCGTTCACTTGAAAGGAAGCGGAGATAGATGTTGGAAGCTCATGGGGGTGCAACGCTGGTCCGCACGCTAGTCGCTGACCTCGTACCCGGCACAGGCACCGGTTGACGCTCTGGACCCTGTCGATTATCCTAAACTTCCGCACCTCTGCTATTCAGCTTTCTTCGACTCTTCACGCGACCTTCTAGTTGTGGTGTGCCGCCATGGTATTTCCACAATTGCGATACGCGTCAGCGCCAAGGAGATGGTGCCGATTTCCGACCCCTTAGCCCCTTCGGTCGTCCCGTCGGGCCAGGATAAGGAAACCTGCAGACATGGATGCTTGGAAGGATTGCGACAGCGCGGGAGGCCACTTTCACTATCTCCCTGAATATCGTCTTGCCGTCCTGTTCCCAATTTTCGTATACAGGGCACAGATGCAGACTTCAACAGCATTTCAATAGACTTCCGCCGCCCCGTACGCGACGCCACATTCTTTTGCAACTCCCAACATCTGCCTACCATGGCAGTCCGCCTTCTCAACTCGAGCGTCATCTTCGACCGGCGCGTTATACTCGGTCTGACAGCAGCTGTCATTCTCGCCTTCACATTTGCCTTCCTCTACTCGCCCGACCTACGTCCCAGCTCTGAATGGTTACCGCCTCTGAGCTCGAAACCCACGTCTACCTTCTCCGTGCCGCTGAAGAACACCGAAGACCCCAACATCGTTGAGCTAGATTACCTAGCCATCAAGCCAAATGTCACAGACAAGGTCAGGTCCTATTGGAATATTCCATATGCCGCAGATGCAGGAGGCAAGAACAGGTTTCGGGGTCCACAACCGGTGAACAGGACATATGGCATCGGCCGGGGCGAGAAGCCTTTGGTGTGGGACGGATCACTGGGCATGTGCCCAAGGATCCAGAAGATCGATCCAGCCCAGAGGAACAGGGAAGATATCTCAGGACCGGATGTCTTGGGTATCAAGACTGAGAAAACCGAGGACTGTTTGAGCTTGAACGTCTTTACACCGTTCGATGCTGAGCCAGGGGATGACCTGCCCGTGTTGGTCAACATTCCCGGTGGTGGTTTCCATCTTCCAGGGCGCAGCAATGGAGGCGAGATGGTAGAAAAGGCGCGACGCGAAAAGGGCATCGACGGCAAGCTTGACAAAGGCATAGTCGTAGTCACCATGTACTACCGCAACGGCATCTACGGTTTCCTCCCTGGCGAGCAGATTGCAAAGGACGGTGACTACAACAACGCGCTTCGCGACCAGAGAGCGGCGCTGGAGTGGGTTCAGAAGTATATCAGGTACTTTGGAGGCAACCCAGACCACGTAGTCATCATGGGCACAAGCGCAGGCGGCGCCTCCGTGATGCTGCAACTCACCGCTAACGAAGGCGACAACTACTACCCTGTCCCCGGCACGGGTCGCAAGCAGCTCTTCCACGGCGCCATAGCCCAATCTCCCGCGAGTCCGACGTTCTTCACGCCCGAGCAAGCTGAGAAATTCTATAACGAAGTCGCAGAGGGATTGAACTGCACAGACATCGCTTGCATACGCGACGCTGCGACAGGCGATCTCTACTACCAAAATTACCCCATGAACTTCCCCGGCCGCGAAACTCCACCCCGCTGGATGTGGGCCCCGACCACGGAGCCCGCCGGCGGCATGTTCACTGAACCTGCCCCGGCAGCCATAATGTCGAATCGCTACGCAAAGGTCCCAACCATCATCGGCTTCACCTCCAACGAAGGTTCAGACCAGGTCAAGAAGACCACCGACAACGAAGGCGAATTCAAGTCCTACCTCAAAGACCACTATCCGCTCCTTACCGACGAAGACCTGAGCACGCTCGTCAAGACATACCCCAACGACCGACACTGGCCCGACAGCGGCGCATGGTGGGACGCCGTAGCCAAAGCCCAGGGCGACATCCGCTACATCTGCCCAACATACCTCGCTTCCAACGCCATGTCCGAACACAACCCTGAAAATGTGCCTACCTACCAATACCAATGGGACGTAATGTGGGGTGTCGACATCGAGAACGGCTATGGCACCAAGCACGCCGGAACCGTTGGACAAGTCATGGTACGCCGCCAAAACGAGATCTCGGATTACTTCATCAGCTTCATCAAGTTCCTCGATCCCAACCGCGAACACCAGGTTATTCCTAGAGAGAATGTCAAGATCGCAAAGTGGGAGCCATTGGATAGCACGGGTCGCAGGATGTTCTTCACAAACATCAAAGAGGGCGGCCACAGGGGTGATGGCACAAACATGTTGGGCAAGATGCGAACGGAGATGAGAGGCAGGGATCAAGACAGGGAGAGAAACTGTGGTATCATACGCGGCATGTTCAGGAGATTACAATTTGAAGGTGTGCCAGCACTCAAGCTGGACTGAGTGTTTTCGCTATACAGTGTTGCATTTGTAGGGGTTTCGGAGTATCATTGCCATAGAGAGTTTTGCTGTTCCTTTTCGCTGTATGAATACCATAACTTTTTTTTATGTTCAACATCGATTTAAACATACTACGTGGGACACATCCATGTTCGCCAAGCTCTTCAATTGGTATCAAACAACATGCTAAACGCCGAGTCCACTATGCTACCTTGAGCCTCAGCCTAGATCTTCTCGTATTCTGCCCTGACCCACAAACCCACATCCCTTAGCTTCCGCACTTTCCCCGGATCCTTCGTAACAAAAAAAAGATTCGCTTCCGACGACGACTTGGAGCTGACCTTTTCAGCAAAAAGAAAGTTCGAAGAATCCTGAGCGAACTCAGGCACGTTGTCCCCTTCGTGGATCGAACACGATACCTCCAGATTTAGTGTGACTGAGACTTCAGTCTGGCGCTCTCCCAATTGAGCTAAGGAGACAGGTTTTTTATTTTCACTGTGTGGATTTCTTCGCTTGCGCTCGATGTAAACCACGACTCACACGCATCAGTTCTTCCTTACGTGTGCAATCAGGTCTTGCACGTCACTGTGACTCAGACTCTTATTGTCAAGGCTCATGCCCAGCTCTTGTTTCTTTTCGTCGAGACTTTCTCTCTGGCCGTTGAGATCCCGTTGAGAGTCGCGGTCCGGGGTACCCGCTTTTGTCTTTTCGTCTCTCAGAACTCGCAGATCACCAGTTTCAGCTCCAAATGGTGCTGGTGGTGGGGAACTAGCCGCGTCACCGCTCGTTTTCCGCGCATGTTCGACAATGTCCGGTAGATCAACATGGGAGAGACTGCCATCGTCGACACTCATGCCAATTTGTTGCTGCTTCTCTTCCTCTTCTTGCTTTAGACGATCAATTGGGTTACCGCTTCCGGGTGCTGGTGATTCTTGCTGTTTGGAGTCTTTTCTGCTCACCCAGCGTACAAGTTCGCCAACATCGTCATCAGTGATGTGCCTCTTTTCCTTGATTGGTTCGATTGACTCGCGACTTCTTGGGCGGCCTCGCTGTTCCTCTTCGTCAATCTCGTCAAAAGTCTCCTTGACAGGCGTAGAAGCTGCAGACTCGCCGCTGGTGCCGTCGTGGCGCTTGAACCAGCGGCCTAGCTCTGGCACGTCGGAATCGTAGTGCTCTCCTACATCGGAGTCCAGTTCAGGTCGTTGTAGGTTCCTGCGCACAGGCCCGGCTTTGGGTCCGTCGCGATGCGATATCCAGCGTACAAGGTCGTCGGCGTCCTCCTCTTCATCTGAGGATCCCTCTTTGAGTTCGCTGTCGGATTCAGTAGATACATCGCTATACCCCGTATGTCTATCATTGAATGCGTCGTCTTCTTTCGTGTCTGACTTTCTACTGGCGTAGCGAACAAGTTCATCAACATCTGACGTGCCAAGACTCTCGTGACCACTGTCCTCTTTGGCTTCCACTACGTCGCCGTCTTTCCGTCTTTCACCGTCGCTCGGGGGATCTCGTCGACTGACCCATCGTACTAGGTCTTCCACATCAGAGTGATTGATACTTTCCTCATCACTCTCATGGCGATCCCTTTGTTCTTCTTCCACATCTGAAGAAGCCGTTGATGCGCGATCATTGAACTCAACCGGTGCGCCATCTTCCCTGATTTTCTCCATATTGCCAGCATCTTTTGTTGTCATCCTTCTTACTGTCATCTTTATTCTGCTTCCGATGCCATTCTTTCCCGATGCATCCTTCTCGGGCGCCCCTGTGCGATGCATCTGGCGTTCTTGATGCTGATTCCGCCACTTATCTGCTGCATTTTGCTCCTTTTCGCAGTCTTCCTGTGTAACAGTCTTCATCTGGTCCTCAATTCTTTGCTGAAAAAGTATGCTGCGAAGGGAATGGAATCGCGCCATGTGCGGCTGCTTTTGCCTAGGTTTTGCGGAGCTGTCTCCGCTGTTACGGGCCGAAGGTGACTTGTGGTGACCAGAGCTTTTGTTCGAGGTCGATTTTAGGGAACTCCTGCTTGGTGATAAGGATGAAGGTCGAGGCGCCTGGGCAGCGACGTGCTTTTGTTTGTCTTGGCTCAACCGTTGAGGGTCGAGTGCTTTCTTAGTGTGTTGAGTGGTACGTTGGTCTTCCTCTTCGGATAGGTCCCCTTCGCTGCTACTGCTGTCTGAGTGTTCGTCGCCTAGGCCTTCCAGTATCTGTGTGACTGCCGGGGACATTAAGCTGTTCATACGGCCCAATTGCTTGCGCTGGTCCTGAGGTATTTGATCTATACTTGCAGCTGGCGCGGCCTTCTGGGACGGCGGGAGGTCGAAGTATGACGCCATGACTTCTGGGGTCACTTTCTCCTCTCCAGTAAAGACGAAGCGTCTCTGGGTTCCGAGGAATGTGCGTTTGAGCCAATGCGCCAGATATGGAGCGGGATGGAAGAGAGCTCAGGTGGGAGGCAGTGCTCTTGGGAGGCTTGGAGTTCTGCAAGGTGTCGGGATTGCAGACCGGGCTAACCTGATACCGCAAGTCTCTACCCCGCATTTCTGTGATGTCACGGCTTGTGGTTGGCCGAGGGTGCTGATTCGCGCTGATTCAGCTGTCTAGTGAAGTAACGATCGGCGTCGTATGCTTGGGCGACATCACCGTTTTGGGTTTCGAGATTTGAAGCTAAATATTTGGCGCGACAGTTGCGACAGCCGCTGAGATCGGAGGATTTCACCCGGTAATGTCTGATCGCGATAGGTGGAAGGCGGTCACCGATGCGGCTACAATCGAAGTGAGACGGCACGGCAGGTGAGGCCGCATGCATTTTCTCGCTCATCAATGGCCGGTGCTATCATTCACGGCTCGATACGCACGATCTATGAGCAAGCGCTAACAGAGACGACGTGGGCCCACTCAGTTTTTTCATTGCAATCCCCTTCCTGTAGAACTGATGCCTAGTACCTAAGACTTCGCCAAGTACGATAGCCTGACTTCGTGTTTCAAGCTCATGTATATGTCCGAGCTGATGCACCTCTCGAAGATTATACGCAACTCGGACAGTACGTCTCCCCTACTTTTTGGTTCCGTCCGCCTGATCATAGTCCAGAAGGTTCAGTGTGCCCAACGACATGCGGGGTAATCATACTCTGAAGACGGTGAAGAATATCAGCGCACGTCACATAAGCACGTCGATCAGGGAAGTTACTTATGATTCCAGAGATAGTCTCAGTGCCTCCACCGATCCAAGTGCTGGTGATATTAACGTGGGGTACCAGGATGTCGATTACGGTGCCATAATTGGACCGTTTGAAGAGCGTGCCATTGATTGCCGTAGCACCCACGGTATACACAGTAGGTTTAGATGCCGGGGATGTGTAATCGCCAGGCATGGCTTCATTGCCTGCCGCGACGCCGAGGAAGATACCTGCTGCAGCGATGGCAGAGGCCTGGATCAGTGTCAAAGTATCGATCGTAAATGCTGCAAACTGGCCACTTACAGCGTCATTCATGGCTTGGAGCTTTCTCCCTCCAAGGCTCATGTTGGCCACGACTCCATTGGAGCAATCTCCAGCGTCCGTACGTTCTTTGCATCCATGATAACAAAATCCATACCTGCAAGTACGCTAGCGTTCGTACTGGAATTGAAAGAGTTCAGCAATTGGACCGCTAACATAGTCGTCTTATTCGCCACACCTCATGTAGCGGAGCCGATTGTACCAGCAACATGAGTACCATGTCCTTGGCCGTCGATCATATCTCCCTCATTGCTGAAGTCTGCCAGGAAGTAGGCACCCGTCGAAGCGTCAGCGAGCATCTGTTCACACAGACTGCTCATGCATATCAAAGAGTCGCAAGATTACTGGTAACATACGCGCATGTACTCTCACCGGCAATGGAGTCGTAAAGATAATTAGTTTGATATGGCTCGGCGTGCGAGAGACGAGCCAAGCCCCATGAAGCGTTCAGCTGTTGCACTATCTCAGATTCACGGACCCTAGCGTCCTGCTGGACGTACTCAATTTAACCATATTAGCATACGCATATCAATCCAAGTGTCCATCCCACATGCTCAGAAGCTTGGAGTCGAGCAAGTTCCTGGTCATAAATATTGCCAGCAAGACCTCCGAAACCAGGCATCGCATATTTCCAATCGGGCTTGGTGGATATCGAAGCCCTCAAGCCATCTTCAGGTTGCGATGTAACATCGCCTTTGAGCTTCTCGATCCATTTCTCGGTAATGGCATTTGCTCTGTCGACGTTGATCAACGGAGCGGCAAGTGCAGAAGGAAGAAGAGCGGATGGTACAGTTGTATACATAATTTCGACATGTTTTGGTTGAAAGTACCCAGGCGAATAGAGAAGCCTACGAACAGGTGATGAACGTTTCAATCCCTCTGGTTGAGGTGTACCTGTATCGACGGCAGCGCTGCAATTTAAACAGCGACGCTGTAAAACACTTCCAAGTGCCAAAGGCGGCAGATCTCTTCAGCAGTGCATGTGGGGATACAAATTGAGCACGAGCGAACCATGGTCATAGGAGGCAAAACAACCTGCACATGCTACATGACTGCATGGTATCAATAAAACCCTTCTGCTAATCACATGGTCTCCAATACTTCAAAGACGTGAACCGCAGAAAGAGGCCTTTTTAAAGCTCTCAATCTAAGTCCCAAAGTAAAATGCGTGCGGGCCGGTAAGCTTGAGGCCTAACAAGCTCTGGAAAAAACCCGGTACCGGTAGTGTTACTGTGACCAAAGCACTGTGGCACATAGCCTGTTGTGATCTCGGTTCCTACATGTTTTCTTTGTTGTACTCGATGGGCGCTAAGCTATCGCTCCTTGTGATTGGTAGCAACGACTGGTAGAGAGTGAGCAATCTTATCATAAATGTCACAAGTGCTCGTCAGAAAGTCAACATACAGGACGATGTTAGCCCGCCGTCACAAAAGTTGCTCAGTGTAAGGAGAAAGATGGTGCATGTGTGGGCACTCACGTCAGCTGTTAGACGTGCGCCATTTCCATCACTAGACTATGCATCCATGGGCTTGCATGTTGGTGCGGAAAGTATTGTAGGAGCGGGACAAGTCCGACGAGATTGTGTAGCTCCATGGACAAGCATTGGCTCGTGCGCGAACATGTTGACCAAATCATACTTTCGGGACCATGATCATGCAGGCTTTCCCATTTTACTGAAGGGTTTTGATAAGCCACATATATTGTCGCTTTTATGGAATCTTTGTTGATGAGAATGTGTAACACATACTCGACGTGATTGTAGGCTCGAGACATAGAGCGATGGTGCGTGAGGCTCGCCTTCGAAGGACCGGCACCATGGAGCATTGGATATGGTTCCTAGAGCATAATGCCTCATGATGTTCTTTGAGTGGCCTTGAGTATCTGAGTATTCAAGGTATGTCTTAGGGGTGGAAGTTTTGTAATGTAAGGTGCAACACATCCTATCGTGAAGCTCTGTGTGATAGCCGCAAACTTATAGCCATCTCCGCACTGGGTCGATGAGTGTAGTTCGTAAGACTAACGGTCATGCATACCACTCGCAGACTTGTCAACAATCAAGCCAATCAATCTGGCGTAGCCAGATTGGATTGGCTTGATGTTTATAGAGGCTCGGATTGGCTTGGTGAGCTTGATAGGTTACAGGCGCTCAGATTGATTGATGAGATTGATGAGATTGATGGCCCGAGCGTAAAGCGTGAGGCTGTACAGGTAGGTGATATCGGCTGTATCGTGACTATTTCTGGTGTTGATTATCGCTATCGTCGTCAATATCGCTGTCGATATCGTCGTCCCATGTACTCAAGCTGTACAACGCCTCCATCTCGCTGTCAGTTATAGAGCCCGTAGAGCTAATATCGTCATTGCCCAAGCCAGCTTTTCTCCACCGTCGTACGCACTGTATTGCTGCTAGAAGCTGGGGTTGTATAGCTCGTCGGCGAGGCTCTAGCAGGTCCCCAAGCTCACTAAACATACGCTTACACTCACAGCTTGACGCTGGGATAGATAGTACGTCAAGCGCAAGCTTGCTAAGGCGAGGATAGCGATCCTGCAGCGATAGCCAGTATTGTATGGGGTTGTTGGCGTATTCGCTGTCCTTCTCTACGCGCCGCTCGCACTGTTTCCACCGAGTAAACTCGTCGTCCGCTGCCACAGCGCTGCGAGTAGTTGTAGGGTCGATAAGACTGTCGATTGCGTCGTCTATATCGTTTGAGGGCACCTTTGGGCGCTGTACAACTAGCGGAGCGGTGTTGTACTCAGCCTATAAGGCGCGAAAGTTGTAATTGTTGGCAGCAAGCCAGTCGGGCTTCTCAGCACCCTAGGAGACGTCGCAGTACGTTTTGTAGTAGGGATGGAGTATTGTAGCGGTGTAATAGGCGGGCGATAGGTCTAATTTAGCGTAGTATTCGCTAGCCTTTGCCTACGCTGCTCGCAGGTTAATAGCAAGATGGTCCTTAGGCGCCTCGTTGTGGCTATTGTAATTAACGGCGTTATACAGTTCAACGCGCTGCTCGTAGTAGTTGAGTATATATTTAAATACTGGTATTATCTTAGCAATAGAACCAAACTTGCCGCTCTTGCCACGTCCCTCAAGGCGCTTGGTAGCAGCTTTTAGAGGCTTCAGCGCATCTATATACTTAGTAATTACTGCCCAGTCGTGTGTTGTAAGGCCGCTCGATCGCATCCACCGCGGCGCCTTAGGTGGCCTGTTACCCCGCGTTTCTGCGTACGTGTCCTTATCTCGTATGCGCTTTATATGGTGGTTGGCGTAAGCGTTAATTGCTGGTTGTAGCTGTACAGCGCGCTTAAAGCAGGAGTAGTAGGAGTTCTAGCGGGTGACAATAGGTTTGACGGGCTTGAGGATCTTGCGTTTATCGGCGGGCGCGTTGGTAGGTAGCTCGCGGTGGGCAAGGCGCTGAAAGTCGGCAAATAGAGCGTACTGTTGTGGTGTTTTAATATAGTTAACAATTGCTATAAGTACGCCTAAGGGCCCGTCGCGCCTCCACACGCCTATATACTCGCCCTCAGCAGCGTACTTAGCTGGGCTATTGTCGTAGGAGGTAGCGTCGTTGCCCTAAAGCAGCATCTGGCTGATAAGATTGAGCGTATGGGGACTACAGCGGAGGCGACGATGGGCAGCGTTAAAGCCCATCTCCCGCGCAAGTGCGTCTATAGTAGTGTCGTTATTGCTTGCGTTGTTGAGTACAAAGTATCCTATACTCGCTGGGCTAATCCTGAAGTCCTTAAACGTTTGAGTGACTACGCTGGCTATTATCTCGCTACTATGAGCGCCTGTTAACTGCGGCAGCGCAATAGGAAGGTCTACAATACTGCTATGGCTGTTAACGTAGTACGCAACAATACCTAAGAAGCCACGCTTGCCGCCCTTTGTCGTCTAACCGTCAAAGCTAAAGTGTATCTTACTCTGTGCCTGCGACAGCTCCTTGATAACTAGCGGCCTTAGGTAGTCGTATAAGCGCACAACGTAAGCTGAAACGCTGTTATGAGATGCTTATAGTGCTGCCTCTGCTTGTGGGTTGGCTAGCTCGATAAGCTGTCGAAAGGCTGGCGATTTGAATGTAGAAAGAGGCAGGTTTGCCTTAATAAGCTAGCTAACTGCTGTAAGTCTAAAACGCTGGGTATTGAAGCTGGATAGCTCGTTCGCGACTCTCTGGCTAACTCGATTGCTAGTTAGTACAAGCTGGAGGGCGTTGTTGAGGCCTTTCGAACGGGTTTCTCCGTCAGGTGCCTGGTGGTTATGGCCGCGTCGTTTCTCTCTAAGGTGTCGCTGAGTAGCTGATGTTGAGCGCGTTGTCTCGTATATTTGGCTAACGCCAGCGTTAATAAACTTATGCTTATGGCAATAGCGGCATACGAAATAGATGCGGGTGGGATCTTTGCGCAGTGCGACGCGGTAGCTGTAGCGATATACCTAGCTTTTCTTAGAACGCTGCGTCGCCATAGGCTTTATATACAGCGGTATACGATCCTAATTAATGCCCTTAAAGTTATCCTCTAGGTATTCGTTAAAGCTTCTAGTGTTGAGCTCGTTAGTTGTTGTTATCGTTGCCTGCTCGCTGCCCTCGATAGGTGGGATGATGGCTTCTTTAGCTTGGGTATCGCGCAATTGCGCTTCGAAATCCAATGCCTGGGACGCTTTAACTAGGGCTTTACGAGGGGATATACGAGGCGACAATAGAGGGCTTTTGATAGTTATAGGCTGGCTGAGAGTACTGCGAGGCGTGCTTTTTTGGCGCTTTGCTGACGCGGTAACAACGTCTTGAACGCGTCTTTTTGGTGGCATGCTTGCGATTGAGAGAGGGAAACAGGCGTATTTTAATAGAGACTATAAAGTAGCGCGTAAAGGATGGGTAGCTAAGAGCTGAAAAGGTGGCGTAGCTTGGGTAGGTTGTGGTTGTACGATAGAGCTGCAACATGAGACGGTTGGTGGCTTAATATATCTATTGCTTAGCACTTGTTATAATGTTTAAAAGCAACTACAACAACGCGATAATTATTGTTATTTAACAGCAGCAGTTAACTTAGCGTGCTTTATTTAGTAATTGCGCATACAGAAATATTAGAGAAAAGCGTGTTCTAGTAGTGTAACTATAGTATTACAATTAATCTTCTTATAAGTTGCATCTATAGCTACCTTTACCTGCAACAATAACAACAACAACTACAGCTGTCTATATACAATATTATTGCGCCTCTTTTTAACTCTGCTAAGCCTAGAAAGCTTAGTAGAGGTGTATACTAGCTAGCTATTGTGGCTGTTCGAATCGCGCGTATTACACAAACATAATCAAGCTTATTTATATATATACACAACGCGTTGTGGTGGATTTTTTTTAGATATATTGTTGTCAACCTCAACACCAGAAAAAATATCGTGAGATCGCTCAACACTAATATCAACAACCTCACGCTTTACGCTCGGGCCAATCAATCTCATCAATCTGATCAATCAATCTGGCCCATCTCAGCTTGATTGACGATTTTTTTGCTCCGGATTGGATTGGCTTGGCTTGGTGGCTATAGACGCTTAGATGGATTGATGAGATTGATCTGGATTGATTGTTGACAAGTCTGACCACTCGCCCTATGTGTAGTCCCAATCGGTCAAGTAATCCACGTCGATATTAAAATTGCGATAGACATTTCATTCAGTTGCGAGCAGAGGGTTTCGAAGGGTTCCCACTTTGGCGATCTGTGTCTGGATGAAAAGCGATATTCCCAGGTTGTCTTCCAAGACGGAGCTTCTTGATGAAGCTGCGTTGATCAAACGCTTCTCATGATACAACGGCTCGTTCTAGAGATCGCTGCGTACCATGATCCCGACAAGGCGGTTAACAGGATGGCATTCGATGTGCAGCAATAGATGACCAGGAGTGAAGGGACGAAAACGAAGCTAGCAACTTAACAGACAGGAATCCCACTTACCGGACATTTTTGCTGCAACTTTCCTACCGCACACTTCTATACTACTCTGCGCACGTCAAGCCTCGCTTCGCGGTATGCTGCCATACGGCAGGATCGTGAATCAGATTCGCAAGCCGGCGCCCCTGCACGTTTCATGTTAATGATGAGCTTTGTTGTTGTTCGGACACTTTGTAGCGATTCTGCGCCATATCTGTTCAGTGTTCTTGTTTTTGTTCGTCACTAACTCTCATCGTGGCTGAATACGAAGGTCGAGTACGTCATTCATATACCGATTCATGGATGCGCGTTGGTCAGGGTCAAATGCGGCTATACTTCGTCTTGGTTATTAGGTCCTGTATGTGATGAGGCCATGCAAACATTGTCCATGTCATATCGACGCGTAAAATGTTTTGCACAAGTCAAAGCGGCAGTTGAGCGACGAAGTTGGTGGCGCACTTGGCCGTACGGAAGTCTCCACCTTGGCGCGCGCACCTAGGCGGAAGGAAGATGGCAGCTGCAGCCTCAGCCGCAATATCTCCTGATTGGAAATGTGGGGCGATATCGAATCTTCCGATGACCACGCTGATCAACGTTGTGCCAACATAGCATCGACAATGCGGGGAAAGTGGAAGCCTTAGAACCCGCATGCAGCTAGCTGTGTCTGATGATGCGTGGTACCTGTGGAGGCTATTGTTAGTCGCTCGGGGTAATAGCTGTTGAACGTTCAAAGACCTGCCAGGAAGGATGGTGTTCTAGTCCAAGATCCCAACGCCACACTGATCATAACCCACCTGGCCTCCATGTCAATATCGCTGCAAGCTAGATCGTCTTTAGACTAGAGGTATATGACCTTAGTACGTGCTTTCATTACTCACGGAGATGCAACTACCACCAGATGCTGCACAAGATCAGCTAAGACAATGCAGGGCATTTTAACACGGCGCCGTTATACTAATGCACACGATCACGCAGCATATTCAACGATACTTCTCTCGAAACAATTGATGACATCATGAGACGAATGAGGGTCAGCAAAAGCTTCAATTCTGGATCGTGGCTGAAGCCACCAGCGTAAGTACGTTAGTGAATGTATCGCAAACTCTGCTTTCGTTATATCAATCCCCGCATTCGAATGCCGCGGTAGCGGGGTGGTACTCTTGCTTTCGTCATCAAAGCTTCATCAGAATCGATCACGATCGCAGACTTTAGTGTCTCGAGCGAGGCGGACACAGCGTTTGCGGACTGTCTGAACGAGTTGGTCTGACAACTTGTATTTCCACTGATGCTACCTACTACCAAAAGATAGCCCCACATGCGTCATACATGCAACAACCGCCATCATAAGCTCATGAGAAAAGAGGGAAGGAAATCTTCGACCTCTAACAATGCGTAAATAGGTCAGATAACAATGCAGAATGCTCATAAAGGTCGCTATGAAAGCCACTGCTTAACCACTGGGGTTACCGTTGAAGGCGAGCTGGTTCTTGGTACCAGAAGGAAGACCAGTGATCTTGTTCTTCAGCGACAGGGTAGTGAGGCGGGAGGAGAGGGCAGCAGGGGTCTTCTTGCCCTCGAAACCAAGGATGTAGGCGGCAAGACCAGCAACGTGAGGAGTAGCCATGGAGGTACCAGAGATGGAGTTCTTCGTCTTGTTAGCTTCTGTTGTGAATATGAATATAGTGGGTCAAACTTACAGTGCCGCCGTTGAGCCAGGTAGAGAGGATGGCAACACCGGGAGCAAGGATGTCAACACCAGCACCGTAGTTGGAGAAAGAGGCGAGCTTGTCTGAGCTGTCGGTGGCACCGACGGTGTAGACAGTGGGTTCGGATGCAGGCGAGGAGTTGCTAGCATCCTGAGCCTCGTTACCAGCAGCAACAGCCATGAAGACACCAGCGGTGACAGCATTGGCCGCAGCAGCGTTGACAGCAGTAGAGCGAGAGCCACCAAGAGACATGTTAGCAACAGCGCCGTTGGGGCAGCTGCGAGTCTTGACGTCGTTGGCGACGTAGTTGATACCAGCAATGACACCAGAGTTGGAACCCTTCAAGTTGTTAGTAAGCATTCAAGATATGGACCATATGTCCACGTACCGAACCGCTGGCATCAAGGACCTTGACAGCGTAAAGCTTGGTCTTCTTAGCGACTCCATAGGTCTTGGATCCGATAGTACCGGCGCAGTGGGTGCCGTGGCCGTTACCGTCAGTGTTCTGACCATCGCCAGCGTAGTTGGCGAGGAAAGTAGCACGACCCTCAAACTCGGGGTGCGTAGTGGAAATGCCAGTGTCAATGACATAGGCGCAAGTACCGGCGCCAGCAGAGTCGTCGTAGGTGTAGGATGTGCTACCCTTGCTCTGGTGAGAGATACGAGCAAGGCCCCAGGTAGAAGAAGACTGGGTTACGTAGGCTTTCTTCTCGAGGTGCGACTCGCCAAGGTTGGCCCTAACAATAGCGTCCTGCTCAATGTAGTCGACCTGTACTGTGTTAGTATTCTAGAGGATCATATTCGAGGCCGAAAAGCTTACACCAGGGAGGTTGCGAAGCAGCTCAACAATGTCATCAGCCATATCAGCAGAGAAACCACCGAATCCAGCGAACTTGTAGACATGAGCAGGGTCCTTCTTGAGAATCTTCAAGGCAGTGTCGATGAGGTTCTGAAGGTTCTCGTTCTTCATCTTGACGATCCATCTTCCGGGGATAGGAGCGCCGGCACGGGGAACGATGACCGGGGCAGGAAGGGCAAGAGCCACAGGCAAAAGTGCGAGAAGAAGTGAGAGCTTCATGTTGAGAGATTGATCGAAGACGTAGATCTTTGGAGCGAAAGATAAGGAAGACTGCTGATGATGGGCTGAGTGTTGCTGTGCTCGTGGCCTGATGATATGAGAGGGCGTCTGGTACCTCTTATATAGATCTGTTTGACAACCTGGTGTTGAAACGAAATGGCAGGAGGCAAATGCACCTTCCAATTAGGATTAGCAGCCATCGACAAGGAGATCTCGTGCCATGCCGACATACCCACACCACGGTACAAGGTGTTGTCAGTCGCTAGAATGGCTTGAAATGGCGTTCGTACACCTTCGATACTCAATTGGGTAGGTGCTACAGTGTGTTCCGGCACTACTACCAAGGTTGCTTCCAAGACACCGCAGTAGTGGTGATGGAACGGGCGGAAAGTCTTAGAGAAGGAGGAGGATACTGTGAGTAGTGGGTCAGATGCGCAGGTCTTGGCATGATGCACTTTAAATTAACATGCTTACTAGTTTAGGGATGTGAATAACGTCGCGTAGAGAATCAACGTAGAAAGCCGGCACAATGGCGCGATTGGACGAGGACGGATCGATCTGCAGCCCCTTGTGAATGTCCTGATAACGGCGTAGAAGCGATGAGTGGGCCGGTACTAAGTCGACTGTCGAATGAAGCTGTTTCAAGCAGGATTGTCGCCTGGGATTCATCAAGCATGCCCTCCGTCTGTTGGTTGTGGTTCCACAAGTCCTATTCGTCTTGGGCATAGCTCGCTTGTCAACCCCGGATCAAGTGAATCAGCATGATGTGTGCTCCTTTTCCATCCCTGAACTGAAGTCGCAAGGGTACGGGACGAGCCGCCATTGTACTGGTAGGCTGTATGTACATCCACATGCCGAGGCAATCGTCGGTTGATACTGCGCAAACAACGCTAACACGGAGGAAAAGAATGAAACTGAATCTACAGTAGCTAGTTACCAGAACCGCCTAATTAGATGACATGACTGAGAGATGGTTAGATGGCGTTCGAGTATATGTTTACCATGAGCCTTACGTCCTTTACCAGAACTGGATGGATGTCCAATCTCGCTAAATTAGATCAGCAACGGGAATTGCTCCAATTACAACAAGGTCGTTTGCGTCTCCGACTTCTCGGCAGCTGGGTTAGCTACACCGATCCCATTTCAGGCGGCAGAAAGACATGATTTGGATATAGACCAATCAGATGCCGAGTTTTACTTTATCTGGCGGGCTTGGCGAAACCGGCTATGTACCCTTCCTATCACGGCGCTATCCGGTAGCGCTGCATCGTGGCATCATTATGCTTTTTCACAATCCCGAATGGCTGAACGTCTTGAAAATGCAGTATTCGAATGCTGTGATCTGAAGCAGCGACAGCGCTCCCATCCGCTGGCCACCCAAGACCCGCTAGCAATGAGCTTAAAAGCACGTAGGTGCTGAACCACCTCCTTCTTTGGGAGTTAGCATGACGCAGACCAATATAGTTAACCTGGCCCTTAGCCACACCTCAGATAAGACGACAACAGGATAGGGGAAACGGACGAATGGTGAGCTACGATAATCTAGGTAGCGCTCTTGCCAGAGCGGAATGATGTGATCGCTTTGAGAGGCTGACCTGTCCCACGCCGGCCGTGTGCAGCTCCCTTGTTCGTTCCGAGCGAATCCAGTCCAGAACCAAAAACGGCAGAGGCACGCGATCTAGACGGGCAGCCCACATAGCGGTAGGACTAGGAGCCTAAGGAAAGTGCAGCGGAGAGGCGAACTTCCAAGCACCTTCACAGCGACCGCGGACTTGGTGAGTTGGCGCCTCGCGGCTGTGTCGATCGCGACGCCGCCGGCGAGTGTGAGCGTGACGAGGTTTCTCCTGCCTCTTGTGTAAGGTACTCCGTTCACAAAGATGACCTACCAGCCGTCTTTGCGGCTGGCAGAGGCATGAGAGGCGAAGGGGTGTGGTGTAGTGTTTTGGCGAGCGGTCCTTCCATCTCAAGTGCGATGCCGAGATCCCGCCGTGCGCACGTGTGATGCATGGTTCAAGCCGGCCTCGCTTTCAACCTCGCGGCATTTACTCATGTCACAACATCAGTACCAGCCGGCGTCAACAAAGCTTCAGGCAAGCTTCCTCATGTCGTCAAACTCACTTCGAGCATCGCGCAATAGATCGTCCCTCGAATATTTGCTGTAGCTTCCTCTCAATAAGGAACCGCTCATCGCCAAATCTCCAGGTCAATCCAATACTTCATACCATCGGGTACCGCACCATGAACAGGTCATCACATGATCATTTTGTGAGAGCTACGCTTAATACGGCGATGGCCCATTTTACATCCCCACATCAGCGTACCGAAATGACCTTCAAGTAGAGGTGCTAGCTGTTTGACAACGCAAAGCAAATGTTAACCGGAAGGGGCTCACAAAATGCAAAAGAGGTAGAGTGTAGTATCGACCCATTTGTTCTAGAAGATAATCCCAGGGCCAAGTTCCCTGACTCCATATGGAGCTTGATGCAGATGCTGACAAACGCTGCAACCTATAACCCACAGTTCACAACACATGGAAGCTATACCTATGTGTACCATGTTGGTTCCTCATTGCTCGCCGTTCATTCAATGTCGCCCTAGCCGCTCGCGTGCTTAGCGCCCCAAGCATGATCTCCCATGATCTGCTCGTATCTCAGACCCTGCGACGATCTTCATGCGGGATTTGAGGACCTTCCCTGAACGTCAAGACTCCACCGATGCCAAGAGCGCTAGAGTCAGGCTACGACCCTATACCTCCGCCATTGATTTACTGCATGGTATAGTTAGCTGCATATAGGAGGAATGATGGCTTGCGTTAGCCTACATTTTCTATGCCTAAGCTATTCTCTGGTCTTGGGCATCATTTCTTGTCCAGCTATCATGCAGGTACACCTGCTAACATCGTAGGTTTCGCTGCCAATCGAACATGTAGTCAGCTTCTGGCCATGTTGCCGCCTACCCCTACAGTCACAATCCCTTGCCTCACTGTTCGAAACTACCTTCCTGATCCGTTCCAACTCAATAGTCGACGCACAAGACCACCTCGATGGGACATGTGTTGCGATGGCGCATTATTCGCCATCTTGCAACAACAGGTGCCCACTTAGACAGCATTGAGCTCAGCAAGCAATCTTCCATAGGGAAGTTTAATCGAGCTGTTCTACATCCGCAGCTGGCCGACCTAGTACACTACTTCCTCACTCGCCATCGCAGACTATGGTAGATTGTGTAGGTACTTTTAAGAGCCACACATACACCAAAACTCAATTCCGTTGCACACGCAGCATTTCCAGCGACGGTCCGTTCCATGTCTGGTCATATCAACGGAGAATATTGCTTGCATATAGACTGTGGCAATTATCTGGTAGGATTAAAACGTTACCTCAACCGGCGATATCGTCCGGCGCCAGCCACCGCATCCTCTCCCGTCAGGAAACGAAAGCAACGTTCCGTTCACTTCCCGCTGGATCAGTGGTCACCACTTTCCTGTTCCTCGTCGCCGATCTCTCCTCAACCTCCTTCCTCATCCCTTCATTACCGGGCTTAGCACTTCATCTCTTCATACTCCAGCCTTCTTGCTGTTGTGATCGCCTCAGAACAAGGCCTCAGTATCCATTCCACACCCTGCAAGCACACAGCCTTCTGGTGTGTGAGTGTGAGCGCATACAGCGCCACCAACACAAGCAGGTCTCGACTCTCCCAACGGGCCGACCCATGTTTCTGGAAGGAGATTGGGATCATGGTCACATGGCTTATCGCAACACCTCATGCATCATGCAGGACAAGCCTCCATGAGCGCGGGACAAGCCTTAATAAGAAGGCGGATCCGGTCTTGGCGGCGGTTGGCGACCTTCCGCTCTTGGAAGGTCCCGGCGGTTAAACGGTTGCAGTACTTGAGCTGTCAGACCAGATCGTGTCTGCACTGAAAGTAATATCGCGTTTACCACAGCTTGGCGATCATCGGGCCTAAATTCACTCTTTCGCGAGTGAAATAGAAAGAATCTTATCATGTTTATCCAGTTTCTACTTATAGGTGGCTACTGACGTTTAGCTAGTAGAGTACCAGCCATATCGCTCACAGCTGTAACCCTGGTGAGAGATCCCTCGCTATTCTACGCAGAGGATATGCTAAACAAACACTGTCTCCTCTTCTGAATCCAGCTATATGCTCCGAGGCCTAATGTCGCGTTATGAGATTTTCTAGCAGGGCGATCGCCGAATGCTCTTTGTGCGACTTTAAATACATGTGCAGCCTCTTGCAGGATTAATGTCGACTCTAAGTCAATAGCTGTCATTGCATGCTGTATTCGCATCTCTTCTACTTTCTGTTGCACGTTACGGCGTTCATCTACTCGCCAAACAGCCCTTACTCGTACGATCCGGTGACGCTTGCTAACGACGCCGCTGCACTGCTTGAGTATCTCATGGTCGGAAACGATACCGAGAGAGGGGCAGCTATCGTAATGGGACACAACCTAGGCGGCGTCGTTGCATCTGAGCTTGCTTTTGGGAACCCGAGTCTAGTTAGAGTCCTTGTTCTTATTGATCCTGCCTACTACGCAACGGCTTCACTTGACGGGTGCGCTTGTTGTGACAACGCTGAAAAACGCCTCAGCTGCAACAGCGCCTGAAGTTTTCTGCGTCGATACTTGAAGAGCAGGAGTCATATGTGGTGGATATACGGCCCTGGATGGGAGTCTGGCGTCTGCACAAAATATGAGGTATGCCGGGATGCATTTTTAGTGCTGTTTTCGAGCAGCTCATCGACATCTTAGGATAGTGGAGTTCAAGTGTCGAGTATAGGTTAGAAAGAAAAGATATGCCTAAACTAGTTACAGTCGCACAGCAAAGTTCAGTTGATCTTGAGATTGAGGTTGGGTTAGCCGAAGAAGAGAGTCAATGTTCTAGATGGCGGGCACTGGCACTTCCAGACCAACGCGACGAGGTTCAATATGGTCGTTGGGAAGTGGTTCGCAGCAAGAGGCTATATCCGGGACTAGATCGTGTATGTGCAATGGACCGCTTCCTAAAGCTATCGCTGTGCTGCGTCCACGTCATGCCAGGATAGCCAGGTCGGGGTTTAGAGACTACAACCATACGATACCGTGATGGGCTGCTACAGGACTGTAATATCTTTGCGGCGGACGGTGCTATTTTGACAGTAGCCCAAGTTTCCGCTACGTGTCCAACCAGTGTAAGAATCGTGCGTGCCATACTCATGTAATTATCGTTTGTACCAGTAACCCTCGTATTTGGGGTTGTTTCTCGTAAGGATGATGCGGGAATAGGTTTTTCATACAAGTTCTCACGAAACTCACCTCGCCGTGATTTCCAATACATGCGCCTTAGTCAGTTGTTCCAGTATACTATGCGTCCAATATGAATGATGGAGATGCTCTCGAATTGAGATATGTGTATGTGGTACGGGTGGTAGCGGGAGATAGTTGCTCGGAAGCTAGTCATGATGTCAGGTCGGTGATGTTCATTCCCATTATGCGCCATGATTAGGATTAAGTCTTTGCTTGCTCGTTGACTACCATACCATGAACAATGGCAATTTGCGAGTCATCGTTGTGTTTCCATGCAAGAAGATAGCATGGTTTGTTCGATCGTTGTTGAGATATGGTTAGGTAGGGAGCCGTGGTGGCATGGGAATAACCCAAGGTTGCGTGTTTCTCTTGCATAGTCTAGCAAAATAGATAAAGGGTCTGGATGACAGCCATGTGATATCAGCATATTGTGATATCATATGAGCTCAATTGCTCTTTCTTCCGCATCATGGTATGCTTCAAGCACCCTTTGCAGCATGCGTGTCTTATTATCGAAGTCTGTAAAGATGAACATCTCAGAATCTGCCTCAAAGTGAAAACACCCCACCCGTTCGTAGCTCCCAATGTTAACTGGGCTAGGTGAGAGCAGTATACCCTGTACATATCCTTCTCCTATTGATCCGTAGCAGCAGTGGCGAAGGACGACTAGGCTGACCTCGTGAGCCAAAAAATCCAGTCCTGAGCTTGTGAAGTCGTCGAAATACATAGTACCATGGTAGTCCTTCCATACTAGAGCAGCCGACTTTGGTGGAGAAATCAGAATTGGGCGACATCTCAATGTCATGGAAGCGTTCACAAGCTCCCCAGAGGGCTTTTGATGTACACGCAGGGCTTCTATTACAGCCATGTCGAAAGTTGGTTCCAACGTTCTGTTCTCTCCAGACCATGGTGTCCAGCGCTCCACTGAATGGTTGATACTTGCCCAACTCCAAGTGGGTGCACGCCAAACAGCGGACCTCAGGGTCGTGTCTGTCGGATGCAAACCGCTTGCGGTAGACCTTCGTACCCAGCACATGTCTTCAATGAGCCGGCTTCGCCATAACCCAGCAACTAAGGCGTCGTTCATTACTTCAGCGACATCTTGTGCAACACCGTTCAACGCAACGAGTATATCTTTGTCATTCGTCAGGTGAAATCCAGAGTAACTAGCTCTAAAGTTGCACCAATATTTGTAATATTCAGATAGGTCTTCATGGCCAGTTCCGATCGTGCCTGGAAGCTCAGAGGTCCGCTTGATCTTGTAATCGTTGACCTCCCATTTCAGGATTTGACCCATGAAGCCTCGGAGCCGATAATGGCTTCGAGACTTGTGGTCACCGCTTGGGCCTTGTTCGCTAGTCATTGTTTCATGACATTCCCAGTAGAGTAACTCTTGCGTGAAATGGATAATTCCAGTACTCAAGTATCGTTCCTGCGCAACCCAGGCTCTTCTGTTCAGAGGTGCAGTACTAACAACCTCTTCAGGCGTGAACACTTCAGGCTGTATAGTATAGGCTATCAAGGGTTCATTCGTCTTCTGCCCATATATGCGATTCCTGGTGGTTTCGACTCGCATGGGTAACAGGCCTTGCGGATCGCGGTCAAAGAAGTGACCCATATTACTGTCTTTAGCGGCCGTGGCTGCAATGCAAAATATGGCTTGACTGTAGACGTCCCGCATACGAGCTGCTTCTCCCTCCCAGTCTTCCGGATCGCCTTGTATGATACATCTAGAGCGCGTGAGAGGAGACACACACATGAGCTGATCAAATGCAACGTACAGCGAATCAATCCAAAGATACTGAATTTGCATCTTTCGGGCTACATGAATGGCATCTTGGAAGGTTTTAGGAAGATTTGTCAACAAAATACCTGCTCTAAGGCGCGCAGCAGTTGTTCGAGTTAGTTTGAAAGTCTGAGAACCCCCCCAACAATGCGAAAGCGCGATGTATTGTATCGTTTCGACAAAATCTTGGCTTTCAATAAGACAGATTGTCGAAGTTTCGCAGTGCCCTACGTCAAGCACTCTTGTAGGCACAAAAGAGTTGGTTTTTCGTCTGCTCTGCCTGATCTTCCGACACTCGGTATGCGTAGCTTGGCACCGCCTGAACTGAGATAGGACAAAGTCGGTGCAGGCTTCGCTGCCGGTATTGCCGGCATTAAGGCTTGTGTCTACATGTGCAAGTCCGGAATGAGCTGGCAGGGGCCCTTGCGAGGGATGGATGTTTGTGTCAGATACTAGGTCGAAAGGTATGTAAACCTTGGTCCAATGAAAGCCAATCTTGACTTTTCCTTCTCCATCATCGCTATATTTACAGGAATATTCAGTGGGCGCCATATGAAACGTACCGCCTGAGCCATGCCCTGTTGCAAGGTAAGTCAATTATTCGCATACAATTCCACACAGTTGATCGTACGCAACCTGCGAGATATCATAGCTCGTAAACGTCTGCATATTCCGCACGACAATGCAAGAGCTTGCTGAAACGACTCGGCCGTTGTGTGATGGGCGAATCGCAACAATCCGTCTTTAGGAGGCATAACAAGGTTTTCTCCTCGGAGCAATCTCTTACACGGATCGCAAAGCGAATCTTCTGACATTTTGAGGAGTTTTGAGATGTGTGAGACGGTAAAATCATGGCATGGAGGAGACGACGTCGCGAGCGGTGGCCATGGTGTTGAGGCTGCGCGTCCCCAGATGTGAGTGGACCCACTTCCCCTAGCCTAAGCCAGGGTCCAGCGTTGCCCGGCCTTCGTACCTGCCTGTGCTCAACTTTTACGAATTGCCAAACCTCAGCATGCTGTCGCTCCCTTCTCTCTCCGCAATGAAGCGGACATGATGAACTCGTCACGCGCATTCAATCGGACTAGCCAAAACACGTTCCGCAAACCCCTCGACTTCCTCAGCAATCTCTCGCGTAACTCGGTACAAGTCCCAAAGGACAGAAAGAGAAAGGACAGCAACGTCCACAGGCGGAACACCAGCGCCAGCTCACTAGACGATACCGATCACTCTGACGTCGAGTTTTACGCGCAAATGGAGACGTCCAGGCGGAGTCATTCGACGCAGAACTCGCAGTCGGAACTGCAGCCTGCGGTACCGTTGATCGATATCGGGAGTCGCAGCAACAGCCCATACCCACGCATTCGCAGCGCCGCACAAAGTGAAGACGAAGACGATGAATACGAGCCGGCGAGCAGCATACGGCCATTGGTCAGCCACGGCGTAGGGAGAGGAAGCCATGCCTTCCGAGGCTTCTGGCAACAAGGCGGGCCTGGAGCTTTCTTTTTCAGCACATGGAGGGGCTGGCAGGTCTGGGTGGGACTGCTGGTCTTTTGGGTCGGCGGATGTAGTTTCGGGCTGCTGCTGATGAACCGCTTCATCATGCTGACGGGTGTCTACAAGTGAGGCGCATCGTGACTGTGGCTTGATACACACTAACAGGATCAGGTTCCCATTCCCTCTCACTCAATCGTACGCGCAGCTCATCATCACACACATTCTCCTCATACTCATCTCGAGCCTTCTACGTTTCTCCAGCAACCCGCTACATTTCATAGGCTTCGGCGCCGCCGTACCGCCCTCGCAACCAGCTGCGCCACAAGGAGGAGCATTTAGAGGCAACAAGAAGCCTGGTGTATATGCCTTTGCACGATGGCTGTCGAACGGCTCGGGAGGCATTGCTGGCGGAGGTCTGTTTGAGTTTGACTGGGAAATCGCCAAACAGGTGCTACCACTTGCGGTAGTCTTCATCGTGAAGGTGCTGCTGAGCAACTTCTCATTCGCGTACGAGGCCCAGAGCCCTATCACATTATTTACCGCTAACATGACATAGTTATGCACCACTTCCAACCTACCAACTGGCTCGCATCGGCATAACCCCACTCGCCGTCATCTTCTCCTGCATCCTACAAAAAGAGAACGTCAACGGCAGCATCCTCTCCTCCGCACTCGTCGCGACCCTCAACCTTTTCTTCGCTTCCTACCGCTCCAACGTCCGCGTCACCTGGGAATCCGTCGTAGCTGGCGTCTTCTCCTCCATTTTCGTCGCCCTATACCCCATCCTCCTTCTGCGCACATACCGCAAGATCGTCGCTGGCCTGGTACCTGCAGGCGATGTACTCACCGGATACCCTAGCGGCTCGGAAGAACCAGGCAACAGGGAGGAGACTCGCGCTTTCTACCGCACGTTACACTACACGTCCCTCGTGTCCCTCATGCTCCTTACGCCTATTGTGATTCTTTCTGGCGAAGTCCCGCATATATACCACAATATTCCCTTCCTCGATGTGCCCTTCTTTTGGGCCATGATGCTGTTTGGCGGCATGGGCTCATGGGCCGTTTTCTCAGGCACTTTGCTGCTGGTCAAGGCGACGTCTCCGTTGACTGCGACGTTCGTGTCTGTTCCACGAAGTGCGTTCCAGCTCGTTGCTATTACTCTGTTTAAGAGCCCGGCCCAGACTTGGATTGGCGTCATACTTTGCTGGATCAGCAGTCTGTGGTTCCTTGTAGCGAGGCGGGATGAGGGGAGAAGTAGGGATCGGTTGAGATTGGAAGGCAGATAGCTGGTGTTTGGTGATATTTTGGAATGTCTATTTCTTCACCGAAGTTTATTGTGTATCTCTGCGTTTCGGGATTGTTGCATTCATACTTCGTCTTGCATAGCGCAGCATTTGATACCTTCATTTATTGCATCTTTCACCAAGTTCATATTGCCCTGCGCTTTTCAAAACTAACGTGCCTGTCAAGGGGGGCTGAGGTTCATGGCTCTAGCAGATGTTGTGGTATTCTGCTCGATCTACATCCACGTTTGATCATTTCAAGAAATGCTGAGTACGCCCTCGACTCACCTTGGTGTTGCACTACAGGTTCAAATGCATGGTAATAATATTCATGCCGACCTCGACCCAGTCTCAAGCATCAGGAGCTCCATCAAATCTATCCTCTGTCGTCTTTCCTCTTTTCCTTTTCTTACAACCTTTCCACTCCCGATCTCCAAAAAGGTATTTAATGAACAGTATGGCACCCAAAATCAAAGAACAACTAATCTATGTTTTTCCCGGCCTCCACTGTTCTGCTGAACACTAGGCAAGGTAGTGTGCAAGAAGTTCCAAAACGAGGACGGCTATAATGATGGAAGCGAAACGTCGAGGAATCGAATGTAAAAACTTGTACTCTTTCTCAGCACTTCTCCCGACACAGCAGAGGACTGCTATACCATTCTAAAAGATGCCAACGAGTGCATCATGGTACTGAAACAGTTGTCGACCACTTTGACGATTGTTCTTCTTCTCTTCCGTCCTTCTGCAATACTAAAAGGCATTACAATAGCCGCATGTGGTCGCGGCTTCCACGAAACCCCAGAACAACAAGAAGCACGGTGCATGCGCTCTGCTCGTTCTGCTATGGTCGTTCAGCTACTCGACGTCCACAAGACGAACGCTGGTGTACCTGGAAGACGTGCGAAAATCCAGAGCATTCTAATCGAACGTCCAGCTACTCATGTTGGCAGCTTGCGAATGGTATATATACCGCTTTACCCTCTTCTTGCTCCGAATTCCTTACACCACACTTTCTGATTTGCTTCCCAAAATAAATGCCAAGAGAACGCATGGAAAGCAGAAGGTGTGCGAAAATTGGACATGTTTCCTGTGCGCGGTGACTATTTGTTTCCCTAAAACAACCTGACTACAAGGAGTGGTTCGTTTTCTCGCCGGTTCAGATGAGTAACAAAACCAGACGACTGTTTTTCTCTAACCCCGTATCCAGAATGACAAAAAGATAGAAGAGAGGAGTTGATGGCTCGGTTCTTTCCGAAAGGCGTCTACTTACCTCTATGACGATGCGCCGAACCATATTTACAAAATGCACCCCTGTTATCTTGGTCACTCTAGATGTGAGTTTATTAGTTTGGGCAGGAACATGGATGCACTTTGAGGACCACGATCATGCTAGGATGTGTTTTCGACACCGATTGTCGTTGCGTAATGCTTCATGCATAGACGGAGTAGAACTTTGACGACATCCACTGACTACCACACTAGAGGCCGAGGTGATAATCTTGCGGAGTCGAGAGCCTGGCGCTGCTACTGGATACAAGACTAGGCGTTTGCCATCTTCCAATGTTGTAGTATTTAGCAACGTGAAAATGTAGTCGATTCTGGGGGCCGAGGTATCGCAACGCTTTCGCCAATCCCGTGGTGGTCGTTGTTTGCCGTAGGAACTTTCCGGTGATGGCGCGCACGTGGCTGTTGATTCGCCTGACGCCGGTGTCAAACTTTGTTCGTTTCCAAACATCCAGGTATAATCTCTTCCAACATATGGCCTGATGTTTTGAATGAGGATATTCTTTCAAATCTTTTAGCTTCACTTCGTTGGTTGCACCGAACAACTCTCCGTCACGCCGCAAATAACCTCGAATACGTCACTAGACAGGCATAGATAGAACTTCGACTTTGTAGAACCACGCAATACCTAGGTATTGTAGTAGCAGCCATGTAGCGTACAAAACCACCAAATGGGAAGTCGTCGCAGCTTGTCAACCGCGGTGAAAAGAAGTGCGGGGTCGATCTTCACACAGCCTGGAGTGATCCCCCATATTCCCCTTAAGCCATATGCTGCCGGCTATTCCCGCAAGCCCTACATATGCTAAAGAATACGAACCCGAAGCTAAGAAGTTTGTATTGTGGTTTTCGATACACTAAAACGGAGGCGTAGCGGCAAAAGAAGGCGCAAACATGGCGATCGGCTGTGCGCTACTGACCCTTGATCCTCAAAGGCGTCCGTCAACGCCTGTCACAACGATCACTTTGCGCCACCGGACTGCATCAGACCTCTTTTAGAGCAAAAGCAATGTCTGGCTCGAAGCCCGTAGTACCAAGCAATGCTTTGTACCTGACAGCTGGTAGCTTCGTATAGGGGTGATCTACATGGCACGATGCGCGTGAGCTACTCAGGGTGGGTGTTTAGAGCATGCTTTTGACTGTCGGTTCAACTCCAGCGCTCGAGTCGTGGGGGTGCCTCCGTATTGAAGGATGTGTATATAATACGATGCCACTCTCGTGAGGGAGTTACTTTTGGCAAGCAGATCATCTCATCATCATGAAGCTCACCACCTTTACCGTTGTCGCCGCCCTCGCTGCGCCATTCGTCCAGGCTGCCCCAACTGAACTTCGACAGCTCGTCAACAGGCAAACACGGCCCAAGGAACTCAGTATATCATACCAACCATGTTCCAGATCTTCATTCGCTAACCCGAGCAGTTCAACCCGAGCTCTACCCCGTTTTGCAACGATACACCAGATATGCTGTAGCATCACTCGCAACCTTTGTGTACGGGTTCGGAACATGCAAAAGCCCTCCCTTCGAATCAAAACTTGTTCGGACAGTAGTCAGCAACATCCTATCCGACACACAAATCGCTGTATTCCAAGATGATGCCGCCAAAGAATTCATCGTGTCCTTCCCAGGCACAAGTTCAGTGCAAGATTTCGGAACAGACTTCAATTTCTTCTTCATGCCCTTCGACACTGCACCAGGCTGCACCGGCTGCCAAGTCCATGGAGGTGTTCTGAACGGTTGGCGTTCCGTTCAAGCTGGTCTCACAAAGGCGCTTGCTGAACTCCGAGCCGAGGAACCAACTTACTCCACCATCATCGTTGGGCACAGCCTAGGAGGTGGTCTTGCAAGCATCGCCTATACAGATCTCAAATCCAATGGTATACCTGTAGAGGCCGTATACACCATGGGCTCACTCCGTGTCGGCAACCAGCAATACGCCGATTTCACGGACAAACTGTCGGGCGCGAGCGATACCCAACTTGGTAGCCTCATCCGCATTACACATCGGATTGATGGCGTACCGGGTCTGCCGCTCACCCCTATGGGCTTCGTGCACACGCGCACTGAGATCTATGAGCTGGATACCGCACTGGTTGGTGGAACGCAGAGTGCGGCGACTACGTTCCGCTGTTATGGCCAGGAAGCTCCTGATTGCAACAAGGGTACTGCGGTTGGTTTTATTAACCAAGATCATCTGGTCTACACTGGTATTGACATGACGACTCCAGAGCAATGTAACAACTGAACTCTCGTTTTCCAATCAGCGAGAATTGATTGAGCGCTCGTTACAGGCCGCAGATGATGACTTTTCATGATGGTAGATGCTTGTAATGTAATCTTAATTTTGTTCTCGGCGTATCATAAACGCAACAAGACCGAGATCGTATCCTTTTTTTGTTCTTCTCATCTTAATGCCAACATGCATGCAACACAGAGGCTTGATAAGTCATATGCAGTGCTTCTCTGTAACATATCCCACATCCCTGATTCTGGCCCGAGTAATGATCGAGTGGTCTAGCGTCTCGAGAATCGCTCGGCCTTTGGCATCGGACTGGAGCGTCTTGCATGCTATGCTTAAAGGGAAATCCGCCGATGCGACCCCGTATAACATGAAGTCATCTTGCAATATATATTCCATGCTCTTGTATATGCAGGTGCTAAGCTCGATGCGCTCCTCTCGAAAAGCTTCTGCGCTGTACGCCGCCCCGTCGTGCACTGCATGCTTCAAGTGTGGGAATCTTTCCAACAAATCTTCGATCTCGGTAAGGCAGAGCACTTGAAAAGCCCAAAAGTAGACAAACACGTTTGCAGTCCCAAGACTCGGGTACCATAACGACTCGAATGTACCGCCAAGGTTTTGTTGTATATTCCGAGAACAATAAAGTGGTTCCGCAACGTTTGCGAGAAAAGAATTATCCCAGGCTTTGAGACGCGATATGCTTCCCATCAGCTCTGTGATGAGTTGATCGGCGGTTGCTGCAGCGCGATCACACGAAGCAGGGAGTATAACGTCGACTTTCTCCAGGATGCTAGGGATATGTGCAGCGGCACCTAGTAGACTCTGCAAAGGGGCCGGTGGGTGATATTGGAAGGGCAATGTGAGCCATGGTTCGTCTGCGAAGAAAGTCGGCTTGCGAAGTATAAAGGCTCTAGCTATCTGGCACATATGACAATTAGACGAGACATGATGCCAATGTAGCTGTATACTCACCAGCAGTGGTCTGAAGCCCATAAGCATAATGTGCTCGATACCAGATTCGAAAGTTTCGGGCGGCATGAGTTGTATCATTTTGCTGACGCCTTCAACATGTACGAGCCAACTAGATTCTTGGGTTGGTGATAACACCTATCACGATTATACTGTTAGCTTTTGTTCCAACTAAGTGCACTTCAACAGACTGCCAAAGGCATCAGTGAGCGATAGTCTCGGGCCTTGGCGAGATTACCTCCGTAAGAGCCAAACACATGACTGCTGCCACGAGTTTACTGTTGTAAGTATCTCCCGCCATCGCGAGATTGTGTCCCAGAAGGCGGAGGCTTTCCTCGTATTGCACTGCTGTGGCATCCAGAAGGTTCTCATGATTTCGAAAAGCGGCAAGGGATAATGCAAAAGCACTCACGGCTGAGGCTAAACACTGGGAAAACGGGCCTGTCATGTCGGCAGTCAGTTCTGGCAAGGCCAAGGCCCAGGAGCCGCAGAATCGTGAACATTGCTCAGCCGCATCTGGCAAGTCAAATTCCAATTCATGTAGCGGGATGAAGTTGCGCAAGATCAACGCTACTTTGTCTTGTATCGTAGAGAGGCCTTGCGGATGAGGTCGATCCAAAATTGGCGAAGAACCGGATAAACTGGTTTCCTTTTGGGAAAGTGTAAGTGAATCCTTAGCCTGAGCAGACCCCGATTCGGCGACGGAAGGACATTGCGCATACGCTGAGACCGACTGTGTCGTCTGCGATACCTGTTTCGGACGCGTCGCCCTTGGCTTTGCTGCCGTTTTGGTCGCAACGAAGGGTACGAATAAGGCATCTGGATACCCTTCGCATGTTCGTTTACCGAAAACGCACTGGGTACATGCTGGGCGTTTGCCGTCGCACTGTTGAAAGACCAATAGAATTAGTCTACATGTCGCAGAGATACGGAATGATATGGACAGACCTGGAGTTTGCGTTTACGGCAAGTATCACAGAGATTCTTTTTTCTGACCTTCATGCCAGAGGTATGCGTCGGTGAGCGAATGAGCGACCGCGATATGGTACCGCAATCGGAAGCTAGGGATGAGGTTCGGGTTTTCAGTCCTGAAACGAATAGTGTAGGGTGGGGCACTGCCGCAAGAGCTGGTTTACGACGACATTAGCTGAGGATGCATCGCTTGGACGTTGGGAGGTAAGACTGAGAGCTCAGTGACGCAGGCACATTGCGGGAAGTAATGCTGCCTCTTTGAGCTTAGCGCCGGCTTAGCTGTCCAGAGGTCAGAGCCGTTCCGACATTACACTTGATTGATCTTAGCGCTTGCCGCTATAGCGTCACAACACCCAGCTATCGTCGGCACCTCCTCTTCACTTTACCAGCCCTCATCAAATCATGCGAAAATTCTCTTTTGATGATCAAGCAACGCATCGGATTATTCATCGGCGTCCAACTTCATGTGGACTAAAATCCACTATGGACTTCATCACTGGCGAGCGTTGATATAAAGCCAATGGCTGCATTCCAGTGAATTGGAGGACATCAGCCCGATACTAGACCTCCCACCCTTCTATCATCAGTATTCTACAATTCGATCCGTATCGTAATTCCCACGCGCAATCATGTCGGCTTCCACGTTCAAGAACAAAATCAGCATCACACACATCGGAACGGCTACCGCCATCCTCGACATCGATGGCATTACTTTCCTTACCGACCCCTTCTTCTCTCCAGCTGGTACCGAATGGGATGATGTCGCAGCACTCAAAGTTCACGATGACCCTGCTCTAAAGCTAGACGAGCTACCACACATCGACGCCGTTCTCCTGAGTCACGAGAACCACCCCGATAACCTCGACGAGTTTGGACGTCGACTCCTCGATGGCCGTCACGTCGTAACAACCAACGATGGCGCAAAAAACCTCGCACCGCGACCCAGTGTTCTCGGATTCAGCGATTGGCAGGAGAGGGATGTTCGCATCGCCGGGAAACCCTTCCACATCACTGCTACACCCTGCAAGCACTGGCCCGGACATGAGTGCGTCGGATTCATTGTACATACTGAGGACTTTGGGGTCGCAGCCGATGGCCGCCCGAATGCTATCTACTTTTCTGGCGACACGGTATACATCGAAGAGCTCGCAAAAATCGCGGACAAGTACCATATCACTGTCGCCCTTATGAATTGCGGTAAAGCAACTTTCTACGAGTTCACCGACGAGGGCAAACCAGGTCAACCAGGCGATGTTTTACAGATCACCATGGATGGTCGACAGGCTGCTCACCTCCTTCGCGACCTTAATGCGGATGTTCTTGTTCCCATGCATTACGAGTCGTGGGACCACTTCAAACAAGGTGGAAATGAGCTTGCACAGGAATTCAAGGAGGAAGGTGTCTTGGAGAAGGTTCGTTGGTTGAAGCCTGGTAAGGCTGTAGAGATCAACTGAGCTGGAAGGAAATATAGGAAATAGTCATTTTTGTAGAACCAAATATATTACAGTAGTGATTGAGCGATCAAAGATACTACTCATGACCTCTATAGAATCGGATACGATACGTGAATCCCTCGAGGCATATCATTCAACTTATCTTCAACTCCAGCAAAACTCATGGATACATCTAGGGTTGCAAACAATGCATGTACGCCAGGAAGACACTTGTTTGCAGATCTATCGTTCGTATATCTCTACTTGAAATAGTGCAAAGTAAAATTCATCGACAAAGCAAATGGTTACACAAATACATTGAACTATGGTGGCGACTTCCTGGCAAAGTCTCCCGCATTACGTGTCGTGTAACTTCAACAGCAACAACTCGGCCGAACCGAAAGTCTGCAAAATCTTTCACAAGATCTGCCAGCGAGCAGAAGATGAACTTTTGTGTATATGATACAACTTATGGGTCGGCATTTGGTACCATCTTTAGCCTAGCGCCATAGCCATCTAGCCCCAAAACATGGCAGGTCCTCAAACAAACCATGACTCTAGTATCTGATTATCAATCTGTGAGAGAATTCGGACGAGGAAAGAATTACCTCATCTTGTACATGGCTGGAGCAATTTGTTATATATAGTTCCAACCTGCTGGGACGACCGACAAGCACCTCCTTGCAGAACCTGGATAAAATCAACACGCCTTTCTTGGTGATCTTGGACAAAGACAAAGTTATCATGTTTGGAAGAAAAACCATGGAAAACTACGAAAGTAAAGTCTTGTCGACAACACCCGACCATGACCAGCCGGTCTATGAAGATGTAGGGTCAGCGACTTTGGCGGCTTCGAGCTTGAGTGTTGAGGAGCAACCTCAGGAGGGAGTAGTTGCCCAGGCACCACCAGAAGGGGGCTTGGTAGCCTGGCTTGCAGGTACGTCGCAAGATCGTCCGGGACGAGTTCATTGAAATGCTAATTTCGTTACTCCGATAGTGGTGGCTTTCTTCCTCGCCATTATGAATACATGGTAAGAAACCAGCTGAGCAAACTCAAATCTTCGAACTTTGCTGACCACCTCAAAAAGGGGCATGATTATCTCCTACGGTGTCTTCCAAACCTACTACGTCTCGACACTCCACAAAACACGATCCGACATCGCTTGGGTAGGCTCCATAGCCGTCTTCCTCCTCTTCTTCACAGGCATTGTGAGCGGACGCCTTACAGACGCCGGTTACTACCGCTATGTCACAGGCACTGGCGCGTTCCTAGTCGTACTAGGAACCTTCATGACATCCTTGAGCGAGACGTACTGGCAAGTCCTCCTCGCTCAGGGTGTCTGCACGGGTCTAGGAAACGGGTGTTTGCTTACGCCTATGTCGGCGCTGGTAACGACGTACTTTAAGAGGAGACTTCCGCTGGTTACAGGTATAGCTGCTTGCGGGAGTGTAACCGGAGGTCTCATCTACCCTAGTATGGTGCGGACGTTGCTACCTACGATTGGCTTTGGGTGGACGTTGAGAGCGATTGGCTTCATACAATTGGGGACTTTCGCGGTCGCTTTGGTATGCGGAAAGCCGAAGAAAGCGCCTAGGAAGTCAGGCCCGCTTTTGGATCTCTCGGTCTTCAGGGAGACTGCGTTCAATCTACTCCTTGTGGGGTCTTTCTTGGTAGGTTCTTCACGATACGTCCTTTTACCCATTCATAAAGCGTGGGCACCTTGCTGACAGAATCGCAGGCTTTTCTGGGTGTGTTCTTCCCGTTCTTCTTCCTCAGCTCCTACGCGCGAGAAAAGCGGGGAATGTCCTACACTGACTCGCTCAACCTTACCCTCGTCCTGAACGGCATCGGGTTTGCAGGTCGATTATTACCCAGTCTGATTGCCCGATACTGCGGTACCATGAACGTTTATATTACATTCATCTTCTGCTCTGCACTATGCATGTATACCTGGATCCCGGTACACTCCGCCCCCGGACTATACGTGTGGACAACTTTCTACAGCATGTCTGTCGGAGGTGTTCAGTCTCTCTCACTAGCCATCGTTCCTATTATCATCTCTGATACGTCGAAGATGGGAGCCTCGTTCGGGATTGTGTTTGCGGCTATTGGAATTGGCGCGTTGCTGGGTTCGCCGGTGTGTGGTGCTATCATCACGTCGAATGGTGGCTCGTACACTGGTGCACAGGCATTTTCAGGGAGTGTGTTGGTGGCTGGGGGACTTATCATATTAGCTGCACGCGAAGCGAAGAGGAGGCAGAAACAGGAAAACGTTTGGGTAAAGATGTGAGGGCCTGCACTGAAGCTTGAGATGTCCTGGGTGTCTTATTGTTGTAGTTTTAGCTTTCCAATGCCTTACCGGATAGACGCCTATATTTTCCAGTGATGCGTTCGCTCTGCTGTCTCGCACCCGTGCCACTGTCTTGACAGGGTCTGTGTTTGAGAATAATGATGAGGATAGATCCTGAGCTAAGATGACGTAGATCCTGTGATAACGCGTCGTTGTTTACGCGTGTCCCACGTGTTGAGTGCCCCACTTTTACCCTTCGTCGTGGCAACCTCCGCCGAGTGGAGCGCCTAATTTGGCAAACAACACGAGGGGCATATTCGTCGCGACAACTGCACGTTTACAAAAATACTCGCAGATTGACCCGACGACTGGATTAGTCGATGAGTCAATGCACCCAACGGAAATACCGTGCGCCGTTCCGACCGGTCGACACCTTTTCCTCCGCACAGAAGCCCGCATTCAAGACCCCAGCGGCAACCAAACATCCCTACACATCGGACGATAGCGACTATCCTCACGAACAGTCAACCTCTCTACTCGGCGATTCGAGTACCCTCTTTGACGATATCGAGAGTCCTGCGAGCCACACAAAGCAGAAGGAAGACCTCCAACGCAGACTGAAGATGGTGCGTGAGCGTGAGCCCCCCGTGGCTCCAGCACCACGCGATGGAAAAGCGCCCCCGCCAAAGCCTCTACAGGAGCTCAGGAACCCCGCACCACAGTTTGGAGAGACGAGCCCGCTCAGGAACCCACTGAAGAAGGACCGGGGCGAACAATTTGCACACCTCTTCAATAAACCCAAACCAGGACAGATGCGGCCGGAACATAGGCAGACGACTAAGCTACCGTCGCAATACTCCGCGCCCTCTAGGCCTTCACAGAGTTCAAGTTCGAGCCAGAGCATGGATACCCTTAACCGACCCTTCAAAGTGCCATCCGCACAATCAAGCTCACGCTACAGCACAGCCTCTACCTCGTCTACTAGCTCTGGCATCTTCGAGATTCCCGCCTCACAGTTTCAGCCTAGACCATTTCAAGGCGGTCCAGTACCTATCGCCAGACCGTACAACCCCGCACCAAAGACTAGTCTCCCACCTCCCCGACCGATATATTCTTCCATGGGCCACGCTGATGGCTTCGCACCATTGAACAAGGGGACACATAACCCGCTACAGCAGGCGCGTCAGACGGTAATCTTGGACGATGAAGACAACTTTGACCCAGATGAGGCCATCCGAGCAGAGGGTGGACGATTTGGCGAGCCGGACCCGTACGCCTACGTCGACTCTGGTGCGGCTAGCGAGAACATCAAAGCGCTGCTTGAGGGCGCTTTTGATGAGGACAACGAGAAGATTCCGAGGACGCGACTTCGTAAGAAGAAGAAGCAACAAGAGGAAGACGCTGGCAACTCCCTAGCTGACCGGCTACAAGCGCTTGCTGTCAAGGATGAAGAGGCGAAGGCAGAGGCCGAACCAGAGGAAGAAGAGGAAGAAGACGACGGCACAGTCGAAGGTCTCAAGGTGAAGCTACTACCTCATCAGGTAGACGGTGTGGCCTGGATGATCGAGAAGGAGACGGGTAATCACAACAAGAAGGCCAAGTTGCCCAAGGGTGGTATACTGGCAGATGACATGGGTCTCGGAAAGACTGTGCAGTCTCTTGCCCTCATCCTATCGAATCCTCGGCCAGAGAAAGGTGTAGAGCCAGAAAACAAGAAGAACAAGATTTCCGACTCCACCGGCAAAGGCACACTCGTCATCGCTCCACTAGCACTGATCAAGCAATGGGAAGCCGAGATCAAGAGCAAGGTCACTAAGTCACACGCCCTCAAAGTCCTCGTACACCACGGCCCCAACCGCACAGAATCAGCTGAGAAGCTGAAGCAGTATGACGTCGTCATCACCACCTTCAACAGCTTGGCTACCGACTACGCGAAATGTGGTGATGGCCCCGATGGTCTGAAGAAGGGTTGTTTCGCCGTCTCATGGTATCGCATCATGCTGGACGAGGCACATACCATCAAGAATCGTACCACAAAGATGGCTAAGGCTTGTTACGAGCTGCGTTCACATTACCGATGGTGTCTTACTGGTACACCGATGCAGAACAACATTGACGAGCTACAGAGTTTGATCAAGTTCCTTCGTATACAACCTTACTGCGAACTTTCTGCTTGGAAGGATTCTATAGCGCAACCAATGAAGAACGGTCGCGGCAACCTTGCCATGAAGCGACTTCAAGTCTTCTTGCGTGCTTTCATGAAGCGTCGGACAAAGGATGTGCTACGAAAGGAGGGCGCGCTCAACTTCGGCGGCAAAGCCAAGGAGGGAGAGGAGAGGCCAGCTTTCCACATCGTTGCGCGAAACGTTGAGACCATCATAGGAGAGTTCACGACTAAAGAGCGCATCTTCTACGACCGGTTACGAGACCGCACACAAGCCCGTCTTGATGAGATGATGGGTGGTGAGAAGCAAGATTATATTGGAGCGTTGGTATTACTTCTCCGTCTGCGCCAGGCTTGCAATCATCCAAACCTCACAAAGAGCAACGTCAAAGGTGATAAGGATGCTTTGACAACCGGCTCGAATTCGAATGCTGCAGCTGGCCTTCAAACTCCTAGGAAAGCAGCAGCCAAAGACGATGCCGACGACCTTGCGGATCTCCTAGGTGGGCTCAGCGTTGCGGCCAAGCGCTGTGACATATGCCAGAACCATCTCAATAGTGACAACACAGCTACTGGTGGAGCCCGTTGTATAGAGTGCGAAGAAGATCTTCTAGGGTCTACTAAGAAGTAAGTCAACATCGAACGGAGCCCCATCAACGCGGTATACTAACAGACGTTAGACACAAGTCGAAGAAACACCGCAAACACAAGCACAAGGATGGCAAGTCCAAGAAGGATCGGCGGCCAAAACCAGTCGTGGACTCCGATGACGAAGAAGAGGCAAAGCCTGCCGCCGCGAAACATTCCCGCAATCGCCGCGTCGTGGTCGATAGTGATGACGAAGAAGAGGAGGGCGAGTGGCTCGTTCCTGAAGAACAGCAACATGCTGAGGACTTAGGCAAGGCTGGTGGTACCGACGATGAGAACGCAGAAGGTGGTGGTGACACGCTTGCTACAGTAGACTCAGACACATCCGAGGATGAGGATCAGAGCAGGAGCAACTTGGACTCGTTCGTCGTTCACGACACTGATAGCGAGGATGATGCACCTGTTGCTCGTAAGAAGTTGGCTAAGAAGTCACAGAAAGTCGTCAACCTTGATTCCGACGATGAAGACGCCGATAGCGAGGAGGCTGACAGCGAGAGCGACGCTGATTCGGACGCGTCGAACTCTGAATCCAACTCAGAAGACGATGCCTCGGACTCCGAAACCTCAGAATCCTCTTACAACGCCTCGGACCTTGTGCCATCTACCAAGATCCGCCAACTACTTACCATTCTCGAAAAGGAGACTGACGAACACAAGGTCATCGTCTTCTCACAGTTCACGTCGATGCTTGATCTTATCGAGCCCTTCCTCAAGCGCGCAGGTTACAACTTCACTCGCTATGACGGTAGTATGCGCAACGACCTCCGCGAGGCGAGTCTACAAAAGCTCCGTGAAGACAAGCGCACACGAGTCTTGCTGTGTAGTTTGAAATGCGGTAGTCTTGGCCTCAATCTTACGGCTGCAAGTCGTGTAGTCATCATGGAGCCATTCTGGAACCCTGTAAGCACCTTTCCATCTCTCCCATTCTCAAAGCATACTTACTAACACACAACAACAGTTCGTCGAAGAACAAGCCATCGACCGTGTCCACCGCCTCAACCAGACCGTCGACGTAACAGTCTACCGCCTCAGCATCCACAACTCGGTTGAAGAGCGCATCCTCGAGTTACAAGAAGCTAAGCGTAAACTCGCCAATGCAGCTATTGAGGGCGGCAAGGCTATTAAGAACCTCACTATGAAGGACATGATGGCGTTGTTCAGTCGCGAGTCGGAGTACGATAGGAAGCATGATGATGATGCGCAGGAAATGGCTATGTATGGCCGGAGGAAGGTGCTGGAGGATGACGAGGGGGCTGGCGAGGATATTGTTAGGAAGGCGAGGAAGGCGGGTAGTCTGGGGTTTAAGAGGACGGAGAGGAGGGAGGAGGGGGGTGCTTATGGGCGGAGGTGATGCTGTTAGGAAGGGAGGCTTTGCCGGTGCTATCCGCGTTACGATGGGCTGTGGATATGATCAGGCGTTATAATATGGTTTGTGGTTGATCACTCATTCTCGTCTTCGGCGTACGAAGTAGCAGATCAGCGTTATTCTCTAAACAGGTTCACGCATTCTTATTTGCTATGACTCTGATATGGGTATGGAACAAGCAACAACCTTGTTCGAGTATTTGAGTGGTCGCGACAGGAATGTTCAAATGATGGTTATGTCGCGTTTTGGTATGTTGTTGAGAGGGTCCCCGTGATCACCGCAATCGATGCTCACGAGTCCTACACGCCTAAAGTGAGAGGAGGGTAGACGTAAAAGCAGTAGACCGAACATGTTTTGCTTCCGTGTCGACTGTTTATCTACTTCCGTGACGATCGGGACAAAGTATGCCTCTCGCAGTCCTTCATCGTCTATGGTGTCGATCCAGACATAACATTCCCAGACTCTTGATGTAAAATTCGCGATCGTGATCGAACTATACGAGTCCTCCGGCGCCGCTTGCAACACGATTCCGAAAGGGCTGTAGGTCAAAGCCACTACTGCCAAACATGCGCGCACTCTGATTAAGCCGACCGTCACTTGACCGAAAGGATCTTGTGGATTCTTCAGCGTCGTCGAACATGCCAACACATCCATTTCGTGCATCGCGTTGTAAACGCCATAACCGTATCTGATACCGGTGCCGATAGCGCTGTGTTTGTGGACTGACGCCCAGCTCCACGAGGGAGCTATAAAGGCTTTCGATCGGACAAGCGGGTAGACGCAAATCCATGCAAGACTATTGGGCAAATCTTTACTCCACAAGCCTGCCAGATAATCAGATGGTCTCCTTTTGCAGATCTCCTGCGCCATTCCAGACAAGGCAATCAGCCTGTCAGTGTCGAATGTAAGGTTGCACGACGAATATCTTGCAGTAAGTTGACTCCAGTATTTGAGAAATCCATCACTCTCGGATGACATGTTGGTTGAAGGTAGATGTTTCACCATGCCATCCACCATCGATCGTACATCAATCAGCTCGCCATTTGGAAATGCCTCAGAGGCTCGGAAATCTCTGCACTCCCAAAAAACCTGGGTTTTGGAGAAATGTGCAACCCGAGGTGACAGAACCCGCTCCTGTAGAACCCACCCCCTACGGTTGACTGGTGCGCACTCCACTTCGTCTTCCCAGACGTCGCATGGACATATTATCCATGTGGTTGTTTCTGTCGCGCCGCGAGCCGGACCATTAACATAATGCAAATGCCGCGACAAATCACGACTGCTGAAGCAGCCTTGACTACAATCTTCTGCCCATGTGGCAGATATATTGAGCTGGGTGTTTGCGTAAATTTGGCCCATCATGCTCGACTGTTGTCGCCAATCTTCAGGGTTGTCTTGGAATATACACATACAGTCTATCCACAAGTACCGGAATCCAAGGCGAGTGGTAACATCGGCCATGTCCTGAAACGTCTGCTGTAGATCTGATACGGGTATACCCTGGCGGAAGGTTTCAAAGTTTCCGGCTGTCAGCTGCAGCTTCTGGCTAGCTGTAGGTCCCCAGCAATGACTAAGGGTCAGGTATCGATTGCTCTCAAGTTCCGAACGGGGCCTCAAGCGTATCTTAAGGTCTTTGTCCGAGCCGCATAGTTCAAGCAAACGCGTCGGCATCCAGTCTCTATCGCGGGTCTGGTTACATTGATCATGCATGATAGTACATGTTTCAAGCCTGGATCTGATCAGTGAGATCGTCTGAGAGGAACCTGTATTGTCGGAAAAGGCCGTTGCTAAGTTACCATTTCGCTGCCCTGACGAACCGATAGGAGCAGACAGCGATGGCACGAGCTTGAGGTAACAGGCGAAAAGACGATTAGGGCCTTCCAAAGGGTGCTCTGAACTACTAACAGCGTCCGCAGTTGAGTAATCGACCAAAAGCAAGAGGGTATCTTCGGAGTTGGAGCCCCCCAAACGCCACATGGTAAACGGATCGGAACAAGACTGGCTCCATTCAATGGATTCCGCAACGAAATATTCCTTTATCCCACAACATAGAGAACAGTCTTCCTCAACAGATTGGGCAAGGTTGGCAGGCGAAGAGTGATGAGGAACATAGTCCTCGGCCCCCCATATCTTCTGAACCGTATCTTGGCAGACTGCACACAACATAAGGAAGATGAAGGCACCTGACAGGGCTCGGCTTCCTCAATACTGTAGAGCCGCGATTTCCGAAGGCCGGTCGCTTCGCAGGGTATATGCTGTCGACGATCTGGAGGTCCGCAGTTAACGTGAAGGCAAAACTTTATTGTCCGCGCTGTTAGTTCGTGAGCTCAAGCAAACAAATATATGAACTCGCAGCATCAGGTTGCGAGTGTAGGTCGTCAAAGAGTGTCTTCATGCTTCATGTGAATGATTCGCAAGGATGCAAACCGGTGAAAGGTGCGGGGAAATCGTCTAGCTAACCCTGTCGCGGACGCCTTGCTAGTTGCCACTGGACAACACTTCTAAGTTGGCCTACCACGACACGCACAATAATCTTGTGTATGCCGAGACTTCTATCGCATTCGCCGTGAAATTCTTAACGCCTGATGACTATCCCGTCATGCAATGGCCTACATGTCTGCGTTTGACCTGGCGACATAGAGTGGGGAAAGCTTCGATCGTGGGAGAAGTTTACGCAAGCTGGATATGGCTATTCCTAAGTATCTTCATTTACACACGGCCACTTGTGCAAAAAAAATCTTCGTTTCTCAAAGGCGATGAGCTTCTCAAAAATGCATAGGGTAATACTTGCACTCTTTGTGGATAAATCACATATGGCAACCGAGCTAGTATGATTGAGTCCTTCTGGTGTGACCTATTTTAGTGACTAACTACAACTGACCTCGTAACCAGAATCCTACCGCTTGTATCTTGACCGACAAGCTCTTCCTCACTACCACCACTATTTCCACGAGCTGCGATATCGGTGCTCATCGTCTTCATCGCAAAACCATATTCGTCATCTGTGTTCCCTTTCGTCGCTGTTCTCCCGTTCTCCGTGGTTTTGATGTAGCCGCGGCTGTTGTATGCGTGTACCGGGGTATTACTGTAGACAGCTTTGGCTTTTCGGTACAAACCCGGACCGCAGCCGACCATGATAGCAACAGATGACTCGATGATGCTCCACAAAGCAAGCCATGTCAACGAAGGCGTTGTGTTATTTGCCCCAGTAGTTGCGCCAACTTGTATCACTCGGACAATACTTGCAATGATGACGGGAATACCCAGTGCGAAAAGGCCGCCAATTTGAATCTTGCGGGCTAGAGGTATTTGGAGGTTCCGTATGATACCGATTGGAAGTAACATGACTGTTCGACATGTCAGTACATCGTCTTACTTGGAGAACACATAGGAAAGCCTACTCATGAGATCTGTTGTCAAGTCCACGGCAAATCCTTCCCAGAAGCTAATCAAACTCTTCCTGACATTGTCAGTGCCGCATCCATTCGCAATGAATCATGATGATGGTGAGGGTCCACAAGCAGTAATGTGTAATATGACGGAAAGTATCAGGGTCTAGCCTTCATGTAAGCGAAAGTCATTACTATGACAATAGAAAGGATTTAGAATACTTACAAGTACGCAGTAACCAAGCACCACCCACCATAGCGCCAGGTACAGCTTTACACCAACCATGATCCTCTTGTAAAAGGCCAGTAAAGAGAACTTGATGCTCCATAGAGTGAGCCACAACCCTGGACTGGTGAAAAAGAACGTCTTCTGTGCGTCGAATGCATCTTCACCGATATTTGGGTATGGGTCGAGGCGCCCCTCTTGAACGGCTAGAAGTCGAAACAAAAGGCTAGTCTTGTTGATGTAGACGCCGGTCACGGCCATGAACAACAAATATCCTACTATCAGCCATATTTCGTCCCATTGAATGAGTTTCTTCTGGTCGCTTCGCAGTATAGCTCGTGCAAGTACCATGGTAGTTGTCACAACCATGAGACCGATAGCGGTACCACGAAGGGTAGTTTCGGTGAGGCCGTCCGAAGACATGCTAAACTATTGGAAGATTCTACTTACAGAGCAAAAGTTGCGCGCAGAGAGTGACAGTTGTTGCTTTTGAATGACAACAGAAACAGACACGTTCGCACCTCGACCTCCTGAGACTTGCCGTGAAATGATGCGTACCCCCACACCCCCGCCAACAGTCCTGTTTCCATGTTTGATCCATTAGCTGAAGGATCACGAGGGCGATGCACCTACCAGGCAAGGTCGAACATCATTTTTAACTTCCAGTGCTGACCTTTGGGTAAGGCGTCACGGGCCGTATGTTCTGATACGTACACATTTGCATCAAGATGAAGGCTGAAAACCCACAAGTGTAATGGCCACTAGAACTGGAACCTCATATTTTGCATAACCAGCTCAGTTGTGTACATTGTTTCTGCTGATTGCAACGGGAAGCAGGTGGCGACAGAATTCTTGGGCAGATCTTCCGTCAGACCGGTTTAGACACAAGCCGTCCTTGTCACTGGAAGCTTAGAAGTTGACTGAATGAGGCATCATGCATAAACGAGTATCCAACAAGGAATGTCTCCGAAATGATGACCAAGATTGAGTCCTTCCGATGTTGTGGTTCGCAGACATAGGCCGAAGGATGGTGGCAACGAAAGTAGAGCCGTCTAGCCGAACCGCAGACACGTCCGTTTGCTTGAATTATGCTCCACAACATGGAGCCGCAGGATGCACACGTGCTGTAGCGGGATGTTCTTGGGATGGAAGGGCTGGTGAAAAAAGAGGCAGGCGGAATCCTTGAAGCGCTAAGCCTGCGTGAGCCAATCGCGGAAAGCCTGTGACTGCCGCTAGCGACCATCTCCCTCTTGAAGGATTGATGTAATATGATCCGAACTGCAACATTACGGCGCAGTCGTGCCTGCGTGGGGTATCCATTTTGGCTTGTACGTATCGACTTTTGGTGAACGATGAAAGGACACGTTGGACATAGCTGCCACTGAGCATGCGAGCCTCATAGCAAACGGTTTTGTCTTCCACATCTTTTCCACGCATTCTATGAGACACAGAGTGGCTCACACCGGTTGAGCTACGCGTCCTCCCCACGGCCCGCCGACTAGGTTTCTACCACTAGTATCGGACGGCACGGATGCGCGTGCGGAAGGCGAGGGCGAGGCTGCGCTCAAGCCGGACCCCTTTGGTGGCAAGCAGCGACAAATTCGCTTGCGCAGATTGAATCCCTTAAACTTCTTTCAGATAGGCCTTTGATTCTTGAGAGAAGGGCACCAGAACGCTATGCATCTATAAAGTCAGATGTGCCCGCGTTCAGCGATGGCTCACCACCATCTCGTCGGCACCAACTCCAGTCATTATGCGATCCTTTCTGTTCGCGACGTTGGTCTCGCTCGTGGCTTCGCAGGCCTTCGAGGCTGCCGACTTCAACGTCACCGAGGCTCTTCTTGATCAAGGGGTCAATGTCTCAGCATTGCCAGAGTTAGCCAGTCTTGTGGAGCGATCTTCGAATTTGGCTTGCAACATTGCCGTAAGTACTCTTGAGCCAGACTATGACAAAAACTGAAACAAGATACAGTGCTCTTCACTCGAAACAATTTACGGAAACAAGTCTATCGAATTCGAAAATGAGGCTGGCTACTCCGCGTTCACATCCGGATTCTGGTCTGGAATCTCGGCTGAAGTGCGACCATACTGTGTTTTCAAGCCATCGAGCCCTGCTGCGGTCTCTGTAATGGTGCTCCTGTCTCGCTTGTCACAATGCCCATTCGCCGTCAAATCAGGTGGCCACAGTGCGTTTGCTGGCGCAGCTACTATCGAGGGAGGAATCACTGTGTCTTTCGAGAACATGAAAGGCATCAAGCTCTCCGGTGACAAGAAGACTGTTGCGGTTCAGCCGGGAAACAACTGGGGCAATGTTCTCACCACCTTGTCGACTACCGGCGTGACAGTCGTAGCTGGTCGAATTGGTGATCTCGGTGTTGGCGGCCTGACTCTTGGTGGTGGTATCTCGTTCATTACAAATGAGTACGGTCTGGCTTGCGACAACGTTGCCAGCTTTGATGTCAGTATATTGCACTGAAGTATGGTTGGACTTCTTCTAACTCCAGCCAGGTCGTCACAGCAAGCGGTGTCATAGTCACAGCTAGCCCAAAAACTTTCCCAGACCTGTATTGGTCTCTCCGTGGCGGGGGCAACAATTTCGGCATTGTAACCAGTTTCAACTTACTGACGAAACCCCTTAACAACGATCAAATCTGGGGCGGAACCCGCGCCTTCACCGAAGACGTCTTTCCGGATGTAGTCAAAGCATGGATCGACCTAACGCTCAACTCAGCCGAGGATCCCAAGGCCGGCAGCTGGATTGCCTGGATGAACGCCGGCGCAAAGCTCGCTTCAACCGAACTATGGTACAGTGCACCGGCTGGCAACGAATCTGCCATCCTCGCACCTTTCTACAATATCACTGCCGTATCTGACAACACGAAAACACGGGGCCATGCTTCGTACGTGGTAGACAACGAAGCTAGCAACACGTATGGGCAGCGTGAAATATTCTACGATATTACCGTGAAAGCCTCGTACGAGATTGCTCAGCGCTCCGTGGATATATTCTTCGACGCGATTGATGCTCTTTCTGCAGTTGAAGGCGCATTCCCTGTCCTCATCTGGCAACACATCACCGATGGTTCGCTTAAAGGCAGTACCCGCAACGGCGGCAATGCGATGGGCTTCGACGCCAACGGTAGCCCTATTCACATCATCCAGCTAGCATGCTCCTGGAATAATGCTGCGGACGACGATACAGTGTACAAGGTCATGTCGGATATCATGAAGGCCATCAAGAGCGACGCGGTGAAGTTGGGTGTGCAGAACGACTGGGTGTACATGAACTACGCAGCGATGTTCCAAGATGTGATTGCGAGCTACGGATCGGCTAGTAAGAGTAAGCTGAAGAATATTGCGAAGAAGTATGACCCGACGGAGGTGTTCCAGAAGCTGCAACCTGGGTACTTCAAGTTGGATCGCGCGCCAGTGCCTGATGCGCGGTACTTTTCTTATTAATGACACACTGATACGTGTGTGGGTTTGAAACTTTCTTTTACAGTCTGTAATCGTTAGTAAAAGGCAATAGATCATCAAAGAAGGGTTCCCTGATATAGGAAGTCGTTCAGATAATGCGACGTCCGCAGTACTCAGGATACCGGGATTGTACAGTCTCGAAGTCTACCTCATCATCCTCAGTTACATCTTCTAGAACATCGTCGCTGTGTGACTTCCAATCTCGTCTTGGTCTATCCCATATGAAAGCGGACATGTACTAATATTCCTGATTGACCTCCTCCATAGTGCTACACGATACAAAGGGGTTGCACCACAGTGTTGTCCGAAGATATACGTCCTACCGAGTCGGGAAATGGGTTCGAATTGCTGAAGGCAGCGTCATCCTGATTTGCGAAGGCCAGCGTGAAGTCATCCCGTGTCAGGGAGAGAAAATATAGTCCTACGTACAAGTTAGACTCGCAGCACAGAGCGCTGCGACTGATTTAGCTTTGTTGCAAATTAGCTGGACAGCGTCAAAGGGTCCAGCAAAGTGGGTCGCAACGGATTTATGAGTACTCCTACCCCAGCCTATGATAGTCGCTTTGTTGATGCACTTAATCGTGCGAAGCGCTGTTTCTGATCGCCGCGGCGGCTGAAATCGATCCATGCCAGTAATCTAACTGTACAGCGGACGGCTAAGGTCTCCGGAGTAAATGTGAAGAACACCACTATATGCTTATAACGCTATATTCCTACTGTTCAATGTCTGTAAAGCCTGTGTATATATTACGCCACCAATCGTTTGGCACAACGTGTGGATGCGTGACCCAGCTTATCATGTCCATGCACACTCGCGGCCTGCAAATAAGTACTGCACGAAGCATAGAAAGAAATGATGATTGTACGGCAAACTTCTCTATCATGAAGCAACTCATATCATTTATTTCTATCGTGCCTCTTGTGGCTGGCCATGGCTTCGTGCAAAATGCGACAATTGGGGGAAGGGAATATGATGTGCATACTTGGACTTGATGCACAGCAGGAATTTCATTACTAACACAATCTACAGTTCTACCACGTACTTGGCCCGCCATCCCAGAGACCACACCATAGTGACTAATCCAATTCTGCAGCCCTATCAGGATCCGTACATGAGCCCTGCTGTAGGTCAGTTTTGACTTACGAGAGATACAAACGTATTGATAACAAATAGCCACCGCGCATCTCTCGCGAGATTCAAGGCAACTTTCCGATTGAGAGCACAAAGCTCATCGACCTTGAATGTGGTGGCAACACAACCGGCGGGATTATCGGATCAAAGCCCGCTCCTCTGCACGCTCCGGCACCAGCTGGATCGACTGTCAACTTGCGCTGGACAGCATGGCCAGAGAGTCATCAAGGTCCGCTCATAACCTATATGGCGAGATGTCCCGATACTGGTGGGTGTAACCTATTCCATTCGACGATCAATACAACGCGAGATGCTGACAGTTGTCTAGGATGCAACGACTACACCCCCTCCTCCTCTCCAACACCCTCCTGGTTCAAGGTCGCCGAGGACGGTTTGCACTCCACCGACCCATATTGGCTTAAGAACCAATGGGGTCTGACACCGCTCATCAGCGCACCGAATGCGGGTGTTGACTACACGATCCCAGCGTGCTTGAAGCCTGGTTACTACCTTGTGCGCCACGAAATCATTGCGTTGCACAGCGCGTATAACGAGGGCGGAGCGCAATTCTATCCTGGGTGCCACCAGCTAGAAGTCACTGGCAATGGCGCGACGGTGCCGAAAGAGGGCTTAGTGAGCTTCCCGGGCGCGTACGACAGTAAGGATGCGGGCCTGGTGTATAGCATCTATAACCAGCTGCCGTATAAGATTCCGGGACCTGCAGTGTTCGAGTGCTAGAGTCAGTCGAAGAAGAAGGATCCAAAGAAGCAGGGGCAATAGAAGTGTCGTGTTGCTGAGAGCATGCGCAGACTGTGTTTAAGTAGATAGACGAGAACATATGTCGAACAAGAACAACCGGCCTTGGAGTGCACCAGGCAGCAGCAAAGATTGTAGCTTAGCAAGCTTGGTGTTCGGATCCATCGACGCTGCGACAAAACATTGGCCCAGCCAGTCCTCAGGTTTTCGCGCTCAGAATACGAGTGCAGTCTTTTGGTAACGGAGATTGTTGGCCAGCCGTTCGGCCGGCTTGTCATGGCCCACGTTTCTGCATGGTACTGCGCAAAGGCCTAAACACTACGTGGGCTCTCGATGACATTTAATCGATCTGTTTCGCACTCACACTTCTCGGGTCCCTCATTCAGTGCACTAATGGCCGCCTTAGGCCCAATAATCCGCATACAACTCCTGTGTAGGCCCAAGATTGTATTCCGAAGCGTCCAGGTCGCCCTGAAGGAGATTGCAGCTATACTGTTTCCACGCGTCTCTCGGCTGACCCCTCAACGCATTGCTTATGCTGCCAGCCTCTTGTTCAAATTCTTCTAGGGTGCCTATAGGGCACGGCAACTGCACAGTGAGATCTCCAGACAGAAGAAGTCGTACATTGGGCACAAGAAGACGTTTTTGGAAGATGTCACATTCGAGCCCCTGATCATCATTCGCGATGTTGGTATCGGTTAGGGGAGTTTCCCGAGCCTCGCGAAGATAGCGTGTATTTGCGAGGCACCAGGCTGCGAGAGATTTGATAGTACTCCAGACATGCTGGGCGATGTCAATCGGCGCTTCAAGATGGAGACGATAGGCAGACGGCGGCATCCCAGCATGTCGCAAATCCAATGCCTCGTGGATCCAATAGATGGTCCTGTTCGTAGCGTAGGAAAGACTGCAGGTGGTTATTCCTGTTCGCGCAAAAGGGTTATCGAGTATCTCGCCAGATTTTATAAAGCTTCCATGGAATATTAGCGTGTAATGGATAGTCTTAGTCATAACCTGCGGCTTACATAGCATTCCACATATCAATGCGATGATCGACCCGTAGCTGGGGAAGATCTTTGAGGTATGGAATGAGGCCATGGGCATGACATCGTGGTGATGCAGAGGATTGGCGATCTTCGCGTACAACCAGATGGCGCAAACGAGACCGCTCCTTCTGTTGCAGCATGCCAAGAAAGCGGATGCACTAACAGGTAGCCGATTCAATGTACTTGACATCTTGCACGAAGCAATTGTTTCGCGGCCGTTTCTTAGCAGTCAGGAACTCGTCGAGCTTCCGCATTTCCTTGATTTTCACAGTTGTAGGCCTTTCCCAAGGTAACCATAGCTTAGAAGAGACTGTGGAAGATACGATCTCAAGGGCACTCCTGCGCACTTGAGGTCCGCACCTCCAACTACCAAAACCACTGATGTAGGTGAGCCGCCTGGCCAGGCTCCATAATTTTAGCCGATTTGGAAGGCCGGAACGAGAAGATAGATACCGGAGAGTGTCTTGAATTACTTGGCGGTCCATATAAGTCGTTTCGAATAGCCTCGTTACTGTGGTATCCGGGATATCGTGGTAAGGTCCTTTCGTCTGCAGAATTCGCTGAAGAGCAGCGCCTACTTCACTCCGAGGATACTGCTTGGAAATTCGGCTAGCCATTTCCTCGGTACCTGTGATACGTAATTAGCCAATGCCTTCGTTGAATAATATGCTGAAGCATGTGTATGTAAAGGTCGTCATACCAAATGCACCAAATGCACCAAATGCTATTACACAAGCGTTCAACTTCAACTCGGCCATTTCGCTGAACTCGGAGTGGAGATACTCGGCCGAATGCCAAGGCGGACCTCCATAAACCCATTTCACTTCCGAAATCTGCGCTAGGTGTGTATTAAATGTAACAGTGTTGATCTTCAGAGGCAGCTCTGCCATCTCCGACTCGACCTGTTTGCAAGTAAATAACAGTGCGAGAGCAATTGCCGTGCCATCAATATATCGTAGAGTATCTGACTCGGGGTGGTGATGATATCCTTCGTAATTGAGATAGTAGGCATAGATCTCGTTGCGTAGTTCTCGAGGAATGCGTAAGAAATGACAGGTCGGTGGTTGCAGGACTGACATGGCGTAAAACGACGATTGTACGGATAGGGCTACCTAGATTCAAAGTTCAAGGTCAGAATATGCAGAATTCCTCTAGGCCCAGTCGTGCAGTTGAAAAGTTGACCCGTTGCCAGGTGTCACTAGGCAGCAGCGTAACCAGATTCGGTACGGAATTTGCCAAGTGATCGCATACGGTCAAAGAGAGGGCGCCTGAATCCTTGCGCTCTGGACGCGTGGTATGCATTCTTCATCTTCGAACACTGTTATGCTCGGTGTCAATAGGTGGTCCTAGCAATAATTCGTGACATAAAGCCAATATGTATGGTACAATTCCACCAGATTATGACCCTCGCTCATTTGCCGCCCACTCTCTTGTTCTTAATCTTGATGGTCTCTCCATTGACAAAGACACCCTTGCCCTTGTATGGTTCTGGTACCCTCCAGGCCCTTATCTTCGCCGCAAACTGCATGACCACCTCCTTCTCTGGCCCCTCCAACAGCAGACGTGTCGGTTGCGGTGTACTTGCGGTTACGCCCTTTGGTATGGCCAGTTCGACTGGGTGAGTGTATCCGACCTTCAAGTTGACGAACTTCTGGCCAGGAAATTCGGATTCTACGGTGGTTGCGGTATCTTCGACTGAAGCACGGTAACCGACACCGACAAAGCGGAGAATAGCGCTGTGTCCTTCACTAACGCCGAGGATATGGTTTTGCAGGTATGCGCGGGTGGTGCCTGAGTGTTCGTTAGCCAATTGTGCAGCCTGTACTGAAGATGGTGCTCATACCCCACATTGCCTTTTGTTTCGCATCTCTCGTGTCGTCTATCGTCAACGTTGGTCCACCCAATGCCGGATCCTGGTTGATGTTGACATATGGGGGTATGTTCATCGAAAGCTCGCCGAGTGGTCCCTTGATGTGTACTGTAGACATGGCCTGCGTTCTCGAATTCCTGCCTTTAGCCGAAGGCGCAACCACTTGGAACGTGACTCCCTGGGGTAATGAGAGCGGTAGAGACCCGATTTTCGATTGACATGGTGTCGTCGTGGTAAAGGTCCTGGTGGGTGCGGGCCTGGAAAATACGGGTAGTAGGAAAGTCGGTATTGAGTCAGTCGTCTGGCTTGATGCCTTCGCAAGGCTTAGAGCGCACCGCCGTCGTGCTGGGGCGAACATTCTGTCTTGTTGCCGGCAAAGATGATCGCGAGAGTTTTCGGCGATCCCCAGCTCGCTGCTAGCTCATCCGATCCCGTGATAGCGCGTCATCGACGTTTCTGATTGGTCGGCATATCGTAGCTTTCCCCACCAAACTCCCCTCAACACCACAAGACACAAAACTCCAGTTGCCATCACTCTCTGGTGGAAGATGTTGTACGATACAGCATCAGACCCCGATATTTGACATCTCAAGTTAGCCAGTCTCTTACTCAAGCCTGGACCTATTGCTCATCAACTAACAGCGTGTCCTCTCACCACAGATTTGATCTTACCCAGCTGTCGTAACAGGTTATCATGCTTCAAAATTTCAAACGCTGCGTCTTCCTCGCTCTCTCACTGTACCGCAAACCTACATGGCCGGCACAAATAACAATCTCACTGTGCTTGATCTTTCGCTTCCTTCTTTTCCTCTGCTACCTTCCGCTCCTTGGCCCTTGCTTCACCTCAGTCGCCTCTCTCTTTATTGTTTCGACAACCTTGACTATCCACCAACAGATGACTTACATGGACCCTCGAAATGGATTTACCATGGCGAAGCTGATTACAACTGGGCTGTTCCTTCTTCCTACAGCAATCTCTCAATACCATTCCCAACCGGCAGACGCAGCTCCAACAGTCAACGTGGATTCTTTGTTCCAGTACACAACATCCAGGAATCACAGGGTGATAACACAAGCCGTGGATTTTGTTGTGTCCATGCAGACAGCGCCGACTTGTACCCGTATGGCTGCTTCTCACTTAATGAACGAATGTAAACTCCTGGAACATGCACCGGATTTTGCTAAATCTCGCCCGGACGCGTACCTGGACAGCGTCAAGACCGAGTATGCCGCTAAATTAGCTGTATGCGAACTACTCAGTGCCCAGCCAATGAACCCGACACCACCGCTGGATTGCGACATACTGGTCCCGGCAGCAAAACACTGCGGTAAAGGCGGTAGCTGGTGGCATACTCGGTCGGAAGTTCCGAGCGACAAGCAATGCTATCCTGAGTTCAAGGAGTACCACTATACGCAATGCCTAAAGAGCTTACAATCGACGCCTCAATACTGGACTTCGTTCAGCAATGCTCGTCAGAATGCAGTGGTCATGTGCCAAGCCAGTAGAGATGTCATCGAGCGAGAAAATCACCTCGAGATATTCAAGAACCTGACCCAAGTTCTAGGTGATGTGACATCGAACATGCAGAAAACCACTGAGGAACACGAGTCATTGATCCGCGAGCAGAGGCAGTACTCGGAGGAAGCCCGGGACTCTCATCAGCAGCTTAAGAAAGACATTCAAGCAGTCCAAGAGAAGGCTGTCGCCACTGTAGGGGCGCTTGATGAAAAGTTTCATACCTTCATGGAGGCATCAATTTCGAATCTTATCACAGCTCTGGCTGAGAGCCAAGACAACGAGATTGATCGGATACATGAGAGAATGCAGATCTTCTTACGAGATCTGATGCTAGATAGCTCCCATCTCGCGAAGTACTTCACAAGCGAGCTTCAAAAACATCACGAACTGGCCAAGATCAGCATCCAGTCCAACCATGAGGCACAGATCGACAGCTACAACGTCCTAGCAACTTATATGAGTACCACACAAGACACCATCAACCAAACCAACAATGTTGCGGATCGCTCTCTTTCCAAGGTGGACAGTATTGCACAACGACTAGACATCTTCGAGATGCAGACCGAGCATATCGCTGAGGGGTTCGCCTTCCTGAGCGCGATACCAGCACTTGTCACATGGCTTGTTCGCGGCTGCCTAGCCACTGCCGGAACACTATTCATGTTCGCCGTCCTGTACAAGCTCAACACCAAGCTAGCAGCATACACTGGCGGTGCATGCAGCTCAGCGTTCCTCCTTCACACATGCGGCGTCTTCGACTGGCTCGGAAGCCTTCCCGTTCGGTTCGCCAAAATCCACGATCAAAACCTTCTCGCGACCGTCGCCAACATGTCGCCTTGCCAGAAAAATTCGGGCATTGTACTTCTGCTCTGGTTTGCTGCTTATCCAGTATGCCGAATCAATACCTACCTTGGAAACCTCATCGCCGTAACACTGAAGCGGCTCCTCAGCCCAATCTGGGTACACCAGTATAGCAATGGCGATGGTATAGGGTTCCTGCCAAGCATCGAGGTTCCCGCTGCGTATCCTCCCCGCAACGATGACCGATACAATGGGAACCATGTCGGCTACCGCAACTATCCGGAATACACGGAGACTACTTCACCACGTGGCGAAATGTAACGGCAGACGTACTTTCATTGCTCTGTTACAGCTATCCTGCATCAACATCAACATCAACATCAACATATCATCACGATATCTCCAGAGATACGTGTCTTGAACAGCCGCATGGAGCATCGCCTGTCCTCCTTCCGTCTTTCCGCCAACTATCTACATTTAATCCACGATATATCCTTCACATCCGGCACTTTACAGCAGCATTTGCACGGCATTGGAGCATCATCTTATTTCAATTTAAACCATCTTCAGCACTTACCTGGGAACAAAACGTCGGAGTAGGGGTCAGCGAGGCGTTCTTCAGGCGTGTAGACGCGGTTTTAAGGACAAGCGGACATATGGCGGAATTCATTCATATTTATCTTCCCATATCATCAATTCGTACTTGATTGCCAAGTTGATGCAGCTATCCTGCATCGTGACATCCACATATAATCCATCTTGTGTTGTGCACTCCATGGTTTAGTCCGAATCATCTGGCAACTCTTCAATCCTTCCCGAGCGATAGGCCGCTTCGACAGGGTTCTGGACGTCCATAACACCAGTCGCTTTTAACCTAAATCACAATCAGCATTCATCACGCAGGCATAACAAAATACAGTACGCACCTTTCGAATAGCACAAAAAGTCGCTCCGCCTCTCTCTCCTTCTCCTCCTGCGTCATCGGTTCCATCTGTACGTGTTCCTCCTTATCCAGCCTCTGTCCCGTGATCGGGTTAATAGGTATACCTTCCTCCGCCCCCTCCGGCGCATGCTCCTTAACTAATGCTTCCGGCATCTGAATATTATTCGACATGAGGAAACCCGAGGCAAAGCCATAGCCGACGTTATGCACAAACGTCGCTGGATCTTCATGCGAGAGTTTCCACAACAGTAAAGAGATGCCGTTGCGTAGCGAGGGTGTCATTGCCGAAGTAGAAAGGTTGAGCAGTCGAGAAGATAGCGTGTCTGATTTTCCGAGGGGCCGGTCACGCTCTTCGGTTGTGGGGAGGAGAAGCTTTTCCGCTGTGCTGGCGATTTCTGCTGGCGCGGTCGTGTAGATGCGATGGATGAGTGTCAGCAGGGGGGTGACGGCTTCATCGAGTTCTTTGGGTGGGTAGACGATGAGCGCTTGGTCGAGGATCTTGATCAGGTGGCGTATGTTGACCTCGCGGTCGAAGGCTGGGAAGAGGGCTTCTAGGCCTTGTTCATTTTCAATGTCTAGGTGGAGGAGGATGTTGACTAATTCCCTTGTTGGACCGGATAGTGGCGGTGATGGTATCCCTCTCCGCACTAGTATCTTAAAGACGTTCGGTATTGAGGTGTTGAAGAGTGGAGCGAGGTCTTGGTTATGGTGTATGATGTTGAAGACGAGCTTGAGCGTTTCGGAGAGTGCCATGGCTTCCATAGGCTGCTCATTTCTTCGTGGCGCAGACTTGGAGTATCGTCTTGCATGCTTTGCGATGGTCTTGTTGATGCTGTCGGCTAACTGATTTTCGCGGACGAGTTGTGCGTAGTCGAGGGTCGCATTGTATGTCGTGAGGAAGAGGATTCGGGAGACGAGGAACTCGGTGTCGACACTATCTTCCTGTACAAGAATTAGCATGCTTCCGTTCCCAGCTTCGGAGCATGGCTACCTACCTTCAACTTCTCCGCTGCATGTGGGCCATGGCCTAGATCAACAAGTATCTGGCGAGTCTTGGGCTGGAGGAGGAGAGCGTTCGCTATGCATCGAAGAGCCTCCTGTGACGCAGGGGTAGTCTCTCCATCAAATGCATGGCGTCCTAGTGTCCGAAGGCCCTATAACGGTCACTATACCGTCCCAAGAGCTCCTGGTGTAGTGCAGCGTACATCTTCCGTGAATATGGGATCGGAGTTTTCGACTGAACGGCCGTAGACTTTGAGCTGTTCGAGTAGTTGTCGTCTTTCTACTCACGTAATCAGCGCATGAAATTGACATACAGTGGAAGAAGACATACGCTCAGTAGACAGCTTCTTCGCGTCTAGGTCGGCTTTCAACTCGGAAAGTATTCTAGTGACGTCGTCGAGCTTTGCTGATGCTCCGTTAGTAGCCGACAGATGTAAGAAGATACGTGCAGAGGGGGAAACCAACCTCTCCCCGATCTTTGCGATAACATGGCTGTCAAGTTGCAAGAGACGAACAGTGCTTGTCACGTCACGTAGGTGGGATAAAGCTTGAGCTCGGAGAGCCCCACTATTATGGGACCTGCATCAACTGTCGCATTGCAGGGTCCAGACCATCAAGGGACGAACAAGGTGCATCAAGGCAGGTATCCGTAGATTTCTACTCACGAATGCTGCATTTGCTTATATGGTGTTGGAGATGCGATATACATTGATCTGGTATGATACACAAACGCTCTGAAGTTTTACACGATAATAGCCAATGTACCTATATGGTGAAAATTCCCTAGTGAATTCTCATCGAATTGAAAAACTAAATCATCAAGAATTCAAATTCGTGAAGGGGTCGCACATGGTATGCTATCTGACAGAACATGCAGTGTTGAGTGTCAGACGCAAGTGGCGGGTGTTGGCTCGAGGGGCCGTTGTCCAGTGAATGGGCACTTGAGGTTAGCACTTTACGCGCACGAGGAGCGTCGCGCTAGACGCGTCGCCAACGCCAACCTTTGTCTTCTAGACCGGGGTAGTCGATCACCTCCACACCCGCTCTACACGTTCAATCACGTATACGACAGCGATGCGAGTGCCTTCTTGTACATTTGTTTTCTTCTCTTGTTAGCGATTCTCAGCATAGCCATGGTGTCTAAATTCGAAGCCCTCACTGTTCGCCCTCCAACTCCACCCAAAGACCAAGAAGACACAGGCGCCGACGAGACGCAGCAATTCCTCGAAGACCCCTTCGGCGAGAAGCCTATCCCACCCAGACTCAAAGCAGCAAAGAAGCCGCCTAATACTCCAGAGCAATCGCCCTCCTCCGACATCGACATACCCTCAAGTTCAGCTAGCGCAAGGAAGAGAGTCAACTTCGAACTACAACTATGCAACATACCCAGCAAGAAGGCCATTGCACAGTCCTGGACACCTACGCGCAGCTCGCCGCTTAGACCGCTCCCACAGACGCGCCTCACCAAGCCGCTCAAGTCGATTCTGAAGCCTTCAGACGGCACGCCGACACCTCCACCCGCTGACAACGCTGCGACTGCACACAAATTCAAGTCTTTCGCCGAGATGCTGGAAGCGATCGTCATGTTGCTCGCTTCTTCGGACCGCGGTTCGCGGCTGGATGCATACCAATCCTTGCTGAGGACCCTGCAGGCATACGATAAGACTCCAGATGATCAGGCGCTGAAGCAGAAGTTGTCCCTGTTGACCCAGTTTATACGGCGGGATATGCAGGCACCAGGACTGGCTGGTACAGGACTGGATTCACAACTCGTCGGACAAACGATGAAGCTACTCATGACTCTCTTCCGTATCACCGACCTAATGTCCACCATGGATGAGGACTTCTGCTCTTTCGTCATAGAACGCATTATCCGCGTATCCAGCGATAGCACTATGCCCAAGACTACCGTCAACACACATCTGGCTGTGCTAATGCAACAAAACTTCCGACCCAAGACCATAACCGCGACCCGTGTTGAGAAGGTCCTTGATGCACTAGACACCATTCATGAGCGAACCTCCGGTCATGCTGTACAGGCGTACAGGGTCCGGATATACAGAAAGCTGCTCCAACAACGCCCGGACGTCATGATTAGGCATACTGAACGATGGTTCACACATACTCTCAAAGCTCTGGTATCAGTCCAGAAGGATATCAGTCAGAGTGCGCTAGACACCGCAGTGACGGCTGCCAAAACCATCGGCCATGACCGGCATGTCGCAAAATCTGTCTTAGCTGTTCTGAACCGGACCAAGAGCGATGGTGCGACTATTGCCAGCGTTTTCACAATCGAGCTGAATCGTATGTTGGGCGGTGATTATGCTGCCTTGGTGCCACAGATCTGGGCTGCTGTTACAGGCTTACTGAAAGACTCGCTTTACCAAGAGATGTTCACTGGCTTAGGGGATTGGCTCACGCTTCTCCAGAATTGCATTGCTTCTGAGAAAGACCAAGTCAGATTGTACTCCAATGTTGCTGTTTCCTTCCTTGCGTATTCCGTCAATCTGGCTCCATCCACCACTGCAGCTTGGTCGAAAATGTTTCGCAAAATCTCAATACATGCACTACAAGGAAAACCACCCGTGAAGAAGAACGAACGAGATGCCGTTTCCTCCGCATATTTCACGTTGCTGTATTACGCTTTGAGGCCAACTTCATCATTTGAGCAACTCGACCGATACTGGATTGAGTTCGTAGCTGATCTCTGGGGTCCGATGATCCTACCCGGCTCTTACCAGCAGGCCGTACCCGCTTGTCGAATCGTGTCTGCTCTCTTAGATGGCTCTCGAAAACCGTGGAACGAGTATCGAGCGCTAGATCTTCGGCCAAATGTCATGATCCAGCGTAGCGAGCTACCTCTAGTTGATCCCAAGTGGGTGCGGAAGTCGATTGCTCTGGTACTGCAGTTTGTAGAGACTCTCCTAGACGCCACACTCTCGTCTGAGAGTAGGGAACCGGAGGACGAACCGGTTCAGACAATGTGGCTAGCAGTTATTGGCGCCTTGGTTGAAGCAAGCAGCAAGGAAATCATGGCATCAACGGAAACGAAAGACGCGATGGCGCACATAATCAACTTGTTGCGCCGAATTTGGGACAAGCATACAGAAGAAATTGCGACATCACAGAAGACCGAGGATATTTGGGCAGACAAGTTTTGCTTCCTAATAGAAACAGTCGTACAAAAGCTGGGCGCCTTTCAGTTTGCGGATAAATGCCTCACACGCAACGAGAACAACGAGTTCGAGGTCGCATCGACACCATCACATCGGTCACGGCATCACGGTACACGATCATCACCACTCCTCTACCTTGTTGATCTTCTAGTCACCCAATCAGAAGGAAAATTAGCAGATCCGGTTCGACTTCGCGCGATGGAAGTAATCATCGAGCCCTGTTTCGCTGCCCAAAACACCCGGCTGAGCAAATTGGAGCTTCTTCGGGATTGCGCTGCAGCCGTGGATGGTTCGCTAAAGGGTGCAGTGGCATCAGAGTTCTGGGCGCGGATCGCGGCATTGCTCAATGTCTTGTTAGAAGATCAAACAGCCCTTTCAGGCGAGCGCAATGGTCGTTCGTTGGGCAAAGAATATGACATTGTAGTGGAAATCCTCAGTCTCGGTTCCGCCTGCTTGTTGAACAAAGCACTCGGTGATCAACTTCTGTTGACCTTCATCGGTACTGTCCGGCGGGAAGCGGGGGAGGGTGCGCTCCCGTCCGCAGTCATTGAGAAGGTCTCTGAACATGTCCTCAAACGCATTCCAAACGAAGACAAGGCTTCATGTTTGGCGTACGCCAGCATTCTACTTCGCAACCTTCCGAAGCAGATCAGCCGCAAGGTGCTGGAACAAGGCCGGCAGAATCTTTGGCCTTCAAATCCAGCACCTGGACGGTCTCATGATATCGATCCCTATGTTCACCTATATGGAGCCATTATCTCCGTAGGGTCGGCCGCTTATAGGGATGTCGGCAAGGACAATGTCGAGACCAGGAAAGGCTTTCTTTCTGCACTCAGCACCTCGGTTCAATACTGCTCGACGTCTCATCTTGCTGGGTATCTGCGGAAGATACAAGACGCAATCCAAGTTTGGGTTGAAGACCCCGAGAAGAAAATGCAGAGCAGGGAAGAGCCGTTGAAGAGCTTACATCGTGAGGTATGTTTATTGCTATGTAGAGTGTTAGTGGGTTTTAACCATGTCTAGGTCGTCAACTTGTGGCAGGAGGTCAGCAAAGCTATCGAGCGATTACCGCGCAAAGACAGCCAAATGTTGCTCCATTTACAAGCAGTGGTTACCGCAGGCTTCCTAAGCAGGCGCCGAAGTATCGTCAATGTCTCAATTGCCACTTGGAATGCCACTTTCGGAAAAGAGGATAGCCTACGATATCCCCCTCGACTTGAGCAGGCCCTGCATCAGTTGCGACACAGTGTCGAACTCTCACTGCCATCATTGGGAGTCCGGGCAGAGGATACTGTAAGAGATTACGCCAGTTTCTGCACAACGTTACTAATAGCAAAACAGGAAACCAAACTCTCGTTCTACGATTCAGATGCCAGTGCAGATGAAGTCAAACGTGCCTTCAAGAGCCCAAGAGTAAAGGATTCACCCTTCAAGATCTCCAAAGCGTCGCGAAGGTCCAAGTCCCGGTCCCCAGCAGTCCCAACGTCAGCCACTAGAAGAATGCCTTCGCGACAGACGCCGAAGATCCGTCTCCGACACGACAACTCTCAGATCAAGTTTGAATCTATTGTATCGTCACCATCAAATCCGTTCAATCAAGAGTCACAGGTATTGACCGATCGTCAAAAGGAGATGATCGATCGTCAAAGGCTCAGCAGTGGTTTATTCGCCAACTTGGGAGCGCCTTCACCACAGCCGGAGGATGTACCGTCGCCAATGGAAATTCACTCAGATGCATTGACAGTCGATGATCTGCCAGATCACGCCTCCCGAACAACTCCACTCAAGGCTCTTGCAGCAATGGGTCCTATGGACGGCTACCTTGGCTCGTCGCCAACTCCGCATGCCCGCAAGAGTACTCGCAACATTGTGAGCGACGATACTGACCTCGCCACACCAACGGCTGTTCGAAGCATACAATTTGCTACAAATGATGATCTGGATTCTTCGCCGCCCCGACCTGATGTTCTTGTAGGATCCAGCTTTGACTATGGTCAGCCAGAAAGCTCACTCTCGGTTTCCTTTGATGAAGGGACCACAATCGATGAGGAGGCACTACTCGAGGCGGTTGCGCCGCATGACAACCCGCAAATGGACTCCGAACTCGTCTCAGACACCGTCATGTCAGAACTGCCGAGCTCAACCATAGATCTGCAACTCACAGCACAAATTGACGCCGATATGCAAATTCACGATGCTGCTACTGAAGGAACCGAGGAGGCTCAGTCAGGGTCAAATGCTGAGTTTGTTGATGCTTCTTCGCACCCGCGGTCATCAATAATTGACCACGGCCAACCTGGTAGTGACACCGAAGTGGACGACGCTCAGACACCAACCCGTGGGCCCGCTCGTCGAGCTTCCCGCAAGAGTTCACAGGCCGACATGAGCAGTGCAAGCCGAGTGGATGACTCTTTTGATAAGAGCTTCTCAAAAGTAACGCCGAATGCCCTGCGCCGTTCTTCCCGCCATTCCATGGGAAGTCCTGCTCGGCTTCCAAGTGGAAAGAAGCCTAGGCGCACTCCTGCAAAGGCTGATAGGAGAACTAAAGCCAAGAGACAGACACAAGAAGAACCCGCTCCTGAGCCAGAGCCAGCGCCAGCACAACCCGAGGATAAAGAAATGCGCGACAATATCGTCGTCGCATCGTCGCCTAAGCCAACAGAAAAGAGTCAAGGCAAGAAGCGGAAAGCCAGCGCTATCGAAGCCCCCGTCGCCAGTCCCGCAACCAATCGTAAACTCAACCTACGTCGCTCCCAGTCTCTTCTCTCCCAGGTCGAGAACTCGCAAGATCTGGTAGCAGACGAGACGCCAGCGCCGAACAAGCGATCCAAGGGAACCGCAGACCAAGACGTCAGCGAAGCAAAGAAAACAACACCAGGAAGCCAAACCAAACGACTCAGCCACGTACAAGTCTCACCACGCCCACGCTCTTCCTCCAGTGGAAAACCATCTCCCGCTCCCAAAGACACCGAACAAGAACAAGGAGAAGAGTCGGGGGTTGGCGATAAGCCCACCAACACGCAAAACACATCCGTCCTCGAAACCAACGCCGAAGTCGAACCCAGCCGACCCCAAAACCAAAACCAAGGCCGTACCCAGCACTCCACAACCGATACACCAACGCGTTCCTTCGCTGAACGCGTCGTTCTTACGCCGAGAAGTATCATTAATCAGCTCAAGACGATTAAGAATTATTTGTTTAGCACGCCTCAGCTTGTGTTAGGAAGAGGAGAGGAGAGGGAGATTGATGATGCGCTTTTTGATATCAGGAGGCAGGTGCATGCTGCGGGATTGAGGGGAGAGGAGAAAAAATAAGTTAGAGATTCTGGATGCCGGTACCAAAAGTGAATTGCCTCTAGATATATCATCGAGGCTCGATACGATAGTTGGTTGTAGGACGTAGAATAATGTCATGTCATGTCGAATGTGTAGCCATCCGCCCGGATTGATCGAATGTTTGCTGCGCAGCGTATTGACGAACCATAAGGGAGCTGATTGGTTGCTCAATCGAGTGACCAGATAACACCAAGACATAAGTCATACAAGGATTGTGTGGATACACTAACCTTAGCTCTCGATCTAAGTCTTACCACAAATTTGCACCACTTCGAGGTTGAGTGAGGCCTGTTCGGTTCTAAACTTGAAAGTCTGCTCGGGTCCGGAAATCAACATGCCGCAATCCGCGCAGTCCCGCGCACCCCGGAAGTCCCGGACCACAACGTCCGGTACCTACCATGAAGCATATAACATTAGTGATAGACGATCAGTAATTCAGTAAATTCAAGGCACAAGAGCTATGCATCCTGTCCAAACCGTGATCTTACAAAGGATCATCGCCGTCCTGATCGCCATTGTGGCATGGCTATCAACAAGGAGTACTAAACCCAGGGCGCCTATTCCCCTTGCAGACGGGTATACTCCCAACAAGAAGCACATTGAGTGTTAGGGTTCGTCTCTAAGGTGAGCTCTTGTTTCAGCATACAAGCTGGTAAATTAACAGACATCACGCTTCTCGTCACGTCATTAACAGTATGTCAGGCCAAGAACCAGGTTTTTTGGACCAGGGACATCTGGAGGTATGTCATATTGTCTGGAATAACAGTTGAATCCAATGAACCTATCGGCAGGCACGGATTATGTGATCGTCACCGACTACCTCGACCCCGCGAAGAAACTACACTGCACTTTGTACTACCTCTCCTTAACTCATATGGTTAAATGCGCAAATTCGCGATGCCATACATTATTTGCCATCCACTGCAACTACGATACTGCGATGACCTACAACCAACGAGCTACTCATAACGTCCGCAAACTCATACGATCTAAATGCAAAAAGAGGCTCTCAAAAGGCGGGTATCGTAAATATATGGAACAACCTCGACCTACTCAAAAAGCCACAAAGCACTATCTTTCAAAGCGACCTTGAGCGATGTAAGAATTCGGTTAGCATCAAGCTGGTGTAGTATATAATGATCGATGATAGCTTGCTCAAACTAGATACTCTGTTATTGGACGCCTCCCTTAATATATTATCAAATCCATAACTGGGAAATTCAACCCTTTAATAACCAACACAATCACCATCAGTCATTCTTCCCTAACAGGGACAGGTTGCGTCTCTCAATTTCATAGTTGAACCGGCGAGATTCAATCCGGGTCTCGGTAGAGGCAGCATCACCTAGGGACTCGTTTCGAGTCTACCCTCGACTATGCGTTCCCACGCTTTGATCTCCTGCACGTCCTGAGATTGCGACGAATCAAGCGAGGTCCTACCACTGGCGGTCTCCAAGCCCAACTTGCGCAAGTCGGTAGCGTTGCCGTTACTGAATCTGCTATTCTTGATGATGGTCTCCATGCCAGTCTGCAGCTTCGAGATCTGCAGCGGCTTGTAAAACTTCAGCGTCATGATTGGGATAAGGTTTTCAATTTGCCTGTGCACAACCGTCTTCCTTGAGATGACCTTGGCGCCTGTAAAATTTGTCTGAGAAATGTATTCATCGGTAGCCAGCTTGATTTGTTCTTTGACCGTACGCTTGCCGGCAATATCGAGCGCGCGATCGAGAATCAAGATAAGGTCGCAAGCGCACTTGAGAATCATGCGAGCTGCGGGCAGCACTTCAAGCAGTGGTGCGCCCAACGCGATCGGGATGCCGCCGACCAGGGTGAAGAGTGTAGCAGTTACCACTCCTCCCCAGACAACAACGGACTGACTGACCGTCTGGGCCATGAACTTGGTGAGGTTCCACCAGACGACCCGTGACATGATGGCGTCGACATCGGCAGCTTTGACGTATGTAAACCCAAAGCATCGCAGAATACTATCGCAGAGCAGTCTAGAAATTGTTGGCGTGCTAATAGTGGATGCAAAGACTAGCGGAGAACCCGCCATGGAGACTCCTTGGGCGCAGCGGAGTAGACGTATACTTTCTGCGACGGCGAGCGAGATCTTTTGTTCGACGTCGATGACTTGAGCTGCGATGCAGTTCATTTGGGCGCTCTCGTCGTGTGTCATGTTCAATGTGATTTCCAGTAACTGCTTGACGGACTGGCCGTCGTCTACAAATATGGTGAGCGGTAATCCCATAGAAAAGATTCTGATAAATTACGTACTCCTGGAGACATATGCAAGAGGAGTGGCGCCAGCATCAAACCCTTTGCCGAGCAGTTCTTCTGCATCTTCCTTGGCGCGATCTCGCAATCTCTCCTCCGCTTCCGCCGCGATATCCCGGTAATTGATTGGGGCATTCCGTTGCGCATGTTCTTCCAGTATGGTGTCCTTGACGAGGGCGAGGAATTTGTCTTTCATGGTTCGCACAACCACAACGGGAATATGCGGCGCATACTTGGAGAGAATCTTGAGTGTTTTAGTTTCAGCGTCGTCCACCATACGGTTTGTTTCGGTTGGTATGCAAAGCCTGAGTTAGTTAGTGCAAAACCTTCAGTGCCGTCCCTTGGCTCATACCAGACCGCGTCGAGAGCTTCGCTAGGATCCTTCATTGCCATTCGCCGTTTTATGAACTTTTCAATAATAGCCACTTGGTCCACGCCACCGACGTGATACCCACACGAGTCATGGATGATGAGTCCTGGCCGAGTATCAAGTTCAAAGCCTTCGTCAATATTGTGCTGGCCGTGCTCCCTATGTGATTCCTTGGTCTGGACGAAGGAATCTGCGTCAGCATAGGTATTCGGCCAAGTTTCACAAAATGAAAGCTTACCAGGTCTTCTCCAAAAACTTTGTTGATCAAGGTGGACTTTCCTATCCCCGCTCGTCCACAGATAAGAATCCGAAAATCTTTTCGTTCAAAGTCCGCTCCTCGAAACTGCCTTTCGAGAACCCAGGGGTCTAGTTTCGCCCTGAGCACGTAGTTGCACTTCCGATATTCTGCAAGATCAGAGGCAAATTGCCTCAGCTCTTTACTAATGCCTAGGCGTGGATAAACGTCTTGAAGAAAGTAGACGGATGGGTGTATTGTCGTCAAGCTATGTCCTTGGTCAGAGTGTCCGGCAAGTCTGCCACCTCCACCTTTCTCAAATACTGGCCTCGGAACACCGAGTGACAGCACCTTGGTGTTGACCTTGATGATGTGTGGACGATTCATTGGTTCTGACAACTCACTGCTAGCATCTGTGTTCACAGTGGTTGAATCACTGCTTTCGGGTATCTGTCTGGTCTTTTGCTTTGAACGCCACGAAATGCCTATTGACCACTTCTTCATACGAGCAGGGTTCGGAGACTTCTTCCGAAGCCTATTTAGGTGGACGGTGCTCAAATTGCCATGGTTGTGAGAAGTGCGAAGATCGTACATGGTTATTTTGACGCCGTCCCTGTGGGTAAAGCCCCATGGCTCGGAGGCAGAATCGGAGCCTGTTGCAGTTGATGGAAATGCCAACGTGAGAGGATTCTCAATTAAACCTTTTGCCTGGCCCTTGGGGTTGTGTTCCAATTTCAAGCCCAATGCTTTGCTCTCGATGAGCATCCACTGCAGAGGATATAACGAGAGTCCATCTGCAACTTCGCCGCCGCCGATGTCGGAGTGACTTCCGACAAACCACGCTTGAATCATAGATGTGGAGGCTCGTGGCGCGGTATATTCTGAGCTTGTATTGAATAGCGTCGGCGAAAAAGTAGCACGATCTTCATTCAAGGCCAAGGCGTGGCGCGCATGTCGGGCGTTTTGAGTGAAGGAGAGATCGAACAATGACTGATCATCTGTTGCCTTGACAGTATCGAGCGCCCCAATGAGCTGGATGACAGGACTCTCCTTCGCTGTCTCGAAGTAAAGGAATCGCTACACGATTAATTAGTCACGTCACTAGACAATCTAGCATATTGCGCTATCGTACCTCTCCGCAGGCCCTGTCGCTACCTCGTCTTTTTTTCCGCAAGAGCTCCAAGGCCTTGCTGTAAGCCTCTTTGAACTCAAATTCGTTTTTGAATGAGGGTACGCCCATGGCATGAAGTAGTCCCGCGACGGCACGGATGACATATGCGCCGCGACTGAATCCATAGAGCCAGATCTCGCTATTTGGACCTTGAGAGTGTTTGCAGCATTCATAATAGACTTTTTCTATCTGCTCTTTGCATCCGTAGCCAGTCACTCCATCCGAGAGTTTCGTAATAGGGTTTTTACCCATGCCTATTCCATGGAAATATTTTGCATCCTGGTATTATTTGCGGTCTTAGCACTGCACTAGAACCAACGAAATTTGAGGATTTGGAAAGCTGACGTACCTGCTCGATTATTCTTCCGTTGTCCTCAACAAACTTGCCTTGCTTGATGGAAGCGTATATGCGGAAGATGTTGCTATTGTTTCCTGTATTATTTGCTACAAGATGTTAGCCCAAAAACTTAAGGATCAATAACATGCGACAAACCTGTGCTCCCATCTGGCCCATACCATGTGCCATCTACACAAATGATCAGACGTCTGAGTGTGACCACCATTGCATCTGTTTATCTGAAGCAATTCGCAGTCTGCCCAAGACTAATCAAACATGTGAATTTGGTGAGAATCTTTTTAGCGCCGTAAGCTGGACTTCTTCTGCGACGGATCTACTCGTGCTATGGGCGCCTTGTTTGGAAAAAACACGAAATAGGCGTTTGATGAACTTATGGTTGGAATAGGCAGTAACTTGAAAGATGGGGCTTAAGCCAGGCCCCGGGCTTAGATTCAACTAGTATTTGCAGTAATTTGACTATTCTCCAACACGTGAGACGACGAGCAAAGGTAAACGATAATCAAGACCTTGCTGGAAGCAAATGGACTTTAGGGGATTTGAAATATCGAGCTTCTGAAGACATCTTCAGCCGCATGGAGGCTGATAAGGCGGAGTTTATGCAGGCATGCTTTCAGCTGGCCAAGCCTCCTGCAGTTCGAGGCGGAGCAACACACACCACCATCAACCCCAGCCAATAACAGAACTATCTATTTGTCATACGAGTGATAGGTCCCAAGAAGGACAGAGAGTGGCTTAATGTAGCGGAAGAAGAAAAGAAAGACAAGACGATGGGGGGGATTGAAAACTGTAGGAGACCGTCTTATTGGGCGACTCCCCGCTCGGAATTAGAGGTGCGATAGGCACAATGTGCCATGGCGATGGCGAAGCTTGGGGTAGTGCATCTAGACACTGATGAGCATGGTGTGTTGGAAGACGCAGTTTGTGCTCGCTCGCACCAAAGCTCTTGAACCTACCGCTAACCAGATGTAGCTAGAGACACGTGATTTGGGGCAGTTGACTCTAACTAGAATATGCCTTTCTTGTACCCAACACTAAGTACGTAACTGCAGAGACTACTAGAGTAAGAAATCGACTGAACAGACAAAAACGCAGATGCGTATATGCCGCTGATTCAAGACATGGAGCCATATTTGTGACCAGACTGCTTCGATTTAAAAGCCGATGGCATAAGCCCTTCTATTTAATAGGTAAGCACTGGCTGATGTCTTCTAGAATGGAAAACTATAACGGTTTACCAAAGCATTTTCACATTACTATTCAAGATTAGCACTCGTACCATGCATTCCGTAGAAGCAAGTAGAAACGAGGAGCGGACACGACTATCTACAGACTACATCCACAACGTCATGCCATATATCCAAAAACTAATATCATGGCACTCGTTCCACCGTCTGTTCGTCTAGCGCTTCATTACGGGCCACCAAGACCTAGAAGTTTGGTGTAGACAAGCATACGCAATCATTACCAAAACGCTTGCCACTAAGGAGGCAAACAAGGGAACACTGATGGATAACCCCCGCCCATGCTAAACTATCTGACATTGGGAGAACATGTTGATTCGATCGATGATGTAGATCGTCGGTCCACTAATCATTATCCACTGCCGTACTCTGATGACCCGAAATGAAACCGAAGAAGTTCCTTGGAAGACTGTATGAATGAGGCGGTGAATGTTTGTATTGCTATGTTCGCCGCCTGTGAGCTCTTCACTCTTTGTCCGGTATTGCCATAGCTGTACTATAGTTAACTCATCAATATTGGCGTTATCTTTGGGCTAGTAAAGCGGACCCGCAAGCGACGTTGCTGCATAAACTGCTGCTGAACGGAGCAACAATCCACATCTATTCCTGAGCTGTGATAACAACGACCACAATGGAGCAGCAAAGGAACATTCCAACCTACGAACTCTTTGACCATTACTTCTGTGCCTTGTTTCTGGATGTGTAGGTCTCGCAATCCATCTCTAATAGTGGATTAGTACCATTCACCGGTCGGGTAATCAATCAATTCGCCGCAGAAGAAACGATACGCCTGATTCAATCTATGCAACACAGATGCAAGAGAACGGTCCGAAGCCACGCAGATAATGCACTTACTTGTAGTACATACCGGCATAGCTGTATCCGACCGGAGCACTTATCGGAGAAAGACGACTTGGCCATAACTACTTGGATAAGTACCCAAGTGCCTGCCTCCCCTTGTTTACTAAATCCTCTCTCATACCCACCACTCCACCTAAACACATTCTAGTATACTCGCAAGCATGAAGTTCACTGTTGTCCTTACCTCGCTCTTCGCGAGTACCATGGCAGTGAACGTCCTCCAAACCGATGGTTCCATCAAATTCTACGCGGACGCCGATCTAGTATCACGACAAAACGTGCCGACATGCTGCAGCACCGGCTGGCAAGCCCCTTGTTTGTGTGGGACAGGCTGCGCTCAATGCAACGTAAGTGTGATGCTCACACGAGACACAACAAAAAGACAACAGCAGATATAAACTAGAAAGAGCACTAACGCTTTGGCACAGGCTTCTTGTCAAAATAATTGTGGGTAGAAAGAAGGTGGGTAGCGCTGCACCCAACACCACGGTGGCACTTTGACTTGTAAGTTGATGGTGCATTGTTGCAAAATAAGCTTCAGTGAAATTTTGACTGATTTGAAGAGAAAGTTATACAGTCTTAGCTACTAGCCTGCCGGATCATCACGTGCGGAAGCGTGATAGTAGTGGTCGTAGGAGGAAACGAGGACGCATACGCATAATGTACATGTGTTATATCAATCTGATAGAGTTTCAACGGTCTTCCCACGTTGCATACAAAACGCCTGCACAATCAAAATAAAATCCCCAACGCCTTCGCTATGCAGAAAGAACAAAATTCTTACTTCCTCATTCCAGAAAAGTCCTTCAAGATACCAATCATATGGGTGTTGGTCTGCTTGCCACCACGGCGGGGACCCTTCTTCTTCTTGTTCGTGGGGGCAGCGACAATAACCTTGGCTTGAGTAGCAGCCGTTAACTTGTTGGCTAACAGCGCCTTACGCAACTCATCCGGATTGTCGGGCACCTGAACCGAATGCCATGCCTTTGCGAAGACGGGATCCATGGGTAGCATGAGAGAGGGGTCATTGCCCCAGACGGTCTTTGGTACGCCGTCCTTGGCGCGCCGCACCAAGACCTCCTTCTTGTCCTCCATCTTTGTAATGTCGTCGGCCACGGTGGACCAGCCGTCTTTCAGGTCTTTGATCTGAAGTCCCATGGCCGACTTTTGCGTTTGAAAATGGCCCTTTAACTGCGCACGGTCGTGGATGCTAAGCTTGCTCTTGTATTTGTAGCGCTCGTTTGTAGAGTCCCAGCTAATTCTGTTGCCTTGGTTGTCGGCACGCATGAGCTGGCGGAGCTGTTCGCGCTGGATATGACCGGGCGGGATGTTGAGGTATTCCATGATGTCATCAAACGTGTGCCATTTGTCCTTTCGTTCGCGCAGGAAGTCGTTGACATAGGTGAGACGGGTAAAGACGTGCTCACCAGTGCCCGTGTCCTGCGGCTGCGAGTAGACAACTGGGGGCGCTCCATCGGCCGGACGCTTGCGCTTCCCGCTGGCAGAGGAGGTCGAGGGCGTAGGCGAAGGAGCGTTCATGCCGGTGGCCGAGTTTGCTTTGAGGAAGGACATTGGTATTGTGGTAGTTGTAGATGCGGTTGCGCAGGCGCGAGATTGTTGCCTGGTAGATGGGGGTTGGAAGATGTCGGTGGTCAGGGTGTGCAGCGTCTAGCTAAAGAGTCGCACAGCGAACCTTGGAAAAGGCGAGGAGATGGGGACGAGAACGGGGACGGGGACGGGGACGGTAGTGAACGTGGGTCGGCGGAAGGTGCTAGAGAGGTGAGGGTGAAGGCAATGAAATGGGAAGACGTCGACTGGACAGCGTCGGAGAGAAAGACGGACATGTGCTATGACCTCAAGGCTGCCGCGCTAGTGCCTGGCCCCTGCGCGAACGTCGTCAAACAACTGAACTCGCGACTTTGACTGTGGACTCGTCCCTTGCTCGCGTCAACACCACCGTCCCTCCTTTGTCTCCTTTCTTTCCAGCTCACACTCGAGCGACTCTGGAGAATGCCTCGAGACTTGCAATAAACTAATACACGATAATGGCGGCGACGGTTGACGTTGGCTATCTGGCCGCGTCCTACTCCGTCCCCGAGACGACGCTACAGTCATTACTATCCGAACCCACCGTAGAGCTAGTCCAGACACTGCTCACCCAGATCGAAACCAAGGCGCGCGCCTACGATGACTTGCAGTCGGACAAGATTCGCACCGATGTCGAGCTCGAAGCAGCTATTCAGGGCGGCGAGCAGCGCGCGCGAACCTTGAAGGCCACCGCGGAGAAGGCGCAGAAGGAGGCCGAGGAATTGAAGAAGAAGCTTGTCCAAGAAGGTACGAGACACAAAAGCCATGCCCGTTGCATTCGTACTGACGCGTTTCCAGAAAATGCACGGCAAGAGGCAGAGTCGGCGCTGCACAACCTGCAGGCCACGGCTAGCAGCTCGACGTCTGAGACGCAGGCACTCGAGTCGCGCATCAAGACGCTCGAGTCGCAGAACCGCGACATGATTGCCATGCACGAGACCAAGACAACCGCACACGACCGCCTCGCAAAGGAGCTGACAGAGCAACACCAGAAGTCGGTCGAGCTGCGCAAGCAGGTGTCGGCACTCGAAGAGAAGACGCAGTCTCTAGAGAGCGCTGCCACCAACGTCAAGTTCCGCGAGGCCAACTTGCAGCAGGAAATCGAGCAACTCCGCAGCAACAACGACTGGTACACGACCGAACTGAAGACACGCGCCGACGACCACAGCAAATACCGAAAGGAGAAGAATGCCCAGATTGCCCAGCTGCAGCGCGAGAACGCCGACGCCTCCGAGACCATCGATGAACTGCGCCGTGCCGAGGCGCTGTTGCGACAACACATTGAAGAACTCAAGAGCAAGGCCGAGGAGGATCGCCTACGCATTGAGGAGCTCGAGAACGCAGCATCAGCCGCCGAGGCTCACTTCCGAATCGAGCTCGACAGTGCACGCCGCCTGTCGACATTGCACCAGCAGAACAACGAAATGACCAAGAAGCGTTTGGAGCAATTGCAGTCAGACAGCAGCCGGGTACAAGAAGAAGCCGCCACTGAGATTGGCCAACTGCAGGCCGAAGTCGAGCTGGAACGCGAAAGGGCTGCCGAAGCCGATGCGCGCACCGCTGAGTTGGAGACGCTCGTTGAGACTCTCAAGAGCGACAACTCCGACCTTCGAAGCTCTGTTCGTGTTCCCGGAACACCGCGACACGGCATGAGCGTGAACGGTGGCTTCAGCACGCCGGGCAGGGCAGGTTCGCCTGCCGTCTTCTCTCCAGGCGGCTCGCAGCTCAAGGCCGATGCGTCCAAGACACAGCTACTGATCGAGAACAATGATCTCAGGAAGGAGTTACGCAAGGTCCGTGAGAAGCAGGAAGAGCAGACCGGTGTCGTCAACGAAATGCTACAAGAGCTAGAACGTGTCCAACCCGAATTCGACGAACTTCGCCGTCAAAACGACGCGCTAATCGACCAGAACAACGAAATTTCCGCCCTTCTCGAAGAAGCCATTGCCGAGCGCGAGGCAGCACAACGCGACTCACGCAAGGCCTTTGGTGATTTGGAAGGTCTACAAAACGAATCTGCTCTTCTACGTCGTCAGGTCCAGGACATGACAATCCAGCTACGGACACTGCTGTGGCGTCGTCAGGTGGAGGAGGAGGGTCTGGGAAGCCTCACAGAGGAACAGCAGGAATTCATCATCAACGCTGTCGAGAAGAATGAAGTGCCTGACAAGCACATACCCGAGGACTCGCCTACACACAGCATGATCACAAAGCATCTTGTTCTTTACAAAGACATTGCTAGTCTTCAGCAACAGAACGTCGAACTGACGCGCACACTTCGACAAGTAGGCGATGAACAAGAGAGGCAAGAGGTCCGGATGAAGTCTGAGCAATACCAACAAGACATTGAAGAGCTTGCCCGCCTAAGATCTGTGGTTGCCGAAAAGGAAGAGGAAATCAAGTCACTCAACGTTCGCTCGCAAACCCTCAAGACCGAGCGCGACATGTACAGCCGTATAGTCAGCGGCCGAGGACAGTTGCCGGCTAATTCCCAGTCGACGTCTGCGTTCGCACAGTCGGTGCCCGCGACTGGAGCCCCCTTGATGCTGGAGAACGGCTCGCAGTCCCGCGAGATTCCAGAGTACAGCAAGCTCATCAAAGACCTTCAATCCCACATCGATCTGCTCAAAGAAGAGAGTGCCACAGACCGTACTACACTCAAGGCGCAAGTCGATAACCTGACCAGGGACAACTCACAACTTCAGAGTGACAAGCTTCGTTTTGAGTCGCAGGTGCGACGAGAGCAGGACAGGTATGCTCGCCTGGAGGGCAGCATCAAACTGCTCCAATCCGAGAAGGACTCTCTACAGGAACGCTACAACAAGGTTCAAGCGACCATGGCCCAACAAGACGACAGGCTTGTCAAGGCTACTCAGAACGCCGCTGAAGCTGAGGCCCGTCTCCAGAGCTTGCAAGGTGAGATGGTTCAGCTCAAAGCATCTCAACAAATGTCCGCGACGATCGAGGCACGTCTCAAGGAAAGAAACCAGGAGTTGATAACAGAGCGCGATCGGTTGAGCAGCATGGTATCTCAGATTCAAAGCCTACGCAACGAAGCTGAGTTGGCTACTGCGGAGAGCCGACGCGAGTTACAGAACACGGTGGACAAGCTCCGGACGGACTTGCAGAGTGCGGAAAGCAAATTAGAGGACGAGATTGCTGAGCACAAAAAGGTCAACCAGCAGCGGGAGTATGAGCGTACCGAAACGCAACGACGAATTGATGATCTCATCGCAGCACGCAACAGTGCCGAAGTCAAGTCTGCAACCGCCGAATCAACACGCCAACAGCTGGAACAACGCATCAAGGACCTCCAGAACCAGCTCCAATCAGCCGAGGAGCGCATACAGGCTCTGCAACCACGATCACAGGCCAACGGCTCAAACGAGGAGCAGGATTCTGTTAGCCGCGAGGAAGAGCTGGCACAACAGGTTTCGGATCTCAAGCGCAAGATTCAGCGCAAGGAGGAGGATCTTGAAGCGGTCACTGCCCAGATTGCCGGCTTCCAGGATATCGCACAAGACGCCGAGAACCGATTGCAGACCTTCGTCGAGGCCCACGAGCGACTCCAAGAGCAACTCAATCTTGCACAAGAAGAGAAGGATGCAACTATCAGCGATCTACAGCAGCGTGTCGAGGATATCTCCTCTGAGCTTGCTACAAGCAGTACCGAGCTCACTGAACTGAGAGGCAAGCACGAGCAGGATACCTTGGTACTGAGACAAGAGAAGGAAACCCTGGAGGCAGAGATTATCAGACTCAAGAACGACGTCGCCGACTACAAAGCCGAAGCTGAGAATCAAACGCAATACGTCAAGACCCAAGCCGACATCGCAGAGCGTGCCCAGAAGGACTACGAGCATGAGTTCCAGAAGCACGCCGAGAGCATGGAGAAGCTTCGAGAACTGCGGGACCAGCACAACCAACTCCAGTCTCAGATCACAGAGTTCAAGACACAGGCTGAGGCTGCACGAACAACACTGGAGCAAAGCCAAGAACACTGGAAGTCTACCGAGGGCCGGTATGAGGAGCAGATTACTGAGGCCAGACGCCGCCACGACGACTTGAAGCAATACAACCAGACCTTGCTCAAGCAGTTCGACGAGTACAAAGAGCAAATCAACAGCTTGAAGAACGACAGAGGTGCTATGACTGGTGATAGCGGTAATACGGAATCCGGCTCGAACAATCTCCAGGATATCGAGACATATCTGCGTCGCGAAAAGGAGATCTTGGAGGTCCAGTTGAACCTCAAAGTGCAGGAGTCGAAGCGTCTGGAGCAGCAACTCACGCACGCCCAAGGTCAACTCGATCAGACGCGAGAGAAGCTGCTGGAGGAGCAAGCCAAGGCCTCAGGCTCACACAGCAATTCCAGTCTTGCGCATCTTAACAAGAATCTTGAAGAGCTCAACGTTTACCGCGAGAGCAACGCGACGTTACGAAGCGAGAACACTCGTCTTCAGGCCTCATTTGCCGAGAAGGCCAAGGCGCTGGAGGATCTTCAGAGTGAGCTAGAACCCTTGCAAGTTCGTGTGTCTGAACTTGAGGGCGAGCTCGAACTCAACATGGGTCATCTCAAGGCTGTCGAAGAAGATCGCGACCGTTGGCAAAAGCGTCACCAGGATGTACTCCAGCGATACGATCGCATCGACCCCAAAGATCTTGAGGACCTCAAGAAACAGATTGAGGACCACAAAGTGGAGCGCGATCAGGCACTAGAGCAGGTGGCAGGTCTCAATGAGCAGATTACAGCTCTCACAAGCGAGGTCCAGAGTGCGAATGCTGAGAGGGACAACATCCAGAAGGTTGAGAGGGAGAAGTTCCAGAAGAAGCACAACGAGCGCATGAGACTAAAGAACGAGGAGATCAGCGCGCGCGCTGCAGAGCGAGACGAAGCTCAGAAATCGGTTACGAGCTTGCAGCAGGAGGTTGAGCGCATTCGGCAAGAACTCACAAACGCACAATCGACACGTGCGGACAATGGACAATCCCAAGAGCGAATGGCAACACTTCAGAAGCAATTGGAGCAAACGCGAGCACAACTCGTGACTACCCAGCAAGAGCTCGATGTTGTAAAAACTGCTCGTGACGAAGCTATTGCTCAAGCGAGTGCATCTGCCCAATCGGCTGGAAACGCAGATGCAGGTGAGGACGGTCAGATCAACGAGAACTTTGATGCTACGTCGCAACAGTTGGCAAATCTGCAGAAGCAGCTGGCTGAAGCTCAACAAAAGGCTACGGACGCAGAGAACAGCCGATCCGCTATTGCAGACCAGCTATCTAGTCTACAGGCGCAGTTGTCAACACAACAGGAAGGATTGGAGAAGATCCAAACGGAGACTGTAAGTTCGTTTCGTATTCTTGTCGAACGACACTAATTTACCCGCAGGCCGCGAAGGGCACTACCATTGATGAGCTTCGACAACAACTTTCACAAGCCCAGGCTCAGGATCAGCAGCCCGCGTCCAATTCAACTTCCGCCGAGCCTCTGACCAACTCCGCTGCAGCCGCCGAGATGGAGAAGCTTAGAGAGGAGCTTGCTGCGAAGGCAGCTGAAGTCGGCGATCTGCGGGCTCAACTTGCCAGCGCGAAATCAGCACAACACGCCGCAGAAGGTGAATCGCAACCGGAAGCCTCGCAGAGCAGCGAACAGATCGCTGCCATCAAGGCTTCACTTGATCAGCGAGAGGCCCAATTGAAAGAGCTTGAAACATCACTGAACGCCCGCGAAGCCAAGGTCATCGCGAGAGAAGGCAACCTGGAAAATATCAAAACAAAGGCCAATGATTCCATCAAAAAGATCAGGGCTGAGTCAAGCCAAGAACTTGCCAGGGTCAAGGATGCTCATCAAGCTGAACTCGAGCGCTTGCAGCAAGAGATTCAGAAGGCAGCTCCTCCTCAAGACACTCCGAAGGATGTCACACAAGGGGCTGCTCAACCTGTACCTGATGGTATGGTCAGCACGGAAGATCTACCGCGACCCACAGTCACAGATCAACAATTAAAGATTTGGTTGAAGAACAATACCGGAGCTTACAGGGTGCTGATATCTCAGATCAGATCCAACGTCAACAATCAAACGGCCAAAAAGGACGAGATGATCAACAAACTCAATCAAGAGATCCAGCAGCTGAAAACTCAGATCGAACAGTCCAAGACACAGATCGAACAGCTCAACGCTCAAAAGGTCATCGATGGTATTACAGGCGTCAAGCAGGAGCCCGGACAAGCGAAGGAAGCGGGCTCGAGCGAGGACTTGACTGCAGTCAACGCTGCGTGGGAGAAGAAGTTGAAAGAGAAGCTGGAGGAGTTGGAAACAAAGCTGGTCAAAACACATGAACTCAAATCGAAATTGAAGGATTCGCAGCTGAAGCTCGTCAGAACTAGATTCAGCTACGTTGAAAAGGCTGCGAAAGAGACGCCGACTGAGGAGGTAGCAAAGGTGTACGCCATTGCACTGACTCAGAAGCCTGTGGAAGCTGCCAAACCTCCACAACCCGCTACACCTGCCAAACCTGCTCCTGCACAAGCCAACACACAAGGTCAAGCACTGAATACAGCAACACCACAGCAACAGCAACAGACAGCGGCAGCTTCTGCGACCAATACGTCTCAGGCGAACAGTGCCAATAACGCTACTCCCACTCAAGCATCCCAGTCTGCGCCCTTCCAGCAACAACCCAACCCTTTCGTACAGGCTGCTGGTCATGGCATAAACGCAAACCCCTTCCAACAAAGCCAGAATCAGATGGGTCGAGGACTACCGCAGCCAGGTTTTACCGTCCAAGGCCAAGGCCAAGCTCAACAACCACAAGCACAACCCCAGCAGCAGTCCGGCCGTGGTCGTGGTGACGGCGTAGGAACTGGGCCCCAAGCCATCCGCGGTGTCATCCAATCCAACATTCCCCGTGGAGGCGCAAGCAACATCCCCATGCCCGGTGGTCGCGGACGAGGTCAGAACCAGCAACAGCAAAACCAAAACCAACAGCAGAACCAACAAGGCCAAAACCAAGGTCCTGGTGCTACTTCGCAGATTGGTCGAGGAGGCGGTCGAGGCGCTGGACGCGGTCGTGGCCAACAAAACCAGAATCAGAATCAGAACCAAGGTTCACCTGCAAGGGGTGGTCTGAATCCTGGTGCCGCGGGCTTCCAACCTGGTCAGGCCGGTCAAGCTGGACGCGGACAGAAGCGTAATGCGGAAGATGATGGTGAAGGTGCGACGAGAGGTGGAAAGAGGGCACGAGGTGGACGTGGCGGCGGTGCTGGAGGACAACAGCAGGCCGGCGCCGAGTAAACATGTGTTTCACGAAATCAGGAGGGAAAGGATCTTGGGGATAGTATGTTTTTCATTTGTTCTGTTTTTTTTTCATGTTTCATGGCATCTTTGCAGAGAGGATGAGATGTATTTCAAAAATGAGATTAGCGGGTCGTGCCATAATGAGTGGGTGGGCTCAAGGTTGGATGAAGCTCTTCGAGAGCGTGTGTCTGTACTATAGCATTTTCATGGTGCTTTATGGAAATTTGTTGTTAGGTGCTTTTCAACTCGTTGTTCGCTTGTTGCGCTGATGTATGAGTGGTGGTGTAGTAATTTGACTATTTGTCTCTGTTGGTTCATGCTACGTGACGTAATGGTCTAGCATGCCGTGGGATAGTCTTGCATTTGCATACCCAAGATTGTGCGACCACCCCTTACAAGATCAAAACTAAATAGATGTACCTTAGTCTTCTATTACTTCGCAGCCTACAACTGTGTATAATTAAAAAACTCGGATTTTTAATATCAATGTAGACTCCTAGTAAGCATATTTATATAGATAATACCTGTATTAGTACCATTGTAGGCTGCAAAGTGATAGAAGACTAACGTACACCTGTTCAGTTTTTTCTCGCATAAGGTGTGACTGCGTCATCATTTCGTTTTATTCCTGGTGAGTGTGCAGTCAAGATACGAGAATGAGATGGAAGTAGTATGCTTTGTGGAGGTATGTTGCATCTGCTGAGACACCCAGGCCCATGAACCTGAATAACAGCTTGCAAAGTGGAAATAAGAGTGAGAATCTACCAGTGCTCCGACCACAACCCTGATCATTCCAAGTCGATGGTGACAGGAATAGTTGTTATTTCCAGGAACTAGAGAATGTTTCGCGTAGAAGTGCATCTTCGCGAAGATATCGCAGATAACGACACCCGTATCGCAAGACATATCAACATCCCATATTGTTCGAGGCCGTTCTCCGGCCGGACTCTGCTTATCAGCGATGGCGGAGAGAATTACCACATGATCAATGTGAAAAGGTGCAGCGCAACTCGGGGTGGCCGCGACGTATGCGCAGGAAGCTCTACCGCCAATCGGATATGACCACGAATATTGCCAGAACATGAAGTTGCTCGTGTAGCGTATGTGGAGCAAAACGAGTGGCGAGTATGCGCACTGCGAGATGAGAGTCGGTGTTGGTAACGGCTCGTCGCATCATCACTACACGGGTCGTCGCACATTCGGGCGACGAACCGCCGGATGGTTATCAAGAGTCATTCGTGAGGTCGGAAGGGGCATTGCCAAGAGCCTGACACTCGGATCACACGCAGGCTGTTTATCTTCGGAGCAGATGGCGATTGGCCCATGACTTGCTTGTTGGGGCCCTCGTGACGATCTCTTGACATTGCGTTGACAAACTCAAGGACCGCATGAAGGCGAAGTCGTGCATCTTCAGTTGTCTAGCGTATGTGGAGAAGGAGCTGACGCTGCTGCAAGACCTCTTTATCGATTATACCAGATGAGCACGAAGGGTTGGACATTAGCGCAAGCGGAGAAGACCATGTTATCAAGATCGTAAGGGTAATATGCCCAGTCATGGTTAAATGACCCAGAGAGGATGCTAAGTGGCGTCTATGTTGATTGATGCTGTTTGAACTCGGCTGTGTAGGAAGGTAGAAACAAACTGATATCGCTCCTGCAGGGCTGGGTTATAGTGTGCTGAACTACTTTTTGCGGGCCTCGGGACCTTGGAACGCTTACCAGTAAGGCACTTGCCGTGTAAACATTCCATTGAAGTGCGTGTAAACCCAATTCAATACTGGAAACAGGGTTTGCTGCGGGATGGTTTTAGTAAATTACGCTGAGGGAAGTGGATGAGTAAGAAAGACGTGGCGATCTAGCCCTTGAGTCGAAAGACAAGTTCATCGCGTTGAGACAGGTGCATCAGGGATGTGAACATGATGGTTATGCTCCGACATACCCCTGCCCCTGCACATCTCTTGCCGAACGTCGCATGTACCACGAGACAATCTCCAAGTCTGACCGTAACTGATACGGCGCATAGTAAATTCCTTGGCATTGAGTGCCAACTCATCACTGCTCGCGTAGTTCGAGAAAGGGTTTTGTCGGCCAGACCACAGACGGGTTGGCAAAGCTTTTCGCATGTTCACGTGGTGTCTCGTGAATCCTGTGAAAAAGTTACTTTTAGCGAATCCTCGGAGAGCCGCATATATGCAGGTGTCGTTGGATGTTGCAGCGCGCTATCAGTAGGCCGCGGCTGCGATAGTCATGATTCGTCAACGCAACAGAATATCTCTCGTTCCGGCTAGTCCGATGCAGGAGGCCAATGACGGTAGAACATGTAAAAGCATGCAGACACTCTGCAACGCTTCGGTCACCGAGTGATCCGGACGCGAAGGTGTATACCGGTGGAGTCTGGAGGTCTCCAATGTTTGCATGCTAGGCAGCCACGCATATAGGAGCGATGTTCCGAAATCTTGACCGAGAAGGCAGCGATCGCGACCACAGTGAAGAATCCGATTGATGACGTGCCGTGTGTTTCGATCATTTGCAATCCCGTGGCATGGTTGAGCAATGTCAATATGCGTGTGCGGACACGGGAGCGAGTCGAGAAGGATGAGCGACTAAGCTCGTACGCTAAGGTATGGTGTGCCAAGGCCGCATCGATTCTCCTTCCCAAACCTCATCCAGCTTCCTCACGCGCTCACAGTCAGAAATGATTCGCACGGCTGGATCCCACATAGCTCCGATTGGGTTGTATGCCCTGCATATATGCCCTATGTTCATGTCAATCTCGACGGCCGTGGTCGTAAGTCCCGGAGCTGATCACTTACACTGGCAATACATACGCTAGCGATGGGCATACATGCTGTGCTCCCCTCTGCATATATGTATGCCACGAATTCGGTAAGGATTGATATAGGTGAACGCACTGTAGCAGTTCCGAGCGCGAAAGGGAGGATGACTGAGCGCTACCAGACTGTGGCTACGCAAGCAACTAATATGTTGACGCAGAACAGATCGCGTGCTCGACGAGACGTAATTTCGGATCCCAGAAGAATCGAGCCGCGGTTGGTCGGGCCTTTTGATGTCAGATTAGGGCGGTGTGTTCAAGCTTCACACATGAAGGTGTGATTTCGCCATCGCCCGAAAGGGTTTAGTCTAGGGTTGATTGGTCACTCGAGGCGTCGATTGCGTTGGATTGCGTGACCGACCGCTGGAAGTCACTACCCAACTTTTGGAAACTGCGTCAGGGTTGCATTTTCCCCACATACACCGTGCGGCCGACGCGACTTCCGGGGCGTCGCTCTTTCTATCTATAAAGAATCCTTTGCCCTCACTCCTACAATAGTTTGCACACCACAAAGCTTTCTGCCTTCACCCATTTTCAGGCAACTTGATCGAAGTAACCAAGCGCTTCTCCATTTAACCTACTCAAAGGTCCAAGGCCTATTACAATTACTGCCACTACGGTATGGCGCCCAGTCTCTTGCTAGACCCAGAGTCGCCGCCATCGTCCTATGTCCATGCTGTTAAGCAACCCTTCCATAAAGACGGCGGGGTATCACTCAAGGAAGCCCAGGCTCCTGTGAGCGGCGACTTTTCCTTCTCTTCTGCGGCTATGAACGGCAATGGTGGTGCCCATGTCAATGCCAACGATGGCTTCTCGTCTGGCAACAGTTTCTCAGATGCTCAGCAAGGCGGAAGCGATTTCACTACTGCTCAAACTCTTCGTCAACAATCGGAAAGCTATGCGAGTCAGGCTCGCAATTTGCGTGACGGAAAGCGTCCCAACATCTTGTACATTATGGCCGATCAGATGGCCGCACCCATGCTAAAGTTCAATGACCCAGAGTCAGTTATCAAGACACCTCATCTTGATGAGCTTGCCAGGACTGGCGTCAACTTCGCAAGCGCTTACTGCAACTCACCTTTGTGTGCACCATCTAGGTTCACCATGTGCAGCGGCCAGTTGCCGTCCAAGATTGGAGGATACGACAACGCTTCCATCCTGAGCCCAGAGGTTCCGACCTACGCCCACTACCTCCGTCGACAAGGCTACGAGACTGCGCTCGCAGGAAAGATGCATTTCATCGGTCCTGACCAGCTCCACGGTTTTGAACACCGACTCACCTCCGACATCTACCCTGGTGACCTTGGATGGTCCGTCAACTGGGACAAGCCGGAGGAGCGCCAGGAGTGGTACCACAATATGGCTTCGGTCATGCAAGCCGGGCCGTGTGTGCGATCAAACCAACTCGACTATGACGAGGATGTCATGCACAAGGTAAGAACTTCTCAGTAGTAGGACAAGAAATCCATGCTGACACATACCTTCAGTCTCAACAGTACCTTTACGACTACGTTCGATCAGACCCTGAGACTCGTCGACCTTTCGCTTTGACCATCTCTTTGACCCACCCACACGACCCTTACACCATGATTCAGGAATACTGGGATCGATATGAGGGCGTCGACATCCCCTTACCCAAGGTTGAGATTGCCCAAGAGAACCAAGACTCGCACTCCCAGCGTCTGCTCAAGACCATCGATCTGTGGGATAACCCTGTCCCTGATGAGGCGAAGATCCGCGCTCGCCGTGCATACTTTGCTGCTTGCAGCTTTGTCGACGACCAGGTTGGCAAGCTTGTCAAACTCCTCAAGAACTGCAGGCTAGACAAAGACACCATCATTGTCTTTTCTGGAGACCACGGTGATATGCTTGGCGAGAGGAGTTTGTGGTACAAGATGAGCTGGTACGAGAACAGCGCACGAGTACCGATGATCATCAACGGACCCAACATCGCGCCAAAGCAGGTTAAGGAGTCGGTTTCCACAATGGACCTCTTGCCGACTTTTGTCGATCTAGCTGGGGGACAAGTTGACGAGCGCCTACCACTCGACGGTTCCAGCCTCCATGACTATCTCGTCTCAGACAAGCCAGGCAAGGACGAAGTATTCGGCGAGTACATGGGCGAAGGCACCGTTACCCCGACGTACATGATCCGTCGCAACCAGTGGAAGTTTACATACTCTCTCGCAGATGGACCACAACTCTACAACCTTGTAGAAGATCCACATGAACTGCAAGATCTTGCTACCTCGCCAGAGCCTTACAACCAGAAGATGCTTGCTAAGTTCGAAGCTGAGGCGCACGAGAAGTGGAACTTCAAGACCATCCACAACGATGTTGTGCGAAGCCAGCGCATGCGCCAGCTTGCTTGCAGCGCGCTGAAGATTGGTCGCAAGGAGTCTTGGGACTACCAGCCACCAGCCAACGACAAGGACCGCTTCATCCGCTCCCACATTCCTCTGGATGAGCTCGAGCGCCGGGCCCGCTTCCCCATTGTGGACTATCTGGGCCGCGAGAAGTCAGCTTCAGCATCCCACCATGGTCTTGCTGGAGCGGCTGGCCAGTAAGAGTGCGCTTCTTTTTGAGCACGCATGGCCATTTCCTTCTTCGACCTATTTGTGTTACTATCGGTGCTGGAAGTCACCAATTTTTTCACCTGTACTTTGTAGTGTTTTCTCCTTATTATGTCTTTAAGCGACTTATGGCGTCATGACTTTACGACGCCGAGAGTGTATTGTCAAGTGTTCTGCAATCAGCATGGTCAGAACGAGTTCCATTGATGGCGTTTTTGGGCATTTGAGGGCGGGTCATCTCAGCGATTATTCGATATTTACGAGGTCAAAAGTGAGACACAGACAACGATAGCCCGGCTATCGTCAACAGGGATAACGATGCGAATGAATAACATATCTTCAACCAGTGCCATTTGTGATTGGGGTCAACCACATGTTAAGCAATGGAGTATGCTGCCGTCGAGCGTTGTGACTGTCGTGCAAAGAAGAGCGGAAGAGGGGAGAGGTAATCGTGATAGGCGCGATTGGAAGGTTGCGATAAGCTAGGTTTCACCTACACGTGAGGTGGCGTTCGCCTCCACAAGCCGAGAGACCGACAGCGGAAGGTGCCAGTGACGCCCGCAACTCAGTGCAACTTCAACCTCAGTCACAGCTACATAGACCGTCTCTCCATACACTCGGACCTCTACTCCCGCTCAACCAAATCTCGCTTTGTTCATCGTCTGCGCGCTATCATGTCTACTGCAGCCCGCCGCCGCTTGATGCGCGACTTCAAGGTATGTCAAGATTAGAAGAAGAGCAGGTTTTAGATGCTTGCGAACCATGTTTAATAGAGCACACGACTGATAACAAGTGCAGCGCATGCAAACTGACCCTCCCGCCGGCGTCTCTGCGTCTCCCGTCGCGGACAATGTCATGACTTGGTATGTCTCACCGCACCCGCCCCGCACGCGACACTTAGCATAGTGGCTTCATAGCCACTCGCATGCTTTGCATATGCAACAGCGACCTCGATATACACCCTGAACTTGATTGCTGACATGGACGCAGGAATGCAGTCATCATCGGCCCCGCAGACACGCCGTTCGAAGATGGAACGTTCCGCCTCATAATGCACTTTGAAGAAGCATACCCCAACAAGCCGCCTGGCGTCAAGTTTATTAGCCAGATGTTCCATCCCAACGTATACGGGACTGGTGAGCTGTGTTTGGACATTCTTCAAAATCGATGGTCACCCACGTACGATGTCGCGGCTATCTTGACAAGTATTCAGAGGTACGTCAAATGGGAGCTATGACTGGACTATGGACATGGTGCGGGACTCATGCTGACAAGCCCAGTTTGTTGAACGACCCCAACACATCGTCTCCTGCCAACGTCGAGGCGTCGAACCTGTACAAAGAGAACCGCAAGGAGTACACCAAGCGCGTGCGTGAGACGGTGGAAAAGAGTTGGGAGGATTGAGGTGGCGACAAGAGTATTAATATCACGACACCATGGCATGGGATGGAGTTATAAGGGACAAGGATAATGTCATATCTGTTACTGGCAGCTCAGTGGTTTTGATCTAGAGCTTTTCCAGCGTGGAGTCTGGTTCGACGGTTTACATCTGTTCAGTGGCGTAGCTAATATACGCCTGTTTTTTATTGCAGACATTCGGGGTTTGGTGAATGACTTTGTCGCTCCGCTTCACTAATGCAGGGATTCCCGGATTAGTTGTCTTGGGTGCAATCAGCGCCGCATGCCTCCGTAACTGCCACAAAGATTGGAATCGATGCAAGCAGACGGGACAAATGAACCGCAGTAAGGGAAGCATTCGCATTCGCAAAGCATGCTATGACCAGGTCAAGTTGCGTCACGGCCGTTTGCTGCGGGGAGGAGGAAGCCGCGCTATGGGCATGCAGACCCTGGCCGATGTATCAACACAAGCCGAAGCCTGCACCTCTACAATAGGCCGGCATCAACACAACCTCGACTTCCTCACCGCGCGCGCCCTCGCACTGCTGTCCCTCCCTTTCTTTTGGTGCGATTAGCTTGGGATTCCCGGTGTGTACCAAGGCCGACTCAGTGGCTGTTTCATCAGTTCCCCTTAACCATAGCGGGGCCTGTAATTACCCACCTCCACGCGCCGAGACAGTGCGAGACGTGAAGGTGCCACAACAGCACTTCCCACCAGGGTTGCAGCAACGCCTGCAGCGAAAGCGCGAGACAAGCAGACAGAGCGAGGCCTCTGGGCCGCAACGCCTGAATCCCCAGCAATCATGTCGTGAGTAGCTCTGGCGATACCGGCGGCGAAGAGGGGTGAGACATGGCTGACAAAACGGACAACAGGGGCAATACGATCAAAGGTGCGCTACGATACAGGAAACACACAATGCAGCAATTTAGAGGTTACTGACTGTAGGACAATGCAGTGGTGGCGCGGTTCCGTCCGCAGAACAAGATTGAGATAGCCAGCGGCGGAGAGCCTATAGTCGAGTTCAAAAACGACGACACATGTACAATCCAGGTACGGCATGCCAGCTTCATGGACAAATCTTCGCACGAACCAAGAACAGTCGCTAACACCCATGTGTATAGTCCAAGGAGGCCTCCGGGGCCTTCACCTTCGATCGCGTTTTCGACATGAACTCCCGGCAGGCCGACGTCTTCGATTACTCCATCCGTCCCACCGTCGACGACATCTTGAATGGATACAACGGAACAGTCTTCGCCTATGGTCAGACAGGAGCGGGAAAGTCGTACACGATGATGGGTAGCGACATGGACGACGAAGTCGGAAAGGGTGTCATCCCACGCATCATCCAACAGATCTTCGCAAGCATCCTAGCCTCGCCGAGCAACATCGAATACACCGTTCGCGTCAGCTATATGGAGATCTACATGGAGCGCATTCGAGATCTCTTGGTCCCACAGAACGACAATCTGCCAGTACACGAAGAGAAGAACAGGGGAGTGTATGTCAAAGGTCTTTTGGAGGTGTACGTATCGAGCGAGGAAGAAGTCTACGAGGTCCTCAGAAGGGGTGGATCGGCACGAGCCGTTTCAGCAACTAACATGAACGCCGAATCTTCACGATCGCACTCCATCTTTGTCATAACCGTCAACCAAAAGAACGTCGAGACGGGCTCATTGAAGAGCGGACAGCTCTTCCTGGTCGATTTGGCGGGTTCGGAGAAAGTTGGCAAGACCGGAGCGAGCGGACAGACCTTGGAGGAAGCAAAGAAGATCAACAAGAGTTTGAGTGCCTTGGGCATGGTCATCAACTGTTTGACCGACAGCAAAACACAACATATTCCCTACCGAGACTCGAAGCTTACACGTATTCTCCAAGAATCGCTTGGTGGTAACTCCCGGACGACTCTCATCATCAATTGTTCGCCAAGTAGTTACAACGATGTCGAAACGTTGGGTACACTTCGATTCGGTATGCGAGCGAAGACCATTAAGAACAAGGCCAAGGTCAACGCCGAACTCAGTCCGGCCGAGCTCAAGGCCATGCTCAAGAAGGTTCAAGGACAGGTTACATCGTTCGAGAACTACATTGGTACACTTGAAGGCGAAGTGACGCTTTGGCGCCAAGGTGAAACCGTCCCCAAGGAGAAGTGGGTTCCGCCTCTGGAGTCCAGTCCGTCATCAGGCAAGAAGGCACCGACAGCACCGCGTCCAGGAACGCCATCGAGACTGGAGGGGGTGAGGAACTCAGAGACGCCACGGCCGGACTCGCGAATGGACCTAGAACGTGCGGGCACACCAAGCATACCTCTAGACAAGGATGAGAAGGACGATTTTCTGCGAAGAGAGAATGAATTGCAGGATCAAGTTGCAGAGAAGGAATCACAACTCGCCAAAGCTGAGGATCAACTAAAATCTGCCAAAGACGAGCTCCAATACTACAAGGATCGGGACGCGAAGACGAACAAGGAAAATGAGCGAATGACCATGGAGATTAATGAGATGCGGATGCAAGTTGAGAAGATTCAGTTCGAGAGCAAGGAACAGCAAATCACCATGGATGGATTGAAAGAGGCCAACTCCGAGCTCACTTCCGAGTTGGACGAAGTCAAGCAACAGCTCCTGGATGCAAAGATGAACGCCAAGGAGACTTCTGCCGCCATGGACGAGAAGAAGAGGAAGAAGGCTGAAGCCATGGCGCAGATGATGGCCGGCTTTGACCTTGGCGGTGAGGTCTTCAGCGATAACGAGCGCACGATTCGAAAGATCATTGAACAGCTAGATCAACTCCACGACATGAGCTCATCCGGCGAAACCATCGCTCCTGATGCGATCAAGGACATACGAGAGAAGATTGCTGAAACACAAGGCATCGTACGGCAGGCCGAGCTCTCTCTTACCGCACGCAGTGAAGAGGATGGCACGTATGCCAAGCGTCGCGAGGCGCTCGAGGCACGCTGCGAAAGCCTACAAAGCCAATACGAGGAACTCCTCGAAAGCAACCTTTCAGAACAGGACAAGGAGGAGCTCAAGGCGCGACTTGCCGACGCCTACTCTGCCCGGCAAGAAGGCAATCTCGAGCTGGTAGAGAGCCTCAAGCAAGATACTGCACGCATGCTGCAAGAGAACCAGAAGCTCAAGACCGAGAACGAAAGCCTGCAACAGCGCATTAAGAGTGGCGCCATTGCTAATGGTGTTGCAAACGGTATCAACGGCAAGACAGTGCAGCAGCAAATCGCCGAGTTCGACAACATGAAGAAGAGCCTCATGCGCGATCTGCAGAACCGGTGTGAACGAGTCAGTGGATCGAGACTATCTATCGCAGACGTCGTGCTAATAAACTACAGGTTGTCGAGCTCGAGATCTCACTAGACGAGACACGCGAGCAATATAACAACGTGCTCCGTACTTCCAACAACCGCGCCCAGCAGAAGAAGATGATGTTCCTCGAGCGCAATCTCGAGCAGCTCACTGTTGTTCAGCGCCAGCTTGTTGAGCAAAACAGTAGCTTGAAGAAGGAAGTCGCCATCGCTGAACGCAAACTCATGGCCCGTAACGAGCGAATACAGTCACTGGAAAGCCTGCTACAAGACTCACAGGAGAAGCTCACTGCAGCAAATCACCGGTATGTCATACCACTTCATCGTAACGTGACACTTGTGCTAACATCTTTACAGTTTCGAAGCCCAACTTACAGCCGTGAAAGAACGTCTCGAATCTGCAAAGGCTGGCTCGACACGCGGTCTCGGTTCCCCCGCTGGTGGCGCCAGTTACGCTGGCTTCGGCGGCGTCGGCTCTCGTATCGCCAAACCTCTTCGTGGCGGTGGTGGTGGGCCTGTGGCCGATGGCCCGGTTCTTCCTGTCATTGGCAATCTGCAGAAGCAGGACGGTGACGGTGGGGAGTCTAACAAGGGGAAGAGGACGAGCTGGTTTTTTAACCAGCGGTAGACGATTGAAGACATGGACATGAGATAGGCTTGGAGTTATGACGGACAGAGGGTGTTCATGGCGTCGCGCTCTGCACGAGGCGGGGATTACGCGATAAACGATGGACGAGGGAGGGAGGAGGAATGGGAGCATGCTGAATCACTCATGCAACTCGGTTCTTTAGGGCGTCTTTGGCTTCCTGCGCCTTTTCTGCATACCTTTATACCATAGATTCATTATCTTTGAATACCTTGATCGGAGTATCTACGCATGCTTCCTCAGCCTACTTCAGTTCTGTCATCCCTATCTTATGTGTTTCCAGGTTGAATCAAATTCGCACTGCAACGCGGTTCGTTTGGTATTTCTTCGTGCTTGGTAGTAGGAGCGTGCATACAATTGCTATACTTCCGAAAGCGATACTCGTAAACTGAGAATTCGTTCATGTTAGCTTTGTGGCATAGGAGGGATTCTATTTAGAATCGTGCACTCACCCAAACATATTTCAAACTCTCACTGTACGCCCACCTCGTCCCCCTCGTCGCACCCTCGACAACAGCCGGTGTAACACCCACAATACTTGTCGTAGCCAGCTCCTCTGGCGCAGTAAGGAACAAGCCTACAAAAGCCTCGACACTCTCCAGCGGCAGCCCAGCTTCCACGGCGTACATTGCCGTGTATTTTGGTAGATTCGTAGTCAATTTCCCAGCAAAGATATTGTAGTAGATGGAATACCCAATACTACCCCCAACCGTACGGATCGACAGAGATAGCGCTGCAGCCGTAGTAATAAGCGCGTCGGGACAAACAAGCATAGCAACAGTGGCAGCAGGAACGAGTACACCACCGACGCCAAAGCCAGCCATGGAACCGAGGAAAAGCACCAAGCGCTCATTATCCGGTGTCATGACTGCCAGAGCCCCCGCAAAAGCCGTCATGATACCCACGGCCACGAGCAAGACTTCTCTCGTATGCCCGGGAAACCGGGATAACGCAGCGTTGAAGAAGATGGCGCCTACGGCCGTCGTTAAAGCGGGACCTAGGCCGCGGAGTCCAATGGAAACGGGGACTGGTGCGTACACGCTGCTGAAGGTGACGGGGAAGAAGTTTAGGATGGAGAAGAAATTCATGCCTGCGGCGAAGGCAACGACGTATGCGAGGGCTACGATGCGTTGGCCACTGAAGAGCTCAGAGGGTACCATGGGGTACGGTGCGTATTTGGCTTCGTAGAGTACCCAGGTTGCGATGAGAAAGAGGCCGATGAGCATGGTGGTTAGGACGTAGGCGGAGGTCCAGGGATGAGTGTAGCCGCCTGATTGAAGGGCTACGAGACTGTTTTTGAGGTTGTTTCGTTAGTTGGGGGGATAGGGGTAAAGGTGACTAGAGTAGATAGGATGGGTGTATGGCTTACAATAGCGTTAGACCGGTGATGGATAGGACGCCGCCGATATAGTCGATCCGCTTCAGAATCGCTCGACGCGAGAAGCCATCTCCGCGCGAGTGGTTTTGAGGAAAGTACGTCAGGGCTAGACCAATACCAACGATACCGTTGAAGATGAGTGCGCACCAAGGACCCCAGCGCCAACCGATGCCGTCGTCTGAATGCGACCAGAGTTCTACGTAGAGCAGATATGGACAGAATGGTAAAACAAAAGCTGTAACGAGAGCGAGCGAGTAGCCTCGGTATTTCACAGGTACTACTTCCGCAAGTCTAGGCGATCTTGTCAGTCCAATGAAAGACGGTTTTCAACTTGTCAAGATACATACCCAGCAAGCCCAGTCAGTTCCCCTGTAGCAGCCCCAGCGCCAGAGACTGCCATGCCGGCCAACAACTGCCCAAAGCTGTGTCCGCTACCCACTAATGCGCATCCTAGACAGATACAAACCGAGCCGAAAAGAGCAATGTACCGCTTGCCGAACAGGTCTTGGAGGTAGCCTGCATATGGGCAGACGGCGGCGATGGCGAGAATGTTGGCAGTGGGGAGCCACGCCGAGCCGCGTGCTAGACCTAGGTCTTCCTCGATGAAGGATAGAGAGGCGCCGGTGAAGTAGAGGATTACTTGGGAGCCTAGACCGATCGACAATCAGCATAGGTTCTTCTTCTGAATGAACTTACGAAAAGGAGAGAGTGGGGACAATACCAGTATACAGTGCAGCCAAGAAGATAGCAGCGAAAATACTCCGCACACTCCACTCCACCTTTCCATCCGAGTCGTCTCCCTTGAGTGCATGGCTATTTTTCATGTCCACACCCTGAAGTGTGAGCTCTGGCTGCAGGTCAAGAACCGAGTCGGAAGTAGTATGGGTAGTTGCATGTTCGATATGATGGTTGACTTGCTGTTTCTCCTTATCATAGTCGGTTTGAACGGTATCTGAAGCCATGGTTTAGTCGTTTATATTTCTATTACCAATCTTGTTGAACCGTTTGCTGGCGATTGCGAAGAAGAAGACAAGGTAATTTGCAAGATCTCTACTCTGATAACGGGCATATGTACCACCATATATCCCACATTCGTCCCTCCCTTTCCTCATTCTCTACCTAAAGCTGGGTCGGCCCCACACTCCTGAAGTCATCTTCCTATTAGTCCAGCTTGGCTTCCTAGAAACGTAGTCGACACTGCTTAGCTACCCAGTAAGGCGTATCCCAAGCCCACATTCGACCCACTCACCCTGGCCATTGTGTCTAGTACAAGCGAAACCCGGGGTAGTGCGGTCAGCGAGTGCGGGGAATTGATAGCATCTTCGCGTGGTGATGATCTGGGCCCGTGTTGGAGCTGGGGTGGCGCAAGTGTAGACTGACTCGATTGTAGCGACATAGTGAAGAAAACACGCTTGGTACCTAGTATCTTCTCGGCAAAGCAACTTCAGATACCCCGCAATCTGGGACGTGGAATCTGTGGACTTGGCGAGCGATTTCCACTTCGTCATTCGTGGTGCGGTTGTGGACTTTTGGGTTTGATGGCGGGCTTGGGTTGATGGACATCCAGTGTGAAGGTTGCTTGCGCGGTAATGATGGCGTTTGGCTTGTAGTGGAATCCCGGCGACCTTCCAAGTAGCCTATATGTATAAATCCACTTGGCTATCTATGTATACGCCCTTTAATACATCTTGAATTACATAACTCTGCTTTCGCTACACTTGCAACAGAGCTTTGACAAATGCTGTTAGAATCACGTCAGGGATGAAACCAAGGATAAATGCAGATTTGACAGATACCATGGAAAGTGTCGGGATATTGGATGTTCAGGCGGTGCAGCGTAGTGACTTCGCATGAATGCATCCGTAAGCGCACTATGAATTCAAGAAGCTCTGCTAACCGCCTGCCGAATGCTGATTTGGCGACGAGTTTCCTAAAGACGTCGCCTCTTTTTGCAATTGCTCCCCATGCGTATCATGAGACATTGATACTAAGAGTGATGATAATCCTCGTCTATCTTCTGGGCGCCTACCGCTGTCGCTGGCCTGTGAGACCGGTAGGTCGCCGAGCATGTAAAAGGCGTGCCATCACTTTGTATCTGCGTCATCCGCAATCAAGGCCTCGACGTCTCGCTCCATAAGCCAGCTGCGAACACTCTCCATGACCTTCTCCAGCGTTTGACCACCTCCCATCACGTCGTCTAGATCATGCACGGTGGTTCCACTCCTATGGTCGGTGACTCGCTGCTGGCCCCAATTATAGGTCCGCACTTTGTCACCACGGCCCATCTTTGCCACGCCAATAACGCTTCGTCGCATGTTCGCCATCTCCTCCTCGCGTTTCTCTCGCCTTGACTGGGCAATACGCGAGCGCAGAAGGGCCCAGGCCTTCTCTTTATTTTTGTGCTGGGATCTAGAATCTTGCATCGCGACGACCGTGTTCGTGGGGATATGTGTTAGCCGAACGGCTGACTCTGTCTTGTTGACGTGCTGTCCACCGGCACCGCTCGCCCGCATAACTTCCAATCTGACCTCCTTTTGGTCGATGTAATAGTCGCTTTCGGGGTCGTCGAAATCTTGCTCTTCTGCAGAGTTCTCTTGTAGACTAGGCAGCACATGTACGGATGCCGCGCTCGTGTGCGTTCGCCCTTTGGTCTCAGTAGCGGGCACTCGTTGCACGCGATGCACACCTGCTTCACATCGGAAGACGCCATACGCGCCATCGTTCTCCACCTCAATGATAGCTTCCGATAACGGTACCCCAGCCTCAGTCGTGCCGTTTACGTTCTCGTACTTGAGGAGGTTTGTGCGAAAGCCATTGCGGTTGCAGAAGGCTGAGTACATGCGGAAAAGGTCTCCAGCAAATATAGCTGCCTCTGACCCACCTGCACCAGGCCGTATTTCCAGAAGACATGGGAGATGCGCAAACGGATGTACGGGCACCAGGGAGGTGATTAGGTTCTGTGAAGCATTTACAAGCTGAGTCCGTGTTTCCCCAAGATCGTCTGAAGCGAGTGACCGTAGTTCGGGGTCGGTCGAGGAGTCGTGTATCATCGAAGTGAGCTCTGTCACAGACTTAGTCCATATCAGCTATCCTATTGCTCCTGTCGGCTGCCTTGTCATGCTCACCTCATTCGCCTTATCCCACTCCCCTAATGCATTCACGATGGGACTGTATTCGCCGAGCTTCTTCGCAGCGCGCGTATCGAAGCCATTGGAGAGCTTTTCAGTCAATTGCTTGTGCTCGGAAACGATTGCGCGGGCTCTTGAGAGGAGGGCTGGTGGTATCGATTCGGATGTTGCAACTATGTGACGTTAGCGAATTTTACGAATTGGGCGACCGTAATACACACCATTGCTCTGGAGGCGGACACTGCGTTTCAGCAATGGGCGAGCTATGCGCGATAAGCAGTTGCGGCATATCCAGGGCGTTGTGAGCATAGTCATCGAGATACGTCAAACTTCAAGTCTGATGGATTTGTCGATGTCCAACGCGCTTTCCGAATCGGCTCGGAACGTGTGCACGTGATGTTCGATCTCACCCCGGCAGATGTCGACGGACTACACCGCTTTACCACCTTCCTCTTACAGAGATGTAGATGGCGATAATCGGGCGTGGCTGCGATATACTCCGAGGCAATAGTCGAGCGAAATCGGCAATCCGAACCGCATCAATTATCTCCGGGGATAGCCGTTGGCTACTACTTAGGTATACAATGGCAGCTTCCCCATACCCCACCCAGACTATTCAAGCTTGAGTGTTTGACTACCAATGCCTACCCCACGACGAAGCAAGAGAACCAAAATCCATCACGAGCCTGAGAAGGAGCAGCCCGCGGAAGCCAAGATGAACGACATCACTTTCGAATCCCACAATGTCTATCAGCATCCCGAGCCTCAATTCGTACACTTTTCCAGTCGCCGTTCCGTCGTACATAGTACCAAAGGCATCGTCTCTTGTACGCAGCCACTCGCATCCGCTGCCGGAATTGAGATTCTAAGGAAGGGTGGAAATGCGGCAGTATGACGTAATCTATCACCACTCCCGTTCAGTACTGATAGCACTCAGGATGCAGCAGTAGCTGTCGCGGCAGCGATCAATGTCACAGAACCTGGCTCAACGGGTATTGGCGGTGACATGTTTTGTCTGTACTACGATGCGAAAACGAAGAAGGTATCTGCCATGAACGGCTCTGGGCGGACTGGTGCAAACGTTACGCTCGAAAAGGTTAGGAAAGACCTCAATATCGCAGAAGGAGAGAGCGGCCAGATCCCTATGGATCACGTACATGCGGCCACAGTCCCTGGCGCAGCAGCGGGGTGGGTCGATTGTGTTGAGCGGTTTGGTAGCGGCAAGGTCAGCATGGAGGATGTGCTTGCGCCTGCCATTGATCTCGCAGAAAATGGTTTCCCGGTTTCTGAACTATCAGCTACTTTCGTAAGTTTTGACGCGCCTCAACATCAATTGACAAACTAACATCTCGAAGTGGGCGGCTAGTGAGCAAGCCCTGTTGAAAGCATCTCCTAATGGCCGGGAAATGCTCAAGGATGGCAGAGCGCCCAAAGCTGGAGAGATTATGAAGAACCCAACGATTGGTAACACTTTCAAGCTCTTGGCCAAGCACGGAAAGAAGGGCTTTTACGAAGGAGAAGTAGCCGAGCAGCTTGTAAAGGTGGTGAAAGACCTCGGCGGCTATCTCACATTAGATGATCTTAAACATCACGCAGAAACGGGATCTGAGCCGGTCGACCCAATTTCACTGAAGTTTCATGGCCAAGGTGTTGGAAATAGGCCCGAGGGTGGCATTGAACTGTGGGAGCACCCGCCGAACGGCCAAGGGATTGTCGCTTTGATGGCCCTCGGCATCATTCAGGAGCTTGAGAGACAAAAGAAGATCCCAAAGTGGAGTCTAAAGGACCACAACAGCACCGGATATCTCCACACGGTCATCGAAGCATTGCGAATTGCCTTCTGTGATGCGCATTGGTTCGTCACTGACCCCAATGTCGTCAAGGTACCGTCTGCCGAGCTTATCTCGCAGTCATATCTCGCAGAGCGTGCAAAGCTCTTTGACCAAAAGAAGGCCATCTCAGCGCCTGTCCACGGTTCTCCGGCACACCTACAAAGCGACACTGTCTACTTTTGCTGCTCCGACCCTGAAGGCAATGCTATTTCCTTCATCAACAGCAACTACGGCGGGTTTGGGACTGGTATCATTCCCAAGGGCTGCGGCTTTACCCTCCAGAACCGTGGCGCAAACTTCAGTCTCGACAAAAACCACCCAAATCTACTAGCGCCGAGGAAGCGGCCATACCACACCATCATTCCCGGCCTGACAACATACACCAGCGATGACAGCCTGCACTCCGTGTATGGCGTCATGGGCGGCTTTATGCAACCCCAAGGTCATGTTCAGGTCCTTCTCAATCAAGAGGTCTTCAAGCTTAACCCACAAGCTGCGCTCGATTCGCCGCGCTTCTGTATCGGAGCGGGCATGCCTAGCGCCGACGGCAAGATGACTGATGCGACGATTTACTTGGAAGAGGGTATTGATCCGAAGGTAGTAGAGGAGTTGCGAGCACTCGGTCACAACGTAAAGCAACTAGATGGCTACGGACGGGGCATGTTCGGGCGGGGCCAGATCATCAGGCGACATGTTGACGATGGCGTGCAGGTCTGGAGTGGAGGTAGTGATCTACGAGGTGATGGTGCGGCGGTGCCATTGTAGTAAACGGCCTTTCACAAAGCTGTTCCGCCAGAAGTAGAACAATTAATGCGGTTCCAGAATGTGGTTCGTTGAGCTGTTGAAGAAGCCGCATATCCCTCCAAAACAATGATCCTGCAAGTAGTTCACGTGTGGACGACTCTATCAACTTGATAAAGAAAACGTGTTTGCAACTGTCACTAAACTTTTCCTCTGGGGACGCTACGTCATCCTCCCCCATCCTCACTGCCGATCTTACAAAAGCAAGCCACTCGCTCCCCGCGGGATCTCTTCCGCATCGTCCTACACTCTCCCGATCACGCGACAAAACCTGTCAATCCTAGAGCCCTCCCCACGGTCGTCACTCTCGCCAAGCACAGCCATCCACAGATAAGCTTCTCAAGCGCTAGTGGTGCCCTCCTTTGGCGTCCCTTCACTCGCTCACCCGAAGTGGCCAAGAGTTGGATCCGCCCCTATCGAAGCTTATATGTCCTCGGCAGATTTTTAGCTTCCAAGCTGGTTGGGAGATAGGCTTCTAGAACGGGAGTGGATGCGGGCGAATCCGGGGACCATGGGGACTGAGGAGAAGAAATTGTGGGTTACGTAGGGTAAAGAATGTTGATCGACCCGGGCTCGGAATGACGGTTATATGGGAAGCTCTTTGCACTTTTATCGAGGATATTCCGCAATCTCCATTTTTTTTTCCCACCGGTAACGCTACAATTGAAGAAGACGGAGAACATTGTGTTGTCTTGACATTTGCGAGATAATCTCGGCTTCTAATGCGATTTTAAAATAATACTCCGCGATACACTTAAAGTTCCATCCAGTCGACACATCGCTCTCTTCGCACATTCAATCCGTCAAATCTACAGAACATTGTATCGCTACAAGCTATATCGCAATGTCACCACATTCAACACAAGACCCTTGTATCGCCTACGGCCGTGGCGGAGCAGGAAATATGCGTGAGCAATCCTCACACTCGCCCTACATCGCTACTTACCTGCTAACCACACACCCAGGCCGTCGTTCTTCCATAGCCGCCGCCTGGTCAACCATTCTCTCACATCCTTCCTCTACGGACAAACTCACCCTCATATCGAGCCCGGAAGAGCATTACGCTGCATCGAAAACTGAGCGACGACGACGTCATTCTTGTTCGACGTCAGAGGAGGGCAGGAAGAGTAGTCTTGAGGGAAGTGGGAGAAGGAGAAGGAGTAGCGCCTGGAGTAGGGACACGGGTATGACTGGGGAACATGGGTCAAGATGGAGGAGGCTGTTTAGGAGGAGTGGGCGGAGAGAGGATGAAGGCAAGAATGAAGATGTCGAGTAGGATGCGACGCGACAAAGACAATGGAATGGGAAAAACAAAAGAAGAAAGTCATAGGAGACTGATTGTCATAAATGGCGTGATGGGAACGATGGACTTGAGGATTCTTGTTGCGAGCGAAAACGATACCACTTTGCCCTTTTTATGCATACAAATTGAATTCTTTGGTTGTCTCAGAATATGTTTCCCAGCTCGAAAAGTCTACATAGCGATATCTGGCGGGTACATGAATTTTTTGTTCCCGGCGAGCAATATGGCGAGAGGAAAAGAGCCGAGGGAGTTGTATTCCGCATGATATGCTTGCTCTGTTAGGCGCTGAGGATGAATACGTGGTGTGAGGTTCCACGTGTTCGGACTTCGCCATGGCGATAGTTTTTGCTGCTTCTCGATCGCTAGCAGATTTCGTGGGACGAGGGTTTCGACTACTGGGAAATAGCTGGTACGAGTTTATAGAGGATATCGCATCGTAGCGAGTCGAAGGGCGACGCTGTGGGGCCATGGTTGGTGAGAAACGATCAAGTTGGAGAGGGAATGGATAGAACATGAATGCGAGGTGTTGGGCATGTAACATTCGAACACACCTGTTGATACTCGTACCAACCTAGAGTTACGCCGTAGCAATGATCCCTTATAGCAGTTAGATTCGTTTCAGGCAGTGCAGATGCGCAGTCCGCCCTTTGGGAACCAGCCCAGCGGGTCGCAGCAGGTGTATCGCTGATTATAATTACCCTGCCAATAAGCTGGTGAGCCGTCACTGGTTTGGTTGGTTCTGAATGCGGCGCAGCAGTCGCAGTTGACTAATAAGCTCATGTTTCACAGTTCTGCCACACAGCTGCATGAGTGATGTCCTCATTCCTTTGTCCATCAAGTGGAATGAGTCATCTACACGTAACGCACAAGGCCACCTAATTGCTTACAGAATCATCGTCCGTGGAACTGCCAACTACCTGATTGTATTACCTCTTTCCACTAATGTACCCCATCTACACGTTACCGAAACCCTTAGAATTCCTTATCGCCAACCCCAATTTCCTCTCCAAACTCTCCTTATCCCCATAATCCGGCAAGTACAACTTTCCAAAACATGTCGAGCTACTCGGCAGTGCAGCTGGCGCACCTGCAATCTTAACAATATGGAAGGTAATGCTTTCATAACCTGTTACAGGGACGCGATCAGACGCCGTTACAAACTCGAGCAGATGCCGACAGTCCTCCTGGCTATATCGCTCGACTACGTCCCAGAAAGCGCGGATGTTGGAGTGAGTAGCAGTGTACCCGTCTTCGTACTTGGCGCATCGCTTGAGCTCTGGGATGGAGATGTGCTGCGTGCCTTCGATGAGGTGGCGGAGTGTTGGTGGTGTGAAGAGTTGGAGGCTTTTCGCGTTGATGCAGGTGAGGAAGCCTTTGATGAACGACGTAATTTGAGGAGTGATGGACTCGTAGGTCAGAGCGCGAACGTAGTCCCTGACGTATTCTTCTCGGTTCTCGTTTGTGACCAAAGCTGGCTCTTCTGATGATCGCTCTGAACACTTTGTAGCGTTCAACGCGTCGTGCTTCAGGTTCTGGTCGATTCTTTGGCCAAAAACCTCGTAGCTGAATACATACTCTCGCATGAAGATATCTCGAACGTCGCCATCGCGCCAGGATAATAGCTCCTGGAAGCCTTCAGCCAGACTTGGCCAGCCATCTTTGATGTAGTTCAGTGCGTCATAATTAGCTACGCATTTGCAGCGCGGATTGCCCACGGTTTGGAGGCAGTCATAGAAGGCCAGGGGAAATGTGATGGGCAGAGTGATGCCGTTGTAAACGGCAAGACTGAAAAGTATGCCGAGCAGCTCAAACTTCCAGTGGGGTTCCAAACTTTGGGGTTGAAACCAAGTCATGCGCGTCTGTGGATCGATTGTGAACATACCTAGTAGAGTCAGTCATCAGAGTTACTTGCCAGGGCAATGCAACTCACCGTTCTCAGGCCTGAACGCCTCACTCAGAACAACACGGAAGAACTCGTACGTTACGCCGCCATGGTCCAGACCGACTTCTCCTTCCTTGTGGCCCATCTTGACCTTGAGTGGCTTAAGAAGCATCCTCTTGTCCTGGCCCCACAATTGATCGAGCGTATCCTTTAGTGGTTCCTCTCGACTGACATCCAACACCAAGTAATCACTGAGTGTGACCTTGGTTCGTCTTTTGATCTCCCACCAATAAGGTTCCCGCAGAAACATATCTAGTGATCTTTGCATATGTTGTGTACGCATGGTGTGGTCATACTGTTTCATCATCTCCGTGAAGTTGATTGTGCGAAAGTACGCCACAAGATGTTGCGCGGAGAAGAGACAGGGGTACTCGAAGACGTGTAAAGTGTTGGAGTGATGCTCCCATGTAAGGTACTTGATAGGCTCGTTCACCGTGTCAATTCGCTCATCAAGTATCGGCATTTCGAACATGCTGGAATGTAACCATAAAGCTTGCTGCCTCGAATCTGTGTTTGTTAGTTTTGGTGTTCCCGTCACAAATACCCTGTTGCTTACGGAGCTTATCAAGGATCATTACGGCCGTGCCAACACTGCTCCATTTGTTGATCTCAGCCTTTCTGTCCCAACCTTTTATGATGACAGTTTTCAGCCACTCCATGAAAGTGGCTGTTACAGTCCATCCCGGGTCTCCGACCAAATCATGATTTTGGGTCAGTCTCAGTTTAGCAGCCGTACTAGTGTCCTCCAACACCTCCAAATGTTGTACAACTACATCCATAAGTGGTGCGTTGGACCCGGCCGCATCGACGTCGCCGTGCAAGCTTCCGAGTATATGCTCAAAGCAAGTACGCGTTCCGATAGCACGAAGTAACCTATGGGCGAGTCGGACTGCTGGCTCATACTCTAACGCATCGATGATTTCCATGTATGAATCAGCATTGGGAGCCGCGTCCGGCATCACGACACCCCAAGATCGTAGCTTACGAACTTGTGCCCACGTGTGTGGCCATCCAAGTGGTACTAGTGAGGTGAGTGCATGTATGCATATCATGACAATATGAGCAGCTTCACAGGTATCAAGATAGCGCGAGCCTGCAGCCACGCTGTCTTGAATACCAGTTGGCTGGTCAGGTTGACTGTCTGTGGCAACACCCTTTCTTGACGGCCTCAGGCGAGGACTCTTCTGAATGTCAAGCTCGGGTGGGGAGATGAACAGAGCCTCCAGTGCGAGCCAAAGACTATCGAATATGAGCGCACCGTTGCGATGGTTCCAGTCCCGAAAGGAGTACACTAAGTGCGAAGAGTCAAGATGGGGTAGGGGTGAGTCTTTGAAGTCTTGGTTGGCGTCATGAAAAGAAGCAAGGAGCTTCTCTGGGTCGCTCAGAGTATAGAATAAGGATCGATTGACAAGTGGCTTGGTACGTCGAGTTCGCTGCCGACGATCGAAGTCGACAGCGTAATTGGAGTCAGTGGAATGGCTGTTCCCATGGCGATAGACGTCTTCTCTGAGCTCCTCGAGGATGTTGCCACTCAACTGTGAAACTATGGGTACACTAGGTGCTGCTCGGCTAGTGGCAACAGTATCTTTTGAAGCGGGTTTGGGTGGCACTGAAGGAGGCTTTGTCTGATGCACAGTAGGTGGGCTTGCTCCCCCGATAGTGAAGTTTTTCTTTGCCGTTTTCTTGATTGATAGCAGCTCTGGATCTGATGTGCCATCCACTGCAGTAAAGTGTGATGTTGTGGAAGGACGTCTTTGAATTGTGCCGTTGGAGGGATGGTAAGGTATCTTGTGCACATGCTGGCCGTTAGCGAGGACCTCAGCGGCAGTGTTGTTTGGATGTGAACTGTCATGAGGAGCGGATGCTCGGTGTGAATGCTGGCGAACAATAGCCGACTTGGCATTCAATTGTGCTGTGCTAGAATGAGCGTTTGTTTGTGGTATGCGCTCTGCATGATGCCCGTTTCTGTGAGAAGCCGGTGTGAGGAACGAAGCAAGAACAGAGGCGGGACTGGGTATCTGCGTAGTATAGGAGTAAATCATTGTCAAGCTGTCGTATAAGTTCTGACTAAGAGCTTTTGGGTCTTTCCTAGCTTGCTGCCGCTGCCTAAGGGCGCTTATCAAGTCGGTATCCGAATCTTGCTCTTGAAAAGAAGTTTCATTGCCAGAGCCACTTCCCGCGCGATGTTGCCGGTGCTGTTGTGTCAACTGCCATATCGAAGGATACACAGCGTATTCCTCAGCCGAGTTGTTCCTAGCTTGTTGCGCAAGACTGTCGGCAATTTCGAACGATTCGGGCGCAACCTTGAGCTCGTGAGGGCATAGGCCACGATTCGGGTTGTCTTGACCGGCAAGATAATGGGCTAGGGTGCTGGCCGTGAGCAGCGTAGGCGGGCGGTGAGGCTTGGAAGCATTGCGCTTGGTCGACGAGAGGCACGTGGGGGTATTGCAATAAGCGCTTTTGCAGCCATGAAGGATCTGGGATAAGTAGCTGTTGAACAGTTAGCGCTCCATCCGAAGATACAGGGGACCAATATGCGCACTGTCGGACAAGATACTGGAAACGGCGCTGTCTCTCGCTTTGTGAGCATTCCAAGATGCGGCTGGTATCTTGGACCTCTATAAGAACCCTCTTACCAGCAGGTCTTGAGGTACGTGACGGCCGTAGGGATTGTCCCGCTGTTGTAGAAGCCGACGAGGCACTCGAGTTGGAGGTATTGTACGGAGCATCGCGATTGTGCTCGGTCCCTTCTGGCATGCTCATCATGGATGGCGGCGCAGATGTGCAAGAGAGTGGAGGCTAAATATGCAGACGGATAATGGATGTGTGGCTGTCATGGTGCAACACGACGGTCACTCAGGGCATAGATGCATGAATAGAGGCATGCGCAACCCACTGGTGGTAGGGCTGAGGGAGTTAGTGGCCGAGGGGTGCTCTTGCCATGCGGCTCTAATCCGCTGCAGGGATGGCAGGTACCAGTGGCTTGGCGCTTTGCCTGCCGATTGATGTCATGCTTCAATATTCGCCCCCAGGCCCGGGCGGTGTTTTGCGCAATTCCACCATCTTCGCCGTACAGGACCGCTGATACGGCCCAAGAGCTTACTTCCACTCCCTTCTGACTTTGTAATCGTACCCTGTTTGACCTAGCGAAATTTTGCCCCTCGGCCAGTCATAAAGTCGTGAATTGACCGCGCTACCGCATCCCACACTCAACCCCACCTGATCGCCTATTATTTCTACTCGTCCCTCTCAGTGCCACCACGCCGACAACTCTGACAATATCTGCAAAAATGGCGTCGCAAGTGCCTACCCAGGCTAACATTCAGTCTACTCACCCTTTCACATGTAACACATGTCAGGTCGCCTTCCGATCGAGCGAGTTGCAGCGGGCGCACATGCAAACCGACTGGCACCGCTACAACCTCAAGCGTCGCGTTGCCTCCCTCCCACCCCTCTCCTCCGAAATCTTCACCGAGAAGGTCCTCGCGAACAAGGCCACCGCTGCCGCCACTGCCGCCAAGGCCTCGTTTGAGAAGTTGTGCACACCATGCCAGAAGACGTACTTCAGCGAGAATGCCTACAACAACCACCTCAATAGCTCAAAGCATCGCATCAACATGGCCAAGTCGGGCAGCGGCGCGCAACTAGACGACGCTGCCTCTGTCACTGGCTCCATGGTCAGCTCTGCCTTTTCCCTGGGCGAGTCCATGGCTGAGTCGGAAGTCACCACCGTCAACGGTGATGCAGACAAGGATGTTTCAGATGTCGTCGATGGTCTGAAGAATGCGAGCCTCGAGAGCGCCGAGAAAACTGGCGATGAGTCCGTCGCTACCGAGGACGACAAGAGCTCTGTCGCCGCATCCAACAAGCCTGCCAGCGATCCCCTGCTAGATTGCCTGTTCTGCAACTACAAGTCGCCCAGTTTCCAACTCAACATTACACACATGGGACGCTTCCACGGCATGTTCATACCCGAGAAGGAGTTTCTTGCTCAGCCTGAGGAGCTTATCAAGCATCTCCATGAAAAGGTCCATGCCTATCACGAGTGCCTCAAGTGTCACAAGGTTCTTCACACTGCCTCCGGCATCCAAACCCATATGCGCGATCGCGGTCACTGCATGATTGCGTTTGACTCAGATATTGAGTTGGTTGAAATTGGCGAGTTCTACGACTTCCGCAGCTCCTACCCTGACGCTGCCGATTTCGATGAGATGGCAGAGGACGCTGAAGGTTCAGACGACTCTAGCTCCACAACAGGAGGCGGAATTAAGCTTGGCGCTAGGCGCGAGACCAAGACTACTACAGAAGATGACGCAGCCATGTCGAGCAACGCCGAGGAGGAGGATGCGGGCTGGGAAACCGACAGCACTGTATCGAGCGTACCTACGGATGAGATCACAGCTGTACCTATCGACCGCAGCCACCGACACAAATCACTCAACAAGTCCAAGCACCACAGCCACGCGGATCCGCGTCCACACCGCGCTGCAGACGGCTTCCACTCCCATGCTCATCACACTCCACAAGCCGTCTACCACGACGAATACGAGCTTCACCTTCCATCAGGTCGCACCGCTGGTCACCGCTCACTGAACAAGTACTACCGCCAGAACCTGCGAAACTACCCAGGTGTGGCTGAGCGCATGGAGGAGGCTCAACGTGCCCGGATACCTGGCGCTATCACAGCTGGAGGTGAGGATGATGATGATGATGAAGATGAGGATGGTGACGCCAACATGGACGGCGAAGAGGGCAGCCAGCTACAAGTCCGTGGACGTGGTCATGATCAGGACCGGCAGCTCATTTCGCGCGCCAATGGTGGCCGCGGTATGGTCGGTGTCACCGATGCCAAGAAGAAGGAGATCCAGGCCATCGAGAAGCGTGACCGGAAGAAGGAGCAAAACGCTCGCAGCCGCTACCAGGCTGGTAACGAGAAGCGCCACAACTTCCAGAAGCACTTCCGCGATCCTCTTCTGCAATAGTCGTTTCGCTTCCGATGTGAAGGAGCCGGCAGCGGGGCTGTTTTCTATTCTTCTTTCTTTTACGACTATTACGAGCATGGGTTGGCGTTTGCGTTATGAAAAGGCTATGTAGACCTTGTGACTAGAATGTCGCTCGGACTGTGTGGTATACCTTGAAATATGATTTACATGAAAAACCCTGCTGCTGTGTCCGCCACAATTAGTGAAGATGGGATCAAAAAATGACGACTGTGATGTTGTGGCAGATGGGCCCAATGCGGCTGATCAAGCCGTGTGTATCCATAGCGTGCGATGTCTGCATAGATACCAAGGGCGCAGATCTAAATAACAAGATTTCATCACTTCCATCTTCTAAAGTACCCCACCAAAGTTTCCGTGATAAGATATATCAGGGTCGAGCGTGAAGACCAGACAAGACTTGTGCCATCTGGGTTTAGGTGCCCCGCCGTGTATCCGCTTTCTTTAGAACACAGCTACATGCTAACAGAAAAACGGCAGCACTGCATTAAGCACGATAGCACCTAGCTACCATCAGAGTTTTGGTCTATAAAATATGGTTTTCAACAAAAATCATCAAATCACGTGAATCACCTTTCACCTTGATTCCATCAGCATCGGTGGTTTAGTGGTAAAATTAGCCGTTGCCATCCTTCACAGGACAGTTTCGGCTAGCCCCGGGTTCGATTCCCGGCCGATGCATTTTTGCCGTTCTACAGGTCGCTACAAGTGCGGTGGTGGTGGTGGTAATGGTAGAGGGACTTGGTTTTTTGCAAAATTCCGCAGACGTCACGTGCCAGTGGGGTTCCGCCAACACCGACCGTCTAAGCCCTCGGCGACACCAGAACGAATACCCCACGGGGAATTTATAGAGAGGGCATTGAGTCCAGGTCGAAATCAAAGGATCAATCGTTGTAGCTACGGCCTAGTAATAAGGTGCCGTTCAACAAAGTTCTTTACAAGGTAGCTCCAATCATGCAAAGACCTTCTCGTGCTTATTCGATAGCCGTAGCGACTAAAGCCGCAATTAATCGTTCGACCTTTCCTAGTTACATGCGGCATCAAGCTTGACTCAGGTTGTCACTCACATTGTTACCTAGGTACATATCGGGCTTCATTAGCCTCTATTCCGGGTGTATCAGCTGCATGCTGTAAGATTGGTGCAGTAGCTGCTCTTTCGTATACGTCGCCTCCATGAGGCTTTCCAGTAGACACGTGGGATCGAAAGCGTTTCGAGTGAAATCTAATCTATACCATTTGCTTCTAGGACCGACAAGCATATCATGTCACTAAATCAGGAGCCTTGCAGCGCCCCTTCCAGTACGGCTCTTTCTGCAACCTTTCATCAACAAACCACCCAGGAAGGCCAATTCCGCTACTAGCGTCATACTCTGGGTCTTTCATACAGTCCTCAAACGACCAGCCTAGTGAGTTGATCTCACGTCTCGCTTCCCGGTATCTCTCATTCTCGTCCCCAAACCTCACCTTCATGTCTTTCAATATATCAGCTAGATATTCCTGCTACGTTGCATCGATTGATGCTTTTGCGAATTCTCGGTTTTGGCTACAATGGGTTGGTTCCCATTCAGTGTCTTCGTTCCAGCCCCAGCGTCGCTCGGCGGTGAAAAGGCTGAGTTTGTCGAACATGTCGCATAAGATGATGGTAGCCTTTATAGCTTCAGTGGCGGCTAGCTGACAGAGCGATGCTAAGGCATTAAACCATTCGTTGTTCCATTCCAACTGTGGAAATTCGATGCGCAGGTGCTGCAATTTTGGGAAAGCCTGTGGCTTGTTCGTGATGACGAGATTGAGCGCCGGCAGTAAATATGTTGGAACGAACGTAGTGATCCCGTTACGCAGACGCTGCTCTTGATGCTGGGCCCTCGTAATCCAGAGCTCTTCTAGGTTCCTGGGAAGCGCAGACCAGAGCATGTCTTTTGATCCAGGTGTATCTAAGCTTGTTTGATCAGTGAGCTTTTCATCGCCCCAGATATATACAGGAGCTAGTTTGAGGCGTTTGAGAGCGGTGAAAGGAACGAGTGAGTATGGGCAAGGCTTGTTCTTGCTATGAGGAGCGTCCACTGGATAAGGATAGCGGTCTTCGTGGCTCAAACTCAGTACTTCCAGCGTCTTATGATGTGGTTGCAGGCTTCCAATAATTGCTGTATGATTCACTTCAACCTAACCATTGAATTGGTTGCGTAGCTGAAGGTCTTGAGTTTTCCGGGTATCGTCGCTTTGAACAGATGATCGATACTGTCCATGTGCAGTCGCGCACATCGAAGTTCCACGTACTCCACCGGACACGATCTTGGCCTCAACTCTGCCCATGGGGACAGTGGTTCTTCTGGATCCTGCACTTCATTACCTTCATAGTGTTTCTATCCGTATATAGACCAGAGGTTGTGCAAATGGAAGAACAACGCTAGATGTTCGGCGTTGTTGGAGTATTTGCACTCAGCCCCTGTAACCATGATGTGTATAAGCTCAAGAACTGCAGACACCTGTATGGGAGGACTTCTGGCGTTCCTTCCGAAGTATTTTTTGATGTGATCTTAGCCCATTTATTATCTCAGGCCAATAACCCCAGAAATGACCGTGCTGGTTGTTCACGACACTGAAGTTGATGTTTAATCGTCGAAGCTTTGGGAGGCTAGCGAGTAGTAACGCCATGATAGCATCCTCATTTTCGCCGAATTGAATATCTCTGTAGAGCCGGTCGGCGTCTCTACCGCTAGACGTGCACTCCGTGCACTTCGCCTTCAAGACGCCATGCAACTCTGGGTCCCCGGGTCGAGGCCATGACCAGTGGCAAAACTTCCCTTCAATCTTTGCCCACGTATCAGGTACGATGAAAGACTTGATGAGAGCGGCGTGGGTTGGAGGCGTGGAAATCAAGTATGCGAGAGGGGGAAGATGGCCAGTCTTCCTTAGGTATATCTCCAGATACAAGTGTGGCGTGGCGATCTGGTTGAAGATTTTTGAAGTTATACATAGGCTATGGAGGGATTTGCGAGAAGCGAAAGATACTACATGTTCGAGAAGCTCAGTAGGAAGCTTCTGTTCGATTGAGAGGGACATGATAGAAATGACAAATCCTGAGATGAACACGAAAGCGCTATAAACGAAGAAGATAGAGGAGCTGACAACAGACTCATCGTTCGTTCTTATCCATCTACTTTTGTGCAAAGCTACCAAGGCGTATTGGAGGCCTGCTTGGCACCTTGCTCGGGCGTGTTGACTTTACTATGTGACGTCATAGCTGCCTCGCCCAAAGCCATGGAGTTTATGAATATTTCGTCCATGTCATCCGCTTCTTATGAGATTCATCTCTCAACGAGGCGAGTTTCTCACCGATTTCCTGCTATATGCGAAAATTAACCACGTATCGCGAAGATTTGAGAGAAACCTGATCTCGGATTTCTTGTCTATTGGTGTAAAGCTATCACGATCACACCACTCATCAGAGCACAATCTCAACGGCCAGCAAAGAAGAAAGCCAGACAGCAGTCTGGATTAACGAGGCTTTAAATTCTTCCTATATAGGTCTAATGCTGATCGAGTATCCATCTCCCATTTACAGGACTGGAACATCGCATTCAGACGACCATGTCGCAAGAGATGTGTATGATATTCCGAGACCTTACGCAAACATATGTTTCGGACTATGCTCAGCACGAATCAGTTGGCAGTAGGTCCGAACGGCCAGCCAACAAGGTCAATGTTGAGTAGTCTCCCGGACTCAATCTCTTTGGCGCAAGATTTGAGTTCATCGATATCCCAGTTGCACCACAAGAACTTGCCATTGAGGAAGCGAGCCTCTGGGGTTGACAGCCAGAGATTGAAGCTTGCTGGGAGAGTAACTACATGAAGAGCGATCAGTCTCCCTGCAGTGCACAGTAGAATCTTAGAGCTCACCATCATCAGTTTTAACGTCTTTGAAGCTGTCCGCACCGCCAACTTTGAGGTTCATCTCAGTGAGCACAACGCCAGGCTGGGTGTGAAATACGCTGAGGTTCGGCTTCGCAAGAAGCACAGTGTCCCACAAGCGGTAAACAGCCATCTTAGCAACGCAGTAGGAGGCGAAGGCATTGTTAAGACTCAAATGAGCACCCCAAGAGTTGATGGCGATGACATGAGCATCCGGTGCAGCCGTGCGAATGAAGGCCTTCGCGACCCACAAAGAGCCTTCGAGGTTTTCAGTGATGCTTTTGAGAAACTCGCGGCCGTCGACATCAGCGAAGTTCTCCTTGGGTCCAACGGCGGCAGCGGCATGAATAAGCGTATCGATCTTTCCATTCTTGGCGAAGTTGTCAAAGGCAGAATTGACTGAAGTCTCGTTGGTGACATCGGTGCTCTGAATGAAGACGGTCGTGTCTGGCGATTCCCTTTTGATAACGGCTTTGTTCTCAAGCAGAGGGCCTTCACGACGTCCCAGCAGACCAATACGCGCGGCACCTGCGCGAGCGAAGAAGCGCGCTGTCTCTCCCCCAATGCCAGTGTTACCTCCTCCAGTGATGAGAATTGATTTGCCTTCCTGAGAGAGAGCTGCAAGGGTAGGGTCGCCGGAGGGTTGAGCCTTGTTGTGCCAGCGCTTGACGGGCGAGGGGAAGGGAGGAGTGCTGGACACCATGATGACTTGATTAACTTATGTTGGGAGGGAAGAGCTGGAAAAATATCGAAAGCTGTGTACCCTACGACTCGCAATGATTGCAAAGAGTTCGAATAGCGTGGCCACTCGTCGAGGAGAACATCACCTCGATCTTATACTGTGAGATCCGATCAGGAAAGGACATGCAACGTCGCATATCGCAGTCTACACCATGCCTTGGCATACACTTTTGTTCCGTCCGACACATGTAAACTCCGACCGCGTGGAATTTTATCAAGAGAAAACAGGCTTGCCATGCACCACATACCACGCTTGGTCGCATATGGCAAATCTTACCCGCTAATTTATCGTCAAATCATACCGATTCTATTCACAAGTCGGTACCGCTATACCATAGAGGCCGCAAGCATGATCAGCCCACCCATACTGTCCATACCCGAACACCACTCTATCCACCAGTCTGTGCTGCGGCTACTCCTACTGTTTTGGCTCTGAAATGTCGTCTCTTCATTTGGAGGAGCATATGATAACCACGCATCGCGGCAGGACAATCTACGCTGATCCAGCTTGACGATTCCGCCGTCCACAGCTAACGCGTATGATACTTGTTCCTGCGGCTCTTTCTGACTTTGTAGTTTCCACTCTTGTTCATCTCTCGCCTCCCAGAGCTGCCGTTTCGCGGGTAGAGGCGCAATGACGAACTCAGTGGGCATATCACACATAGCTGCTGGACCGAAGAAGACGAGCTTGTTCAGGATGCGATAAATGACTGCGAGTCTGCCAAGATTATTAGTATGTAAGTCTTGAAGTATAATGCAGGTGTTTAGTGTACCTTCGCCGCGACTCCTTGTAGATCCAATCTTGCCAACTGCTCTCAGACTTGCTGCGACATGACAAATAATGCATGTGACAACTCAAATCGTCGCGAGAAAGTTGCATTGCGATTATCTAGAGCGTCTATCGTCAAACCTGGTTTTTGGGAGTGCGGATGCAGCAAACTCACAATGACAGCCCTCTCCAGAAGATAATCGAGATTATTGTGCTCGGTCTCGCCTTCGTCGAGACGAATCAGAATATAGATTGAGAGAGCCTGCATAGCACCAAGTAGTTCCCATTTGCTGAGTGTTTGGTTCTGATCACACATGCGTATACATTCGAACTGGACATTCCGCCAGAAAAGCTTCCGGCTTCCTTGGACTCCATTCGCCACCATATGCATCAGAGCAATGCAATTATCAAGCGGCTCAGCTATGACAATTTCATCTGTGAATGAGACGCAGCTCGGATGTATGAAAGGGGGAGGAGTGTTTTGACGCAGCATCAGCGGGTAAGATTTCAGAGTATAGAAGATCAGACTCGCGGTTCGGTCCGCTCCAGAACACATCTTCGACCGTTGCATCATTGACCGTACGCTCGCATTGGGTGCTGGTGGGATCGAAAATTTCATCAGCTGTAAATTGTGGTCCTGCTGTTGCTTCTGAGGAGAGAGCTGAGGTTGCTCTTGAGATGCCGGATCTGTTATTTCTGGAAGTAATGAAGGCGGCAAAGTGGTTGGTGGGTCAGTTGACGATAGCGAAGACGATGATGCTATTAGAGGAGAGGTCGATTGAGGTGTATGGTGGATAAAATCGCCAAAGGCTGTCATGTCGTAAGAGTGCCATTGTATATCGGTGAAGAGCATGGAACTATCACCGGTCGGTGTCAACTCTTGAACACCGTGACCCTGTTCGATCACTGCTGGCATGATAGTATCTGCATAATCGCGATCAAAGCCATGCAGATCTCTGGTCTCGACACGACGCGTTTCCACACTGCCACGTCGTTTGATCGTAGACTTGGAAGGATATTGGCATGTAAAACCCTTTTGGGCACAGCGTGAACACGCCGGCAGTGTAGTGTCACAGCCAGTCTTAGCCTGTGCACAGGCTGCACATGACCGTCGTCTGGAGACTGATACCTTCTTGTTGGACCGGCAGTAGTATCCATGACGTTTCAGTGTTGATTCTTCAGGAACGGTCAGTGTGGCGTCCTATGCCGCGTAATCAAAACAGCCCGGCGAGGATACTGACGCTTGGTAAAAGGCTTCTTACACTGGCCGCACCAGAGCACAAGCGCCTGCTCCGCCATTCGGGTGCCGATTAGCAAGCAGAGATGAGGGTTCGTTACTCCCTCAAGACAAATAGCTTTCAAGGTTTGAAACAAATTGAAAATGCCGGTAGAGGGTTTTTCCTTCCCTTTCAAGTGTTGGGATTCAAATTCTTTCCAATAACCCTAAATGAAAGGTCGTAGGGGTTGACACGGGAAGGAAGTTTAACCGCAACAAGCACAAAGTCGAGGTGGGCTGACAAACGCGGGAGGGACATGCCCCACTTCCATCCTCCGGCCGGTACAAATTGTAATTCCCGCAGGTCTAATAATGAAGGCAGCGCTTCAACATCTCAAGGTAGCAGTCATTACTTCGTTAATGCACACAAGCCTCGGCCTTGCTATGGTGTGTTGACATTGATTGGATAACGGCCATTTGCCCAGACTGGCCCAGCTCACACGTCATTACTTGGTGTTGCATCCAAATCTCGTGAGTCGTACGTAGACGACATTATAGCTCTTTGTTAGAAGTGCACCTAAACGTCAACAAGCCATTGTTCTATCTAGATATAGCGCTTAGCTCTCCACGTATAGGTATACAACACCGGGAAACTCTTGCTATCCGTCTAGCCCATTAGGCGTGCAACATGGGTCTGCAAAATGTTGTGAGAGGTCAGTCTGACAAGCCACCAAAGCCGCCTTCCAACTTCTGGATTGTGCCGCAATGGCGGCATGCTGTCAGCTTCCTTTAGGATAACGCCCCATGAAATAGCTTTGCCTTGGTCCTGAAGAACTACCCACCGACAGACGACTTCACTTGCCGCTGTTTTCGTTGTTGCGCACAATCGGGTCGACACTGAGATGGCACTCGCGACTCTTCTCAACACTGCGGGTGCCATGTTGATAGCCGCAGTCGTCTACATGGTCAGCATCGGGTACCGGAGGCGCCTCCACATCTACACATTACACAAGCAGGGAGTAGTACGCAGCCTCTCCTTCCAAATATGACGCTTTCGATATACTAATAACTACCTCAGGCTATGCCTGCCGGCTGGAGCTGGTGGTTTGGCCACATGCTTGTGTTAGACAAGAAGCTCCAGTCTTTACCACCAGATGTAAACGTTTTCACGGCGATGAATGACTTTGTACAAGACCACGCAGATTCTGAAGTCTTCATTCTGGATCTTTGGCCTGTGTATCAGCCCATGTTGATGATCAGTGGCCCAGAAGTCGCCACTCAAGCTATGAAGTACGATCTCTCCAAGCCGGCAGATCAAGAGGCTTCGTTTCGCCCGGTAGTTGGAGGGCCTAGTCTGATCAGTATGAACAAAGAGCAATGGAAATTTTGGAGGTCGCTACTCAACCCAGGCTTTAGTGCGTCTCACATGCTGAGTCTGGTACCGAGCATTGTGGATGCCATGGATGTCTTCTGTGAACTTCTGCAAGAGAACGTTGGAAACGGGGTTTTCGCACTGGACGACATGGCAACACGTTTGACAATGGATGTTATTGTTAAGACCTCACTTGACATGGATTTGGACGGCCAACGACACGATCACAAGCTCGCCCACGCACTAAGAACCATCTTACATTGGCATTCATTCTGGGATCCACGTATCTTACTCAACCCACTTCGCATTCCCATACAATGGTATTATAGTAGTGTCATGGCGACGACGATTGGTCACGAGCTGCAGAAGCGGTTCGACGAGATGAAGATAGTAAAGGCCACTACAGAGACTGTACCGAACCGTAAACAGAGAGTCAAGTCAGTCGCTGCCCTGGTACTGGAAGAATACATCATCCGGAAGCAAGTATTTACCCTATACGAACCGCATGTGAGACAAATACTGACTTTGTACACCGATCTTTAGGCATCATGATGACAAGCAGCCGTTCGAAACCATGAAGCTAGACAAGAGCTTCGCCCAGATCGCCGCTCAACAAATTCGCCTCTTTCTCTGGGCCGGTAACGACACGACAGCGAGTGCAATCGTCTACACCTTCCACATGCTATTCCAACATCCTACTGTACTTGCCAAGATGCGCGAAGAGCACGACACAGTGTTCGGTCGAGACAAGAACGCGGGCGAAGTATTGCGCAGCAACCCTGCTCTTCTAAACTCCTGTCGCTACACCTCTGCGGTCATCAAAGAGACATTACGTATCTACCCTCCATCAGGTTCAATCAGAGACGGCGCCCCAGGTATCTCTTTGCATGATCGAAAAGGCACACCCATATCGACCGACGGCCTCGGCGCAACCGTCATGCACAGCCACGTCCACACCAACCCCCGCATCTGGTCAAGACCTCTAGAATTCCTTCCGGAGCGTTGGCTCGTTGAATCAGGTCACGAGCTTTACCCACCTTCTGGTGCGTTTCGACCATTTGAGCTGGGTCCACGCAATTGCATTGGACAGACGCTAGTCCTCAATGAGATGCATATTGCGCTCATCATGACAGTCAGGAAGTTTGATATCGTCCCAGCTTATGATGAGTGGGATGCTGCGAGACTTGGCAACGAGGGCTTGTACAGCAAGATGCTGAGGAAGCTGGGCTTGGGGGGTAACGAGCATAAGACTGTGTTAGGCGAGCGCGCATATCAGACCGCAAGATCTGGGTTTCACCCCTCGGATGGGTATCCGTGTCGCGTGAATCTTGCGAAGAGGTGAAGTCCGCGGTCTTGGTTGGGTAGACACCAAAGAAAGCATTTTGGATGGAAAAGAAGTGTAAACGTAATAGTCGATCGCTATAGAGCCGTGTTCTCCATTCTTCATCTAAAAGATAAGACAATGCTCTATCCTCGCTACTAGTTCCGATAGTTGACTGTCACATGGCACTTCTCACAGTTCCCTGTCCCATAGCTTCCATGATGATGTCCACAATGGGCTAATATATAGAGCGCCTTATCTTTGATCGTCTGACCAGATACGGCATACGGACCAGATTTGTTGATTGCGTACTTGATGAAGCAGCTACCCTGGGAGAACTCTTGGCCATCGCTGTAGAAGGCCCCCACGTCGATTCTGTCGATGCCAACATAGCAGTCGCTGAGGTTGGGCGAGTTGGTGGAGCCGTCGCAGCTGAGGGAATTAGTATGAGCGGCGGTGATGGAACGAGAGGGGCTATCATATGAGGGACGGTAAAAAGAATATGTATGTATGTGACTTACTTGTCCTTGTAGGCTATAGCGGTGCAGCTCATAGCGAGCAGGGCAAGCGTAACCTTGCTGAACATGATTGTATAAAAGTTTTCGAATAGAAGTTTGGTTGCTAGGTATTCGTGTGGTTATTGCTTGCCTATTATCAGGTTGACTTGATGACAAGACTGTTTGTACATCTGGGTAGACAGTACTTATAGACGAAGCAAACGTGTTAAGTAAGACTTGCATGCGCCTCAATCTAAGTGACACCCTGATGTCTATGCTATTGTTGAGACGTGTGTGTGTGATGAGTTACACATCGACTATGAAGGAGCGCTGGATACGGATAAAAAATACAGAGCCTTGTCTAAAACCGGCCGCATGAGACTGTCGATCGCACAACGGTGAGGTGGAGTACGTTAGTACAGCGTAAGTAAACCGTACGTACAGCGCTATCGTTGGCCAGATCCTACAGTCGTACATGGCGAAGGTTTGGGAGGCGTGGTACAGTTGTACGGCCCCCAACATTAGCTTGATATACATCCATTGTCATTTGTCCAAGACAACATCAGCCTTGGTATGGTCGGTCAAAGGCATGCGGTATGAAAGCGCCACACAACTGCTTTTGCATCAGGCCGACAATAATAATTTGGCACAGCGACATTGAGGACAGTTATTAGAAGACTCACTGACAAGCCATAGAGAAGCATTGCCCAGAAATGGCCGCATGAGGGGCTCAAGGCTGGGAATACCGAGTTCGTCTTTCCTCTAGCCGCCACCACAGCATCCGGATATGCATGTACGAGGTAGGGGTTTGAGGCGCCAAGTGTACTTGGCGAATCCATATGGGCGCCTTAATACTAGTCAGTAATGTGGTTGTGGTGCATACGCAGCAATGAGCTGTCATCTTGCAGCGAGCTTCCAGGCTGCGACGGCGCAGCATCCCACTGGAGCTCAATGGTTTTGGAGGATTTATGGGTATCTCGTTTCATTCGTCTCTTCGTGCAGATGGGATTGCACCGAATACCAGCTCTTTCTCTCACACACCAAGCACTATCCTCTCAACTCTCTAAGGCCTTGGTCCGGCCGTTCCTCTTCCTCCAGCTCTGCACGCCCTTGTCAATCTCATCTCTTGTCACACCGTCTCTTATAAGTTGCATAGTTACACCCAGCACCTCTACGTTCTTATTCCTGCTCTCATCGTCAAAGAAGAGCATCTCGTCGTATTCGATCCCGCTGTCTCTGTGTATCCTCTCAAAGTGCGTCGTCTTGCTGCCGGGGTATATCTGCATGTGATCAAAGTAGTCTATTGCGCGCGAGGAGGAGCCGGATGCGCTGGGTATCTTGAGGAGCTTGAGCATTTCGCGGCCGAGATCGGGGGCGCATGTGCGCGAGGCGGCGCCGATAAGAATGCTCTTGTCTTTGAGCTGCAATGGCGTTAGAGAGTTTCCGTTGCACCAATATGTAAGCAACTGGTACCTACAGCTGCTAATATGCCTCCCACATCATTGTAGAAACCGAAGCCCTCGCCATAACGGTCCTTTACTTTCAAGCCGCCTTCTACAGGCTTCAGCGGAGCCGTGACGTGCGTGTCTACCCAGAAGGGCCATAGTGTGTAGTCGAGGTCGAAAACAACAATCTTAGGAAGCGGTAGTCCGTCTGTGAATGTCGATGGCCATCGGACCTTCTCTGGGAGCTTTGTCGTGGTAGTTGTGTCGGTTGACGCCGATGAGGTTGCGCTGCGGCGAGGCATTACGAACTTTGGTGCGCGCAATGGAAATGCTCCGAGAAAGAAAGCCAAGATGATCACAAATGCTGTAATAGCCAGGAAGCGTGGATGAGCCAGGTTGGAGGTGTGAAGCGTGGTGACGAAGATGGTAAGTGTGGCGCGTCTAGAAGAAAAAAGGCGATGACGTAGACGCGTCGGGTTGCCTCATGCGGCACCCGGGCACACTTCGAAGCCTTGAATATGCAGCACCGTTACCATACACCTTGCGATGACACACAACGATCGACTGTTCACAAGGAAAAAAGCATATTTTCAACGTTACCAGGGAGCTCGCTTCCATCATCGCCATTCCCACAGGACTTCCAAGGTCGCCAACCAGCGTAAAGAAAGCGTACTCTACTCCAGAGTAGCACCCCCGATTCGTTACGTCTTTCCAAATTCATGTAAAGAGTCACAGTCGTAGGCAGCCTGCGTATCCTATACATGGTACATGTACAGCACACGGGAACATGATCGACTCGACCACTAGCGCAGACATCCGCGAACTGCCGATGAACTCATCGTCTAGGCTAACAAGGACTATCCTGAACCTTGTCCATCGCATCTGCAACCTTATTTTCAACTTTAACTACTCAGTTGTTGTTGGCGAGTGTATCAAGTCTCTCTGGGTCAAGCGCGCTACGCGCTCGATAAGTGAATGAGAACCAGGACCGTAGCTTTGTGGACGCTGCTACCCGTGTAGTACTTTTTGCGCACTTGCACAACTAGACATGCAGGGCCGATAGACGCGAAACACGCAGACATGCGAATGTGCAATGATGATGGAGATGATAGCCGGCTTGCATGTGTTAAAGTGGTGCTGCGCTGCACACCTTCCGTTCTAGTCGTCCAGCCACTACCAGCCCCGCAAATAACGGGCAGCGGAAGGAATCCCGCCTGACTTCTGCCTGCGTCAACCTCTACACAGCTTTCTCAGAACATGTTGCCGTGATCCGACCACCAACTGGGCTTCGATGGCGGCGACCTGCGTTCGTCGTACAATTTCTCATCGCGACCAGGAACAGCACAATCTTGCCACCGCTCCGCAACCCGCAATTGCGCAAACTCGGCGTCTGCGAATCAAGGCGCGCCCCATTGAACTCGAGCGCAACAACGGGTGACACCACGCCAATCAATCGCCACAATGACCGACTTCAATGAGACAAGATCACCCCTGACAAACGAAAATGTCCAGGCATGGGCGCGTGCGAATTTTGCCGCGCCCTTTCGCGCTTTGCCGCGCGCCGCAAGACTGCAATGGATCCAGTTCGACGAGAGCTTCACCATCAGCAGAGCCATCTGGCGAGGGCTCGGCCGTTCCACTCACAAGCAATTACTTGTCATCGGCGGATATGCGCCAGGCCCCGCGGGCGACGACGATGAACCCATAGATCGCGTCACCGCGCACGTCCACGAAGATGAAGCCGAGGTCAGCTTTTATCGCATAACCGAATTGGACGACGGCGGTAACGAGCTGCAAGCTGTGAATAGTACGAGTACTGTTGCCTTCCATGCGCCTTTTTGTGATGTCGGAGACGATACGGGAGGGTCCAAAGCCATCCATCGCGTGTCGGCCCTCATTCTTTACTACTTCTTGGCTGCTGGCCACGTGAAAGAGCTATGTCGGACAAGATCGGATCCCACCATGTTTACCAGGAATTTTCGGGACGCATGTTTATGGGTGCAGAACGAGGGAGAACGGCCATTGCTGCCGCCATCGAGGAAATCAGAACCCAGTACTCCTCATGAAAAGGACCCAATTGCTGTTCGGCCAAAGCGATCATCTACCGTTTGTATGTCAATACCAATCGTCGGCCAGTTGGCTATTGTACTGACTAGATTTAGCATCACTATCAAGGTCCATACCTGAAGACATCCAGGCACCACCCATCAAACGCGCAGCAACAGACAGCTTGAACGTCAAGATCAAACGCGAACGCGATGAAGACTATCCCGGCATCGCATCGGCTATCCGTCCTAAGAAGCATCCCCGACGTACCCTCAGTGAGCAAATCATCGTACCTTCAAGCCTCAAGGAATCAACGGCAGCGCCATCACCATCATCCATTTTAAGTCCACGTAGTCCAGCACCAGAGCGTGTCAATCGCGCACTAACAGATCGAATCCAACACCTCAAAGATGAGAATGCTGGTCTGAAAGCCTCAGTAAATGGCCTCGAGACAGAGAAAACAGATCTGCAACAACGAATGGCAAAAGAATCACATGCATATCGCGGACTGCAAATCGAATCCGATGCGCTGCGGAAAGAATCCGAGTATATGAAAAAAGAGATAATGGCCATTAAGGAGCGTTTAGAATCTGTCGAAACATCAGGCGAGAAGCTACGCGCCGAAGTAGACCGGTTAACAGTTGTAGAAGAAGCCAGCAAAGAACTACGGAAAGAGTTGAGAAATGAAGTCGAGAAGCTGAGAGGTAGAGTTGAAAGGAGTGAGAAAGAGGCGGAAAATGCGAAGGAAGAGTTGTTGGCTGTACGGAGAGGGCTTACGAAAGAGTTGGGTGAGGCGGTCAAGAAGTGGGGTGCATAGGCGGGCGACCAATGTCTGGAAAGGTGCACCGTTGCTTTTTATTCATTCTGCGTCCAATGATCTGGACAGGCGGCTTGTGTGAGCAGTTGTACAGGAATGTGCAGGGCATTGACCTGGGGGGCATTCTGTTTGTTTTGATGAAGAAGCGGCATCATCGGCGTAATATTCGGCGTCCCTTTTTCTCCTTCAATTACGCTTTTTGGCTACTCGCAATTTCAACACCAACACCAATACCAAAGCAGTACGCACATTTCGGGCCTAAAGATGGAGAGAGTCCGAACTTAGTATTTCTGGTCGACACTAACGTTAAGCATATCATTACAGAATTGGACACATCGGACAAGCATAACGTACAATAAGCCTATGCCAAGGAAAGTGAGAAGAATAGGCAAACGTACGCAAAAACCTGATTCGGAACCTCTATACCACTCATACCCATTTTATCTTTATTGACGTTGCATATATCAACCATCGCCTACTGTTCCCTTCTTCCTCATAACGTATCGCGCCGAACACTGTTCCATGATATATGCCCCCAACCCATTACCCGGCACACTTTCCCCGCCTACACGGGCTTTTCTACCTACCAGCCGCAGATACCGCTGCCACGGCACCCTTCCTCGCACCATCCTCCTGATGCACCTCCCGTCGTAACCGCTCAATCTTAGCATACAGTTATGGTGCGCCGACCTCTCCTCCATTTTTCCCGCGCATCTTACGATAGGCATTCTTGCTGCGTTGTGCTGTGTTCTTTGCTGCGTTGTCACTGTCGGCATGCTTGGAGGATGCGAGACCGGGTTGGGATTTAGTCGGTGTAATGGAAATAATGGCGGGACGCCTATTGTTGTTGCCATCGTTGCTGCGGGGTGGGGGTTTACGTCGCTGTCGGGTTGATCGAGGGGATTTAGCGTTGGGATTGGTGGGGATGGCGGTGTCGTCTTCGGTATCCGAAGCCCATGGCAGTTGGGAGCGATGCCGAATGTTGGGTTCTTTCTCCGCGGACTCCTTTGTAATGGTTTTGATGGGAGATTTGCAGTCTATAAGCAACGAAGGATTGCGTCCGAGACTTGGCGACGATGGCAATGAAATCGAGGTGCGACTAGAAGAGACTTGGGCCTCGCTCGATCCTGCACTGTCTGCTGAAGTATGAGATAACTGAGGACCGGGTGGTGGAGCCGGAGCATCTTCAAGGTCGATGAGCAGATCCAATATCTGGCTAGCACGTCGAACCGGTCCCTGAACTGACGCTGGTGGAGGTGTTAAGCGACCTGCTGTGGTCTGCTCAGGAGAGGAATCCCTTTTGAAAATATCACACGGCTGCTGCACTTCTTCACCGAGTAGATCATATCCTTGGGCCTTCCTCGCTCTGAATGTCGAGTGATCAGGAAAGGCTCTTGGTTCCGGCATCTCACCTGCTTGGTCTGCATCTTCGTTCCCAGCCAGCCGTCGCTGCATCCACGTGGGCGGCCTAGCTACGATAGCAGACTTCTCCTTCCACCACCTCGGTACGCCCCTAACGAATCCAAGTTCACGCAGCTTCTCGATGCTAGGCATCTCGTGTTTAAACTTGCAGCCGATGGCCGTCCAGTCACATTCGCCAGTCTTAATCCAATGCGTGCAGTACTCTTTCTTGGATGGATCGGGCTCGACGCCGGACGGGTGGGAGACGCGGTATCCGAGGCGCTGCGCATCTTCCTGGTAGATGGAGGCGAAGGCGTCGGTTAGTGAGGACGGGCGTTCAAAGGTAGCCATAGGTGTTGAGCGAGGTTGTTGCGACTCCGCACGTACATGATGGTCTGGTGCCAGGTACCGTGGTTTCGCGGTCGGACTGGGGTGACATGGGAAGCTGGTAGCTGTAGGGGCTTGGATCAAGAGCGCCGATGAAGCCTGGTTCGTCTCTGAACAAAGCTTCCAGCCTCCATCTGAGATTTGGCGATGGGTCAACTGGCGCGGGATTCCTTGGAGTTGGAAGGGTAGCTGATCTACTGGTACTAGCGGAACCATCATGCTGCCTCCTATGATATCGCCGCGAAGCAGATAGTAGCGAAGACCTTCCGGTAGCGCGCAGGTGCTTGAAGATTGGATAACCATACTGACAAAGCACGAGGTAATTCCGACGAGAGAAATGCTTTGACTAGTTTTAGCTGTGGACGACTTCACCGGTATATGTATTATACAGAGAAGAGATGACTGAGAAACGAAGCTTGGAGAGGAAGTTGGATACTGAGGTCTGCAAGATACTGTGATTTATATTCGTGGTTGTGCGCTGTGCTTGAGACAGCAAACTGATGTCTCTGCGGCGCAGCAAGCGGTTTGCCCGCGGTGCTGTGCAGCTATCCAGCGAATCAATGCTGCGAAAGGTCATTTCGAGCATTGATCAACTGAAAACATATGGAATCGCGTTGAGAGCTGCATTGCCTGCGACTCGGCCAGAGAGAAGACATGAAGGCAGAATATGAGCAACAGCCTTGAGAGTTTGTCAAGCGATGATCCATCGCAGTCTTACTACTATGGGCAGGCAGCTGTCTTTGTCGGACCTGAAACGGATTGTGGAAGAAGTTCATGAACGAATCACAAAAGTCGATAACAAGAGCCTGGCACTGGTGTTTTGAACAATACGAAGATGATGCTGAAGATATGGCGTAACAGCTGTTAAAGGGGAATAATTTGTCATTAGCGGTTCACGCGTGATCAAGCGTAGCGCGGTGGGTTGGCAGGTCGTAGGCTGTACGGGTATGTTTCCCGGTTACAGTCACAACGCTGGAGCAGCCGTTTTTCGTAGTTCAAAGCATCGCAGTCGTGGTGCTGTCAAAATGGCGATGATGACGAGTAGATTACCAGATTGAAAGAACGGCTCCAAAGGTTGCCGGACTACCATGTGTTCAGGCCTGACCCTTTTCGCTCAACGGCTATCACTGTGGAGATCGACCGCGGCACGGTAACTTCCGATTCGCCCAGATCTGCCTAACCCAAACTTCAAAACACTAGACCGCTTCGACCAACGGTACCCCCAATCATGGCTTTTGCACTCGGCTTGTGTATTTGGCATTGGCAGCATGCGCTTTGTGTCATCTAACACAGCCTGAAGTCGTGGTTGGGAGATGACCTCCCAACGTCAACGATTGACCCTTACGCTGGGATTCGTGTGGGGTTTGCACAAAATATACCGTGAAAACTTGTGCCTAGTGTTTCGGCAGTTGACATCTAGATGCTATATGTCAAAACTTACTTGCATGATATTAGCCGCATGGCGCACTCCAGGGAGTTATCTCCGTGCTGTGGCTTGAAGGTACCATGATTCGTCAACGAATGAAGCTCAAGGGACGTCGTCAATGACTCAAGTACGAACATGATCTTCAATAGTGGGTCAATAGCTTCGCACTGGTATTCCACGGCAATGCGTCTTGCCAGTTTCGGAGAGTATGCGGCTGGGACAACTAGCAACGGCCCCCTAGGCTTCAGGGTCTGATAATACCGGAACCTCCCTCGCTATCTTGTCGATTACTCAACCATCTTTCAGCGCGTAAAAATTGACCAGGAACGTATCGAATGGACGCCCGCAAGGAGCTATGACAGGAGGCACAACTATCACAGAACGACGACCAAGCTGGAGAAGCCGAGAAGAGCCCGAAGTATGACCAAGGACGATCGCAGTCGCGAAGTATTCGCTATTGCTACATTATTCTTTGTGCTCACATGGACGACTGTCGCCCTACGAGTCTATGTTCGCGCAATATTGATGAAGACATGGGGAAAGGATGATTCTTTCATGGTTGCATCACTAGTAAGTTGTCACCTCTAGAACACATGTAGTTGGCTGTGCTGATCAAACTTTGTAGGCGGTCTTCACCCTGTACCTGCCATGTCAGATCGTTGCTGCGATACATGGAACCGGACGGCATCGGTGGGACTTGAGTGACAGCGATAGAAAGACAGCACTTATGGTCAGTCCAACGTCCTTGCTTAGCAATCTGACAACTAACCCAATGCAGTTCTGGTACTTGTGTGAGCTTTTCTACGTGATAGCGAACTGTCTGCTCAAATTTGCTATTGGTTACTTCTACCTCAGAGTCGCGATCGAGCGCTGGCATATCTGGTGCATCAGACTGCTAATGCTAGGTACGGTGTTGTGCGGTCTCATCTACCTCTTTCTAGTTATGCTCCAGTGCCTGCCCAGTAAGCTTTTGTCCGATGCTTACCTTATGCAGTTACTAATTCATACAGTCTCTGCATTTTGGAACGAGCATCCGTCTTCAAGCAAGTGCATAGCAAGAGGGCCAACCTTGGGCATTACCTATGCGCTCGCCACCGTCAATGCACTCGCCGACTGGGGATTCGGTCTGCTTCCTTTCTTCATTGTTTGGGGTTTAGACATGAAGATGAACACAAAGTTACTGGTTGCAGGTATCCTTGCATTCGCTGCAATGTAGGTAGGATCTATCAGCTGCTGAGGATCAAGAACTAACCAGACTTTAGTGGTAGCACCGGTACTGTCATTCGTATGGGGTATATTCACACGCTCGTAGAAGGACCCGATTTTCTATGTACGCATTCACCACTCGAACGCACTGTCAATCCTGCTTTACTAACGAGGTTGATTAGATGCTACTACTGACATTGCTTTGTGGAGCACGATTGAACCGGGGATTGGAATCACAGCGGGTAGCATAGCCACATTTCGTCCGCTCATTCGCCACTGTCTATGGAAAATGGGTTTGGGCGAAGCACCTCGCCACGAACGAGGTCGTAGTTACTATCCCACTAATATTGGCCGGAAGCGCAAAGATCGTCGCGGGTATCGACGCAGCCTGAGTCCTTCTGACTTGGTGCCTACCGATCTGGGCGGCATGACTTCTATACGGATCCACGGACCTCAAGATATAGACCTTGAAAGCAACCTGTCTCTGCCCAAGATCATTGTTACAGACGAGAATACGCCACAAACTCCCGAGGGTCAGATAGTCCATACTGTGACGGTCCAGCAACAATATGAGGGTCCGCCAAAGCTTCATCTGCGCGACAGCTTCAGAAACAGCTTTACTCGCGGGAGCATTCTAAGCCTTGGCAAGTTTCGCATACCCGATTGAGCTTCCAGAACAAGTACCGTAGGACTATCGATATACTGAATCGAGAAAACACGTGAATGAATTGCCTCAGACGCGTCCACGACCGACCAAAAGACCAAAAACAACCGCCAAGGCTTCGTTTTCTTGTCCATACATGACGTTCTCCATGCAGATGGCCGACGGATACGCGACCTGGCGTCACTGAGTCAGTCGTCAGAAGGAAGTGAGAGAGTTGGTGGAACGTGGCGTCACCTGGATGAAACACATTCACCAAGGCTGACTGCTATTCACGTCATCTCTCAAATGCGTCTATACCAACCGCTTCCTGGTTTCTGGTCTTGATGTAAAGTTCTTACTTTGCCATCGTAATTCTAGCATTCTCAGTCTTTCCAATTGAACGTAATTCACCAGTACCCCGCGCATTCACTTAGGGTGTTCACACGATCTCCGCAAACTCTGGGTACCACACAACGTCAAATGACATCTCCAGCCACTCTTTTCGGCAGATATCGATGGACGAGGACAACATAGCGACGTTGCCACTCAACAAGGACGTGCTTGCAGAGGCCATTCCTATAGCCAACATCAAGCGCTTTCTCCATCTACTACATCACGCCAAGTCGTCGAAGGGGCGGCATGGACCTTATACCAAGCAACACAACATAACAACAGTCTTCTCACGCGATGTGGGGTCATCTCAGCGTCCGAAGTCTCAAAACCCATCGCTCAAAATTCTGGCTCTCTCCCTAGCAGCAGCGCAAGATTGTACGTATAGCGCGCAGCCAGACGGACCCACAAAGGACGAACTGGATGTGTTCACGCTTCTATGGGCCAGCGCAGTCACGGTTCTTGAAGAGATACTCGTCAGAGGCTCCCTTCCACAAGTTTTTCAGTTGGGATATCCTCGGTCTTTCCGCTGGCTACATGCACCCACTCGCTCTCAATCTCACCAATCAAAACATCTTCTCGAATAATAAGCACCGTCTACAAGCCGCTCTGTGTAGACTGCACTCGTTGAACGGAGAGAGGAGCAGTGAGTACCAAAGAAAAATGTAGGGAAATGGGCTTCATAAGATCATAGGGTGGGCAGTTTGATCCAGGTATATGCATGTGTAACTATATGACTGTAGAGATCGTATTGCCCTTAACATCTTTTCATTCCCAGATCAGCGCAACCAAGTGTCCCACCGATCTTAGCGCTTAATCTATCTTGATGCGAAGATGCTGGTTCGTGAACGGGTAACCCTCTGCCACTAACGTACAAGGGAAAAAGCCTTTAAAGATAAGTAAACATTTCAAGACTGCTAGGCCTTTGCTTGCTGTACCAAGAACACTGTATGAGCAGTCTTCAGCGAATGGCAACGTGGTTCTTCCGGATCTATACCCAAGGCGGCTAGCAGCATGGATCTACAATCACGACATACCACCCCTCGATTTCGTGTACAACCAATCCTCATAAGCCCTTGCAACAATTCGCCATGTTATGCAACGATGCCGAGGAGGCTTTCCGTGTCAACACGCATCGAACCTCGCATCGGACGCGACACGCCATGCGCTCCAATGATAGCCCACGATTATGCCTGGGTGCGTGCATGAGCCCGTGGTCATGACGCTGCGGCGGCTTGAGCTGCTCAACCCACGTTCTTGCATCATCTCAAGCTACGGAGAATTTGAAAATAGCCGGCTGATAAGTAGGCCTTAGTGCCCGGGTGTCGCAGAGTAAACAAAAAATATCTTAACGCATTTGGTTCACGACTGTTTCAATCGTGATCATGGCATCGGAGAAGCATGACGCGCCTCTTGCGTCGAACTCATCCGACAGTGATGTCGAGGTTGTCTCGGGTACCATCAATGAGAAGAAGCTACTACGAACGCTGGATTTGAGATTGTTGCCCGCGGTATCAGTCCTGTATTTGTTGAGTTTCCTCGATCGCAGCAATGGTACAAGTGCCTGGCCTCTAGCGGGAGAAGAGTATACTGACTTATCTCTGCAGTCGCCAACGCCCGCATCGAAGGCCTCACGACCGACCTGAATATGACAGGAAACCAGTATCTCACAGGTCTTACGCTGTACTTCATCGGTTACGTCTTGTTTGAGCTACCATGCAACATCATCCTCAAGCGAACCACACCGAAGTTCTGGTTACCGACGCTTACAATAGTTTGGGGTATCGTCGCAACATTGATGGGTGTCACACAGAATCGAGAGGGCTTCTTCGCCGTGCGTTTCTTGTGAGTAGCTGTTGGGAAGCACTTAGCGTGCAAGCGAGACACCAGAACAGATGGACTGACTTCATTGCAGTTTGGGTGTTGCCGAGTCTGGACTATTTCCAGGTGTGGTATACTACTTGAGCATGTGGTACAAGCGCGAAGAGCGCCAATATCGCATTTCGTTATTCTTCAGCTGCGCTTCGCTTGCTGGAGCTTTTGGTGGAGTATGCTGTCTCTGCAATGGATTCTCGTTCGCTCGCACTGACAGCTTTAGATTTTGGCGTACGGAATCGCGCACATGCGTAATGTTGGAGGATACGAGGGTTGGCGATGGATCTTCATTCTCGTATGTCTACTTGCCTGTTAGTAGTTCTACCACTGACAAAGACACAGGAAGGTCTTCTCACCATTGTGATTGGAGTTGTCGCGTACTGGTTCATTTCCAACTACCCAGGCACAGTCAGCTGGCTCAGCAAAGAAGAGCGAACCTTCGTGCAAGCGCGCCTCAAAGCCGATAGTGACGCTACAAACGAGGAGGCGTTCTCGTGGGCTGAAGTGCTAGTTGCAGCCAAAGACATTAAGATCTGGTTGTACGCCTTTGCTTTCCATACCATGAGCTTACCTTTGTACACGCTATCATTGTTCCTAGTAAGTTATCTCGGTTGAGTGCCAAGCTCAGCTCTCTCTGACATTCTCAAAGCCAACGATCATCCGCGATATGGGCTATACGTCAGCTCAGTCCCAACTCCTCTCTATTCCGCCTTATGCAGTCGCAACCATCTTTACAATATTCTGGGCTATACTTTCCGAGCGCTATGCCCGTCGCGCACTCTTCATCCTCACAACCTCCACCGTCGCGATCATCGGCTACATCATTCTTCTCGCGAACACCGACCCCAAGGCACGGCCTGGCGTTTCCTACGTCGGGACTTTCTTTGCTGCTATCGGCATATACCCCTCCGTTGCATTGATCCTCTGCTGGCCAGCGATAAACGTAAGCGGCCAGACGAAACGAGCGACGGCGAATGCAATGCAGATCAGTATCGGTAATCTGGGAGCCGTGCTGGGTACGCAGTTGTATCGCGCAAACTCTGGGCCACGGTATATTCTTGGCCATAGTTTTGCGCTTGGGTATTCATGCCTAAACCTGATCGTTGTTGGGGTGTTGTTGATAGTACTGAAGAAAGAGAATAAAGAAAAGGAGAGAATCTTATTGGAAAGACCGGATACTCGCGGTTTTCATGACACCGCGGAAGATCTGGCGATGGGAGATCGCCATCCGCGGTGGAAATTCCAGGTTTAGAGGAACCTGGAGTGATGTCGGTGGTATTCAAGAACGTGCGGTGGTACGATATCGAGGGCAGGATATCGGTTACGTTCTGCGATCATGATACCAAAGCCAACATGCTTTGGAAGCAGTTTTGGTAGAGGATTGAGAATGGGATTGACTCTTCCCCACGAACATAGATCTGGGTGGTTGCGCTTTTGGATGGCACATCCATTGCGGAATGGCGACAATCCAAGATACAATTGTGCATTTAGCATGCGATGTGAGGACGGCAGAATAGATACGAATATTTCGTCGATCCGATAATACTACAGGGCCCGTAGATGTACCTTCCTGATCGAGACTAGTTGCAATTGTATCATCACTTATTCCCGCGTAACATCCGATAACTAACATTCCGAGCCACCAAGCCTCCAACTCTCAACAACCATCACAATGGCGGGCAAGAACTGGGGAAAGCAGACACCAATACCTGTTCCATCAAAGCCTTACAACCGTCAATTCATCGGCAGCGCTGTGTTTTGCCTAGGGATACTGGTCTTCTTACGTCATGTCACCGCTCCCATCTCGTCGCCATGGCACCTTCCCTCCGACCTAAGCAACGCCAAGTCGGGAGCGCAATGCTCGCAAGTCGAGCCTTTGTTTCCGGCAAGGAAGACGAAAGAGTTGGATGAAATGGAGGGCTACCTAACATCTGACGCTTTTCGTGATGTTGCCATCGAGCGCTTATCGGGTGCTGTCAAGATCCCTACGCAAAGCTACGATGACATGGGCGAGATCGGATCTGACCCTCGATGGGACATAATGTACTCTTTCGCAGACTATCTTGGCAAGACATTTCCACTCGTGCATGCGACGTTGCAATTGGAGAAGGTCAATACGCATGGCTTGCTGTATACATGGGCTGGCACGAATTCAAGCTTGAAGCCTAATTTGCTCATGGCGCATCAGGATGTTGTGCCTGTTCCTGACTCTACAGTTAAGCAGTGGACATATCCGCCTTTCTCGGGCCATTATGACGGGAAATTTGTTTGGGGTAGGGGTGCAAGCGATTGCAAGAACCAGTTGATGGCTATTTTGAACAGCGTCGAGGCGTTGATTTCTGCCGGGTTTACTCCTCAGCGAACGTTGATCTTATCCTTTGGATTTGACGAAGAGATCTCTGGTCGGGAAGGCGCGCAACATCTTTCGGAATACTTGCTAAAGAAGCTCGGGCACAATTCTATTGCCGCTATTATCGACGAGGGCGCCGTGAATGTTGAGAGTTGGGGCGCAAACTTCGCAATTCCTGGCGTTGCTGAAAAAGGTTACGTCGACGTCGATATTGTTGTGCGCATGCCTGGCGGCCACAGCAGCATCCCGCCAGCACACAACGGCATCGGAGTCGCCAGCGAGCTCATCACCTTGATTGAGGAAAACCCTTACGAGCCCCATCTCTTCGACGAAAACCCTTACCTAGGCCTCCTCCAATGTGGAGCCGAACACGCTCCAGACTTCCCTCGCCACCTAGGAAAACTACTAGACAAACGATCCAAACGAACTGCGACATGTTCGAAGAAGCCGACAAAAGACGACCTCGCATCAGAAGCAGCAAAAGCAGGCCCAGGCATAAAATACCTCTTCACAACCTCCGTAGCAGTCGACATAATCCACGGCGGTGTGAAAACCAACGCCTTGCCCGAACGAACACAAATAACGGTAAACCACCGCATCAATGTCGGTTCAAGCTCCTCAGTTGTAAAGACACACATTGCAGCCCTCGCAGCTCAAGTAGCGCAGAAATACAACCTTACACTGCACGCGTTCAACGGCACAGAAACCCCATCTAGCATCACCCTCTCTCACGGTCCTACCATGCTAGAGCCAGCACCTGTCACACCTACGTCCCTGGTCCCCTCTTGGTCTTCTTCCAACGGTACCGTAACGCCCTACCAAGTCCTCTCCGGAACTACCCGCGCCCTCTATGGCAAAGAGCTCATAGTAAGCCCTGGTATCATGACAGGTAACACGGATACGAGGTACTACTGGGATTTGAGCGAGAATATCTTTAGGTACGGCCCCGGGTGGGATAAGGAGCAGGTTGGCTTGGGCAATATTCATACAGTTGATGAGAGGGTAGGCGTGCAGGCGCATTTGGATACTGTGAGGTGGATGTGGAACTGGATCAGGAATATGGATGAGGCGGTTTTGTGAGGAGGGTGGTTGTGATAGTGGTGTGATGTAGGTGTAAGTGTGTGTGGACGGGAAGTGGGCGTCGGTGACATGTGCTTGGTTGGGAGATGGCTGTTTCGATGGCAGGGATGGTTGGGTAGTAGTGCTCGTTGCTACTACAGAGTGTTGATTGGCAACTCCTCATGAGATAGGGATTCTTATCTCCAACACTTAAGTTTGGAAAGCAACATCTAATTGGCCATCGTAGTTAGTAGGTTGTCTAGATCATTCATTTGCCCAGTGCACCTGAGATATTTGTTGGAGAACCGGTCTGCGACGTATTGCAACTGTAACCACAATTCATACAAGCGAGCACAGCGGTAACATCAACCTGATCAACTACTGAGCGGTAGCGTGGTGTATATATCGCATCCAACTTTGTGCATGCCTATAAGCTGGGCAATGCTACAATTCCAAAAAGGATCGCCCACCTACTTCAGTAGCGATCTTTCGGTCATCACTTGGGTGAGTGACCTTGGGCAATCCTGTTTGACAAAACAAAATAGAGATTCTCATCATTCCTGTTTCGACAAAGTGAGGTTGTCTTTGTTTCTATTAATGCAAGAGTTCACATTGAACACAGACCGACACGTATCGCAAAGTTAAAATGAACATGATGAAATTTTTGTATCTCTCTCCCTCGTCCAACAGCTATTACGCCATCTTCTCTTCTTCCGCCATGCAATGCTACTCAACAGGAATACCAACGCCGAAAAGTGTATGTACACGCAAGAAGCGCTCATAAGCCAAAGCGAACAGAAAGTCCGTCAAGCGAACAATCAAGAAGGAAACCGTGATATCATATCCTGACCATCTTTGGGCTATACATACCCACAACCAAGGGAACAAAAAAGCCGCTGACGTCGATTGAGGTGATCGTTCGACCGCGAGATAAGTGAGAGAGGAATGACGAGGAGATAAAGTCCGCTAGTCAGTCTGTCGAAAAAGTAAGAAAAACATGATCGGAACCAATAATCAACCAAAAGCACGGAGCAGGGTTCTAGTGCTTGGGGCAGCAGCATACGTGTGGACCACTCTCAATGACCTCCTTGGTGGCTTGGTCTTCGTACTTCTTGAAGTTCTCCATGAAGAGCTTGCCGAGCTTCTCCACTTCGCCCTTGAAGTCGGCAGTGCCGTTCCAGGACTTGGCGGGGTTGAGGAGCTCATCGGGGACGTTGGGGCAGGTCTTGGGAACGGAGAGACCGAAGGTTTCGTATGTCTCATACTCGACGTTTGCGAGCTCGCCCGAGTGGATGGCGTCAAGGATCGCACGGGTGTATTTGAGAGGGCAACGCTGAGGAGATAGTTAGCAAATATTCACGTGGATTTGTTGAAGGGGTTCGCCTTACCTTGCCACCGGTAGTAGCACCAGCACCGACCCAGCCGGTGTTGAGGAGCCAAGCGTTGGCGTTGTGTTGTTGCATCTTCTCCGCGAGCATCTTGGCGTAGCGCATGGGGTGAAGGGCGAGGAAAGGTTGGGCGAAGCAAGAAGAGAAGGTAGCCTGGGGCTCGGTGATACCCTGCTCAGTACCGGCCATCTTGGAGGTGTAACCAGAGATGAAGTGGTACATGGTTTGCTCGGGGTTGAGCTTGGAAATGGGAGGAAGGACACCACGGGCATCGCAGGTAAGAAGAACGATGTTCTTAGGGTGACCATCTGAGATGCAGGGGATCTTGGTGTTCTCAATGTACTCGATGGGGTAGGCACATCGGGTGTTCTCAGTCAGAGTGTCGTCGTCGTAGTCAACAACGCGTGTAACTGGGTCAAAGACGACGTTCTCGAGGATGGATCCGAAGCGGATGGCGCCGTGAATGTCTGGCTCCTTCTCGGCAGAGAGACCAATGCACTTGGCGTAGCAGCCACCCTCAATGTTGAAGATACCAGTGTCGCTCCAGCAGTGCTCGTCGTCGCCGATCAGGGCGCGCTTGGGGTCGGCAGACAAGGTAGTCTTGCCGGTTCCGGAAAGACCGAAGAAAACAGTGACATCCTTGTTCTCAATACCCTCGTTCGCTGACGAGTGCAGAGTGAGGACGTTGTGCTTGACGGGCATCTCGTAGTAGAGGACAGTGAAGATTCCCTTCTTCATCTCACCAGCATACTCGGTACCGAGGATGACCATCTCCTTGTCGGCAAAGTTGAGGGCAACAGACGTTGACGAGGTCATGCCGCTGGTGTACCTGTTGGCGGGGAAAGCACCGGCATTGTAGATGGTGTAGTCAGGCTCGAAGTGCTCCAGCTCTTCCCTTGAAGGGCGGATCAACATGTTGCGCATGAAGAGGGCATGGTAGGCACGGGCGCAGACAACTCGTACGCGTATCCTGTAGCGCTCGTCCCAGCCGGCGAAGCCATCGACGACGTAGATGCGGTTCCTGGTGTTGAGGTAGTCGATAGCACGCTCACGGTTGATACGCCAGACCTGGATGAAACGTTAGCAAAGAGAACGAGATGCGCACGTGATGGTCTGCCACATGGATCGATGGAAGTTTATCCGTCATGCAGGCGCGCAGATGCGGGGCAGCCGAGCCCCAGAACCGCCACGTGCAGGGATGCGAACTCCATCGGGTATGCGGCTAGCGTACATGACGTCTGCCGCCAAAATTTCACAAGCCAATACCGCGGTTTGACGTAGGCAAAAGTTTAAAAGGATTAGGGAGTGCGGAGAAGACTTACGTCGGTCTTCATCGGCTTGTTAACTGGGCCCCACCACACATCATCTTTTGACGAGTCCTCCTCGACGATACGCTTATCCGAGGGTGAGCGACCAGTCTTTGCTCCTGAGTATGCTGAGAGAGCGCCTGAAGCTGTGATAGCTGAGCCAGTCTCGTATACGAGCGCATCTTCGTAAAGGGCAGCAACTGAAGGGTTGGCGATCTGGTCGAGTTGTTAGCATTGGAATCGGGGTTCCCGCATCTGAAGAAGCTTACAATAGCGACACGGTCATAGTCGATGTGTGCTTTGTCGTGGAGAGATTCTTCAATCTCCGTGTGCTCCTTGTTCGGCCTGTAAGAAGATTATTAGTTGTTATTCGCTTGGTTCAGACCAATTGGCCTGGCGAAGATGGGGTTACTCACGCAACGCCGGAAGGGTGGAGATTGGTCTTGTTGACGCTTTGAGAAACCATGGTGTTGGATATGAGTGGAGAGATGGAAGAGGAATGGAAATTAGAACGTTGTTGTTTTGACACCTGTTGACGGGCAAAGTCTTGGGCCAAAGGAGCTGGGCTTGCAGTTCGAATAACGGGGTCCGAGGCAGCTTTAATACCACTCGAAGCCATTCTGACGACGTCGTCTGCGCTCAGTCTGGCAATGCTGGGCCGGGGACAAGCTAGTGCTATTGGAGCTGATTGGGCAATGGTACGTGTTTGGGTAGTGGGAGTGCCGGTCGGCTCACGAGGGACGAAAATAACGCGGAGCTGGGCACGAGCGCTGGGTGTCTTCGGAAGGAGCGCGCGGCAAGTGTAACCACAACCATCAGCTTTATGGCCGACAAATCTTAAGCCGATGCGCATGGATGTTCTAACTTGTCCAACTAAAACTAACAACAAGTCTTCGGTCACTGTTGTGTCATGGTCGACGACATCCTCGCAGCAACGGAGCCCTCGTGACGAATGTAACGACTGCGTGAACTGCAATGCGCGGGCTGGCATTGGCTCGAGGGGCTGATCACATTTACCCCACATTCACGCTGGCTGGAAGCGGTAAAGGCTCAACGACCTTTCGTCATTGTTTCATTGGCCACATTTCGGCTACAACGACGTCTTGGCCTATTTTTCGCCGGACAAGCTGATGTGCTATTGAATTGAAAGCCTCGTGATGCTTCAGCTCCGTCTGCAAGAGCAGCTACGATACAGCTGCATCAAATGCCCCATGCCTCAAACTCAGTGAATCCGTGTCAATAGTTCGGGCATCACGATAATCAATAAAAGATAGATAGTACCTAGGTATAGCTCGGCCACAGCGAGGCGGTGCAAAATACCACAGTTCCGGTTCCAGCTCGTGTGCTGTTTGCGATCCACACAGACCCCTGCACGATGATGGAACGCTGTTCGGCTTAGCCTTCGATTTCACGATGCACAAATCAAGGGCCTCGGACGGATGGCGCTGATAATCGGAAAAGCTGAGGCATTTCGATGCACACATCTCACGATGCCTTGTTAACCCGACAAGATTGGGTTTGCATGTGTCAAGTGCCGAGCATCTTGCTTGTGCGTTGTAGGGGTTAATCGCGCACATGCCTCCACAGTGATAGTAGAGAGCATCACATCCATGACAACTACCAGGCGTCAAATGTACAGTGGAAGCTACTGCGTGTCTGTATGTATGACAGCTGCGCCGTCAAAATTACTATTAGATGCTACACCGCTTAAACATCGCTATACAAATGACACTATGGTGAACGCTAGGATCCAGCCTGTACGTACATCAAACTCCTAGCACATGCTCTAGATCCCCAAGAGGCATTTCGCGGGGAATGCACGAGGCGGAAATGAGCCCCACTTGCGCTGGGATGGGCCGTTCCAAAGTTGCGTCTAACCCAGCCTTGCGCGTTCCGGCCGCGGGCAAGCTAGGAGTTTTCCGGAACCCGCATCTTCACAGCTCCAAGCCATGTCGCTGCACACTGTGCCGAATGGTTTTTTTCTGCCTCAAGCCGCATCACCGCTCTGCTTCTTCTTCGTCTCCTTCTTTTGTTTGCGCGCAGCTGGGCTGAAGAACGACTTGATCTGGCGTAGGCCGCCCAGGTAAAGCCACGTGCAGATGAAGACGACTGCAAAGTTGAAGAAAATATACGCCCACATGATACCAAAATCGCGCCAGATATAACGTGGAAAGACGTTGAAGCTGGTCAGGAAGGACTCGCCCGTTGCGTACTGACAGAATCCACAGTTCCCGTCTGGCTGGGCTTCGACATACCCCCCTGCTTGCTGCGCGAATTGACCGGCGTATGTCTGACAGTCTTGGCCAGGTGGGGGTGGAAAGATCGCCATTTCCTTAGTCTCGCATCTGATCTCCTGTCCTTGAACAAGTAGCGCAAGAAACCCTTCGAGCAAGTACCTGAAGGGTGTTAAAAAATACATCCAGCTTTGCCAAAATGTGGGTAAGCTGGCGTATGGCACCACCACACCACAGAAGGACACAATGAAGGTGAAGAAGAGCGGTACCAGTAGCGATGCGAGCAGCTCGTTGGGAGAGAAAGACGCAATTGCTTGTCCGAAGCCCAAATAGAAGACCTCAAAGAGCATGACGAAAAGCCAAACGCTTGCCGCAGTGTACGTATCGCGAGGGAAGCCGGGTGGGAAGTACCAGCAGCACCAGTAGATGGTTCCGGCGATGATGCGATATGGCAACTCGCTAAGTATCGTGCCCCAGACCATAGCAGTCCAAGAGTAGATCTTAGCACTGCCTTCTCGGGACTCGTAGATGCCTCGCATGCTAATGAAGCGGGGTTGCAGTTGCTGGATCAGGGGAGGCGCGATAGTGAGAGTCATGAAGATAGAGAAGAGCCGTGACTGCATGTCGATTTGGCTATTGCCGAGGTCCCAGAAGGTGAAGCCGTTGAAGAGGCCAGTGATGATATGCAGCATCACCATACCTTGCACGTACGGAGGGTCCCGCCAGATGGCCACGAAGCTTCTTTTGACGACTGCGAGCCATTGTTGAGGATATGGCATCGCGTATTCTCTGTCGTCGTGGGCTTCGTCGTTCTTCGCTGCGTCACGTCTGCTCGCGATGATGTCTTGTATCTCCTTGCCCAACTTTTCGTTTTCTGAACTCTTTTCCCAAACATCACCCCAGTCTTGACCCTTGTAGTCTGGGTTACCTGCGCCGATAGCCTCCAACATGTATTCGGCAGGGTTCGTATGGGGTGGGCCTAGAAGGTGGTGAACGAAGTCAGTATTTGCCTCACAAGCAGTTCGTACGGGGAACATTACATTTTTCGGCGCCATTATTCTCGAGATATTTAATCAGACTTTGGGAGTCATGGCCTAGATCACCGAAGTAGACTGTGCGACCGCCGGATTTGAGAAGCAGGAGCTGGTCGAAATGTTCGAAGAGAACAGCGCTGGGTTGATGGATTGTGCAAAGAATCGCTTGTCCAGCATCCGCAAGCTAGAATTGAGTCAGTCGGTATTCAAGGCTGTATGGCCTCATTTTGCTTACCTTGCGCAAGAATCGAACGATATTGAAAGCAGCACCAGAATCCAGACCGGATGTAGGCTCGTCAAGGAACATCAATAGTTCAGGCTTGCTTGCAAGTTCCACACCGATTGTTAAACGCTTCCTCTGCTCTTGATTGAGTCCATTTCCAGCGGTGCCAATAGCTGCTCCAGCAATGTCGCGCATCTCCAGCAAGTCGATGACTTTCTCAACGTAGTCGTACTTCTCCTGGATAGGTACCTCCTTTGGCTGTCTCAACCGCGCCGAAAACTGGAGTGCTTCGCGTACTGTAGCTGTCGATTCGTGTACATCCATCTGCTCTGCAAAACCGGTTGAACGCTGGAAGGCGACGGGAAGTGATTTTCCATCTACTAGGAAATCTCCACGAACAACACCGAAATCGATACGCTGCGCGAGAGTGTTTAGTAATGTCGTCTTTCCGGCACCCGAAGCACCCATTAGCGCGGTAAGCTTGCCAGGTCTGACAAAGCCTTGTACACCTTTCAGTAATGTTCTCTCTCCCTTCTCGTATGGGATCGTGTAGGTAATATCTTGGAATGTGAATATGGTCTCATTCTTCGCCACACCTTGGGCCGTCTTTTCAGAGGAGTCCTTGTCACTGGAGGAATGTTTTTCAGTTACTGGCTCACTATTGCCAGTTTCCTCGTCCTTGGGTAAGGTCTTGGTCTCCATCTCTTTCTCGACAGTCTTTGGCACCTGGCCACGTTTATAGATTGTCACTGCGCCTCCGCCTTTATTGGGCTTCTGGATCTCCATACCGAAGGCAGTGAGCGCGACGAAGAAGAGGAAGAAAGCGCAGATAAAACCAAAGTTGCGCCACAGATGTGACCTACTGTAGCCAAAGGCCGTCGAGATATAGTCCGAACCAGCAACCGTAAGAGATCCAGGCCTGTTACCTTGAATAGCGCAGGACTGATACTGCTCTTGGGCACCTGGGATCTGCGGCGCGATGAACGGAGGGACACACTGGATCTCGAGGTTGTAAAACTCGTTCGCTAGAAGACCTTCAAAGCCGTACTGAATAGGGTTGACCCATCGAAGCCAGGAGAACCATGGATGCATCTTCGCTGGAGGGATCAGGTAGCCAGTGTATACAACAAGTGCCTGGATGGCAACACCAGTAATTCGAGTTGCAACGTCCAGGGATCCAACCAAGGCACCAATAGCTCGGAAGAAAGCATACATGGTCATTGTGATGATCCAGAGGAAGAGGAGACTGATGAAGAACTGAGATGCCGTCCGCGACAGGTTCGCCATGAAGTACACCACAATGTCGAAGATGAATACCTGGACCAATACCAGGGGCATATCGATCAGAGTTTGCGCGATGGCGTAAGCGGCTGGTCGATAGAACGAGAAGGTCTTGTGTTTCAACAGAATTGGCCGAGATTCGAAAGCGGACGTAAGCTCGGCGAGGGCAAGAAGAGCGTTAAAAAGCAACATAAAGAAGATAACACCACCTCGCGGAAACACGCCTTCAGCGGTGTTTGGAAGGTTGAAAAAGAGTGATCCAACAATGAGGGCTTGGAAGAAAATGCCACCCCATTTGCCAATGAGGGATTGCGGATCTCCCACCATAACACGGAACTGGCGATCGGTACAGGCGACGACTTGTGCTGGAAACGAGATCGTAAAGTTTTTCTTCTTGGTGGCCTTGGTACGGGCTTGGTGTCGTTCTTCGGCCTGTCGCTTCGTCTCCTTCTCAAACTCATCGATCTCGGCAAGGTTGTCGTTGGCTTGCTCACTGTTAAGGAATGCCTCTCCAAAAGCCGCACCTGTACGGGGGATGCGGTCCTCCCAACCTTCCTTGATTTGTCGCTCGTGGTCGTCTGTGACGGATGTCAAGAAGTCACTGGTGGTCCAGCGTTCGGGTTGAACAAAGCCGAGGTTCTTGAAGTAGTCCGCGGCTTTCTCTGTGGGTCCGAAGTAGCAGCAGCGTCCCTCGTGGATGAGAAGTACTTTGTCGAAAAGATCGTACAGAGACTCGCCTGCTTGGTAGAGCGCTACAGCAGTGGATATCTGAGCCATGTTCGTGAGAGACCGCAAACTCTGAACGTACTCAAGGGCAGTACTCGCGTCGAGACCTTTTGTCGAGTTATCCCAAGACTGTACTGAAGCCTTTGTGACCATGGCCTCCGCGATGGAAACACGCTTCTTCTCGCCTCCAGACACTCCGCGAATTAACTCGTTACCGACCTTTGTGCCCAGGGTATGTTCGATCCAGAAGAGCTTGGTGACTACGCGAAGGAATTCGTTGACATAGTCCTTGCGAGACTCTCCCTCTTTGCGGGACTCTTTGCCTGGAGTCCTTGTCTTCAAGGCGAACCGCAGTGTATCTTTAACCTTTAGTGTCGCGTAGTGTAGGTCTTCCTCGGGATTGTAGAGCACCTCTGAACGGTATTTCTTGCCCATCTCCTCTGCATCGGTGCCACCGTACGAGACATCGCCTGTGATCTCTTCGAAGCCGTATCGTTGGTTACCGATCATCTTGAGGAATGTTGAACAACCTGCTCCCGGTCTTCCAAGGACGAGCACCATCTCACCAGGTCTTATGCAGCCAGAAAAATCGTCAAGAAGGGTCCGAACGGGGGGCTTTCCGGCTGCCTGACGAGGACCCTTAGTGAGAAGGTTCTTGACGAACCGAACAGGGTCCAAGAAAAGACTTCCAACACTTGGCTGCAATGCCGCTCCAATACCCATACCTTTCACCATCAAGTGCTTGAATACAACACCTTGGTGTCGGGTCTTCTCCTCCTCGGATGCTTCCTGTCTAGTATGCCCGAACATCTTTGACATGAGATTGTTAATCTCGTCTTCTTCCTCCTGGCTCCGCCCTGTAGCACCGGTATTCGTCTTGCTGAGGCCATTGATTTGACTGGTTCTCCGTCTGGATAACGCGCGAAACAGATCATCTTCGGTCATGGGTTTCGAATTCTTCGATTGCAGGCCAGGCCTTTTCGCAGCCTCGGTAGGCTTAGAAGACGGCTCGTCTGCTTCATGCTCGGAGTCTGAGGAATCATCCTGGAGCACTACGTGTTCCTCGACAGGGCCTCCCGACGTCGTCTTTTGGAGATAGTCATTGCTTGGGGTAGGTTGAGTGGCAGTTTCGTTTCCGGGTATGGTTTCTTGAGCTAGAGGTTCTTTTGTGGCACTTTGAGATGGCCGAAGATCTGGCGATGCTACTACGGTGGAATTGCTTGAAGCTGAAGACAGGCCCATGCCATCTGCACCGTAATAGCTCCGGCTGCTGGTATGTAAAGCATTGGAAATGAAAGTATTGTGCGGGTTTCCGTCGTTGTTATTTTCAGACGCGTCCGAACTAACGTTGGGCTGTTGCTGTAATCCGTTGTGTGAGCGTTGTCGATTGGATGTCGCAGACGTATCTGAAGCCTCGTTGTATGAAGCCATTGTGAAAGGTTCCACAGCCTAGAAAAGGCCAATCGAAAGCAGAACCTGTAGTAACACTACTGTGAATACATGCACTATTCAGTGATCGACAATAAATAAAGATGGCTAAAAGCGGCCGTTTGCGACGGTCTCAAGGGACTATCCGCGAAGTTTGCGGGCTTTGTGGGAGATCCGAATGGATGGTATATAGTCACAGACCGATTGACTAGAGCGCCTCGCTGCGCGCACAAGCTTATTACGGCCTCCATGTTTGCGACGCGTCGATAGTTCGAGGTTGAAGTGATGATGTCACGGTAACGTTAGATCCAAGATCGGTGAATCGGAATTTAGCCTCATATCCAAACCGAGACTGATTTGACGCCTGCTTGATCGATGCACGATCTGCTACACCCGCGATCGACTTGTGGAGGCGCTAGGCGCCCGCGGGGAGCGGAGAGTTGCTGGTGCGTAGGCGTTTGGCTTCGGCAGCTGAGTCGCTTCAAAAGCAAATATCTACGCAGCCGCAAGATTTCGATATTTGTTTCCTTGTGTCTCTGTTTCCTGTTGAGAAGTGGGCATAGTTTTGTATATTACAATACCTGAGCGCTGCTGGGCAAGGTTCTGGCCATGTTTGCTGCAAGGGGGCCCATCCTGCGATTTATCGTTGCGTCAGGCAAGAGAAGCCAAGCGGTGCTTGTTCACGCAGCCACTTGGCCTCGCTCTAACTTTCGACCGATGCAGACTTGTATTTTCCTTATCTTGTCTCCACGCCGCGACTCTTCGATCGCGACAGCCTTTCGCAATTTTTCAGTCTTGTGTCATGATGGTTGTATGTGTCGCCCGTGGCGACCCAGGTCTACCAAAGTTCAGTGTCAGCATCAGTCGACCAACCAGTCATACGTTTTACAAAATAACAACAGTTGTAATCGAAAGTGTCGACGTACAAAGAGGCTGGCCATCATGACAGAAAAGGGCTTCTACCCAAACATGACATACTCGGCGGTGCACCAAAACATTAAAAAGCAGCATCTACGAAGTGGCACGATTTCTCAAGCTGCGACAGGATAAAGCTACTTAGCACAGATTAATTTACATGAAATTCTTCGTAGAAACTTCTTGCAGACAGATCTCGCGGATATATATGCAATTCTCCACGTCGAATCCTCGACAAAATCCCTCGCAGCGTAAGGACAAGGTACAAGCAGTGCATCCAATTGGATCAAAAATCGCCTCTCTTCGCTTCTTTCAAGGAGCCGTCATACCCGAGTCTTCGATGTAGATGATTCCCCTTTCTAGCACCAAGCAGTGCCAATGTAATGTGGCACAGTCGCTTTAGGCAACCAGCACAGTTGTCAGCAGACGGATCTGCAAAAGCAGACTACTTACACAGAGCAATAACGCCATAAGGTCTTTTTGTCCTGTCTTAGCTGCACGCCGCATAAACGGTAAACTGTTCTCGAAACAAGCATCTCACAATGGCGCAGCAAGGCGGCACGTACCGTCCTGAATCACCATGGTCGTATCATGTACGCGTAGGCAATAAGACGTTTGGATCACTGCCCACCAGCAAAGAAGGTGATACATCTCCCCACATACACACCAGGTCTCTGTACTTGACTAAATCTCTGCAGCGGCACGTAATACCGAAGCTTCGGAGCCAAAGACCGACAACAGTCCAGACGACGAGAAGAAACTCGACGAAGAATGGGAAGTCGTCCAAGTGCCCATTGTAGAGGACAAGAAAAAGGTTGGTACAGGCAACGGCAGTAGAATATCAAGTCAGTTCCAACTCGACTTGGGCTGGGGTAGTTGGAGGACGACTGTATTCAGGTGGGAAGTGAATAGTAGGACGAATGAACATTAAAATTACGTTATGATGAATTCTCGAGTTTACTCCTATGCTCAGGCGGATGATAGGTGCCCACCTACAGAAAGAGCATGATATACAATAATTGTTAGTAGGTGGAACGGCCTACCCGAGCTGCCACATGGAAGAACCACACCCTACTTTTTCACAATCAATAAACATAGACTTCCCTAACTGAACTTCCGTCTCTATCTACCATACCTCAAAATCTCACATAAATGAGCCGCAGGATTACCATCGTAACCCTTCCTTATACAAGAGAAAAATCGACATGTGCACCCCCCAGCCCCATCCTACCATGCCACCCACTTCAAACTATATCTCTTCCAACATCCCTCCTCAGATACCAAGAAAAAAAAAAGGATATTTCTGCGTAATAAACTAGGAAAAAATGCTTGAAACATTGAAAGTCTCCATCGACTTAGAAACTACGGTTAGTTCTATCCATGACGTGTCGTTAAGTGGAAAGACACAAGCAGGAAAGCGTCTTTATTTCAAGGTTCATTTCTTGACAAAGTATTCCGTGAAAAACAGTTGAAAAGCAAGGCACATGTCACATAGAAGCGTATAAAGATAGTACTGATTCTTGTTGTCATGAAGAGGTATATTCATTTCGCTTTTATACTAAAGCCCTTCCCCTTCTCATTCTTTTTGACCGTCGCCGCCAATGCAGCAGGCATGCAATCCAGCGACCCATGTCAAATCAGCGACGCCGACGCCATAAGATACCCGTAATCGTAACAAGAAGACATGACACTATCTACACATTTTGTTTTGTTTTTGAAGTCATCCAAGCTCAACCTCTAACAAGAGACGCAAATCTACTTGGCGTTCTCAGGGCGGAGGGAGCGGACAGCCTTTCCAGCGCGCCAGATCTCCAACTCATCAATCTCCTTGAGCTCCTGGTTGTACTTCTCACGGTAATCAGGCTGAGAGTTGTACTCGAGCGAGCGCTTGGTCTCGCTGCCGTTCTCAACAGCAGTGTAGAGGTCGTCGAAGACGGGCTTCAGGGCGGCCTTGAAGCGGGGGCTCCAGTCAAGGGCACCACGGCGGGCGGTGGTGGAGCAGGCGGCGTACATGTAGTCCATGCCGTTGGCGCCGATCAAGGGGTACAGGGATTGTGTGGCTTCCTCGACAGTCTCGTTGAAGGCCTCCGAGGGGCTGTGGCCGCGCTCACGGAGAACCTCGTATTGAGCGAGGAACATGCCGTGGATACCGCCCATAAGGCAGCCACGCTCGCCGTACAGGTCGGAGTAGACCTCCTTCTGGAAAGTGGTCTCGTACATGTATCCGGAACCGACGGCAACACCGAGGGCGATGGCCTTCTCCTTGGCCTTGCCGGTGACGTCTTGGTAGACGGCGATGGACGAGTTGATACCACGGCCCTCACGGAAGAGGGTGCGGACGGTACGGCCGGAGCCCTTGGGGGCGACGAGGATGACGTCGATGTCAGTGGGGACTTCGACCTTGGTGAGGTCCTTGAAGACAGGAGAGAAGCCGTGGGAGAAGTAGAGAGTCTGTTGTGGTTAGATTGAATTCCAGTCAGATTCGTTGAATATCGCTTACCTTGCCCTTGAGCTGGGGCTTGATGGCGGGCCAGGTCTCAGACTGGGCGGCATCTGAGAGGAGGTTCATGACAATGGTCGCCTTGCCAATAGCCTCATCGATGTCGAACAGGTTCTTGCCGGGAACCCAGCCATCCGCCTCAGCTTCCTTCCACGAAGCACCGTTCTTCCGTACACCGACGATGACGTTGAGGCCGTTATCGCGCATGTTAAGACCCTGGCCGTGACCTTGGGAACCGTAACCAATCATGGCCATGGTGTCGTTCTTGAAGTACTCAAGAAGCTTCTCCTTTGGCCAGTCATCACGCTCTGTTTGTCATACGTCAGCTCTCGTCTCAATGCAACATCTGCCCTCAATGGCATCAAAAGTAGCTCAAACTTACCGTAAACAGTCTCCTTGGTACCAGCAAAGTCAATGGTCTTGACACCACGAGTCTGTTGGAACTGGCTTGTTACAGCCGCGCGGGGAGCAGCCTTCTTGGCACCAGCACTCAGAGCAGACACAAAAGTGCGCTTCTGGGCGGGAGTGGCAGCCAATTGGCGGGCGGTTTGGCGCAGAGCGCGGGTGACAGGTCTTGAAGCCATTGTGAATGTGTGTGAAAGGGGTATCTTGGGGTCAGAAGTTGTTTGGCGGGGATGGCAGCTTTTAAAGTCACCGGCTCGATCTTTACCACACCCAGAATTTCGAGTTGGGGAGCTTGGACCAGGCCGATTATCGCTGCCCCAGACCAGGCAGTTCGCGTCGCTGGCCAATCAGCACATGCGATGATGGTGCTAGCAGGGGTGCTAGAGGGTCGTCGGGGAGGAATGCGTGTCTCCGAGAGCGGTTCTGATGGTATGAGGCAGCATTGGACCCAGTCATAGCTGATGGTGCGTGGCGATGGACTACTTGGTCGTGCTCACCGCAGTCCTAGCGGGCTTGGTAGCTTTGATATGTATATGTCGAGTAGTCGGTGTAACGATCCGCAGCGCGGTTTGCGTATGGCCGCGGTCCCAATCCTATGGGTAAAAAGACAAATACGGAGCACGTCTGTACAGTGACGCAATGCTCAGAGCAAACATCACAGTCACACCAAGGTAACACAAGTTCTGCCAGTCTTTGTGCGCAAATATGCATCTATATTGTGAGACATCTTGGAAGACTATATTGCACCCCATATGATACGCCATGCACCCTCTCCATGATGCGCCAGACCCCACATGCAATCGCTAATGTTATAGACATGTCCACCTTCAATCTTCCCTGTGCATCGATCCACGTCCCATAGTAAGCCTTTGGCTCTCTCTCGTCTTATCGTGATGTATCCGTCCGTGGACGGACACTTTGGAGGGTTGCTCGGTGAGAGCTTTGTGTTGCTCCGTCCATGTACGATATTGCTCATTTGAGCACGCGATCAAAGCTCTGGCCCTTGACTGTACCACCGCCGAGCGATGCGCGCACATTGCGCTTGAAACCCTCCCGATTCTGCTTGAGATCCTCGGCGGCTTCCTTGTTCAACGGGTCGGACGCGTTTGGCTCGAGGAAGAGGAACTGTAACCCAACAACAACCGCGTTCAGGTTCAGTACCGGCTTCCAATCCTCTCGTAGAATGTTCAAACAGACGTTTCCCTCGAGGTCGATGTTCGGGTGGTAAATCTTCTGTGTGCATTTGACTTTTGGCGGGTCGTGTGGGAAGTTCTGGTTGATCTTGAAGTCGAACCTGAAGCGTCCGCCCTTGTACATGCCCTCGTCTGGGTCGATTGTGAGCTCGAAGTTGAGGATATCGTCAGGGTTGGGGAAGTGCGTCTTCATTGTTGTGCCGAGGGATAGCTCTTCGAGATCTATGGTCGGTCGCATTAGCTTTTGCGCGTGGACAAATACTTTCGGCAAACTAGGGGATGCAGTACCTTTCTGTGTGCGCAGCTGAGCTGGGGTGACCTTCTTCTTCTTGCTCGAGGCAGCAGCTGCCGCTTCGTCCTGCTGCTGCTGCTTCTTCTACAAGGGATGTTAGCCTTTTTCCTATCGCGCCGCCCAGCGCTTGCACTTTCAAAACAGCGGAAACTACCATGGACCATATTTTCATCATCTTGACGGTATTGTATGTGGTGTCTGGGCCACTGCCTGTATTGATATGAGCGCGTGGGTGCGTTGGGGATAGGCGCGTGTGAGAGGATCGCGGGGCAAGCGGCGAGAGGTAGAGGGCTCGAGGATATGCGAGACAGGCAAAGGTTGATAGAGAAAGCGACGAGTGCGAAGGCCTACGAAAGCACAAACGCCAAATGAAAAAGAAGGCCTAGGGAAATTATACGTGAGACTGAGGATAAGTTGGATAGGCTGCCACGATCGTCGGGCCTCCGTCCGTGCTGCAACGTGGGGCGGCCATGTCCAATTCACGGCTTAGTCACCACACAGGGTCCTCGGTCTGTCTACATACTTACAGCCCCTCTTGAGTGCAGACAAAGAACAAGTACAGCAACCACAATGGCAGCACCGGCACGAGATGCATTGCAGTTTCCGGCGTCGGATAGCCGCCAAATCGAAGATTATCTACACCCTCCTTCCTCACCGCCACAGCTCATCGACTCCAAGAAGCCCTTCGTCACATTGACCTTTGCTACTTCCCTCGATAGCCAGCTAGCCATTTCACCAGGCGTTCAGACAGCTTTATCTGGTCCGCAATCTAAAGCCATGACTCATTTCCTGAGATCCAAGCATGATGCCATTTTAGTTGGAGCCGGGACAGCCATTGCCGACAATCCATCGTTGAATTGCCGAATCGAGGGCGTGGGTGGCTATGGTGGTGAAGAACTTGTCGGACAGCCAAGACCAGTTGTCGTCGACCCGCATGGACGATGGCAATTTAGCGAAGAAAGCAAGGTGATGAGATTGGCTAAAGAGGGTAAAGGGAAGGCGCCTTACGTCGTAACGTGCGTGAAGCCGTCTGAATCCCAACGAGCGGTACTCGAAAGCGTAGGTGGCGAGTTCTTGATGTTGGGTCTCTCACCCGAGGATGTTGCTACGGCTGGTTCATCTTGGCACATCATTCTTGACGCTTTGTCACACCGGGGTGTTGCAAGTGTAATGATTGAGGGTGGCGGCTTCGTCATCAACAATATATTGGGGCCTGGTCCAGCCTATTCTCTGATCGACTCCATCATCGTTACGATTGCCCCCACATGGCTCGGAAAAGGTGGTGTACAGGTATGTCCAGATGGGGGATCCGAACGATTGCCTATGACAAGACTGAGAGACACGAGATGGATACCGCTCGGAGAAGACGTGGTGCTATGTGGGCGACCGAACAAAACACTTCGATAGTAAGAGGTACGAGAGGTAGGGTATCAGAAAGTATGCAAGTTCTTAGCAAAGTTTGGGCTAGCTTAGCCATGGCAGCTGATCAGATACCGTGCCTTGAAACAACTCTTTGACACTGTCTTCAAGATCCTTAAAGTGCTTAGCCGACTTGCTAGCATCCCACCCGCGTAGCTGTCTCTTTCCGCCTAGGAGGTCCCCAGTACCCAACGGATCGCTTTCCCATGCGGCATATCCGTGCTCTTCTTCTCCACGAAGCGTGCTTTGCAACGCCTCACTCGACAATACCGGGTCGATACCCTGGACCTGGATACGCTCTTTCGGCCATCGGATAGCTGGGGCATGTAACTCCAGGAAACGCCTCGCCTTGAAGGCATGTGTAATGACGCGTATCTGTTTCGGATAGTTGCCTGTAGCTTTTCTGAAGAGTAGAGTGCTGAACAGCAGATTTTGAAATGAATCAGTCGCTTGCTCCTCCAGCAATATATAACCCTTGTTGTATAGTCTGTGCAATATTGTCAAAATCTCCACTACCAAAAGTCAAATTATTCATCTTCGTATTCATTCACATACCTATGAGTTCGTCCCCCACCCATGTGGCCCTCTGCTAGCTCTTCAGCTAGCGCGGCATGATAGTATGAGCGTGCCTCGGTCTTGAGAGATTCCGAACGTTTAGTAGCTCCACCACTGAGAACGAGGATGCTTGAAGGAGGGTGCTCTGCGTCCGTTCCAACAGTCAAAGCATCGATGCCGGCTTTGGCATGGGCTAAGAAGGTCTCATGCTCGCTTATTTTGCCTGTCGCCTCGTCTGACTTTTGAAAGGGTGCCAGCAGCCAGTTGGGCTCGTAGTGAGGACTGCGCAGTGGAAAGTCGGGCGCTTCTGCATTCGGAAGGAAAATGGCATGGCAACAGACAATGATGAGATTCTCTGCATTCGGATAGCTTGGCGGTCGGATCGCATGGACCGGGTGAACAGAGTCCGGATTCTCAGGCGCTCTCTGTTGGGATGTACTGACGTGAGCCTTAGTTTCTGAAGCGATAGTGGTGGCTGTGGGGGTTGCTGATGAAGCCTTGGACTTGGATCTCGGTAGGTCCACTAGTGGTGCGGCTGAGGCCATAGCGGCTCGTACCGCTTAGTGGATATGGCGGGTCGAAAAAGGTTGGTTTGAAAGCTTTGTATGTGTAGTCAGCGAACAAGATGTTCAGTCGTTGCAGCCTCAAGTATTGTGACCAGTACCACGATGCGGGGCACTTGTACGGAATATGACGCGAGCCAAGAGGGAAAATTAAAAAGGTGTTGTTCTCCAGGAGAGAAAAGGAACTACTCGTTGGTGTGGCTGATTGGGTGCAGCGGAGGTATACAAGTTTGTGTTTTGTTGAGACGCTGATGACGGAAGGTGCGAACTGCTCTTCCCCGCGCTGTCGGGGTTGAACACGAAGGAAGTAAGCAAGCAACACATCGCATTACTTTTCCGTCGCTGCCAGGAGAAGGAATTCGAGAACGATGTCATATTCTCGACATGGGAAGCTACTTGATGGTCATGGCACGTGACGTTTTAGGCGAACCGCGCAGACTTTTGCTCTGGGGTTTATTCTACTCATCTCGATTGATCTGATGTCGAGAACAATCGGCAAGGTAGGCTCGACGGTGACTCTGCATTACCGGTGGAAGCTCAAGTTATCGACGGCGTGTGACAGAAGCCATGTCGAACATGCGCCTGTGTCGAGCTGTCAATGTCTCGAATACATGGCGGTTAAGATGTGACCCAGCGGAGAGATGAAGGGTCCAGGAACAAGCCTACAACGGCGACCCACTGCAGCGGATAGGAGACCTCATCAACGGCCTGGACCCTGTCAACGCACTGCCGTCGGGCGACCCCCCTAGCAGCCAAACAAAACCGCAGTGGCAGTAATGCAACCATGGGTGCAGGAACCGATGTGGCGACACGTAGTTGTGGCCATTTACCGACAATACACCGGGCCCTATTCAAAGTAACAATCGCGCCGACTACGAACTCGTATACTTTAGTAGTGTGGGTTACAGTGCCGCCAATGCATGTAACCCTTTTGAGAAAACCTGAAGATCTCTGAGAGTGGATCCGCCTGCGGAGCAACCTTTGAAGGATGCTGACGTCGACCGTGCTACCCCTAGCTTGAGACAAGAGACGCGTAGCCAGAAACGGAAGCCATCGTGTCCATGTCAGCCACTCGACTGCGACGAGCGTCCTTGTGCATGCAGCAGTCTGCACGAGGAAAGTAGAGCATGCCCAGGGCGTAGTCTCTACGGCAGTACATGGCCGGCAATAGCGATGTTGGTAGATTTTAGGTGAGGCTGAGCAAGTAAGCGTGGAGCTGATTAAGGCCTGTCTCTAATTTTAGCTGTCGTGGCCGGGCTAGCGCCACACTGACAGACGACGGAGACGTCCATGTGCCTCGCTCGTGTGCTTCACCGCCAGCAGGTTTTGCGGTCCTGGTTGAGTTCAAGTAGACGCCATCGCCGGTTGCTCAAGACGCTGTCTCACGAATGCACTTTTGTTAAAGGAGCGCCCGCCTACATTTCTGAAACCTGGAAGCACTTGGAGGCGACCAATCAACCGTGTTTCAGCAGCGCGGCCGTTTTCCTAGCGCAACTTCCCCCATCCCGCTTCAAGGGGTATAGCGCGCGTCCCTTCAGCTTTCTCAGCCCTGAAGCGCCCTAGACATTCCATCTACCTTTATCAAGCGACACCCCCAGTTGTGCGCTGACTACTTTTCTCTATCTCAACGTTATACCTGCCCACCGCCTATTCCTTTTTCTCTCCAACATCGCCCTCTGCAGCGCCGGCCCGTGGACTGCAGCACGTCATGGCGTACAACAATAACCAAGGTTATAACCTTGGTGACCCCAACACCGGCGTATGAGCCCCTGATGATGATGGCGACAAAGACACGACATACTGACACTATCCCCAGTACGACCGCACCGAGCATGAGGAGGAAGTTGGTCGCTCGCTCCTGCATGAGAACCCCAACGGCGCCCACTCGGACCCTTTCTACGGCAACCCCGAGGTCCGCCCACACTCAACCTACAGCTTGACCGAGTCGTACGCGACCGACAGGCCAACACAGTACCCCGGCCAGGCTCACGCTGGCTCTGACTACTCAGGGACCACGGGCGCCTACGATGCACCGGGCGAGTTCGGCGCTCCTCAGCGAGCTCCATCACCATACCAGAGGAGCGAGACCAGCTCAACCGAGGCATGGAGACAGCGACAGCAGCCCGGCGGAGCCGCTGGTGGCGGCCTCAAGCGTGGTATGACCCGTAAGGTCAAGCTTGTCCAGGGCTCCGTTCTGAGTGCCGACTACCCTGTGCCTTCGGCCATCCAGAACGCCATCCAGGCCAAGTACCGCAATGATCTCGAGAGCGGCAGCGAGGAGTTTACACACATGCGCTGTAAGTAGCCAAGTTCGAGCATCTCCCCCATTCGCTTCTGACAGCTGCCAGACACGGCCGCGACATGCGACCCCAACGACTTCACCCTCAAGAACGGTTACAATCTGCGTCCCGCCATGTACAACCGCCACACCGAGCTGCTCATCGCCGTCACCTACTACAACGAAGACAAGGTCCTCACTGCCCGTACTCTGCACGGTGTCATGCAAAACATCCGCGACATTGTCAACCTGAAGAAGTCCGAGTTCTGGAACAAGGGTGGCCCCGCTTGGCAGAAGATTGTTGTGTGCCTGGTTTTCGACGGTATCGACCCTTGCGACAAGGGTACTCTTGACCTGCTCGCCACTATCGGTATCTACCAAGATGGTGTCATGAAGAAGGATATCGACGGAAACGAGACTGTTGCTCACATCGTAAGTCGCGCTAGGCTGCCATTCTCATCACCCGCAGCTAACACAAGCCCAGTTCGAATACACCACTCAATTGTCCGTTACGCCCAACCAGCAGCTCATCCGCCCCCACGATGACAGCGCCAGCACGCTTCCCCCCGTCCAAATGATGTTCTGCTTGAAGCAGAAGAACACCAAGAAGATCAACTCGCATAGATGGCTTTTCACTGCCATTGGTCGTATCCTGAACCCTGAGGTTTGCATTCTGCTCGATGCTGGTACAAAGCCCGGACCCAAGTCCCTTCTCGCCCTTTGGGAAGGTTTCTACAACGACAAGGATCTCGGTGGTGCTTGCGGTGAGATTCACGCCATGTTGGGTAAGGGCTGGAAGAACCTCCTCAACCCGCTCGTGGCCGCACAGAACTTCGAGTACAAGATCAGTAACATTCTCGACAAGCCGCTAGAATCCTCCTTCGGATACGTATCTGTCTTGCCCGGTGCTTTCTCTGCCTACCGATACCGCGCCATCATGGGCAGGCCGCTCGAGCAGTACTTCCACGGTGACCACACTCTCGCTAAGATCCTCGGAAAGAAGGGTATCGAAGGCATGAACATTTTCAAGAAGAACATGTTCTTGGCCGAAGATCGTATTCTGTGTTTCGAACTTGTCGCCAAGGCTGGATCCAAGTGGCATCTTACCTACATCAAGGCCTCCAAGGGAGAGACCGATGTTCCCGAGGGTGTTGCTGAATTCATCGGTCAGCGTCGTCGTTGGTTGAACGGTTCTTTTGCTGCCGGTATCTACTCCCTCCTGCATTTCGGCCGCATGTACAAGAGTGGCCACAACCTGGTCCGCATGTTCTTCCTGCATATTCAGATGCTCTACAACGTCTTCCAAACCATCATGGCTTGGTTCTCCCTGGCTTCCTTCTGGCTTACTACCGTCGTTATCATGAGTCTTGTCGGCACCAAAACCGATGACCGGGATGCCTGGCCATTTGGAAACACTGTCACGCCCATCTTCAACGTCATTGTCACCTACCTCTACCTGGCATTCCTGATCCTACAGTTTATTCTGGCTTTCGGTAATCGTCCAAAGGGTTCCAAGTGGACTTACTTGGTCTCTTTCTGCGTTTTCGGTCTCATCCAGTTCTACATTGTTATCCTGTCCATCTATCTCGTTGTCCAGGCTTTCACGAATCCGTCATCGGAGAAGCTCGATACCTCATCGCCGGAAGCATTCGCCAAGTCTTTCTTCTCGTCTAGTGGCGTTGGTATCATTATCATCGCGCTTGCTGCTACTTTCGGTCTCTACTATGTCGCCTCGTTCCTCTACATGGACCCATGGCACATGTTCACCTCGTTCCCGCAATATCTGCTTATCATGTCTTCCTATGTCAACATCCTCAACGTCTACGCCTTCTCCAACTGGCACGATGTTTCTTGGGGTACCAAAGGTTCCGACAAAGCAGAGGCGCTTCCTTCAGCGAAGACGGAGAAGGGAGCCGACGGCAAGTCCAATGTCATCGAGGAACCAGATCTACCGCAAGCCGATATCGACAGCCAGTTCGAAGCCACCGTCAAGCGCGCTCTTGCACCCTACGTACCGCCTGTCGAGGGCGACGAGAAGACCCTTGAGGACTCGTACAAGTCTTTCCGTACCAATCTCTGCATAGCCTGGATTGGTTCAAACGCTACTCTTGCGGTCGTCATTACCCAAGACAACTTTGACCAATTCGGTTTCTCTGTAAGTTTCTCCTGATCGTCTTAAATTGTATTTCTTTCTAACCCATTTACAGTCGAGCGCCTCGAGCAGAACCGCGCATTTCTTCCAAGCCCTTCTATGGGCTACCGCCGCACTCGCCATTGTCCGTTTCGCCGGATGCTTGTGGTTCCTTGGTCGCACTGGTCTCTTCTTCTGCGTTAGGAAGAGGTAGATGACGCAAACCAACCCTTTCCACGCCTTTTACGGGCAAACGGGCCACATTCTGTTCGATTCCCACTAATCAATTATGTTGGCGTTTCTTGGTGTCTTGGACTACTCCTTTAGCGCAAGCTAGGAGCTATTTACGTGGTCTTTGTTTAACAAAAAATACCTCTGCACAATTAAGATCACGACCTTTGCTTGTATTATCTGTGTACTCGGCCTATACGGACGCTGAAATATTTGGGGTCATTTTTGTGAAATAAGCGGGAAATGAATGGAGGAGATACACCGTATATCACTTCTTGCACGATCAGCTTGCTTTCGGGGGTTTCTTGTTATTATTCTAGATTGAATGCCAGAATATGTTTTAGAAAAGTGTCAGTTCCAATGTACTTCAATGGCGATATTGACCTGTCTGATCTGGGACTACTCTTAACCCTTTGTCTTCATCGCCTAAAAGTCCGGCCTTGGAGCTTGATGTGCCATTCCCCATCGCCTCTCTTCCCAATCAGCGTATCCAGCACTGGCACATCCGTCCACAACGCGTTATGATCCAACCCCGCATACCGCTCTTCTCTATCTACAGTCCTAGCTAGAGCGAAAACTGCGCTGCCAAACTGACAAGATGGTCGACCTGCCATACTTGGAGCTATGTCCAACTCGTTTCTGATCACGGGTATGAGTGTACGCTGCCACATTAAATTCGTGTTCGCGTCTGGTTTCAGTACTTCTGTGTGTGCTCCTTCAAGCGAATCGCCGCCGCCGTCGTCGTCGTTGTGTGGACCGAGAATAGATATACCGCTAGCACCGGCGTTTGAGCAGATAAGCGTGGAGCCACGAGTTGTTACCGTGCCTTCGGGGAAAGGCTGAGTGTTATGGTTTGGTGTGAAAGAGAGATCAGAGCTGTGTACGTGTGTAGGCAGGACTTCACCGTGCTTGTTGCCACGTCCTTGGATTGCAAAGCCACCTTGGACGGCGTGGATTTTAACTGTATTAGACCCGGTGTTTGTGATGCGGTGCCAGCGGAGATACCAGTCTGGCCAGCGCGAGCAGGGGGGTATGAGATCGGTTTGTACTGTGATGTCGGCATCGGCCCAAGGCTTCCATGTACTCGTCAGTACGTGTATGTTTTCCGCAAGCTCGCCGTTGTGTATCAGTTGTGCAGTAGCAAAGCAATGGTTCGTGACTTTCCACGGTACCCGCCATGTCTCGCCACCGTCTTTGCTCAATGCAAGGGTACTGTCTGGAGCGATCTGCTGTATCAAAGTTCCGGTAGGCACGCTGAAACCAAAGTGCGAGGAATATGCATATTTTCCATACTTGGCTTCTGTTGCTTTGAGAGGCCAGGGGCAAAATTGCCCCATGGAGAGGAGGAAGTGGTGGTTTGGTTGACTGCAGAGGATATGCATAGGTGATTTTATGGGCACGACAGCATGTCCAGTCCTGGGTAGGGGTTTCTCTTCCGCAGTCCAGAACGGGTGGTCATCCGGCAACCCGAGTGCTAAGAACGATTTCAGAGCCCAGTAAGGAGACTGGGGGCTGTTATAGTCTTCGCTCATGTACATGTTTGGGTAAGTGAAGCCGATTGTCAAGGTGCCGTCCATGTTGAACATGTCATGTTTACTGCTCCACCAGCGAAAGTGCCGAAGGAGAAGACCTTTTACGACACCCCAATCGTTAAGCGGTTCCGGCAGCTCGACCTCTGCAAAAGCTACGGCGGACCAGAACCCAGCGAATGCGAAACGATATGCTAGGCTTCTACCAAAAGGTATAGCGGCACCTGATCTGTGTCAGTTGGCGTTAGATATTCAAGATAGATATTTGAACCCACCGTTCACGTCAAAATACTGCCAAAATGATAGCGAAAATTCCTTTGCTCTTTTCCGAAATCTTTCGCATCGCTCCGGATCCAAGTCATGCGCCATCTTCACATATATGAGCTGAGAGAACTGGATGGCAAAGCTTCCAGAATAGTGATCTGCCTGCCGTCCTTCGTCACTCCAGATTCCGTCGGCTGCCCAACCATCACCTAAGTAGAACTGTTCCATAAGATCCAAATCCGCTTTCATGGCATCGAGGACGCTCTCCTTGGGTACGCCACATACTTTGATCAGCGCTAGGTTAGTCATGACGCGGAACCAAAGCCAGTTCGTCGTTGGAAAGTCCTTCCCATTGATAGTTCCTAGCCACGCCGTGATGTTCCTCTTTGCTTCTTCAGTCTGCGAATGGAACATGGTATCTGGGGCTGATAGTAGTGCAAACGAAATGATTTCCATCTCGACCATTCTTTGGTCTCGCAATACGACTGGTCCCCAGTATTCGGTATGGTATGGATCGGTTCCATTGGCTAGACCTGTAGCGTAGGGTTGGATGAGTTCGTTGTACTCATCTTTGGAGACGATGTTTGAGTGCATGAGCGCACCGACTGCCCATAGTGGCCGAGCATAGCCTTCTAGCTGGGCTGCGACATCGTCGAAATGGGTACCTGTCGCCAACGGAAGTTTGATTCGGGCACCATGAGGTGATTGGTATGGATTCAATGCGCGAAGGAGAGCTATGGATGCCGTCTTGAAGTGGGCGTGGGTCTTGAAGGTGCTGTTTGTGAAGTCGTTTAGTGGAGGCATGGTGTCTTGCGCGTTATCGAGAGCTTCGCATGCATGAAGACGCGAATGCAGCGAACTGTTCTACACTGATGCAGTGTAACTGCGGCTTTACAGGTTCCCTAGTCTGCAAAATACAGTGGATCCATGTTCGTGACCCGCTTTGGACGGCAGGATGGGTTGCAAAAGTCATCCTCGTGTCATTTTACGTTCCACACCTGAATTGGCAGCGCATCCGATACACATCTGAACGTCGCGCATCATCATCCTTTTCCTGTCCTGGGTCGATGAAATTGGGTGGCTTCCGGAGTGGAGTGATGAGCCGAAACGGGGGTTAGCCTCGCGGGGTCCGAGTGTGGAGAAACCTTGATTTATCCCGATGCCCGCCGCTCCTGCGTCCTCCACATTTGCTTCTTCCTGACCAGCGCTTTTGCGATGTCGTGCTGATGTCGGCTGGGTGGACTAATTACTCGGTTGGCAATGGCAGCCAAACAGGCGAGGATGACGGCCCCGTCTCAGTGGGGGGTGACACTCCTGCGTGCGTTAGCTGCAAGCAACGCAAGCTGCGATGCTCGCGAGAGACACCCTCATGCTCGCATTGCTTGAGGCTGTGTAAGTGATACTATTGAAGGACGTTATCTTGCATCACTGACATGTGCCATAGCTTCCGAATGTGTCTATCAACCAAAGAACAAGCCTGGCCTCAAGCCAGGAGCAGTTGAGGCGTTGACCCGCCGCGTCGGTATGGTAGCTCTCCTTCCATCATGAACTCAATCTCACACAGGGTAGCCTTTCTGGAGAGGATACTTTTGGATGACGCTGGAAACATCAGATATCGATATAGAGATAACGACGCCACATCCAATGGGCATACTATCGCCCATGAAGGGCCTAATACCGTAAAGGAGAGCACTATACCTCGTGTTGAAGAACACGCACAGTGTGTTGCGCCTACTCCCGAGTTCAACCACATTTACCAATCCGCAGATGAAAGGCCAAGAGACCCTGAAGAGGAGAGCGGTGTGTCCAACCCGTTGAAACGGAGACATGAAATGCCAATTGCTGAGAGCTGGCTTTTCCCTTTTGAAGACGTTGATATCGCCCAATACTTGCCGTCTCAACCACTTCTCGAAAAGGTTGCTGACTTCTTCTGTATCTCGTTTCACCATTGGATCCCGTACATTCATAAGCAGAGACTCCAAACACGAGTACGCCAAGGCTCTCAGGACCCGGGCCATGTGTTGGTCCTCCACGCTTTGGTCGCGGTCGCTTTGCGACACATGGATCCCAACGTACTATACCTGGACAGTGATCAGATACATCAGCAAACCAGAGTCTCACGTATGATTGTGGAAACTCATGCAATGCGCAATGTCACCATCGAGAGTCTACAGGCCCTCATCTTCCTAGTTTTTGATCTTCTTAACGACGGTCAAACGCAAAGAGCATGGCCGTTGATCGGATCTCTCACGAGGACTATCGACTACCTACAACTTACTACCGAGCCATCAACATCACAATCAGGATCGCTAATGACACCTGTTCGGCTAGTGAAGCCCTCCAGCGATTGGACGGAGCTAGAAGAAAGGCGAAGACTATTTTGGATCATATTCCTGCTTGACAGATTCTGTTCAGTGTCTACCGGGTGGAATACAAGCCTCACAGCAGATGATGTGCACCGTCGGTTACCGGCAGATGGCGGTTTCTTCACGAGAGAGGAACCAGTGACCACACCCTACTTCGGTACGTGCTTGGATCTATATGCGCATATCTCATATATATGATGTATGCCGCGAGATTGCTCAGCTCTTTACAAGTCTTATTTACATTTGAATTACTGTACATTGGTATCGTTCATCACTAATCTACGTCTCCAGGTATCTGGAATAAGGCGGCTGCTCGTATCGGGCGCTCACTAGCAAATGTGCCTGCACAGTACAACGAAGAGGACCCAGGTATCGACCATTTGCCTCAAGGAGCCAGTCCTAACTCTGCCAACGGCTACATCGATGCTTCCAAACTCGGTGCATTCGCATATTGCGTTGAAGCAACTGAGAGTCTGAGTCAAGTGACGACATTTTTTCTCCAACAACGGATCAATTGGCAAGACAAGGAGCATGCAGTCAGTTGGTTAACGCGCTTCAAGGAGCTAGACCTGAGACTTGTGCAATGGAAGATCTTCTTGCCTCCCAGATGGAAGGACTCGAACATCTCGTCAGACAGGACTGTGGTCGACATGGATCCCAACCTTACACTAGCACATATCACGCATAACACCTCGATGATTCTGCTACATCATCCGATTGGATACCCGCCTCGTGGATGGAATGACTTCGTTGCACTACCGAAAGAATGTAGTGCTCAGACTTGCGAGCTTGCCGCAGTGGAAACTTCGAACATTGTCGATAAATTTCTCACCCATACTCCTATACCGTTCGTTAACGTACAGTTCACGTTCTGTGCATTCATTGCCGCCAAAGCGTTACTCTTCGAACATCAAGCCACCCATCAACCCCTGCGCTCTGAATTTCATCGCCTAATCCGCAATCTTGAGGAGATGGCGGCAAGATGGAGAGGGCGGGACACGGAAGATGCGAAACCAAACAACCAAGCCGGAACATATGCAAATCACCTCAAGCGTCTACTTGAAGCCTGCCAAAACGACAAAAACTTTAGATTCGACTTCTACGATCACAATGGACTTACGTTGGATCCTCAGAACCACGCCAGTCCCACATATGCGGCTACTCCGCAAGCTCGCTCTAGAAGTCTTGCGCATGAGCGTTCGCTATTGGGGAGCCACGGGCGTAACAACAGCTTTAACAGCTCACAATCGACTCTCAGTCCAAGACGCATACCACCCCCAGACATGAACCACAACACAGCTATGCCATCTCCGAGCGCGTACGAGCAACACCACCCACGACTACCAACAGCCCATGCCATATCGCCAACTGCACCGCCTCCAATATACCAGTCACCGCAGGTGCCGGCTAGCTACCCCAGTCACACCCCATCACACTATCAACCGGGCGGAACCGTGGTCCCAACATCTGGTCCATCTCTCGCTCCATACGGCGCAGGTGGTACAGCGAGGAATCAACAAAGTGTTCAAGATCAATCTCTACTTAATCTGTCTGACGCGTTTATGGATTCGCATTTCTTGGACATGGATCGTGTTATTACGTTTGAAGATGCGAATTTCTTTCTTCCTGGAGATGCGTTTCGATGGCAGTAGGCTGTCCAAGTGATTTGCGTTTGCAAGCATCCAAGACTCCTGTATCATAACAATATGTTTCTATGCGGATCATAAGAAGCGCATTTAGGACGAAGAAAAACATACCATACCCACCATTTTTTCCAATCATGCTGGTCTTCATCTTGGAGATATCACCCGGGAAGAAGACCTTGGTAGTCGCCATCGCAATCCTCAATAGCAGTCCCCATCAGACTCGCTGGACGGCTCGGGGTCCATCCAACCCACTACTATCATCATCCGAAGACTCCAACTCGTAGAGCAACCCTAAAAACTCATCGGTAGCATCGCTGCCGTCTTCATCTTCAACAGAATTGCCGCTCCCATATTTGTCTTCATCTTCATCTCCACCTGGATCCCAGTCAGAACCTTCCCCATCGCCCTACCACTCCTCCCTCACCTTCAAATACTCTTCAACCGCCCCATGCACAGCCATCTCAACCACCGCGTTCATCATAGCAACCAATCTATCTTGTGACTTTATCCTTGAAAAGAATCTTAGCCGACAAAAGGGACAGTCGTTCTTCCTTATGAGCCAGGCTTCCGCACACCGGCGGCCGGAGACGTTGTTACAACAGCAGACTTTGATAGGCATGTCGCCCTTAGCCGATTTGATTTGGGGTGGGTGATGTTTAGGGTAGTGACGGCGGTTACTGTGAAGGCATCCTGACTACAGGGCACGCTCATTACTCTGGAATGGTCGTGTCGTGAATTGAAGCTCGCGAAGTGTGCGGACGTAAGGCGGTTTTCGTTCGAGGTGAGTTCCTCTTTGCTGATGGACTAACCGAGCTGTTTGTCGGATACAGGACATGACTCGACGCCCCCAGCGACGAAGGCGGGTTTGTTAGGGTAAGTAGGCATCGCTGTTATCGTTGTTGCTGATGATGCTGGTTGAACGTGGTGCGATTGTGGTTTCGAGGGTAAAAGCCGAGTGGTGTGGTAGCTTTCTTGGTCAATAGTAGAAGTGCTCTATAGATGTACAACTCAGGAAGTTTGTATACTTCTAAAGAGGCACAAATCGCACTGACCCTCGCCCTCGATATCCTAGGCCCGGTAATGATTCACCGGCCTACTAAGCCCACTTCGCGATATTATTTGGAATAAGCTTCTTGAACATGTCCAACTGTTTCGCATGAACTGCCATCTTCGCATCCAGTATCTCTGGTCTCAACTGCAACGTCTTATCAACACGCTGTTGGTTCCCGCTAAACACGACGGTATAATCTGGCAAGCGGGTATACGGGGGTATGATCGAGGACGCCGAGATAGTGCAGTACTGATGTTTGTTAGCTTCCAGCCTTGCACCTTTCCACAGGAACAAACAAAAAGTGATGTATATATATTACCTTTCCAATAATACTTCCCTTGCCAAGCACAGCACCAACCTCGACCACACTACCCTCACCCACCTCTGCAGCCTCAACAACCGCACCAGAATCCACGACCACGTTTTTTCCGAGAACCGTTCCTTCACTCCGCATCGAATCCCTGACATGCGCGCTACTGCGTGCGGGCGGTGCCATACTTGCCCGCCTCCCCTCGGCTCCCCCATCTGCCTCACCACCCATACCCACGCCCACTTTCGCGCGTTCAAACACGACACATCCTTCACCTAAAACAACAGGTGCGACCGCGCTGCTGAGTTTACTGTGTGGATGTAGAACCGTATTCGGGCCAATAGTCACAGGATGGGTGCCGGTGATTTGCGCGTGTTGAGCAATGAGAACGGTGGAGTCGAGGAAGATGGAGGATGGCTTGGGAAGGATGGATGTGCGTTTTGGGGCGGTGGAGGAGCGGCGGTGATCGGGCGCGGGGCGGGATGGTGCTGGTTGGGCGGACATTGTGGGTTGTTGTGGTGGTTGCTGTTTTGTGGGGAGTTGAGAGTGGGAGAGGTGGACGCGAGAGGACGCGCTGCGGAGTTAGCGTATCGCCGGATCATGTGATTAGGTAGAAGTGTACAGAGTCATGTACATGTTGAGGCGCGTGGACAATTGGGAAAGAGAACTGAGAAAATGCGATCTCTTTTTTTTTCGCTCCCCCAATGAACGTCGTTGGCATCCGTCAGTGAGTCGAATGTTCTTGCCGCCTTATCCTTTCAGCATATTTCTCTTTCACACCGTATGGGCGGACGGGGGCATCTAGTCACAAAAGAATCCTGATGTTGGAGCTGACAGAGTGTCTAGATAGTATTAAGGCAATGCCTTCGCACTGTTGCAGGCCTCCCGCGGTGTTAAGGCGCGGTCTGATGTTGATTGAGCGATATCTGAATGTTCAAAATCTACTTCAGCGCGCTACGGCATCCTCCAGTATCTTCTTTCTCTCTTCCTCGTTAGTCGAAGACCACCAATCTGTCTCCTCCTTTCTCAAAATACCCAGGAAGAATTCTGGAAGAAGAGTCTTGCCGAATCCCTTGTACTTCAACTCTAGTCTCATCAAAGTCCACATGACCTTTCGTTCCGAGATGATCTCTGAACCTGGATCATCTGTACTTTCTGCGATTCGAAGTGGGAGTCCCAGGGCGTCTGGCTAACGAACAACAGCACCGAGGAACAAGTTCTGTGCCATTCCTACGAATCCGACAGCAACCAGATACCATGTCTTTGTCCGTATTGCGGTGCTTGTGATGAGTAGCAATATCCACAAAACGCCCATCGTGAAGCGGATCAACTTGACACTAGTCGAAACATGGAACTTATTCATGGACAGGCTCAATAGATCCAAACCGTGTTTTTCTCCCAGGACGATGATGACATGGCGACTTCCGTTTCCTCTAGATAGCGCCACGTCTCTTGACCCCATTCTAGCGCGTGGAAGAGTCGTCAAACCGGGGACTGCGCTGAAGCCCAATGCGAGGGCAGACCCACAAGCCATTATAAAAAGTACGCTCCAATAGCCGTAGAGAGCTAAAGGGATGGCACTAATTCCAAGTTGCACAATGGTAACTACCAGCCCACTCCACCACACCCAGTCCCGCGCCGGAGTCCCGGGACTTCGTTGTTGCTCATCCCACCTGTATATGGTAACATACAGCGCATGAGGATATTGGCTGCGTTTCTGCCTCACAGACATTTCCCATTCCTGGTCTCGCACACGAACGTCTTTGCCGGACGATTCCGGGTCCCCCATAGCGTGCCTTACTTCCAACGGTATCCAGCGCTCATAAGACTTGAAAAGTCTTGCCAGTAACCAGGAATCGTTCATGCGAATAGTACCTTCTTTGAGATTGAAGACTAGAACGGGGATCTCGGGGCTGGGTGGTTGCGCCGTCTGCCCAACTGATGTCAGCAGTGCTGTCACGGCGTACGATACCCAGCCAAACGAGAAAGCAACAGGCGTCAATGGGCTTGCGAGCGCAGTCTGAATGACATCTCCCCCCACGATGAGCAAGAGGGAGAAGATGTCGCTCGGCTCCGACTACTGGGTGCGGAATTCAGAAGAAGAGTTGGCCATATTTTCTGAATCGAAATATCCAAATACAAAGAAGTTTGAGCGAACAAAAGAAAGGTCTCTTGCCCTTTTTGATTTGGATGAAGTGGGCGGCAGGCAGGCTATAAAGCTTCTGGACCGCAGTCCGTGTCAGTCACCGCAAAGCGCGAAAGCGACGCGGAGCAAACCTCTGGTTCTCAGCCTCGTCAACTAGCGTCAACGAGTGGAACTAATGCAGGTCTTTTAGCAGACTCGTAGCTGCGTTCGATAATGATACTGGTATTATATACTTGCAAAGATGGGAGCTCATTGGTCATGATCTGCTCTTTGGGCTGAAGTTCAGCTGAGGTTCGCCTGAGCCTTTAACAAAAACCAATTCCCGTTTGCAGCCTTCTTTATCAGTCATCCCTGTGATCGAATGAGATCGAGTTTGGAGATGTGCTTACAGAGACTGCTCTTGCTCCGAAGTGCGTCCGCACTCTGTTAACGGGACCCAGTAGCGTCCACTCGAACTTGGCATTAAGCCTGGCGCTTCAGTTTGACATAAAATGTAGTAGCCAAAAGGATAAAATCGGAGGGGGTATCTCATAACCATGCATTACTACATACATCATGCCAATTCATCACTAAACCTCACATGGATCCACACGCTGATCAACAACAGCATAGATCAACCTGTTAATGGCACAGACGATCTATCACGCGCCGTACCAATCACATAAATGATCAACAACATGCTAGACCACAACCCTCCGTTCCTCATCTTTGCCATCCTCACCACTTCCTCGCCGCTCCAGCTCAGGACTACCCACCTTCTCAGGACTAGCCACTTTCAGTGGACTCCTCCTTCCCATCTCTTGACCTTCAACTTCAATGCGGCCTAGAATGCCTTCCTCGTCGTCTCCAATGCCCTCGATGCTGTGCAAACTGTCATCATCGGAAGAATCCTCGATGCCTTCAAACATGCGTGCGAAGCGCTGATGACCTTCACGCTCTTCTTGCTCTTGGGTTTTCGGGGCTGAAGGGTCGTCAGGATCTTCTTCTGCTTCGCGCGTTGATTCAAGCTGAGCCTTGCGTTGCGCGAGACGAAGAGCAAACTGGCGGCGGGCTCGCGATGGTGGTATTTGAAGCGGCGGTGGAACACTAGGCTGAGAGGGAAATAGGCATTAGCGGAGCTGTCCAGTGACTATCACAGAATGTTATGAACTCATTCGGCGGAGATGGAACGCAAACAATACAAAACTACAAGCAAAGAACGACCAGAGGGGAAACCAAGCGGATGGAGAGGCGAGGAGGGAAAGCAGACAGCATACCAGATCAAATGGAGCCCAATCATCCGGTGGTACATCACACAAAGGAGATGGGAGAAGAACACATCTCACGATGCGTATTACTACATGTATCATACACCCTGTCGGATGGCGGAAGGAATGTATGTACATAAGGGATGATGATTGGCCCATAGATCTAGTATGCGAGCCGTCTGTCTGTTCCAGCTCATGATACAAACAAGTATAAGAAAAGGAAACGCACCAAAGGCGGGAAACGATCGTGGTATAGTGTGTATGGTCGGGGCGGTGGGGTTATCGATAGTCCATATCAGCATCGTCAAATGAGATTTCACCCACTTGTTCGGAGTCGTCGACAGGTCCCTGTCGTTGTTCCCGCTCTCTCTCGGTGTCGACATCGTCCATGTCTTCGTCTTCTTCGTCACTCGAGTTAGTAAAGCCACTAAGCAAGGAGCCTCCGCTGAAGGTGTACCCACCACCCTCAGTATCACCAGCATTGGTGAGCTCCATGCTGTCGAGGCCTATGTTGCCGTTGTTGGCAAGGCTTGCATTGGAGAGCCCGCCACTGTCACCTCCGAAGTTGTTGTTCGCTGCGTTGACGGCGTTGAGCACAGCCTGTCTAGGCCCGACGCTCATGTCGGGTCGTACGCCTCCGAGAATGGCGTTGTCGCGTTCTCTCGTCTCAGCTAATATGTGTTCCACGTAGTATACCCACTCTTGAGCGTGGACCTTCTCTAGGACCATCTGTGACAGGACCTCGTCGGTGTGTCGTTCTGTAAACTTTAACACCTCTTCTGCGATCAGGGTAAGATGGCCCATGTATCCTAGTCGCATGGACGTTTCCTTATGCGATTTGTCGCTCTCCTGCTGCCCTTTGATGATGCGTTCGGTAATACCTCCATTATCGAAAAGATCAATCGCTAATTGTCGGTTGTATCCGCGGTCCATCTGTCCGTTGAAGACTTGCTGAACTACATCGTACACGACGTTATGCAGGAAGTTGTTCCACGGGAAGCGGAAGAAGAAATCCTGTAAAGATTAGAAAGGACCGTTGAAAACGAGCTTAGGAATGTATTTACCAGTATTGTTGGTACAACCTTGTTCTCAACAAATGTGATCTTCAATAAATCGCCAACAACAGGTGTGCCGTCAATATCGATTTCGAAGCCTACAGTCTCTTCTGCACTGCCAAATATAACGGAACGCACGCTCTGAGTCTCGTCGATAGGAGTAATCTCCGAGAGATCTGATGCCGCTACTGGTGCTGTAAAGCGCGAAGTGTCGATGTTGGCTGTTTCAGGTTTGCTCTCGCGGTTCTTACCCGCAAATAGTGGCGCTGGCTTGTCATCTGGATGAGGTGAAAGACTTCCGGATTGCTCAACGTTAGGATCCGAAGTCTGATTAAGCTGCTGGGTTAAAAGAGATGGCGGGGTCTTGGCTTCAGCCTCGGGCTTCTCAGTCTTTGCAGGCTCTGTCGGTTCTTGGCGATCTTTCATGACGGTGTCGGTGTCGAGTTCAAGATCATTAACCTTGGCACTTAGTCCTGTTGATGTAGGTGACTCAGCGTCATCTACGGGCTTGGGTGGAGATGCAGGCGTCTCAGCAGGCGTCGCAGCGTCTTTAGGCGGTGTCAGAGGCTCGTCAACAAACTCGCCATCGTCATCTGCGGTCTTGGCAGAGGACCCTTCCTGTGGTGCGTCTCTCGGTGCAACCTTTGGCGAAGGCTCTAGTGGCTCTCCAATCTGCTCTTTCTCAGCTGCGGCGTCTTTAGGGTCCTCGGCGGCGACTTCTGGCGCAACAACCTTTTCGAAGTCATCTTCCGAGCTGTTCTGTACCTGCAGAGGTTTTATCTCAGCAGGAGAGTCCATAGATGGAGCGCGTGCATGATGAAAGCCCTGACTGTCGACACTGGTAGAGAAATCGCCCAGATTACCGGCATTCGCCGAAGTCAATTTGCCATCAGCTTTCAGACGTTCTCGTTCAGCGTCTCGTCTTCTAACTTCGGCCTCGCTTCCCCGTTCGTTGAGCAGCGCCATGTTACTGCAATGCAGCAACTCGGCCATCAACTCGCAAGTCTTGAAACGATCGAATCCGAGTGGCTCAATCTTCTCGCCAAAGGCTGTCTTGAGTTCTCGTTTTTTCTTGGTAGTGCTGCCATCGCGCTGTGTCACGATCTGGCTCGAACTATTAACCAGCTCCATGAACTGCGGGATATGGTTCGCGAATTGACGAAGCAGCGTTCCTAGGTAGATGGGATCCGAGTTTTTGGGAACTGGCCCAATTTGATTCTCCAGGTCATAGTCGGAATTGTTCTTTCTGATGACCTCGATGATGATGCCCACACCAACTGTAAGTGGGTTGCCACCCTGTAGCATGAAGTCTATCAATTGTTTCAGACATTGTTCCGAGACCAGCTGGCGCGTAAGCTCATTGGGCCCGATGACGGATTGATCTTGTGTGGTGGCGTTTGCGGATATAGTGATGATGGCTTTGAGGAAGTCGCCAGCCGAGGTTTGGGTAGAAGTAGATTGATCGGGGGCGAGGAATGATATCAAGCGAGGAACGAGGTTCTGTTGTTGTAACCACTGGACCTATGGTTAGTTCTGACTGCGAAGTTATGTGGAGTAACTTACGTCAACTATGCCTTGTCCACCCTCGCTCTTCTCAAGGCTGATAATCTTCAACAAGAGGTCCATGATGACAGGGCAGTCGACATGCTGCAACATGTCTGTCACGACATTGTCTAGCGACTTGAAAAAGTCGAGCATTTCCTCCATCTTGCGATCGAGCAACGACTCGTTGACCTTGGTGAAGTAGCCAGCCTGTACAGGGTCGAGGGGTGCAGGCTGCTTGATGTATGCCCAGAACTGTCGCAAAGTGTCCTGGTTCTCGAGGACGGCCTCAGATATGGACCATACTTCAGACGACAGGATCTCGCACGACACATAAGCGTACTTCATGCGCTGTCGCTCCTCCTTGCTCTCTTCACTATCGCCTGCATCCGACTTTGTGGTAGATGTCGAGCGTGCCCTGACTTTGCCGAAAAAGCCCGTCCGGCTTGGACTTCTCGCTTCGTGCGCAGGCTCACCTCCAGCGTCTTCCTCGGGTGGTTGGTTGGGTCTTGCGGCTATAACGTAGCGCAGCAGGCGCTCCAAGACATTTTCATCGCGAAGGTATTCTATCAGCTTCGAGTTCTGCTGCTTGAGTTCCTGTATAAGATCCGACTCGTCCAGCAGCTCCTCGACAGTGACGTCAGGCTTGTCGAGGATGCTGTCGAGCGACGAGAGCTGCGCGTACCCGCCGAAGCGCCAAAACATGGTGGTTGTGGTGGTTTGCGGCTACAAGGGCGGGGCAGGGGAAGGGTCGGGCGAGGCACTCGAGAGCTGTTGCAGCTGCGTGGGGCACATGCGTAGATTTATCGCGGCGACCAATGCGTCATGGAACGGAGGAAATGCCGATGCAGAAGCTGAACTCGTCAGCGGCGGGCTTTGTTAGCAGAGAGAGAGAGAGAGAGAGACTTGAGTGAGACAGAGGGCGCGTGTCCGTGGCTTGGGCTGAGTTGCATACGTGGGACAGGTACCTACTACTAGGCGAACAAGGCCGCGGGGAAGGAAGGCAATGGCAAGCGAAAAGCGCGCGAGACTCCTAATCAACCCATGCACCGACTGTTCGTGAGCCGTCGTTACAAATACAGATGTGGAAAACGTGTGTGTTCCCTCGAGGCGATAGTGTTGTGGGTATTGTTGGGTTTGGTGGTGACAACTCGAGGCTAGAAGCTGCGTAGTACGGGTAGCGTGCGCCGCAGATCACTTGCACCTCCCTGATATCAACCACGGCAGATTGGCAGCACCTCGTTGCTCTTAATTCGGTGGTTGCGAATATTCTATCATGTGCGATGCTCGTTGGGTTCATCGCTGGTTCGCATCTTCATTCTGGACAAGTCTTGGATCGCAAACTTGAGCCAGCCTCCGGTCAACCATCGCATGTCCATACAACTTGTCAACAGCTACATGAGTTGTTGAATCTTGCATCGCATGCCGGTATCCGCCTAGGAGAGACTCCTTCTCTGATTAAGCATTACCTAGTTGTTATTCCACTTCGTACCCTAGAGATACACCTATCCTTTGTTTTTGTTAGCATATTCACGTCAGATAAGCAAACGCCTTCACAACAAACATTCAACTTGCTTCTTCACACAGAGCGCGTGTGGCATCTAACTTGGATCTTCAGGGTTACGAGATCCACCGTGTGCACGTGATGATCGATGACGTTAGCGGGAACTGCCGGAGCTACGACCATCGTTCGGTGCCTGCCATTCACCCCACACTTGCCAACACACTCCACGCCTGCTCTTCTAACTCGGCCGCATATCACAAACTCTAGTGGATCTCCCACCATTCCCTTCCAGCCAACATGAACCGCCTATTCGGAGCGAAGAGCACCGCGCCCAAGCCGACGCTCAACAGCGCCATATCCAATGTGCGCTCCACGTACTAGGCAACACCCCACACATACTGACGAGTCCAGGTCGACACACGCATAGAAAGCCTTGACGTGAAGCTTGCGAAGCTCAATGCCGAACTATCCACCTACCAGCAGAAGCTCGCCAAGATGCGCGACGGTCCCGGCAAGACGGCCATCAAGCAAAAGGCTCTCAAAGTCCTCCAGCAGCGGAAACAATACGAAGCGCAGCGCGACCAGCTGCAGGCGCAGTCATGGAACATGGAGCAGGCCGGCATGATGCAAGACAACCTCAAGAACACAATGACCACTATCGACGCCATGAAGACAACGACGAAGGAGCTACGGAAGCAGTACGGCAAGGTCAACATTGACAAGATCGATAAGCTTCAGGACGAGATGGCCGATCTCATGGACATGGGAAACGATATACAAGATGCTATAAGCCGCAGTTACGATGTGCCGGAAGATGTGGATGAGTCTGAGTTAGATGCTGAGTTGGAAGCACTGGGCGATGAAGTCGACTTTGAGGGCATCGGAGAGTCGTCAAGCATGCCCAGTTATATGCTAGACGACACTGCACCACCACAATTTATCGACGAAGCGCCCACTCCCGGTGGCAAGGTCAAGGAAGCCGCAGGCTGATGAGAATAGTGTCTATGCGTATGTTTCAAGAATCGCGACTACAAGGGTTATGGGATCCATGACAGCCTGTTCAAGTTGAACGGTATCCTCCAAATTGGTGCCATCACCACGCGCAGAACCCTTGGTGGATGTTAAGAACCTGGCGAGGGTTTGAATCACACGAACACCTCAATTGAGGAGGGAAAATGATGAACAGCGCGTAAATTGAGAGTACAAATTAACGTTCAGTGGAGCCTAGCTCTTGGGGACATCTATTGCCAGGTACCGTGAAGAAGACGGCCAGGAACCTAGCCAATACGCAATATAAATGGTTGGCTCAGCGACACAATCGTAAACTATACTTTACATCATGTTCATGTTCGAGTCCAGGACGTGTTATTGTATGCGCATGATCGATTGCGTGTGGCGTCCAACTCTACATGTACTCTAGTATACACTGTTGATTTACATGGGATAACTTGCTCTAAGGGACTAAGCAAGCCATCTTGGCTGGCGAAGTTGATCTTTATCTAAGAAGTTGTTCACCTGTCCCTCAATGATGATGTGAGCTATTGTTCCCTAATGAAATACGTTTGTCCAACAAGACCTCTGCAAGCAATTACCATAGAAAAAATGATGATCGAAAGGTTCACTCGCCAGAACTACACGTTGGCCACTCTGATTTAATCCTTCTCTAGCACGCTTTGCCACATGATATCGGTTAGCGACACACTCATCAGTGTGCCGAACGCACCAAAGTTGACACCCAGTGCAAGACTATAGATTGATCCCCAGAACATTCTCTCGCTTATCGGTGTTCCATTTCTGTCGTGTATCTCTTGCCATGCTTGTATGACACGCGAGAGCAGCATGCATGCGCCGGTATTTGTCCCCGCAAACTATGTTGGCTCAGTCACTCCGTTCACATCCATGAGACGAAAATCCTTAATATTGATGATAACGCGGATCAAGTAGGAAAGAAACACAACCGTGATGGGATCGTTTCCAAGGAAGGCTTCTATGCTAAAGAAGTAGATATAGAGGTAGAGAAACGATCAGTGACCTACTTTCCCGAGCCCGAGTCCCACAGTTTTGGCAACCACATATCGGATTAAGCCGACTGCATCAATGGAATTAGCGAAATAGCCCAGGCTTAGGAAGACAATAACGAGGTCATAAGAGCAATTTCCGGTATCATCATCGCCTATGATACCTAACTCTGGTTCGTGCCTTCCGATGGCTGTAACAGCTAGCAGAAATAGAACTGCTGCCAGAGGCGCTGTAACATGGTTGATCGGTACTGTGCAGCGGACGAATTTGGCCTGTTCGAGTGTGATACCATCTCTTTCCCATGACACTATGCGCAAGGCGCTGAGGATTCAGACGACTGCTTTTGAAAACTGATGTGGGACAATGAATTAACAGGCCAAATGGGGCGCAGTATCTGTAGGTCTTTGTAAGTCAGATTGCTCGTTCTTAACACTTCCAGGCAACTATTCGTCACTCGCTAATCAGAGCGACGACGATGATCGTGAGAATTGATAGCCAATTCTTGACGGCTTATATGCCGGGTTCATTGTTCATGTTGGAAAGGAGAGCGTAAGACTATGAGAACTACAATATAGACGCACTCAAACTTTTCTTAGTACTTAACAAGTTCAAAGTTGAGGCGCAGCCGTGCGACTGTGCGCTGGCGAAGGCTGTCTGTCGCACGTATTACGGTAGGCGATCACGTGCGCTGGCCAGTATTCATCCTACGCGTCGATCTCAGCCTTGCTGTCAAGCAGGATCCTATCGTGGCCTCTTGCTGAAGCTGTATAGTATCAACTTCCTCCGATCGCGACGCGCATTGCAGCCGATCTATTCGCCGTCGACGTCAGATAAAAAGAAGTTGCCACAATGGAGGATACGCCCCAAATGCGGTTACCAACTCGCCAGCTGTTTGCATCGATCAAATCCACCTCGTAGTTGCCTTTCAGGTTTGACCACCTTGCCTTGCAGTACTGTGTACTTGATAATGTTCTCGCAGTCCTCGGGCTTCACTCGCGCCAGCCATATACACTGTGCAGCCTCGCCATTGCCTTCTGCCTCCTGCTCCTTATTGGCATCGAGAAGGACCTCCTGACCGTTATCATCTTCCAGTTTCAGCTCCTCAAGCCGCTTCTCTGCCCCATTGCTATGTCCGTTTGTCTTTTCAGGTCGTGACACAACTGAAGAGTGTCGGTACACCATGACGTTTGCCGAGAATTTATGACCCCCAACATGGCTGATAAAGTATATTCCTACACCGCCCGGCCGTTCATCATGCAAATCGCGGTAGAGTCCCATTGGTCGTAGCAGTCGCTCGAACTCTTTCCGTAGGAGGGGCGCTGACTGACCGCAACGTGCGTCTCGGGTCTTTTGACTGCACATCAGGATCAGGTATTTGTGGGGACATGGTCGGGCTTTGAGCTGTGAGGTGGCGGGTATCGATGATGGTATGGAAGAGGAGGTAGGTTTGGCGGAGGAAGTCTCTTCCGGGGCTTTTGATGGAGCTAGGGTCGAGGTTTTGCGTGAGCGCAGTGGCGTATTGTTCGTAGGCCCAGGATTGACGAAGCCAGTGATTAGCTCTGGTATATTCGCGGGCGTGACGTTGTCTATGAACTGCCATGACGGTAACAGTAGCACCATAGAACTGTGATCAGAGTGGTCTGGAACCGGCATATTCGAAGCGGATAACATGAGTTTCTATTGTCAATTAGCACCAGAACTCAACGTAGCCGCTCTATGTGCGAATATGCGATGTTTGCTACTCACCCCGTTGCTAGGCTTCGCATCTCCTCTGTCGACCGCCTCCATAATGCTGCCCTTGTCATCTGCAACATCGCGCACCCAATCTGTCTTGCCAGTCGCAACAATCAGATGTGTACTCCATCCCTTCACGTGTCCATAAAGCTCTTCTGTCTCATCGATCTCAAACTTGCGCGGGTACTTGACGCTGCAACTGGCGCAATCGTGCAGGCAGTCATCGCCATCTATCGCGGGGTCGGTGGTCGGAAATAGCTCCTCCGTCTTCTTGGCCTTGGTGAACTCGTCGCTATCCTTTGATAAGGTAAGAACTTCAGACGACGACAGTGCTGATGTCAGCTTGTAGGAGAGGTTTCGCAACATGGCAGGGACTCGGTATGCGTTTATCGGCCTGTGCGTAGTCTTGGGAGGTGCCATTGCGATACTTTATATCAGATGTGGAGATTAGATCGCCAAGACGCGGAATGTGGGCGCGATGATGACGCCGATGCTTAGTCGTTGACGGTACCTGAAATGGATAGAAGTCGCCCGCTTTCACCCGCTGAAGCCTAGAATCAACAACAATAATACCATATTATTGAATGAGCGTTCTTATAGCCATCTCTCCCGGAAGAAGCTGACCGCTTCTTATATTGCTTTTCGTGTTTCGGTGAATTGCATCGGCCCTCGGACCTCGCACTCAGACTTACGCGACGATTATGCTCGGACTTACTGTTGTACAAGCCCGGACTTCCACACTTTCTCCGAATGCTGAAAACCTCTAATCGGCTGCACACAACTCTCGCAGCTCACCTAGACTAGTCTAACTCGAAAACGATTGCTGTTCGTGCGGACCTATCGCTTTGTCGCCGTATGTCCAACCGAGGACGCGTCGATCCAACACGAACGCGTAGACGCGTCAGTCACGCAGTATGCGGCTCAAGATGCTCAATGGCGCACCGTTGTGCGAACATTTAGACTTCGACGACAGTAAACTCTTGGCAGTTGATGAATGCCATATCTTTGATGTTGCAGCAAGTATCACTGCAACCGCTGATGACTCCACGCCAGTCTTTAAGTGGTGCGGTATCTCGTTCAAGGACTCCCGACTTCGGACCGGATGGTCACAGCCCTTTCTACCAGGAAGTGTTCCGGGTTGGGACATGTCAAACATCTCGCTCCCTAATGTGAGTCGGTCTGTATCGTTTCTACAGGAAGACACCACCCGTCTGGAGCCTACGATCGCCTTCGAGGATCCCTCATTGGCCACCAATAGTTTCCTCGAGCAATCGCTTATGTTTCATGATACGTTACTATCATCCCAAGTCTTACCGGACGACGTGACTGATAGGACTATCAGCTCATCGTCCTTCCTAACCACTTCTTTCGGGACTACGGCATCTGACTTTAGTAGCTCAAGCAAGGTTGATGAGCACATTCTAAATACTCAAGTCGCGCCCAAGATGGCCGTCACACCCCTTGGGTCACTACCTAGCGCACAGCGCTTACGAGAAATCTACCCTCAAACGCCTACACCCAACTTTATATGTGCTGTAACAGCGACACCCGAACAGAAAGAAGTCTTCGTTCGGAAAGGCGGATACAAGATGAACCTGTGGGAAATCATCGTTGCAGATGATACACGCTCAGGCTTCAAGGTCACGTTCTGGCTGCGCCCACCACGGGAGTCGAACAACGAACAAAACCACGTTCAAAATCTGCTCCTTCAAACACTCGAAGGTATCAAAGTCGGCGACATCCTCCTCCTGCGGAACATCGCGCTGACGTCCTTCGGCGACACCGTCTTTGGCCAATCTCTAAACCCAGCTATCGCGCGTGCTCGAACAGGCATCGATGTCTTGACAAGAAGCGGCGGCGGCTCATCTGCTCATCCGGGTGGACAGCCAGCGCCAATAGTCGAGATTTTCAAGAGGGTCAAGAAATGGGCAAAGATGCACGTCGCTTCTGATACTGCGGGCTCAAGGAAAAGAAAAGGAAGTGCGGCGAAACAAGAGAAGTACGCGAAACGGACCTTTACAAGTCGTGATATCGATGATTCGATGCCTCCCGACACGATGGAAAGTGTTTGAAGTGCATTCCCCGCAACTTCACGACAAGTCCACTTCTACCGGCTAGCAATCACCACGTGCCGACTACAACTTGCTGCATGTTTCAATTCAGACCGCTGCGTCCGGATGTGACAGGTACCTGAATTTCGGCAGCTCGTCAATTTGCTCTTTGTAAGCGTCTCACCATGCCGTGGTGGTCTGTGCCGCAACCCTGCTATTTCAGACAATCAACATCACACGGCCTCCCCACGTCACAGCCACAATCAGTATACGGCTCCGAGGAGGGGTGGTCAGTTCATTGCAGTCTCCGAATGTGCAGTCTCTCGAGGGCACTGAGCCATCTTTCCAATCTGCTTCAACCGCCTACGTTACTTCTTAGCCTACTTGGCTGCGACAATCACGTTAACAATCGAACGCAATCATGTTGAAGTCATGAAAACGATGTCAATTCTTCAGGTGAATTCCACGATATGTCGTCCTGTTGTTCTGGTTGTCAACGTCCTGCGCGCTCCTCCATCCTTGGCATTTTCATGCGAAGAAACCAAACATGTTTCGAACATCACCCTACATGCAAGGATATACTGGGAAACAATGGCACATACGCCGCAATAAATGCATATTGAGAAAGTGTGGATAGACTTACGCATGAAGTAGCTGTGGTACAGCCTGGTACGTCACGCACATGGAGCGGGGCAGTGGGTTGTGCGATTAGCCGTTCATCTTACTGGCATCTTATATACTTGATCATATCGCTCTCCAGATGCGAACCACAGCATCGCTTGCCTAGTCTTTCTTTCAGTCCTAGTGACATTCTGTCTTTTCCTCAGCAACTTGTTGCACCTTCATTCTTTCAGATCTTGACGATCTCTTCCTTTCTTTACCGGCTGGCCAACATGTTATCGTTCTTTTCTACATTCACTGGTCTTGCTACCTTACTCTCGTTACTCGGAAATGTACAAGCTAGATCAAACTCAACCAATGGCCCCTCGTGCGGAGTCGCAAAGGCAGACGACAGCTCCTACTTCAGTGTCGTCGGAGTGCAGGGAACCGGAGTGCACCCCCGACAGGAACTTCGTGAGCTTGAGAAGGACACGGAATTATGGAATGTCTTTATCCAGGCGTTTGCTCGCTTCCAGGCTATGGACCAGAGCCAAAAGACCTCTTTCTACCAGGTCGCAGGTATGATATCATCGCTATTACTAAAAGACTTCACTAACACCATCTAGGGATACACGGAGTGCCCTTCAAGCAATGGGACGGTGTGAACGGAACAGCTGGGCAAGAGATGATGGGATACTGCCCTCACACGTCTAGCATGTTCGGTCCCTGGCACCGACCTTATCTTGCGTTGTTCGAGCAGGTTCTCCATGATCGTGCTGTTGACGTTGCCAATGAATATCCTATCGGCGAGGCCCGTAACAAGGCCTTGGATATCGCTAGCCGAGTACGTCTTCCATACTGGGACTGGGCGATGGATCCGCCAAACGCCCAGGAAGGTGTTGTACCTGAAAGCGTCCGTTGCCGAACACATACTGTCACTTTCCCCAACGGGACTGTAGCAGATATCCCAAACCCGCTGTATCGATACGACTTCCATCCTCTGATGTATGACGACTTCGCTGCTTTGAGTGAATTCGAGTTCAAGAACTGGAACCACACTATTCGGTACCCACTTGATCCGCATGCCGCCAACGCCACCAGTCGTAACAGCGATGTCAACGCGCGAGTCGGCAAACAGCAACCCAATCTTCGCGATATGCTCTACAAGTTGTTGACAACTTACCAGCCTTTCAGCCAAGTAAGCAATAAGGCGAATGGTGGCAAGATCGGAAATTTCGAAACTCTCCATGACGGTCTGCATAACGTCTTCGGACTAGGTCATATGGGCATAGTCGAGGTTTCAGCTTTTGACCCCATCTTCTGGTTCCATCATTGTAACATCGATCGAATCATAGCCATGTACCAATCTCGCTATCCCGATACTTGGATTGAAGACGCCGTACAACATTCAGGCACGTTCGCTGTCGCCAAAGGCAGCGTTCTCGGCACTGCTTCTCCGCTGGCACCGTTCCATATGAATGCTCTCGGCGACATGTGGACTGCCACCACTTCGCGGAACTGGACTTCCTTTGGATATACCTACCCTGAGGTTGCCAACAACCCGAGTAATGCGACACTGACATCATCCATCAATCACCTATACAAATCTCAGACTCAGGGCTTGAGCGATACCAATGCGACGATCCCAGCCCCAGGGGACAGCCCCGACAACCGCACGGCACAGGCTATCGACTGGCAGTGTGAAGTCAACATGCCGACCGATATCAAGATATCTTACTCCGTTCGCGCCTTCCTTGGCGAACCAAGCTCTAACCCGATTGACTGGCCTACGGACCCCAACTACGTCGGTCAACTGGCATCGATGTCTTCTCCTCGAATGAGTTCCTCGGTCATTGTCACGGGTAACATCGGCCTGACTGAGAAGCTTGCGCAGAAGCATGCGTCCGGCGAGCTCAAGAGCTTGGACAAGGAGACGGTGCAAGCCTATCTCAAGGAAAAGTTCAGCTGGCGCATCCAGGCTTTAGACTTCAGCGAGATCCCACGGAACAATCCACCAGCAGGCTTGAACGTTACTGTATTCAACGTGCCAGTCAGTATTCCAGAGTCCGACACGGAAGTACCAACTTGGAACGGCGACGTCGAATACAACGACGATATCGAAGGCAATCCACCCGTGTACGACGGACCTGGGCCCGATGGCACCAACTCGACACTCCCCGCAGACCAGGCAAGTGGATCCTACAACGCCGTATCCGGCGAGTTTGTGTGGAAAAAAGCGCCAGATGCTGCCCCCAACGCTGGTGCTGCGGTGCCTGCTAACCCCAAGACTGAAACAATGCTCTTGGAGTCTGTCATCACGCAGTATGTGGCACTAGGTGCTTCTGCTACTCTGACATCTGCGCCTACTCCGACGACCACGCCTGAGGTCTCTAGCAAGCCGGTTGTGTCGGAACAAGCACCTGAGCCTACTGCGCCTGCTGATCCGCGGACTACGGTAGTGACTTCAGTTATCGTGGAGTATGTCACTGTGTAAGGTGGTGGTAGTGATCAGTTAAGTATCCGTACAGTTGTCGTCGACTGTGTCACATTCTCTTTTGCTCGATTTTCATGTACATGGCTCTTCTCACGTTTGTGCACACTTGCACTATCACGCTCGTTCTATGTTGTTGTTGTATATACACTATCACGCTTTACGCATTACGCTCATTTTGTTGCAAAAGTAAAGGAAATCCAGTTTCTCGCTCTTTTAGTCTGACCTTGTGCAATACCCTTCCGTTCTTTTTGTGTGATAGCTTACCTTGACGTTGGCGAATTGGATAGAGCAACCTATGCATTCTCGCCCTGTACGCCCAAAGAGAACGCGAGCCCGCGAATACTCACGACCCAATCTCCTCCAGCCACCGTTCGAGATCGCTCATCAAGCTCTCTATCGACCAGGCAGTCCTGCCAACTACACGTGACACACATTTCTCTACTCTTGAATATCATAATCGACACAGACAGTGCAGCTGAAGGCGTCTCTGCACTCAAGACTAGTTCGGCTCGACGTAATGACCAAGGCTCCTCGCTTCCAACACTAGTGCTACTCTCCCCATCAGTAACACCGAGCTTGGTAACTAGCCAAGAAAGATATCTTGTCTTGCGTATCTCGCTTTGTTGCTGGCTGTTCCAGTCTGGACAGAGCTTCATGATATCTATCAAACAATTGCGTGTGCCGGATTCTAGTCTTGCTTTGATTTCTTGTCGGACACTTGCTGAGACGGACCAAACTATATCCATGACATTGGATGAGAGTTTTGAAACCGAAGACGTGACTGAGGTTTGAGGGCGAATTGTATCGACCAATTTGGAATCGAATCTGTGATCCACAACCGACACGTAGTTACGCATGAGCTCTTTGGGTTGTAACTAAGGATATAGTTCTGTGTTGGATGGTAGAATGTGTCGCAGATCATAGGGTGTTCTGCTTGCAAAGCCACTCGCGTCCTGAAGCGCAGTTGAGAGTGAGACTAGGCAAAGAGCCTGAACAAGGCCTGTCAGAGGGGTGTGGTGCTGACAGCAAGCATCTACCAGCTTCGTCACAAAATGACTACTGATTGTGAAGTTGCGAAACTAAATCTGGTAAGGGGAGGCTTGGATTGGAGCCCAGCGCGCATGCATGTGTCTTGGCGGAAAGATCCATTCTGGTATCAGGCCCTTCCAGAGTTCCCGCAGCACGAACCCTAGCGACATAGGCCACGAGGACAGGATTTCCAGATCCGGTGGTAACTCATCACTGAGATCAGGTAGGTTAAGGATCCATTCATCTGAGTCCTCGGGAATATTGATTATAGGCTCTTCGCCATGTCTGGTGGCTTTGCTGAGATGATGCAGCAGGTCCTGATGGAAGATTCTGCCACTCGAACCATCGTGGTGCGGGTGGTTCCAGACATACAGCACCTCTATTGACTCAGTCCCAGTTTGATCTAAGACGACCACTCGCTAACCAGGCCGAGTCGATGAGTTCTCGATTTTGAATCAAGATAATCCTGCAAAATCTTGAGATATTGCTGGTGTGAAGAGATAGACGCTTCCAGATTGATCAATTGAAGATGACTGCGAAGATCGAGGTGATCGAGATGGAGGAAGGTGGGATTCTTAGAATTCTCCCCTGTGATTTCAACTTGTAGATGAGGCTGGGCGATTAGAACTCGAGCAAGAGCACCGCAAAACCGGGCTTTGAGAGTTGCAAGCAATTCTGGACGGGCAATAATAGGTGGCGGAAAGTAGCGGCAGACGACAACGGTGCCTCAATGCTGATAAAGAGTATGCATCGCCAGCTGGTAAGATTCACTGCTCTGTATGAGAACTTGCTGTTTGCTTTAGCCTTTTGAGGACGGCCAACTCACCGGCATCCCATTTCGCGGATCTCGGTGGCCGCCTTGTCATTCGTTACGGTCATGATAAGGGTCGGTTTGAGTCGGGATGTGAGATGAGCGTCCAAAGGTTTTGTCAAGGCATGTAATTGAAAGTAATAGTGATGAGATCAAAGATGGAATCACGTGTGTAGTGTTTGCTTTTGGTGCAGTGGATGTTCCCGGGGGTCTATATACGTATGCAACTAGCCAGGCCACGTAGCTCATCTGCATGGGCCGCTGGGCGCTGCAGACTGAAATTAACATCGCACATGCGACCTCGTTCAAGTTCCTTGAAGACTCATCAAGATGGTACACTTGACTCTGCTTCAAAGTGTTGTCGCTTATTTGTATATACATCCTTGAATAAGGACCTTTTAGACAGATCGTAGCTGCCCTTTCTGAGCGAACTCTTCCTCTTTATGTACATGTACTATCTCTCGCCCCTGAACATCGTCGCTGCCGCTTCTGGTATCATTGGAACCGCTTGTTGACAACAAATCGTGCGTATTTGGTTCACCTCCAATCTCAAAAAACGCCTCGACTCGGCTTGTACATGACCTACCATCTGTCTGGACTGGGTGAACCAATTTATTTGTTGCCACCTGATAACGAGCGGAAAAGCGACGATACGGCCCCAAGCACCCGTATGGTTTTAGCAGGTCGCAGGAACGCAGGTATTCCTATCATCGAAAAACCGGTTGCGATCTCCCAGATAGTCAACAGGGCAACACCAGTCTTCTGGTAAGTAGCGTTATTAGAAGGTAGCGAGGTTGACGAAGTATATTGTCTTAGCAACTGTGAGACCCTAGCTTCCGCTAGGCTAGGACGCTAAGCTACCCCTGGTTTATAGCCTGCACCTCCGCTACTATAGCTTAGTAGCAGTTCACCTCTAGTCTTAATAGGCACTATATTTATATCTTAACTATTGTTATGTATTTAGTATCGTAAATGACTTTATTACTTGACAACAGCACCTGTGGTCCAGGATTGTCACGAGATGCTACGAGCACGTGTTTAAGAGCTTACTAGAAGCGTTAATTGTGGCTACGTACGATATCTGGTGTAATACAAGACGTTGCGTAAGGAAACAGAATCAGCATGTACAGGCGGTAAGAAGTTATCGATGGGGGCCGTGCGCATGGCGCTAGGCCCGGCCGGCCAATCAGCAGAATCCTGGTGCTTGGCGGAGCACTCGGATTCTGTAGCGCGTTCAGTGTCAAGGAAACCACGGTGGTTACCGTGACAAGGATTTACACAACGCCCGGTTAGGCCTGAGGTCACGGTAATGTTGAAGAAGCTCACGAAACCTAGATCTACGGAAAAAAGGAGCGATATACTTTGTTCTTCTGTCCTTTTAGCGTTCAAGTAATCGTCTTACGCTATCTGTCGAGATCATTTTTCACATCCTTGAAGGTTACACTTCACATTTTCTTTCTTGATTAGAAAGGCAATTCTTTCGCCATCATGGCGTTCCCAAGCACGTTTGACGATCACGTTGTTACTCGCGCTTCAATTATTCTCAAAAAAAAACCCCCCCAACCGGGCGACTGGAAGCTCTAGACCTCGATGAAGAAGCAATTGGCCACTGTGAAAGGCGTATAGGGATACTGCGACTCCTCAACTACAAAGCAACCTTGGAAAGGTGATGACCGGTCTTTAGATACCGACTCAGATGGCAAGTGGAAGGAGTGGGAGATCAAGAAAAATGCTCAGACGGCAAGCCTGAAGGCTATTGATGAAGCCAACCTTGAGACTGAGAACAATAGCTCGCTCAAACCTGCATCTCATCTCTGAGCTAGACCTTAACGTCCGACTACGTCTCAGGGCCCTCCAGAGTCACCCCAGGATCACGAATCAGCACTAAGTCCCGGAGCTTTCTTTGCAGTATGCTGCTGTAAAGCAGAAGTGAAAGATCCAGGATATCAACACCTGGGTTGGACGAAGGTTCTCGCGTCTTGTCACTCTGCTTGCGCCGTACCCTGCACCAGAGTTGTCAACAATCAAATATATTTGCAAATATAGATCGTCGTCGGCGCCAAGACTCAAATCAATCAAGTCAAATACGGCGTTGTTGTAACTGCAAACAAGTCAAGTTTTATAGCTGTATTTGATTGACTTGATTGCAGTTTATTTGGAGTTTTGCGTGAGGCTGTTGAGTTAGCTCGGCCAGCGATCTCGTGATAGTTTTTTGGTGTTGTAGTGCAGTTAGTAATCAATCAGAACCTCGTTTCTTGGTCAGTTCGCTTGCCGTCCGATCTTTTTAACCACAACAACGCGTTAATAACTCGCAACCTATCTCTTTTATGTATTAGTATCACTGTTATGGCTCGTCATAATGTAAAACGACGCGCTCTTACGCATAATAACGCTAACACGCGCCCGTTAAAACAGCGTAGACTCCTCACGAAGGGCACCAAAAGCCAGCTGGTAGTCGTTGATAATACTTAACCCAGCTTATCGCGTAAAGCTCTAACAATCGCGAGCTAGGCCGACGATTTTAAATCACAGTTGCGAGACTCACGATCGGAGACTGCGATTGCTACGCCTGTTAAGGATTCAGAAATAGCTACCGCGGCCTCAACGGCGGCCAACGAAGACGACGACGACGATTTCGATACACGTTTTGTAGACAACTTTAAAAGCGTAGATTAGGGTCGTTTAAAAGGCTTTATACAGCCGCTGCGGACTCAATCTCAGCGCAAAAGCTGGATATATAATCACGGTTATCGCGTCGCCCTACAATCAAACCCAGATCAGATATTCTTCGTATGCCGCGATTGCTACCTAAACAAGAGGCTTGATTTGGGCGTGGTAGAGACGACACAGGCGACGAGCTCAGCAACGACTCATCTGCTCAAGAAACACCGTATTGCCGCTTCGGGCAAGGTGCCTATTACGCTGCCAGCGGGTTAGAGATCGCTCATAATGCTAACAGGCGCTGGCGTACAGGTTAGTTAAGCTATCGCCAACGAGATTAGAAACTTCGACGTACAAGCGTTTCGGTTGTCGGCTGTTTGCTGGCTTGTCAACAACAATATATCGGTGAGGCAGTTTAAAGACCCAGCGTTTCGAGCGATAATACAGTTTGCAAACCCAGAGGCGGAGAAGTCGTTGTGGATAAGCCACAACAGCGTTA